ATATTCCATACGGAGTACGGAGTACAGGGATCTCTAAACTACTTCTTCTCCACGGTGTAGTTAGTCTACTCGGTACACAGAGCACCAGGAAATTTTATATAAAAATTATTAATATTTCAATTGTGACACACACACCAAACCGTCGCGTGATCGCTGAACAAAAACGAGCCAAAGAATCAGATTCCAGCAGGGACTCCAGGGAGTCAGCTAGTTAGGTCAAATAGGTACGAACTCCACGGCATCCAGGTTGTACTATGGGATGCTGGGTCCGGATGCACTTCCCCGGACCAATAAAACAGGCCATTGCGTAAATCAGTTGGTTTTTAATTTCAAGTCTGCAATGTGAAACACCAGAAAAAAATAAAATAAATAAAAATGGAAGGAAAGCAGGATTTTCCATTAGTTTTGACCCGGAGGCGGATTTCTGGGGGTGGTGATTCGCTATGTACTTTAATTAAAATTTTCGACTACTGTACACCGTAGGAAGGGGAAGCTCGCTAGGAGACAGACTAAAGTACGATTTACGGTACCTTTTGTGGCGCGGCGGTGACGGGCAAGTCTTCCATTCCACTAACTAACTATTTGCTTTTGCGATTGGTAACGAGGAGGGGTCCCGTGTCTTTACTCTTTCTCCACAGCTTCAAAGGGGGCAGGGAATAGGAGAAAATGTTTAATCGTTAATGTACGGTGAGAGTGAGACTGAGCATGTTAGGCTACGGGTGTCGGCTCGGGATCAGGTGCTGTGGAGATCGAACCTGCGACTCCGTAGATAAGTTACGGGTGGAAGCCTGGAAGGATATCCGTCCCGTCCTGTCTTATCCAGAAAAAAAGAATGAGATAAAAGATTGAGATAAAATTACCTTACAAAGAAACGTAAGACAGAAAGTTACCTGTAAAGATGCAAAGATTAATTTGAATCAAAATGACCCGAAATAGAACTGAACCCGGAGTAAGGTTTGCATGTATGTATGTATGGATCTTTCATGGATAAGGCTTGGCATGCTCTTTCTTTGTCGCTACTATACAGTGTACAGTACGTTCTAGTTTCTAGGTGGCAAAAGAGAACCTCCAGGAACAACTTACGGAGTAGTCGCCTCTACGGCGTACCTTTAGTGCCCCAATTCTGGTACTAAACGGCTTCCCCGGCGGAATGCAATCCGGTGCCGCGGTGACGGATAACAATTGACTCTTGGATGGGTCCAGTGTCTTGTCTTTCTCACGTCTGAAAGTCTGTTTTATTATTGTCCACATTTGTTTACCAAATGGTTGAGAGTTGGCGAACTTAATTTATTGCTATATACGGATACTCTCCGTTTTTCATAGTTCAATTGGTACTGTAAAAGAAAGATATCCAAGAAAATGATAATAATAATTCATCTGGCTAGCGCCAAGAGATTACCACACCGATTCACCCCTTTTTTAGGGCCGACGACAGAAACCTCGTACCTGCTTCGATCATGTGAGCTGCAGGCGAAACAGGAACGGTGAGGCCATGGCCCGCTGTACGGTGACCTCAGCCGGACTCAGCTCTCCCTAACCGCCTCTCTCCTTTCCAGCGGTGCCAGGAACACCTTCCCATTCGCCCATCTAACCTGATGGTTAAGACTCGAGTGAGCCACCGGGCTCCACTGCGGAGCCTTTCAGGTCCAATGTATCTGCGTGACGCAACTTTTGATCGCGAACACGTCCAAGCGTGGAATGTTACAGCGTACGTACCGAGTCTCTCTGCCGGAATCGACAGGGGGAAGAAATTGACAGGTGATGTGATGAATACGATCACGCCGTGAATAACTCGATTATCAACCATCTCGGTCCTTGGAAGGGCTGTGTGATCGATGTTAGTCTTGTTTTTATTCTTATTTCTTTTTTACTTGACTGCAGATGCAAGCTCTGTGTGACAGCGAGCTACTGCATTGTTGCTCACACGGTCTAGAGACTCAGATCGATGCGATGCGATACGAGCTAAGAAGCGATCGAGATACAGTACTCCGTACAATGAGGGAAACCCCACCCCATGGCTGAGAAAATCCCATCTGCAGTATGGAGTAATAGCATGGATGATAATAGAGGAGCCTAAGGAGGGCTTTTTCATCATTCCCTTCGCCACTCGATATACTCCGTACAGTACTTTTGTACATACACCGAGAATTCTAGGCCCCCGTTGAACCTGCCATCCTGCAAGCAAAAGAAAAACGAGAAAAAAAAAATGGAAAAAAGGACAACAGAGACACACGCCAGGCTGCATCACCAAAGGGCCCAGCCTCAACGAAGGACTAATTTTAGGCCCTTCCAGGTGCTCGCTGTCCCCAATGGAGTCACTTTCCAGTGGAGACTGGGAGAAGTTCTCTTTGTCAACGCACCTTAAGCACACCATATCGATTCCAACTGGTTGGAATTATGTATGCCATGCATGAGCGTATGTACGTACATATCCACGTACATGCTTGATACATATATACGAAATGGTTCGTACCTTATCCCAGTATGCGTCAGGAGGGCTGTTAGACACATACAATAGACCCACCAAACACGCAGCGATGGGCGCATACCGATCGATCATTTGGCCGGCAATGGCCTCATTCATGTCACACAAGTCTTGCCTCTACCGTGGCACCACCTGACCCCTATGCGCCGTGCAAGGGCTTTTGGTCGGTATAACGGACAGCTCCCCCTTGTACTCCGTATAACGTACCATTTACCTATCAAGGAATCGCCAGGGAGCAGGGGCTTTTCTTTATTCTTGTTCTTTTTTTTCCTTTCTCTCTTTTCAACAAAGAAAAACCGAAATAGAAAAAAAAAAAAAAAAACAGTTGGTGCCTGTCACTGCCCAGCCTGTCAAATGTCGGGTGCTTAATTTGTACGTCAGCGCTTCTCTATCAATCGTTTGTGGGAGGGTAGAATTTTCCATTTTTTTATTTGTGCTGACTGTCTTTCAGTCTCGAGGCTTGTGCAACAATGAGTCCTACATTCTTTGTCTACAATCCACATGCGCATGCGTATCGACCGCCTCATCCCAGCCTCGGGCTGCCACCGTTTTCTAGCGGTGACAACAACTCGCCAAGCATCTTGGATTGAACTGGACTGATACCGTGAAGCTGTTGGTCCTTACCGTGATACCGCATCGGTGGCTGATCCTGGAAGTCTTTTCCCCTTGAGAAGTCAACGGGTTATAGGTTTCTGTTTCAGCTGAAGGAACGGCACGGCGCTGGCCCAACTCAGATCTAGGCCCTCGTTCAAAGCCCGGCGCCTCGAGGTTGGCTACGAGGTTGGCTGATTCCCTATGACAACCACTCTGCATGGAAATGGATTTCTGCATCGGTATCCGCTTCGGTATCCAAGATGAGGCTGTCGATAAATTAGCGTAAGCTCGGATCAAATGGAGCGCCAGTCGATCCTCCGCGGAAACTGACCTGGGCCGGTCTGGGTCTCAGGGCCGGCCAAAAGTACGATGCTAGCAATCTAGGGGGTGGAAGAACGTCGGCATTCGGTGAGGAATTATTGGGAAGGAGTAGTTCCTAGGCAGCATCAGCCGACGAGATATGGTACTTTCGTATCTTGGTCGCGTCGGCTCCGAACTAGTGCACGCCTTCGCCAATCCAACACTTTTCATTTCTAAGTTTATGGCTTACGGAGTAGAATCGTACAGACCACAAAGAAAGGGGTCGGGCTATCATCTCCGGTCGTGATGATTGGTTTGCTCGTTTGTCCTTGGCGGAGAATCAACTGTATCCATCTCGACTCGTTCCGTAGGTGATCCATCGCCGATGGGGAAACCTCACCCTGGTCTTGCACTAATTCTTTTCTTTTTTTCTTCTTTTTTCAGCACTAATGAAACCAGGATTTAGATTGCAGCCAAAGCACGAACTTGGTTGTGTCAAGTGTCAATCTATTGAGTGGCAAACTGTTTTCTTTTTTTTTTTTTTTTTCCCTTTTGCTTTTCTTTTTCCTTTCTTCCACCTGTTTAATTTATTTTTGGCCCCCATCGGTAGTGGATTGTGACATATGACAGGTCCAAAATGAACTGCACCGGTTACTAGGGTTGACCCGACAATAGTCTTACGATGATCTTATTTTCGCTCCGTGGCTTCATGTTTGCTACCTCGCACCAACCAGCTTGCAAAATCGCGAAAAGAAAAATAAAAACATAGGCATTGTGTGCGGGTATGGCGCATGCTTCCGTTTATGTAGCTCCGGGCTGCTTTGCAATCCTTAGTCGGTCGAGAGATGAACAACTTCTTTTCCACATTATTCGAGCCGACGTGCAGATTCTATCAGATCATTTTGAAATGCTTGGATTCCGTCGTTCGCGGCCTATTCGGTGTCGGATGCCAGATTACCTTCCAAGGGAAGTTTGCTAATAAGCACTTGTCAGACAGTCTCTGGCGAGGGACTCCGTACGGCTTATCATGTTCCTGGAGAGCGCTTTCGGCGGATTGCCGGGCTGTCCGGGAAGGCTGAACGTTAGCAAAAACAAGAGAGAAAGGAATTGAAAGAAAAAAGAGAAGGAAGAAAAGGAGAAGTTAGAAAATTGACCAACAGAGATATCCTGGTGACCGCCTAAATTCTCAGAAAATCAGTCAGGGCCTGACTTGCCTCACTTACGACTCCGTATCTCGTTCTTTCATCAACTCCGATCACCGCTTTTCCGGGTACGACATGCATTACGTTCGTCAGCATCGGTCTCATCCGGATACCGGTGGTCTTCAACGGAGCTCCTATGCTGCCACGACACCTTGCAGCTTCTCCAGGATTGGACAGTATCCACGCGTTATGCCAGAGCCTTGGTTTTCGGTCCGTATAAGGTCAGATGGGATCTGCCGGTCTACGGTACTGGAAAGCACATTGTCTCGGGATTGGTCGGGCTTTTTGGCCGGATTGACATCTTGCATGCGGTCTCTCTCGGGCATGCTAGGTTGCATATAGCGATTCAGTTTCCCAGAGCAACAACGTCTTCAACCTCCTTGATTCCTTTCGTGACAGGAGCTGTGCGCAATCAGAATATGGGCGTGTGGATCGTCTGTTGTGCATGGTATGTTCCAAACCTGATCACTGGCTACACCGCGAAAAGCAATATGTTCTATACATAGGATCTACACCTTCTGGATCCCAAAGATCCTGGTCATTGAGCCCCATATGGAGAATTCCTTCCAAGGAACAAGCGACTTCGACGTCTGGGAAACCGGATTTGTATCCGTACGATGCCGTGGCGCTCTGTCCGCAAGGGAGGGCCTATTCCAGATTCATCGGGATTACGACTATCAACAAGGTCGAAGCGACGCCAAGGGGTCTAGACACGGTTGACATCATGACTGTCCGGCTCGATCATGACTCGTGAATCAACACCATCCGGTAGAATGGATGAGTCAAAACTTAGGAGAGCCGGGCTGTCAAGTGTCAGATCCCCGGAGACGGGACCAATGGGAAGCTCCCAACTTGCTTCCAGGCCCTTCATTGGTTATGATGGAGGCACAAGAAGCTTCCTTGGAATGAAGAAACTCAAGTTCAGCCGATCTTCTGCGGGGCGTCTGGCGGCGACATAGGTAGGAACAGAAAAATGTCTGCACTTACGCACACACCGACCTGTAGTAACGGATGGATGTACCCTAGCCAAGGTAGGATTCAAATTGTGTTATCGAAGAGCCGAGTAGCTGTTTCTAGAGGTAGCACATATCATCGCGTTTAACACGGTAGAGGAAATAGATTTGTCTGGTGTGGTTTCAGTGTTGTATTTCCAACTGATGCTCTTGGGGCCAAATCAGTCACTGTGATCAAAATATATAATCCTATTTAGATTGTTGTAACATTTCTGCTTCCATTTCTTCTCCATTATATAGAGGCAATTCAAAATATACAATCAGGTATCTGCAGATCTAACAGCGTTTTTGAAATAGCAATTGAACTAGTGCTGTAGCTAGTGTATTCTATCACAAGTTATTCGCATCTAGTCGATCTTGAGGTATGTATACAACAACGGTTACCAAACAATATTGCTGCGTCCTGGCGTTCTCGTCATCAGATACAATGCAGATATGGTATGGTGTTTCTATAAATTCTCTCTCTTTTTTATTTCTATTCTTCTCTTGCACATATGCAATGTAGTTAGAATTTAAAATCCAGCCCACCATGGTACCACGGCCAGTTGCCATATTCCCAAGGCATCAATCATACCAGGTGCTGATAAGGTCACGTGCACAGTCGATTTGCGACGATAACGGTGCAACATCTGCTCTCGATTGTCGGCCATTGCATCACTTACCCACCAGCCCTTCTTTGAACGAATTCCTAGGAAGATGGTGGTAAGCTCATTTTTGAAATAATCTCCCCAACCCCGATACATAGGATCTTTCATCCCAGGATGAGAGATTCCTAGCCTAGTCTGACAGAAATGACGACCCAACGATCAGGCCTTTGGCTCTCATTTTCGCTCCTACAACGTACTTCTGTCCTTCGCTCGATCGGCAATAGGCCGAACAGGGTACTCCAAACATGTCGCTTGTACAGCTCACAGACGGACACCACGGAACCAGGGGTCTATCGTCCCAATGCCAACCATGACCCCGAACTGTCGCACCTCAACCCCTCGGCCGACGACTATTCCCGATTCATCTTCCAGGATAAATGTCGCTCGATTATACACGCGGGATCCGGTGGCAACGGGTGCGTTTCGTTTCTTCGCGAAAAATACATCGAGGAGGGCCCACCGAATGGCGGCGACGGCGGCAGCGGCGGAAGTGTCTATATCCAGGCTGTCGAGGGTATGACCAGTCTGCATAAGCTGGCTCGACGGGGTATCATCAAGGCCAGTCGTGGCAGAAATGGACAGGGCAAGAGCAAAGGGGGAAAGCGGGGCCAGGATGTCCTGATACAGGTCCCTGTCGGGACTGTCGTGCGTGAGGTGGACCGGTACGACCCTGTGGCCGAGGAGGAAATCCGGCTGAAACAACGCAAGAAGGGCATGGACAGGGCGGATGAGCTCGACGAGATTGGGCTGCCCTCTGTACGGCATGACCGTTGGGTGCTCTACCCTGGTGCCAACCCGTCCGATTTTCTCACGACCGTGTTTCCCAAGAATCCGCCGCGACGACAGCACATTGCCTCATTGGAACCGAAAGCCCCCATCCACCTCGATCTCTCCCACCATATGGACAAGCCCATTTTGCTGGCTGCAGGCGGAGCCGGGGGGTTGGGCAATCCGCATTGGATTTCGCGTTCTATCACCCGGCCGAATTTTGCGTCGAGGGGCGAGGGTGGGAAGCGTCTTGAACTAGAATTCGAATTGAAACTGCTTGCGGACGTTGGATTGGTTGGCAAACCCAACGCTGGGAAAAGTACGCTGCTTCGCTCCTTGACCAATAGTCGCACGCGGATCGGAAATTGGGAATTCACTACCCTGTCGCCGAATATCGGCACGGTGGTGATCGACGATCACAAGGGACGACCACTGGTTGAAACCAAGGGCAAGGCCCCGCGGACCAATTTCACAATCGCAGACATTCCGGGTCTGATTGAAGGCGCCCATCTGGATCGCGGCCTGGGTCTGGGTTTCCTGCGTCACATTGAGCGGGCCGGCATCCTGGCCTTTGTGGTCGATCTCAGCGCCGGGGACCCCGTGGAGGGACTGCAGAATCTCTGGCGCGAGCTGGGAGAATACGAGCGAGTGCGCGACATGGAACCGGCCTCCCAAGAAGACGAGGAGGATCCCTTGGCCTGGGTCCCGCCAACTCGTGGCCTCCCCGAGCTCCATCTTGAGGAGCATCAGCCGCTCAACAGCACGAGCAATCTCCCCGAGCTTTCCCTGCCTCCTATTCACACGAAGCCGTGGTTCGTCGTGGCCACCAAAGCCGATCTCCCCAAGACGCAGGAGCAGTTCAAAAAGCTGCGCGCGTACCTCGGCTCTGTCGAGAAAGGCGAAGTCGAGCACCCAGGCGGTCACACAAACGGATGGAAGGAGAAGGTGTGCGCCGTTCCAGTCAGTGCCATGAGAGGCGAGGGCGTAAGCCAACTTCCTAAACTCGTCATGGAATTTCTGGATTGATTTGCAATGGCCGGTCCTTGGCGCCTGAAAAGGGGCCTGTTTTTGACCAAGGATTGCAAGGGGCTGTAATCGGCACTCGAAGTCTCTTGACGTCTTGTATAGCACCATGCTTTGTATTTATAAATAACCTGTCAGCAAGCCTTGTGCGGATTGAGGGAGCATTTGGCAAGCAGTGTATAATATTATGAATTGTTTGTTTATTCGAAGAGTGATTACATCAAGGTACTATAGCATTCTAGTAACAACGGGCTGAGGATATACCTAACATATTGCTGATCTATGCACTGAGATGCATCACTTTGAAGCGAATGTGATATGAATGTGAATATTAGAAGACAAGTTGCCCTCTTCTGTCATAAATAATGCAGACTTATGAAAATCAACATGTTGAACATAACAATACTTAGTAATGTTGACGTTGTGACGGAATTGTAGTTGTGAATCACATGAATCCCGCATGACGTCGTGAAGAGAAAAAATAGAAAAATAGTCAACAGAAACACCATGAATCACCCAACGTGAAGAACCGTGTCTCAACGTGATTTTTTTCGCTTATTACTACGTGATAGCATTTACGCCTTCGAGTATCCCTATTAGAGAGCTTATGCTCCATGCCCGCTTACCTATAAAATCATGGTTCTCCTCCCAGGGGTCATCGCCGTTGCGCTCTCCACTACCGCCGAACCGGCCTCTGACGACCCCATTCTGCAATGCCTCAACCACGAGATTGAAGCTCATCGGAACCTCGTGCTCAACTCGCCTGATAAGGCCCTTGAGATTGCTGACGCGAAATTACGCGTTTTCCCCTTCAAGGATGTCGAGATCTGTTGGCGACGGCTCTACACGGACGCGAGCATCGTCAAGGCTTGTCTTCAGATCTGCAGCAACTGTGGCTTGTTGAGCGAGAGGAACTCGAACTCTGATGGCGAGAAAGACCAGATTGTATGGCTGTCTCATCTGATCGAGGACCTTAATCGTATACAAGACGCCGGGGAAGGGATCAAGGTGGACTCGACCGCACCATGGCTCTCGCCGACGATACACATCCTCGATAAAGCCCTAATCATGACGGGCGCTCCTTTGCGTGAAACACTCATAGAATCTCTCCTCGATGCTCTACAGAGTGCGATCTTGTCTTCGAACACCGAAAATGCGGCCTCGGTGGACGACCCCGAAACCGTCGACGAAGCTGTACGCCCCGCTGCGAAGCGCCGAAAGACCTCCCCTCCTCTTTTCCCTCCAGACTCGATCCCTGCACCCCAGATAGAGCATCCTGTCACGCGTGTCTCTGCGCCATCCTTCAGCGCTATCGAACATCATATTCATTCGGTCCGAACGCCCCTGGTGATAACCGACGCGGTGGAACACTGGCCAGCGATTTCGACGCGTCCTTGGGCCTCGCGGGACTACTGGTTCGGACGCACCCTGGGCGGTCGACGGCTCGTGCCTGTGGAAATCGGCAGATCGTACACCGACGAGGGTTGGGGTCAGCGGATCATGGAGTTTGGCGAGTTTGTTGACCGATACATCTGGCGAGGGGACGACGCCAACGGGGGCGATGGCGATGACGACGGGCCCCAAACCGGCTATATGGCACAGCATGACCTGCTCTCCCAGATTCCTACCCTGCGTAAGGATATCTGCATCCCCGACTATTGTTACATCGATCCACCCAGCCCAGAACCCGGCACGCCGGTCTACCTGAAGAAGCGCCGCGAGCAGGAGAAACGGACCAAGGACATCGACTCCGAAGCCATGTCCACCACTTCAGACCATGAACGTCACGAAAACGACAGTGCATCACACCACTCCTCAGACATGGGCCTCCCTAGCGAACCGATCATCAATACTTGGATCGGTCCGTCGTGGACTATATCCCCTCTTCATCATGATCCGTACCACAACATCCTCGTGCAGGTCGCGGGAACCAAATACATCCGTCTCTACTCCCCACACACTCCAGCCTCGCAGATCCATCCCAAGGGAATGGAATCCGTCAACGAGACCTCGTCGCCAGAGGTCAGAAACGACCACTCGAACCCGACTCACCACGGAGAAAAGGGCCCCGATCAGCAACCGCAGCTGATTGACATGTCCAATACCTCCCAGGTCGATCTTGCGGCGATTGAGCTCTCTCCTGCCGAATCCGAGCAGTGGGACGCCATGTGGCCGGGTTTCCTACAGGCGGAATACGTCGAGACCGTGCTGAGGGAGGGCGAAAGTCTTTATATCCCCGTGGGGTGGTGGCATTACGTTCGGGGCTTGAAGGCTGGTGTCAGCGTGAGTTTTTGGTGGGGGTAGGTGGTCTTAAGCCTCCCTTTTCTATTTTATCTTTTTCTGATTGCTGTCTTGATCTCTGTCGAGACTTCAGCAAGAGCTGCTCTATTCTTTGTTACTTCCACTTTTTCTTATGAGATGATGATTAATACAATACCCCTGGATTAGTAGATTGAGACTTTTTTTTTCTTTTTCTTTTACCTTGATACTAGTTTAAGGTAGGCACTAGTTCCTCGAAGCGTACGGGTTAATGTTTAGACAATAAGTACAAAGAGTCATCAGGCATACATCAAATGCAACAAAAGGTCAAGCCTTCCTCACCAACACCAACGGCTTCCCAGCCTCGATTGAATCCCCCGGCTGCACCAGGACCTTCTCGACCGAAGCACCCACAACCTCCGGCTCCGCCCTCACCGCGATCTCCAGCTTCATCGCCTCCAGCACCACCACGAGATGATTCTCCCCAAGCTTCTCCCCCTGCTTCACCTCCACCTTCCACACATTCGCATTCAACGGCGCATCCACAGCCATCACATCCGGATCCTTGAGCAAACTCTCCACCTCGTCCACCGGCACACCCTTCTCCGCTTTCTCCCTCGCCCACCGCTCCAATAGCTCGTTCTCTAGTTGATCCATCTCCGTCTGCGCCTGGCGCTGTCTCGCGCGGATCGCGGTAACCTCATCCCTCGTCTCGTCTAGCAGCTTATTATGCTCCGCCATATCAAACACCACCTCCTCCCACTCATACTCATACCGCCCGCTATTAAACCGCGCAAGAAACCGCTCATACTCATCCTCCTCGACGCGATAGAACGTGATCTGATCGAACTCCTCAAACAGCCACGGCCTACTCGCCGTATACCCGCGCTTCGAGCCCAGGATGTCCACCCCCGGAATCGTCATCCCCGTCATTTGATACCCGCCGGGTGAATCGACATTATACAGCGCCATGCAGCTGCCGCCCCACGAGACCGAGCCTGCGGGCGTGTATACCCGACTCGGGTTCATTTTGGGACAGTTCATCCGCTGCCGGGGGTCGACGGGTAAGGCGAGCGGGAGGGCAGTGAAGAATCCGACGGAGACGACCATGAGGTGCGCGGTGAGGTAGATGTTTTCGAACTCGGACTTCGTGAAGGCGTTGTTCTTTGCGACGAAGGACATGTTGTCGGGGAGGTAGGAGGCGTAGGGACGTTGGGTTTCTATGTAGCGGGTTAGGGCGTCTTTTTGGCGCTGGCTTTCGAAGGTTAAGGGCAGTTTGAAGAGGCGGCTGGGCATTTTGGCGCGGCGGAGGTCGCCGAGTTGCGTTTCTAGGCTGGTGAGGTAGGTGAGGAGGGTGGCTTGGGGGATTTTGGTGCCGTCGTAGTAGAGCATTAGGGCTGTTTGGGGGGGTGGTTAGTTTGGGATTGGAGGGATGGTAGCTTTGGGTGGGAGGGAGACGTCTTACAGTTGCCACATCCAACCATTGAGATTAGTCCGGTAGAGAATGTTATGTCTCCCTTGGCTTCGGTGAGCATCTTCTTGAGAGACGTCACTCTGCAGCGGTGGTTCAGGTCGAAAGAGCCATGGCCGTAGTCAATCAACATATAGTCATCTCCTGCCTGTAGGAGACTTGTCAGTCCTGTGTGATTTGGTTTGACTCTGTAGGTGGGACGTACCTGTCGATATGATACCAGTGGCTGGCTTCCCTTCTCTTGGATCTGGTGAACCAGACCAGACCCGCGAGTCTCGGTGGTCAATACTGGAGGGAGGCGATCAGTCACTGGCTTGATGCCGCTTAGGTTGCCATTACGACAACCCTCCTCGATTTGAGAGATAAACTTTTCCCTTTCCTTGCGAGCTGCGACGGCATCTGCCAGCGAAACCGCTCTATATTTCAAGGTATCACCGGCTTTGACCTGACCGAGCTTCCAAAGGTCGGCTTTCACAATCGTATGGCTAGTGATGAAGCCACCGAAATCCGGGCCATCTTGAGGGAAGATGACGGGGTCGTCGCCCGTCCAGTTAAGAGACCCTATCGCATAGCCATATTCAATCAAATTGGACGGATGAGCACCACCTTCGCCTCCATCAGAACGGGCCCATTTGGGTTTGGGTCCAATCAGGCGAATTCCACCGCGGGCCGCATTGTGAGATATTTTCCAGTCCGTTTCATAGAGCATATCGATGCTTTCCGGGGCGAGATAGCCCTCGTCGTAAGGCCCCGGCATGGCCATGATTTCCCAGCTATCGGGGTACATGGGAATAAGGGCCTCCGGTATCGAAAGCTCACCCTGGACTTCTGGAACCTGACTAGTAATGGACAGAAGATCACCCGGCGCAAGCTGCCGACCCTGGTAGCCTCCCACGCCAACCATTGGCGACGTGGACTTCGATCCAAACCACTCGGCAACGTTCAGGAATCCCCCGTATATGGCGAGGTAGGCTCTGCAGCCATTTCCGGTGGTCTTTCCGATTTTCAAGCGCTGTCCCGCAGCTACCTGAATTCTTGACCACATGCGGATAGGCTTGTCGTCGAGTTTGGCTTCAACTGACGCACCGCAGATAGAAACTATCGATGGCCCTAGGAACCGCAACTCCGGTCCACTCAGTGTGATTTCCAGCGCCTCGACGCCGGCCGAGTTGCCTACAAGGGCGTTTGCAATGCGGAATGCGAAAGGGTCCATTGGCCCGGAATGGCAGAAGCCTCGTCCTAAGGTCGGACGACCAGGCCAATCTTCGATCAGAGTGTAGGCACCGCCGGAGATAACATCGATAGCTGACAGATTATACTCGAACGATTCCAAGAACTTGGTCAGCGTGTTTCCAGCAACGAATTTCTCGGCAGCAAGTATCTCGGCCAGAAACTCTAGGTTTGTGGGAGGGCCGCAGATGCGTGATTCAAGTAGTATTTGCCTCATGCCCTCGATGGCCTGTTGCCGGTCGGGTGCATGGAACATGACTTTTGCAAGCAGTGGATCTGGTCATGCTGTTAGTGTGGCTCTTCGATATGGTTTGATGGTTTCATGGCAAACGCACCATAGTTGGCCGATATCTTCACCCCTCTGTAGACCCACGTATCTATTCTAGAACCGGGAAGCTCTTTCCATTCAACGCTCTGCAAGGTTCCAGGGCACGGGACAAAATCTCTGACTGGGTTCTCGGCATAGACTCTGGCTTCGATGGCTGCGCCTGACGGGGTATCAACGGGAATTCCGGCAAGGAAGGTTGCCTCTACGCCTCTGTTGCCCGAAAGCTGAGCATCTGCCTGTTTCAACATGAGCTCCACGAGGTCAACTCCATAGCAAAGTTCTGTAATTCCATGCTCGACCTGCAGACGAGTGTTCATTTCGAGAAAGAAGAACGAGCCTGTTTCGTCATCCACGAGATACTCCACAGTACCGGCCGAGCCATATTTGATTGACTCCGCTAGGCTGACCGCAGCATCACACAGCTTTTGCCTAAGGCCCGGGTTTCTCGTCACGAAGGGACTCGGACATTCTTCAATGACTTTCTGGTGACGTCTCTGAATTGAACATTCGCGCTCACCAATGGCAATGGCCTTGCCGTTGCCGTTACCGAAGACCTGGACTTCGATGTGATGGCTCGAGGGGTAATAACGCTCAATGAACATCCCGGCATTCTTGAATAGGGCCTCCCCTCGAGACCTGACGGTAGCAAAGGATTCGCGAACTTCTTTCTCGGTGTTACACGTCAGCAAACCCATTCCACCTCCGCCAGCCGTAGCCTTCAGCATGACCTGGGATGCAGTTAGCCTTGTCGATGCACATATACCGCGATCGCACACTCTACCGGAAATCCCAGATTCTTCGAAATCGCTACCGCTTCATCCTCACTCGTCACCAGACCCTGTGAGCCGGGTACAATGGGGACGCCGGCTTTTGTGGCAAGATCTCGTGCAGTGTGCTTCAGACCGAAAGCCTCGATGCTCTCCGGCGAAGGGCCAGCGAAAACCATGCCAGCGGCATCCACAGCTCTAGCAAAGTCTGCATTTTCCGACAGGAATCCGTAGCCTGGAATAATCGCGTCTACATGGTTTTGCTTGGCGATCTCAATGATTTGGTCACTGGCTAGGGTCAGCTATGACATCAGATCCGGATCGATGAAACCTACCCGTCAATGTACGCCTTTGAGGGTGACCCGGAGAGGAGAAATGCCTCGTCGGCCAGGTGAACATGAGTAGAAGCTGCGTCTGGCTCGGTATAGACAGCAATGGTCCGAATATCCAACTTCCTGATGCTGGCGGTTAGCGGTTGTCGAACCCGGTCGCTGCCGGAGAGGAAGATCAAGATAGAACCAAAGGCTCCCTTACTTGGCTGTTTTCAAGATTCTCACCGCGATTTCACCACGGTTGGCGATCAATAATGTCCTCAAGGCACCCATCGTGAACGATTGACGCAACGAGGGGCAGTGCCATGTGCCTCAACAGATCGGACGGTCAAGCCCGTTAAATAGAGGATAGATGCCATTGCCTCGTCTGGCATGATACAAACTCTCGGTGGTAGGATCCAATGACGGAGCGTTCCCTTCACAGCAGCAGTACGAATCAGGCGTGGACGATAAGTCGGTTCGGCAGCTTCAGGTTGGAGTTGCACGCGGGGGGATCTGCAGTTGGAGACTTTGGAGTCGCGGGCGGAGTCGATAAGAATCACCACCCCTCCTTCGACTGCTTCACGAGGTTGATTCACCCACACTATTTATTTCTTCACATTTGACTGAAGTATCTTCCTGCTCTTCTTCATTCTCGATCGATTGCATTCCATATTAGTTTACTTTGGATTCGACGCAATTGAAGAGAACCATAATGGCGCCGATACAGCAGAAAGCATTGCTCAACTGCGACATGGGAGAAGCCGTAAGCATTCCCTGCTCTTTATCTCTGCTTTTTTCTCTCTTCTCTGCCTCTGGATAAAAGACATCCTGATACCTCCTCAGGTCGACTAACGCCTTCACAGTACGGCAACTGGACATGTGGCCCCGACCTAGAACTCCTCCCCATGATCGACATCGCCAACATCGCATGTGGGTTCCACGGTGGCGATCCTTTGATCATGATGGAGACCGTCCGGAACTGTAAAGCCCACAACGTCCGAATGGGGGCCCATCCCGGACTACCGGATCTCCAAGGGTTCGGGCGACGGGAGATGAAACTCTCGCCGGAGGAGCTCACCGCGATGACCATCTACCAGGTGGGCGCTCTCCAGGGCTTCCTGGACCGCGAGGCCGTGCCTCTCCACCACGTCAAACCCCACGGGGTGTTGTACGGCATGATGTGTCGCGACTACGAGGTGGCCAAGGCGGTGATGCTGGGGATTCCCAAGGGTGTGCCGGTGTTCGGACTGGCCGGAACACAAATGGAAAAGGCGGCGACGGACCTGGGAATCGAGTTCTGGGCGGAACTATACGGTGACGTCAAGTATGATTCGAAGGGTATGCTGGTGATTGACCGGAAGAAGAAACCTTGGGACCTTGGGGAGCTGGAAAAACACGTGCGACAGCAGATCGAGGAGCAATCGGTGACTGCAACCGATGGTAGCACGGTGCAGCTGCCTTTGAAGAAGTATCCTCTGTCCATCTGTTGTCACTCTGATTCTCCCGGTTGTGTCGATATCATCACCACGACAAGACGGGTGGCGGATGAGTTCAACCAGAAGCATGGAAAATGAACGATTTCCTGAACATGGCCTTGTAAATATGCGAATAAAAAAAACACTCATCTAACCTGCAAGTCAATCCCGATAATGTAGAGTAACTATTTATGACCGGCTCATATATGAATGACGTCATCTATCGTTCTGATCAGTCTGTTTTCCAGTAATACGATTGTTTCGAAGCCCTAGACAAACAATAGCCCCATTTTCCATTGGTCTCCCTTCTGGAGTGTCCCGCATTCCTTTCTTCTGAAACGCCTTTTCATCGACTTACCCTCTCATAAGATCCTGCAACATCAAGCTTCAAGTAATGCCATGGTGATCTGGGTTTGGGGAGGAACGAAATCAGCTGACTGTTTCCTGCCGACAGATCTCGACAGGTTGTGATCTTTTCCCGGTGAACTGGGGCTTGCGGTTCGCATCCAGAGGCTAATCGGCAGTTGTTCCCTCTCTTTGGAGAAGGTAAGGGCCAAGAGCTGCAAGTGATACTGGGCCCATTTAAACAATTTTGCATCGTGTTTGTCCATTTCTCGGGCTCTGCTCATTACATTCTTAGATTCGTCGAGTCACCAGACGAGGAGCCCGGGCGGTAATCACTGGTTTGACTATCACGCTTATTACCCCCCCCTCGTCCTTTTGTTGGTCTGTCCTTCATCTTCAGAGCTGAGATTTTCCGATGGGATTCGAGGTCGACGTCGTTTCAGAATGCCAGGCTCTATCCGATGAACAATCCCTGCCTGTTGGGTCTGCGCCCGCTGCCTGGATTCAGCGCCTGCGAGAAAATCGCAAAGCTGTCGAGACGAAATGCGTATATCTTGATCTATGTTGCCATAGCTTTGCCATAGCTCTTTTGGTGCAAATTCTCGCAGAGGAATATGCAAGGTCACCCCTTCAACAGGGGATCCATCGTCTTTTCGAAAGGCCTATGCCGATTTAAGCTTCTTGCTTGTGCTTACCGGGGAGAAGACATACCTCGGCTTCTATCACAGCCTTTGCGCGGAGCTCCTTTGCGCCATCCACGCAAGAAATTTCCGGCTGCCAGACCGTAAAGCTTGCTATCTGTGAGCCCGGATAATCAATATCCAAGGCAATGACCATATTGATACGCCCATCTGTGTTAAGTATATAATCATCTGCCAGATAAGAGACGCTTTTGCTCTTCTGCGAATAGCAAACCTCGAGGACAACACCAGGGTAGCATGCTTGATCATGCCCAAAAGATATATCTGGTTCCCGTCTGGTGAATGCTTGCTCCCCATTATTTGCTTCTTCAGGCAAAAGGATTCGTGATGAGCCAAAGTGATCTAGTCCGAGAGCGAACTTTCCGACAGGGCCACTTTTTCGTTGAAATTGCCTGATTTGTTGCAATATATTATTCGCTACCTTTGTGGGAAAAACTTCATGTAAGGGATATGGTACTCGGACTATGAAGTGATGATGACGGATGTCGTAGTCGTATCTAAGACAGATGTTTAGGGAGTGTTTGTTTTTCTGGTAGGAAACCATGGCGTGCTCACCGCACCTTGTCCTCCACGTAATTGTTGAGAGATTTATCAGCCCTCAGAATATCTAGTACTTGTTCGTAAGTTTGTGGTCTAAGTCGAACCTCCCACCATGGGCTCAGCTGATGATGTGAGCGATGAAGTTGTAGCTGTTTGATGACGCGTTGGGCGTTCATTGATAGGGGCTTCTCTGTGGTTGGCGGCGGCGTAAGAGGAGACTCCCAGGTGGTCTGATACCGGCTGCCATGGGATAATTGCTTAAGCCAGACGCGGAGGTTTGGCTACTTTATCCTTAAGTTGAGGATGCCGCGCCGGTTAATTGGGATGTTGCTTAGAGGTCCGTGAGCAGGTGTCATGTGAATTGAAGCATCATCCCTTGCCGGCGTATGATGGGACAGCCTTGTATTTGAATCAACAAAGGCCGGTCTATTGTCAAAGCTCCGGCATTGTTGGCAAAAGAAAGCTTTCTCCGAGAGTGATAAAGCATAAGCCTGACACAGGTTACAACAACAATCCGATATGGTGTAATGGTTAACATCGCCGTCTCTCACACGGCAGCTCGGGGTTCGATTCCCCGTATCGGAAATATCAAGTCCATTTCTTTTTTCTTTTTAGGCGCTTCTGAGGCCACTCATCACCAGCACCACTTCACTTTTTGTCCCGCTGAGTTATGGTTCGTGATCTACTAGAGTTTGGGTTCCTTTACCAACCGCCGTTTGCACGTGCCATATATGCCGAACCAGATACCGCATCCTTCTTTTTACCCAAACCAAAAAGCCATAGATAGTTTCCAGGCTCAATTCTCACTCTGGCGTCTGCTGATAAGATACAATTGACCAATCTAGAATCTCATACAGATCGAACCATCAACATCATTATTAACTGCAATGGCAACAAAGTGTTTGCAACGGCCCCCATTAAATGCGGGTACGGAGAAAGCTAGGCTTGCGACTTGCGACCATTATAATCCCTGGCAGAATGTCCTTTTAAGAAAAGATTAACTTCCAGGCAAGAGGATTCTGCTCCACTCTCTAAATATATTAATGCATGGGGAGGAAGCCGCCAACTCCGCGCACTGATTAAATGGTGCGATGGTTGTAGCGGCACGTCATCGCGGTCCCTTCGAGGGATCAATGAAACAGGGTCTGGTGCCCTCGTATTCCGTAGTGCGTCCGGAGCACAAATACACCCACACCATACTGTTGGTGATATACGAACTCGAAAGGGATTGATAAGCTCCGATATCGTTGTTCTAACGATGTGATTCATCCCTTCCCCATGCGGTTAGGGTGGGCGTGGTCTTCCATGCCCCGCACGGACCAGACTATCCGGATTAGGCATGGCGCTGTCATTGGAAGGGCGCGCAGCCAACGTGACCGACTCCATTCCTCGCCTTTTTCCCCTCCCACGAACGAACCAGAAGCCTTGCCGCGTTCCGTGGTTGACTGAAGGGGACGAATGGAAGATTTGACCCCCCTGCAATGGGAATGCTTCCTGAGTACGGAGTAAGTGGACACTTTGTTGGTCCTGCCTGGCCCTAACAGGACGAATGCTGGCTCCACGACCTTGGTGGAAGGTGCTAGCAGTCCGCTGGACGGACTGCATAGCCCATGCGCCAGTTCGGCTTGCTTTTGATACCCCAGACGAAAAAACATACCCTTTTCTTCGAGCTGACATGCTCATCCATCCTTCACTCCTCCACTCCCCTCTTGTGCTGTGTAAATAATTCTTCTCGTTATTATTGTCTCACTTCATTTCTTGATTGATGCTGCCCTGACTACAATTGTCGTCTTCTTGATCTGTTTGGGCAGGAACGTACGCTCGTCTCCGAACTAAATCGGAGTACCCACGTGCCAATGGAGTACTTCGACTTCGACGAGGCCTCGTTTGGTTCCCATTTGAGGGACGACGATGTGGCTTCCGACGCGATCGAGCTGGACGAGCACGACGCCGTCGCAAACTTCGACTCCCTTGCTCTAGAACAAGACCTGGAATTTCCTCATGACCCCCAAGAGCCGACCCAGAACGTCGCAAAACCACCCGCGCAAGATGCGCCCGACGCTGCGGCTCTGGATGGCATCTACCCCATGTCTCCCGCCAAAGAGCCCTGCGACTTCTGCCGAAACATGGGTCTGGATTGCTTCGTTGCGAAGAGGGGTGTCATGATGCAAAATGGCTGTACCTGCTGCATTTCCCTCTATCGGAAGTGCAGCTTCACTCATGCCAAGAAACCCGGCAAGTTTCTGGACACATTAGACCCGATCAACGAGAATATCGATATCCCGACGGGTGGTTTAACTGGAATTAAGGTGCTCAAATCGGTGACTGGAATCGGGTTCCCTGAAGACACCGACTCCCGGGGAAGGAAGAGCACTTCTCGGCTTTCACGGGACGCGGTTCGAGTTCTGAAGACGTGGCTCCAAGACCATAGCGACCATCCCTACCCCAATGACCGCGAGAAAGATGAATTGAAGCAACGCACAGGGCTGAAGCGTACTCAAATCTGCAATTGGCTTGCCAACGCTAGACGGCGTGGAAAAGTTCGACCGCCCCCGCGCAGCAGCTCTCCCGTTCCCGGAGCCGTGGATATCCCCGGACAGTCACCTTTGGACCTCACACTTATGACTCCCCTGGAACGTTGGAAGCACTCTCCCCCCGAAAACGAACCTGCTACCAAGACGGATATTTTGCGTGCCCTGGTCAACACGTCGCTGGACTCTGTCCGGCACCGATCGTCCCAGTCGGGTCACGTGCCTTACCCTTCTCGGAAGGCTGGGTCTAGCAATGACTCAAGCCATGCCAATTCTAATATGTTTCATACCCCATCCATCAGCAGTCGAGAAACAAGCCGTTCTGCAAGTCGTTCATCTGTATCTGACCTATCCTTTGCGTCTGCCTTTTCCCATCGCTCCTCCCTTGGGTCATTTGGCTCAATGGATCGAAAAGAGCGCCGTCGTCGTCGCAAACCCTCTCCGTCGGTGAATACCCTCAATCAACAGAAAGCCCGAAGTGGTCGTGTCTTTCAATGTACCTTCTGCGCCGACTCCTTCCAAACAAAGTATGACTGGCAGCGGCATGAAAAGTCGCTGCACTTAGCCCTCGAGAAATGGACCTGCTCGCCCTTTGGAGGCGTGGCTTTTATAGATGGAGCCAATCGTTGTGTCTTCTGTATGGCAACCAACCCAGACAATGATCATCTAGAATCGCACAACTACAGTTCCTGCCAGGAGAAGACCCCCGCGGAGCGGACCTTCTACCGAAAGGATCATCTCAACCAGCACCTGAGATTGATGCATAACGTTAAATTCCACTCCTCCATGGACACCTGGCGAAGTAATACTTGCGAAATTCGATCTCGATGCGGTTTTTGTGGAACAATTCTTACCACTTGGAAAGGCCGAACCGATCATCTAGCCGCACACTTCAAAAATGGTGCCGACATGACCCAATGGCAAGGTGACTGGGGTTTCGACCCGCTCGTGCAGAGCCTGGTCGAAAACGCCATGCCACCTTATCTAAATGGCGAAGAACGATATACTTTAGATCCTTACACGACCTCACATATCAAAGGACGCCCGGCACAGGATCTCAATGTACCGACCGATGCCAATTGCTTCCAACGACTTCAACGCGAACTCACGGCATACGTTGATAGCCAGAGGGCTTCGGGCGTCATACCAACAGATCTGATGCTGCAGGATGAAGCGCGTCGTATCGTTTATGGTACCGATGACCGCTGGAATCAGACATGCGCCGATAACCCTGTATGGCTTAGCATTCTCAAGCGCGACACCGGCATCGATATCGTTCCCGGCTCAGATCACATCCAATTCGCAAATCTGGGCATGCGGCCCCCCTTCGCGGCGCATGGGGGTTTAACTCAAGCTCCACTAGAGACCAACTTATCGGCAAGATCCCTGCGTTACCAACGACCTTTTAGCCCAGGCAATCTTGGATCTGGCTTCCAGAGCCCAGCATTACTGGGGACTGGCCAATCTTCAGTCGCCGCAAGTATCCCGGGAAGTTCGGCTAATAGCTATGCCGGCAGTGCTGGGATGATGCCTCCCCCTACACACTCTGGGCTATCCACCGACTGGGGAAGCAGTTTCTCTGCTGGACCTTCATCCTTTTCGACAGCTTTGAGTGGGTCATCTGACCCATTCATACAAATGGGATTCGACCCGGAATTCCTCCAACGATTGAATGAAAACTATGACGAACTTGATTTGGAAGATCTGCAAGAGTTAGACTATGAGGGAGGCAGAGGAAATGGGGGTGGATTTGATCCAGGAGAACTAGGAACCATGCCATCTGCTAATCTTGCGTCTGCGCCAATTGCCATCCCCAGTCCTCCGAAACAACCCGATTCTTTGATGACGGATGCCGCCCCGCTTGAAGAATTGGGACTTTCCCAGGGAGTTCAGTATCCTGGTAGGAGTGGAGTCTGAAGTATCAGCCAAGGCTGGAACTGTTTGACAATCGAGAAAGTACAGGGGGACGCTAATGAGGTCGATGAAAAAAAGTCACATTCAGTATGAGCGTGACACGAGCGTCTGGCATCGAATGACCCGTTGGCTGCTTTTATACCTGACAACGTAATTTTGTAGTTAGTCATTTGCAATGCAATTCTAAACAATCGTGATCTTTCGGAGGGCGTGCAAGCCGGAGTGTTGATAGGCCGAGCGGTTAAGATAAGACAAGGAAGGCACGTGGGGCTCGTCATGGGCTGACATGTGATTGTCGGCCGTTTTCTGTCTTCTGCTCTAGACTTTTTTCTTATTCCTTTTCTTTTCTTCGTCTTTGCGCCCCGGCGTTCATTTACCACTTTCTCTGATCTGCAACAGCAGCGGCCTTTATCTTCAATTAGTTATGGCCGCACATGTCACTGCATACTCACTATTCTACCATGGCTAATTGTCCATGAGCATTCGTTAAGTTTTACTACTCTAATCCAGCAACCTCCTGCGTCAGAAATACGCATTACCGCCGTGATCCAACGGAACCCCTCACTGCTCTCTCTTATCATTCGCACCGATAGAAGAAATGGACAAACGCAAGAACTGGGGCGACATCAATGTCCACCTACCTGGACTGACACTTCTTCTACCTGTTATCTCGGCGTCTATCAAGCATCACATACCCCGTCTATATCATTCGACCGACCAGTCAGTCGAACCGAATGATTATCCGCACGCACTACGTACCCAAGTCGCTTCGCAAGAAGTTGAGAGCCGGCCACTCTCGTCGGGCTCTTTTGAGTCAGACTTGGAAACCGTTTTCTCTGACGCCCAGCGTCCCACAAGCTCTAGCAGTACCAGTACTAGTCAAGAGTCAGAATTATTCACCGAGCGCATGATGAATAATAATGATGTCTTCATTTCGAATGAGGTCAGCAATAGAGGCGTCGTGGATCCCACCAAGTCCAAGTACGAGGCGGCCTCTGGGTTACGGTGGGGTCGAGTAGTCCCAGGTATGTTGTACTATCGAAGATTTTCATGTCTGGCAGACGCCTCGATCGACACAAAAAAGGATAACACTGGTGCGTAGCGCTTGGCTTCCTACAGAATGCATGCTATGAAGCTCAACAACCAACCTGTGACGATCGCCTAGTGCGGTCTATGTACATAAGTGCTTTGGGCTACCTTCTCGATGCCATCCCCAAAGATCTGACCCCTGAGGAGTCTGACAGAATCAGGCGCAATTTACCCGTCAAGATCAAAGCGTCCATCCCGACCACAGTGGATCTCGCTCCTTGCGCAACATGCGGTCCAAACCAACAAGCAAACGTCAACATCCCCAGAAGATCATATCTCCATCGTCTACTAGCCTCCGCTATTCTTCAACTTTTCATCATCTTACACTTCCTCATGCCTTACATCAAGATCATGATACGGAAGATATACCAGTTTGAAAGGTCCCATCATATTACGGAGAGGACGATTGCGGCAACTGCTAGCGCTGCGGACAGCTTGACCAAGAATGGACTCAACGTGGGCTTCGACATATTAAGCATGCGAGAAGGACAGATGGGTATAGCAGCGTCGAACCTGTTGGCGTGGTGGATAGAAGGCATTGCCGGAGGCATTTGCGAAGGCGTTGGCGAAGGCATGACGGTTTTGGGCATTGTTCGACCAAACCAGGAACTGGAACGGGCATCTGGTCAATTCTGAGCGGAAAGAATCTCTTGCTTTGCTTGAGCTATAATCACTTGCAACTTTAGATTGGTGATCTATTAGCATAGAGCGTAGGTGTTGGTTTTGTTTTGGCGCATCGTAGCGTATGGTTAGAGAGCGGTTTTAATGAATCAACGACTATCACTATTCTGAGCTATTCCTTTGCGCTGCAGACTAATTCTCGAGTAAGAATTCTCTGTGCGTAGATGTGTCCAGCATTCCAAAATCCCATCTTCTTCGATGGCTTAGTCATATCACTCGGAGATAACGGACTTGCCAGAGACCGAACAGGACTAGCTCGGCTTGGACTGGCTGGACTCTCCGTTCTCTCGACGCGCGACTTGGAGACTCGACACATCAGACGGACTACTCACGGTCCATTGTCTCCTCGCACAATGTCGACATCGCGACTGCCCAGAATTGCCGCTCTCCGCAAGCATCAGCTTTACTTGGAATTGTGAGTTCAGCTGCCTGGTTCCCCCTTTTCACCGGAAATGCTTTGCTGATCGCTCCGAGTACAGCTCAAGTCTAAAGCATGCGGCCCCTCCTGGCACATATGTGAGCATCGCCCCGAATGACCCTACTCTGTGGATCGGAGTAATCTTTGTACGGTCCGGTATGTTTGTTCCGCTCTAGAGAGTGCCCGATTGAGTCCTTTGAAGTTGGCAAAAAGCTGATCACGCCGTCCGGTCTCTTCAGGTCCCTATGCCAGCGCCGTCCTCCGCTTTCAGATTCGTTTCCCTTCCTCATATCCCGACCTTCCACCTCTTGTCACCTTCGCGACCGATGTTTTCCATCCACTCATTGTCCCTCTTACCACGTATACTTTCAGCACCAATGCGTCGAGCGAAGATCCCGTGAGCGCGACGGACGAAGAGCGACTACCCCCGGGCGGGTTCAGTCTCCGTCATGGATTTCCCCACTGGTTTGGTCGAGAAAAGCGCAACGGTACCGGCTCAAACGCTTCATTGGGGACGGGCAGCGTGCACGGCTCGACTGCCGAAGGAGAAACAACGGATGCAGTCAGCAAGGATGGCTCTGTCCATGAAAACGTGGACCCCTCTGCGAAACCACAACCCGAAGGCGAAGGCGACAGAACTACCGGCGAGAAAGTCGATACTTCGTCTGTATTTCAGCAGGATGACAAGGTGCAATCTGTCCCGGTATCGCTCCTATTAGATTACATTCGCTCCACGTTTGATGACGAGACCGTGCTCGACTCTTTACCGTTGGAGGCTGCTGGTAACCCGAGCGCTTGGCATGCATGGAAAGCCCATCGAAAGGACAGCGGCAACTCCAGCCTGGGTTATAATGCCAAACGCGGGAGTCCGCAGACACGACTCCCCGGCGACTGGCACTGGGATGGAATTTGGGCCAAGCGGGTACAACACGAGATTGAGGCTAGTCATTCGGAATCGACGCTATTTGGCAGCGCTGCTCGAGGAGGGACTGAAGATACGGTATGCTTTGCAATGCAACTCGAGACCAACTAACAAGCTAATTGAAAATTGCAGATCCGGTTTTCCAGATTAGACGATGCCACGTTGACATCAGTCAAGAATATGATCATTCCAGTAGTGGAGGAGGCACATGAGTAAATCGGATTCATTGTTTATCATTATACCCAATACCGCTGGTCAGTCGATTCAATGTCACATTTAATGACCTTATTATCAATTCAACCTCGTCTTTGTTATGATCTCGATGTGCAGCATCGTCTACGCTTGGTGGATGACCGGCCGCGGTTGTTCCTTCCCCCCGGAACCTAATACCTGTCGTCAGAATGGCGACTCAATAGCCGCATGGAAAGACCGACGGCTCTACATCCTCCCCACTATCTCATTCGAGGGCCCAAAAAACATTATCTTTACCAATTCTTACATGCCCGACCACTCCCAGTGCCTTGTATCCCCAAGCAAACATGTCTAAAGCCGTGTATAATAAGTACAAGACGTCGATCATTGTGCTCGCACTGGTCCTTGTTCCGATTTTCGTCATCGGCTGCGCCTTCGCTGCTGCTCTGGCCTGCTCGGAATTCTGGAGTTCCGACCGTCCTGCTGGTTGCACCTCCTGGGTCAGATCGCATGTGAGACGTCGCAGAAGACGTCCTGATCCTTCGCCGGCCCCGTCTCCTGTGTCTACTGGCTCCTCTCAAGTCTCTTCTGTTTACCACGATCCCGTTCAAAGTACGGAGACTGTTTGAAGGAAGCGCTTCTTGGCTTTGTCTCGCGAAGAGGCCCTGCGAGTGGCTTCTTTGGCTGCTGTGTGCAAGAGTACCGATACTTTGGATAGGTTAGTTGACATGGACATTTGATACGCGGTATGAATCACTCGCTGATGCTCGAGAACAAGCTTGACGACAGAGTTCACTATATGATCAATTTTCAAGGCATAGTGCGAGGATACCCTGGGGCTTCAACGGATGGCGGAGCTCTCATTGTCGAGAATAACCGAGAAACATCCAGTTGGCTTCGTTGGCTCGCGAAGTACCGGCCCGATTATTTGGTTTTGGCGTGCAAGATATAGAGGATTGGCTATTATAAGATCTCTGGTTTGGAGTCACTTCGCGGAGACGAGTTCTTCCTATGTTGTCGAGGTGCAATTCTGAGGATAGTCAGCGTCAGCGTGACATACAGCGCCAGAGGACATCGGAAATGACATACAAAGAAAAAGCTAGATGGGACGCAATGTATCGATCTGGAGGTTCGAATACTGCCTCGGTGGGCACTTCGACTTACGCCTTACCCGGGTTATAGCAAATGCGAGTCGCCTTTACCTCTGAGCACCTATCCTTTCTTCTGTGCGGCTTCTGTTATCGATGCTGCTACAGATAGAAAATTGAGAAGCTAAAAGTGTTGTATCTGGTGCTATTCTAAGAAATTCTAAGCCTGGGAATGAATGTTGGAGTTTCGGCGGCGGCTCGGCTGGTTATGTCTAGCACGGAGCTTAGGTCAACCAGGCCACATGTATATAGTCAAGTTCGCCTCTCTGAGTCAAATTACCAAGCATTTCCATGCCGATAACTTCGTCTATATAATCTTACCTTTGGATTGTAAACAAATTGTGGGACTTGAAACGCATTAATATCCGCTTGGCAACTTACGTACCCTAGCTACTGTTGCTAACTACCCTAAGAGCTCCTCTGTCGCCAACAACGTTCTTCAATGAACATGGCAATTATAAATACTCCTCTAGGTAGAGACATGACGATCTTGATGATGAGCAAGAGCTGCCCCGGCTACACTTGGGGCATCCTTATCATACCAGACCTTGAATTACTCGAGAGTTTGTGAACCGCTCTGCAAACCGCAGTTGTATTTTGAGACCTTGCATGCATTTATGCCCAACACTATAGTTTGTTCAGGCGAAGACAGAAGAACGTTGCCGCAATCAATCGTAGTCGTCTCCAAGATGCTACAAGTAATGGCAGAGCCCATCTCACTAAGAAGCCTGATCACAATTCCCGTATGACCCTAATGTGTATAGATAGACTAGTCATCAGTATCACATTTAGTTAGTCTCAGCCCGTCTCCAATACTGGTCCAGCATCTCTTTCACAGAGAGCGCCTTGATATACGGGAACCGGTCATTCAAAGACCCAGCCCTCTGGATGTGCGAAGATCCATCGGTGGTGAACAGCTCGAAGATGGATATGAACCATTGGAATTGCAATTTGGGGACATGGTCGTACAGGGCTTTATGACCCGGCAGTCCTGTGATTTCGAATCTCTTCAGCTTCTCAACGTCATCGTAGTAGATGTTGAATGTGGACCCTGTCATCTGCGAGCAATTGAACAGACACGGGCATAACGTTTATTGGTGAATCCCATACCTCGAGATTCTTCCGCCAACGCCACAAATTGATTCCAAGTCAACTCGTCACCGACCACTCGGCTCTTTTCTTCCCATTTCTCCAGATCCAAGGCCGCAACAATGAACCGAGCAAGGCCATACGTATACGTGAACGTGACAGGAGTGTTACCGTCCCCTGGAATGGTAGCGACTTTGTTGGCTATATCGATGACGAAGACGTTCGGTTTGAGGTTCGATTTCATGGCCGGAGTACCAAAATAGTCGAGGAAGATACCGTTGTAGCAAATGGTCCACTCAAGATCGGATTCGCGGAGTTGGTCCAGAGCTTGGAAATGATCTTTGAGTTGGGGGAGGGACTTGACTGCTCTGTTGGATAAGAGGTCATGGTCCATGTTCTGAGAAGGGATAGTGGATTGGAATATAGGATGAGGAGTAGATTTAGACTCACGCAGCAGGATAGGGAATGGCATAGCCACTCGGGATGAATCGCTTCGTTGTCTTCGACTTGGCCGCTGCTTGGATGAGGTTTCGCTGGGACATGGCGAGCGAGTCACCCTCGATGGCGAAGGCGGAGATCACTGTGTGGATGTTGTTTTGCTCAAGGAGGATAGCTAGCTCATCGATGTTGCTGTAGTCCACTGCGATTGTATTCTCTGACGAGGTGGATGACTGCTTGGGAGGGTTAGCCGGCTTCTGAGAGAGGACGAGGTGTAGAAGTCTACCGGTCGAGAGAGAATAAAAGCCTGGTGGGGAGATGTCTGCATCATTTCCACGATGGTTTTCCCAACACCACCTGTTCCCCCGGCGATTGCAACGTTGACCATCTTGTATACTGGTATACCAGAGAAGGCAGAGAAGGATACTGGATCGAGTACTGGGAGTGAGACTTCCGCGAGTGAAAGAATTGAGAGAAATCAAATCAGCTTGAGCACGTTGGGGAATATTTATATCCCATCAGTTTCCCTCCATGCCGCCACCAAGCTGTGTACTCCTTGTTCCATGCTATAACTCTCTCGAAGTTAGGGCATGGACTGACCCACCGGCCTTACGATAATTGCCTATTCGGGCCTTAGCGGAGATCCACTCTATTCACCCCGTCATTACTCTTTCCTTGTCCATCCTCCTATTTCCAACCTCAGTTGATAACATCCCTATCCACTGACAAAATGTCCGACGAGACGCTCCCGAGTATCGCCGAGATCGAAGCATCAACCGTTCTTCTCAGCGACCCCTGCAGATCCGTAAAGGTCGTCCGAGTAAGAGAACGTTTCGCGGTCAAAGTGGGCGCCTCCATCGCGCCGCTTGAAGCAGAGAACATGAAGTTTGTCGCATCTAATAGCAAGGTCCGTGTCCCCAAAGTCCACGATGATTTCGTCGATCCGGAGACCGGGAAACGATACATCATCATGGATTACGTCCCCGGGACCGATTTGGAAAAGTTAGCGCCGTCCCTGTCGGAAGATCAGAAGAAGACAGTCAGCAAACGCGTCAGAGAGGCCCTTGATGAACTGCGACGTATCCCTTCCCCAGGGTATTTTGGGAACCTGAACCACACGCCTTACTACGAAGGAATTCTCTCCACCCTTGATCGCGACCCGAGTATATCTGGTCCCTTCGAAAATGAGGAGCAATTTAACCAAGGCATCCTAAAATCCCTAGGGCAAAGGGAGTCGCCGCATTACGTCCGCCTGCTTGGGGAAGCAATCCAGCGTACACTAAGGGGACACAAAATTGTCTTCACTCACGCAGATCTCCAGCCAAAGAACGTGATGGTTGAACAGATTGGAATGTGCGAAGACGGAAGCCCGGATTATCAGATAACACTAATTGACTGGAGTCTGGCCGGCTGGTATCCTGAATACTGGGACTATTGCAATTCGACTGTCTACTGCCAGGGAAAACCCGAGTGGCTTGAGCTAGTCCCGGATATCTTCAACGAGTATTCAGTGGAATACCTCATGATGCGAACCTACTACACATCAATGTTTTACTAAAGACATAAGCAAAATCCGATTGGCAATTGAAAATGAATGCAAAAGCTATCAGTCCCCGCGCCTAGGGTTAGAAATGGTTGGTGATGCGCCCATGTTAATCACGTATGCCATGGATCCTCCTGAGCGCATCGCCGTGAGAATGCAGCCTAGATCAGCTAGAGATGCGTTGCCACATACCGAAAATAGCCTGCGTTCCAATTTATATGTATATGAACCTTAGATAGGCAGTATATTTCCAGCGAACGATCCATAAAATACAAGTACATAATACAGCTTGACGTCATCCTTATTCTTAAGAGATAGACGACTAGGCGGAATTGCCGCTGATGTAGTCTGGAGGCGGGTTGAAGGGCGGCAGTGAATCTAGGGGAGAGAGAGTAAGACAGAGGAAGATGCAATCCTCCAGAGTTAAGATCTCTCTATCTACAGATAATGAATGGGCCCGGGATTGCGAACCTCGGTTGTATCAAAGATCATCTTGTTACGCAACGAGTGGAACAAAAGCGAAACTACTACACACATCGCTAAAATGCCACGAGATCAGGATACACAGCCCTAACAGAGGTCGTTTAGAAGACAATACCACTCAGTTATATTGTGAACTTATTCCTCTCCGATGTCAGAGCCCTCCGTAAAGACGACAGGATCCCGTCGAGACCTGTTAACCTGCAATTGAAAAACATCCAGTCTCTGATACCCCCCCACCACATCATGATACTGCTTTCCTTCAATACAACGATCGAGTTTCATATCCGCATAGAGAATCCCTTCCTCGTTCTGCAGGAAATCCGTGGGTTTCTGCGTCTTCGTATCCTCATCCAGAGTAAACGAAGGAAGAGGTGTTCCAGTCGGATCAAGAAACATACTTACACCCCGAGGGGAGTTTTCCAGCACACCCTGGACAATATCAGGGGAGCTGGAGCCGGAAACAATGATATCAATGGCTTCTTGACTGAGGTATCCGCTACACATCACTCCAAAGCACTTTGCTTCGAAGCAGTGAGCTGCAGCCCGGAGTCTGTTTGCGAGTACATTGTCGTAGTTCGCCGGGCCCTGGCTCTGTTCTTTCTCCTTCTCCTGCTTCGGTGGTGATGTTGGGACCCTTGTCGGCCAGATAGGCGGCCAAGACGAGATATGAATCTCCTCGCGCTGAGCCATCAGCGAATACCGCGCCAAGGGATTAGTATTTTCCCCACAGATTAGTCCCCCAACACGACCGTACGGCGTATCAGCCACACGCAATCCCCACCCATCCCCAGGGCTCCAAGTAAGTTTCTCAAAGAACGTCGGCATCAACTTCCGATGGTGCACGGCGACCTCGCCCGTGGTGTTGATGATCAAATTCGAATTATACAAGCAAGCCGTACTGGCCGGCGACCTCTCGGAAAACCCCATGCTGATGACGGTTTTGGTCTCGCGGGCAGCTCCTTGAAGAAGTCTTACTTCTTCGCCATCAGCATACAGCGATTCCTGGACCATGCGATGGAAAAGATCATGGTTTTCGGTTGGGGGACGGATGGCGCTCCAGATTGGAAAGGCTGATAGGTATGTCTCTGGGAAGACGACTAGGTTGGCGGAATTCCTGGCAGCCTGGTGGATGAGCGAGATGGCTTTGTCGACGGATTTTCGGGCAGAGAGGAAGTGAGAGGCGACATGACATGCAGCGACTCGTGTAGATGCCATGGCTGGTGAAGGTGGAGGAAACGATAGTGATCAACGATGAATGACGCGGGGGCAGGTGATATACCGATAGCGTCTAGTTACTAATTTCCCCTAGATAAAGAGCTAACGATAAGAAGCTGGCGGGCGGAATTGCCGCCTCGAGGGATTCAACCGCAGTGCCGCAGCAATCGCAATAGCCGACTCGGATTGTCTCCGTGGATTAGCAGTTCGGTCATACTTCAGGATATGATAGCGCGAAGCAAGAATGTGTTAGATTGTTGGTGTTCATGAGGATGGCAGAACTGCGTACATTCTTTGGACATTAGTACACGTCGTGATGACAAAAAGCATTAAGCATACGCATGAAGATGTTGACGCAAGAAATACTAAGACTTGTTTGAGTAATGAAGCTATACTGAGAATTAACTGTACATGTCCACCCAGCCAGTGTTCGTTCCTTGTGCTCCGCTGCGGCCGTATCAATCTTGCCCACCGAACGAAGAGAACGAGCACCCACAACATCCACTTTGTAAGAAGACAACGAAGCCGTAAATGACAAGTAAGTCTACGTGATTAGGTCCTCATGTTTCCTCATGTTTCCCCTTGATTCCCCTGGTTCAGGATGATCGTCTTAGGGCTCATGTCGCGGACCACAATTGAGCCTCTGTAAAAGTCGACCTTAATCATGACCGCATACGACGTGCTTTAACGCTAGGTGGGCCCTAATAACATAACAAAATGGGGAATATAGGTACAAAAAAGACCCTAAAGACCCTAACTGTTATGATTGACGTGATGCCATTCGGTTTTAGAATGCCAGTTCTTTGTTTTTACATAGAAAAAGCCGATATAAGGATGTACCAGAATATTAAGAGGAGGTCCGAGATCATTTCCCTGAATACTGGCGTCGCTGCTGTAACCCTCATCACTGGGATAGATGAGCTGGCTGACCTTCTAGCCGATACTAGTCTTGCTGGTGAACTACATTGCACGTATACTGAAAGCCGTAAAAAACTAGGGACATCTTGCATTTAAGACCTAGTCTCTCCTTCATGTTCCATGTAATAGGAAGTAGAATTTCCTAAGAATACTCTGACGGAGGAGCAAAAGTACTAACGAATAATCTCGCTAGGGGTCTAAACTGGCGGAGACAAGATCGTCAAGAGCAAGCAGGGAGCAGGGGGTGCCACAACTCACATGGCATATGCTTGTTTTCGCTCTGTGAAAGCTATACTCTCCGCAAGGGACGGTGTATATACCGTCGAGGAAGCATATATCTATCTCCCTGGAGTTGCGGGTGGTAAAGAAATTACGGCCGAGCTGGGAGTGGATTACTTTGCGGTCAAGGTGCAGCTGGGTAAAGCAGGGGCTGCTACCCAGACATTGCCCATCAGTGAAATCTCTGCACTTGAAAAGTTGCGGTGGCGATTCGAGACCTGAAGGGAAACATTGCCACGGAGGTGGATTTTGCGGCGCAGTAAATTCCTATAGGACTCTGCCAAACTAGTTGATTGTATCGTCCTACCTGTAGGTGCATTAGCTCCTTTCTATAATAGCTGAGCAGGTGGCTACCATTAAAACCAACTATTATGTAAATTTCCTTTTCGTTTTTACCAATAACTAAACCCCAAGATTACTAGTTGGTGGCTAGCTGCGTAGACGAGGAATTGGGATGCTGCTATATCATAGTAGTTGCTGTATCGGTGTAAAGACGTACGGTACTGTAGAGCATTTCTCTAGTTCATCGGCTAGTTCCGGGGCCCCTGAAGAAACAACAAGCCCAACGGCTACATGATCCATGGATCAAGCATGGTGTCCATTGCCGAACCTTCAAGCAAAGACGCTAGTACCTAGACCTAGAACCGGGGGCTCTGCGAACTGCGATTAGGACCGGAAAGACGAACTGATTGGGTCCTTGATATAGGCTACTAAGACTAGTGATTCTCTAGCGTTGAAGGATAGATTGGCTCAGACTCCATATTCCGTTCTGGGAACGGCCCGAGGCTGGCCAGATCTCTTGGCAACATGAGGTTCCTCGTTTCGCGGTAAGAATAGCCGATATACACCAAGATAGCAGAAACTTTTGCTTCATTTTTCCCAATCCGGATAACTTCAAACATACATGTCTCACTTGTAGTGCCTCACTGCGATATCTACTCGCTCACCGACTCAACCCCCATCAGCACTAACATAGTAGCTAATCACGACCAATCCCACTATCATCACTAGGATCGAAAAGACACACCCATACTCCTGATCCGGAAGAAAGATCAAAAATTTGAGCATCCCCAAAGCACCACTATATAAAGCACATTCTCCCCAACTCAACTACCTCCTCCATCAACTCCCAATTCCATCTCCAAAACATCTATCTGAAGCACCCTCACCAATCCCTTCATAATGCAGTTCTCCGTCATCACCACCCTCTGCGCGCTCGTCGCCTCCGTCTCCGCCATCCAGATCAACTACTACAGCGATGGCGGCTGCTCTGACTTCATCACCTCTCCTCCCAACGTTCCAATCGGCAAGTGCTACGACTACGCCTGGGACGGCCAGAACAGTGCCAACATCGCCAACTGCGACAAAAACGTCTATGGCTGCAAATGCTACTTCTATGCTCAGGCTGGCTGCAAGGGAGCTGTTGACTCCGCAAACACCGGCAGCTATACTGGTGGCAACTGTGTCTCCAACTGGGGTCATGGTTTCAAGTCTTTCCACTGCTTTGTTGACCACGGTCTTTAAAGAGTTGAATTCATGGTTGAGGTTTGTTGATCTGCGTCTGGAATTGATGGTGTTGGTCAAGCTGATACTTTCTTAGAAAGTCTACACTAAATGCTTTGAAGTTGGGGAAGAGCTGAGACCGGGGGATTTGGAGAAGATGGGAAGTTGCGGGATAAGAGTTCTTGAACCTATTTGCTCTACTCGATTGTTATTGTTGATGAGTTATTTAGCTGTCCTGTTACCTATTGAATAGCCATGAATTTGAACTGTTTTTACTCTCTCTGCTGCCCAAGAATAGAAATTAATTAGTATGTAGGCATCTAGGAGGGAAGATTGCGACTTGCCCTCCCATTTGACAACAGAATCGATTATTTTGATATGAATAGAAGGGAAGGCAGATTAGGAGCCCCATTGAGAAATCTCCTTGAATGTATCCAAGAGTACATCGAAACCTCATCGCTCTATTAGCATGGTGGCTCAATACCCTAGATAGGCCTTATGAAGCATCAGTAACACGCTCTTTTCTTTCCGGTCATGGCCTGCGTCCGCTGCCGAATTGCTCTTCGGGGCTGAGAGGCTCAAGATAAAGTCGATGCATTCCAATAGAAATTGTGTAGATCGACTCTATACAATAGGCAAAGAAGGTATATTCACCAGAAATGGCCAAGAGAAACCCGGTGAATTATGTGGCCTTGTGATGCACTGGACGGGTGAAAAGACAAAATCCCCATATCTGGAAAAGAAGGGGGAATTTTGTGGGTGTATTGAAGGACCCAAGCTTGAGTGCAGGCATCATCACCTGTGCACAACACATTGTAGTGAGTATGCTGCTGTCTTGTAGTTTATCGATCAGGTTCAAGACGTCGTGTCATGCTTGGCTACTCGATATCCGGACGTCCTCTTGCGCAGCCCGGATAATACTGATGGAATTGGAGTCCTTCATTGCTTTAGGAATGGAGTGCATACCAACAGTTGTTTAAGGCTTGTCGCAAAGTTTTTCGTCGCCTACGAAGTTTCTCAATAACGGTGCATTATCCTTCGCCTCTCCCTTTCCCCAAATAGGTTCTCCATCATCATCAAATTCCGCCCACTGGAAGAAGCCGCAAGATTTCTTCCCAGGAGCAAACCCGGCGTAACACATCCACATATACCTGCCTTTTGACGCGCGCTTGCGCTGAGCACACCGCAAGATGGCATGCTGGCCACAGTGACACCGAGGCGTGTTTCGCGGATGCAACGATTCGCGATACCACCGATAGGTGATGTTGATACGGCGATTCCCCGATAGCGGGTGTGGTGAGATGGTCTGTGCCGGGGCAATGGCGTGCTTCCATTCCTCCTGCATCTCAGCATGCATGACAAGAAGAGAGTTGTGGGGCAGGTGGATCGAAATCTGGCCCTGCGCGTCTGCTCGAGCATCCGCAGCTTTCTGGGATCGTTTTGACTCGGAAATGAATTCCGAGCCCGACGTCGGAGGGTCTTGATCTTTGTCATCTTCTTGATCGTAGGGCACAATCCTTCGGACACGGAATTCACGTTCTACACCCAGGCTGAGACTTCCAATGATAGCCCGAGGACCGAGGTAGGTTAGCTCGTCGGAGTGGTACCCAACACTCTCCGCCGGACCATCGTAGCAATTCACAAATGCCGCATTAGGCTGCCATTCTTTGGGAGACTGATATTTGAGCTTTTGACTATCCGGGTAAAAGTCTCGGATCCGGTTTTGGACCGCTTGATTCACGGCACGTTGGACTTTGGCAGAAACTACGCGCATGTGCGGAGTGATCTGCCGCACATTGGAGCGATAGGTGCCGCCATATGTGTATTCCGATGTGTGTTGCTTATACTCCTCAGGCGTAGATACATATACACTGGCTGAGTGGGGACTCTCCACAGTCCGCTCGAACAGTTGAAATTTGTACCTGGAGAAGTGCTTGGATTCATCTAGGAGTTCCAAAAGAAGTGCATTTGCCTGCTCTGCCGGCAGAAAGTTGTGGATCAGCGTACACGGAGTTTCAGTGGCAATATCTTCAGGGGAGAAGAGATGCAAGGTCTGCCCTTTCTTGGTACGAGGAGTTTTTGGTGCGGTCGGTCCTTTTCCAGGGGAGAGCACATGTGATGATAGGGACGATTGAATCGCCGTGCCTCCAAGAACGGTCCTTTTCTTAGGGAGGTGGGCCGAGAATTGCGCTGCTATTGTAGACGAGGCAGATTTGACGGATCCTCCACATGAAACCAAAACATCAATAAGAGTTTCCTGAGTAATCTCCGGAAAAAGTGACATGAGCTGGGCTAATTTCACGTCGGTTGAGTCTTCCTCGAAACCCGTGGTATCTCCGAGGTTTGGAGGCGGCTGTGGGTGAGAGGGTGAAATGGGCCGCGGCCTTTTCTTTGACACATATCGATCCATCGGAAAGAGCACTCGCTCAGACCTGAAGCCATTGATGGGGTGCGATGAAGAAGAAAGGAAGATTCACGAAGACGGTGGAGCGGCTTTGTCATGCGACAACACGTGATTGCTGTGGAAGTGTCCAATCAGGGAACAGAATGTATACTTCCCCGGGATGTCAGAAGAGCTGTCGATTATTATGCGTTTTTATTATCCCACCAGAATGTGCTGACATGCTCAAATTTGAAAAGCAAAACAACCGGTGCTCTCACTGCTGTTGATATGCCAGTATCCTCATTGGCTCAATACCATTGAAGGTTGAACGTGTGGGAACGAATCCATGCGTCGGCGGTTACCACTACGCCCCGGGCTGACACCAGGTCACTTGCAGGAGTTGTCCCAGAAGGAATACGGCCACGAGACAAACGAATGTCTCTGTAGCTATTGTGGTATAGATATAGGAACTAAGAGGACTGCCATCAGACTCGCGAAAAAGTACCGAATGCCTCCTCATAGGTTGGAATGATCTCGGGCAAAAGAATGATTTACCGGCCGTGTGCATGATAGCTGGCACAGCAGAAAAACAAAGAGAAGAGAAGAAAGAGATGAAACCTTTTATAACCAAAAACTGCCAGCCGGAGGTGGTCGAATTGATGCCAGATTCCCCAGGCCACAATTGCGGGGCACATCCGACTCCGGCGGAAGAAGTCCGTCGTCGCCTCCCCACAATCTTCTCTTCGTCTCTTCCTCAACAACTTTGTTATCCATGCAATTCTCGCATTCGATTTGTGAGAGTTGATTATTACTTTAGCTCAAGTATAGAATGCAATGCGCAGGCGTTAATTGAGGTTCAATAGTTTCTATCATGGACTCAGCCAAGAAGAATCGGAATCGCGCCGCTTGCCGCCGTTGCCAGAGACGGAAGATCCGTGTATGTCTCCAACCTGCATTGGACAGCGATTGAAACTGACCATATTACTATCCCAGTGTGACGGACAGGCCCCTCGTTGTGGATCATGTCACAAAGCCAACGTTCCCTGCATTAGCGATGGGAAGCAGGTGGTTCATCGCTCGTAGGTCTTGCATGATCCTTGAAATCCGACAACACTGTCAGTTAATCGGTTATGTTGCAGGTATATTGCGAGCATGGAAAAGCGCATCAAATGGTTGGAAATGACTCTTCAAGAAAGCTGTCCTAACGTGGATCTGAGCGAAGCTCCAAACCGGGAAACTGCTCGACAGGATGATTCGGTATTGCTTGATGACGAGCACGAGGAGCCATCCATTCTTAGTCCCCAGCAGCCACGTATCGTGGATGAGGATCCTGGTGTAGACCAACGCAGAATCCAAAGCCCCATCGGTTCAACCCGTCCTCTGCGTGCTGCTCCACGAATGGAATCTCGACAAGCCCATGAGGTTGGCTTAGTTTCACTTTCTCCGGGAGGCGAGCCGCGGTATATTGGACCATCCAGCGGGTACTTCTTCGCTAATCTTGTTTTCTCGAACGCCGGTCGACAACAACAGCGAGGGGGTATTATCAGTGATCCTGCCGGCACAGCTCCGGGGAATCCGGCTTCTTTAGCAGCGGAGCTTCTCCATACACCTACGTCTCTGCCGCCACGAAGGGAGAGCTGTGAGGAGTTGTCATCCAAGTACTTCCAAACGATCCATATTAGCTACCCATTCCTCCACCAACCATCTCATATGGAGTATATCGAACAAATGTATACTTCCGAGCAAGTGTCACCAGTAGTAGCATACCAGGTCTATATGGTCTTGGCCATCGCTGCCTCTGATCTTTCGCGGAGATCTAAACTTCGCCTTCCCGCAGAGGGATATTACACCTCAGCCATGCAATATTTCAACCAGTTCTGTCCTGATGGCTCGCTAGCTGGGCTACAATCACTGCTGCTACTCATGATCTATGCTTTGCACAATCCGTCTTGCGGTGTCAATATCTGGAATCTCAATTACCAGTGTCTGGCATCGCTTATAGATCTCGGTTTGCAGCGAGATATTCGCTGTACACCTTCCTTGATAATGCCTCTCCTTGAGCTGGAGATGAGAACGAGAGTGTTTTGGGTGGTTTACACGTTTGACCGGACCATCGGTACGATGATGGGACGGCCCGTCGGCATCAGAGACGAGGCTTGCGACTTGCGAGTGAGTATAAGAGCAAATGGACTCAGCTTGTACGATGCTAACTTTTTCAGCTTCCAATGGACATAGCAGATCAAGATCTCCTGGAGAATGATCCGCACGAACGGAATGCAGAGGAACAATTTTCGCACATCTCTTTTGGGATACATTTGTTCAAAGTCGCTCGCTTGAACTCGGAGATTAAATACGTCATGCATAGTATCTCTCGAGAGGCTCCGGCCTATGCCTACCCACCTGTGAAAGATATCTTCGGATGGCAAAACGGGATGCTCGAAAGGCTGCGAAGCTGGCGATCCGAGATCCCACAATCCGATATCAGCATGAGCGCGAAGCTTTGCGAGGCGAAATACCACGAGATGATGATTCTTGTATTACGGCCGAGTCCCGCCATCCCAGAGCCATCGGAGCAGTCCGCGGTTTTATGTTTCCGACATGCGATGGCGCTACTTGAAAGCTTTCGTGATTTATACAAGAATGACTGCCTGCAATATAGCCGATTAGTGGTACATTCAATCTTTCTAAGCACTCTCGTCGTTCTGCACAGCATTTGGAAGTTGCCCGACGTTGCTGCAAATATTCACATTGACGAGCTATCGGCCAACTTGACTTCGTCGCTCAACATCCTAAGCAGCATTGGCGAGTATTGGCTGGAGGCCCAGCGCGCAAGGGATTGTATAGAAGAAATATCTGGGGTCACCATGAGACGACTGTTAAAAACCCGATGTGCGCCAGGGGCGTCTGGTACGCCCCGACTTCGGTCGAGGGGTCGCACGAATAACCAAGATCTACAGTTCACTTCTTCGCAAGCTTCGACGAATCCAGATTCTGGTGGTCAAGAGCAACAGGTCGATCCGGGAATCCTGGCAACAAATTCAGCGGGCTTGGACGACCCCGAATTAGGGCTCCCCGGCGCGTTATTAGGTGACTCCGAGTCGTTACAACTCTTCGGTGACCCGGCGCTTGACGGCCTGTTCGGGATGACAGGAGTCCCTGACTTCGATGGATTAATGTGGGAGTTTTTCAACATTCCCCAATGACCGGTTTAACGACAGACATTATATTTATGATTTGTCCAAACCCACATGGATTAAAATACTGGGTTGTCTATGATTTTTACTGCACCCTTTCAGTGCACCATTTTACAACACGTCGCACTCCAAGTCCCATTGTCCGTTCCCTGTGTATATCCGGCCGGGCTGATGATACTCCACGAGGCCATTTCCATGTCGCAGTCCGTTATACACTTCGACCAGTGATGATAACACCACCGTCGTCCAGCCAGGATACGGCCCAGCGGCTGGATTCGAATTCCTTCGTACCTTATCTGGGAAGTTCTCCTCCACAACTTTGACCGGACATCGCGAAAAGTCCCCATCCTTGCCTTCTGATGCGGCTGCATCCACTCTTTTCGTCAATGAAGCCAACACAACATCATCCACGATCAGGCATATCCTTAAACGGACCGGCAGTTCAAACGAGGGCAAGGCCAACGCAATCTTCCATTGCCGAAAGGCTTTCCGAATGGTCGCTTCGTCGGCTCCTTCATACGAATTCTCAATGCTGAAGACCTTAGACGCATAGGTGGTTTCCAAGAGATGAATCTGCTTAGGCGTTCCCGAGAGACATCGCGGTAGAGCTTTTTGGGTCTCGTTATTCAGCGCGCGCAGGAATATGGGCAAGAGACGGTCCGATTCGGGGGCATACGTCGTCCGATAGATGATGGGGCCCCAGGTAAGGGTTAGGAAGTCGCGTTCGGGGCTTTGAGGCAATGAGCGCAGGCCCGGCTGGGCGCCGAGTCGGTAGACCTCGGATTGGAGGAATCGTGAAGCGGCCGAAGGCTCGGGAGATTGGCTGGAGGGCATGTTCTTCGCGGTTGATCAGTGAAGATCTCCCAGGTACGTGCGATCTGGGGAACTGGGGGGTGTTCGGTCATGGTGCGTCGAGTGGATCTCCACTGGATGTTGGCGTCAGAATGACATCGACGACGCCGGATTGTGGATGTGCCCTAGGAGTTAGTCGAACCGGAGTACACAGTAAACATGTGCTGCTCAGCCCGATGATAAGAAAGAACGCTCTCGGATTTTTCCTCTCTCGCATTTATGATTTTTATCATTTTTTCGGAGTTTTTTCCCGGGCCCTTTTTGCATGAACTCATCCATCCCCTTGGGACCCATAGCTCCGAATTCATTCGCTGTCACGAACAAGATAATCCTTCACTATCTAGCAGTTTGATCTGTATGCTGGCATCCGCAAATAGCAATTGTATATATCATGCTCATAACCATACTCGACTGAAACTGGGGTTTGATATCCCCACTAAGTTCATCTAGTGCCTGAAATTGCAATGCATCGTCAGCCATGTGCTCTGATAATGCAGTCCAGCCCGGATAGCAAACTTTACTTACATATGAGTGCAGATAATTGACAGTAGTTTCTGTTTATCCCTACCCTCCAACGTGCTAGCGGTCGTCCATTACAGTGAATGCCTTCCATTTACGTAGCTTACAAGTAGATTAACCCTATCACAGGGCAGTGATGGGATAGTGGCGGGAGGGTCAGGAATAAAAGTATTCTAGTAACACAAACCTCAACAAACAAAGAACGCCGTCACTGCCCGCAGATGTAGAGCGACGTGAATGTGAAAGAGCGACACCGACGAACTTCACGCCCGTGACGTAAAGCACGCTAAGACGAAGACGGCAGACCTCGGCTCGTCTCCCCGCATTATCGCCTGAGGCATCCTCACTCTTGTCCTTCTCCCGATCCTCTTTCTCTCTTCCTTCTCTTCTCTCCTCATGCATGGACTGCCGCCACGCCCAACCTCTTTCCTCTCCTGCTCTCTTTCTCACTCCTCCTTCTCGCGTGGCGCTACTCTCTTTCCCTTTCTTCCCCAGTTAGGGAACCATGCTCCGTTTCAGAACCGAGGGCTATAACGGCTGCGCAGTCAAATACTCCCCCTTCTTTGACAATCGGCTCGCGGTTGCTGGATCGGCCAATTTTGGCTTGGTTGGCAATGGACGTCTGTTCATTCTGGAACTGACCCCGAACGGCATTGTGCCCGTGAAATGGTAAGGATCATGTCGTGCAACGCCTCTTACCAAACCCCCACAAGCCTGACTATTCGGACCCCGCAGGTTCACCACTCAGGACTCCCTCTATGACCTTGCATGGTCGGAGATCCACGAAAACCAGGTCCTGGCCGGCTCTGGTGACGGCAGCATAAAGCTGTTTGATAGCAACCTGAATGACTTCCCCGTGCAGAACTGGAAGGAGCACAACCGCGAAGTCTTCAGCGTGAATTGGAACCTGGTCGCAAAGGACCGCTTCTGTTCGAGCAGCTGGGATGGCACCGTGCGCGTCTGGTCGCCTGAACGTCCTCATTCCCTCCTCACCCTTCCCACTCACAGTTGCACCTATTCCGCCGCCTTCTCTCCCCATTCGCCTGACATCCTCTCCTGCGTGACGTCTGACTCGTATGTCCGCCTCTTTGACCTCCGCACTCCGGCATCGGCCTCGAACCACCTCGTCCTCCAGATCCCCATCCATGCGGCCCCCGTTCCTACCGTGCCTGGCACCCCAGGTGTCCCTCCCGCTGCTTCGCCACCCGCCGAATGTCTGAGCCACGACTGGAATAAGTACCGTCCTTCGATCTTGGCAACTGCCGGCGTGGACCGAACCATCCGCACCTTCGATATACGTGCTCCCCAGCAGGGCCCCCAGGCAGTTATGCTTGGACATGACTATGCGGTTCGCAAAATATCCTGGTCGCCCCATCTTTCGAACGTGCTTTTGAGCGGAGGATATGACATGACCTGCCGCGCTTGGAGTGACCAGTCACCCTCGGGTATCGTCGGAGATACGGACGTGATGCGCGCCGGTCCCGGCCCCGTGATGGGCGCGGAGCTGGGCCGAATGAACCAGCACACGGAGTTTGTGACGGGCGTTGACTGGTGTCTTTTTGGCAGTGAAGGATGGTGTGCCAGTGTGGGTTGGGATGAGAATCTGTTTGTCTGGGATGTGCGTGCAGTGATGGGCTAGAGAGAGGAGAGAGGTTTCCCACGGATCCGAACACAAACAAGTTCGCATTGTGACGACTAAGCCACCTCCCTTAAATTCCTTGCCACTTATGTTCTATTCCTTTCACGCTCCTGATTTGGACAGGATGACGACTTGATGTCTTACTCTTTTTGTTTTTTGATTCCCTTCATTACCCTTCTTCTTTTCCTGTATTGGATACTAGATTGCATGATACCAATTTCCGTGTCTCTCGGGAGGGCGCCAGTGATTAGGAAAATGTGAATACACTTGGAACTGTCTATATTAATTTTGTTATGTTTTCTTTCAGAGCTTCATTAACAATGAAGAGTCGTGGCCCCCTGCCTAGGAGAGGGTTCAACCTGTCCCAAGCTTCACTCAAGACCGTAGTTATAATGTCCATCTCAGTCTATAATATACTCCGTCAAGCTGGTCATATGCCATAGTCTCATCAATCCCGTGAAATACACATCACATCACATCCATCCATAATGGAAACCGTCCAAGAGCCAAACCAAAAAATGGCAGGCAATACATAGGGTATATCAACAGACTGACTTGCCTGCCCTGACTCTCGACACGCCACCACCAATCAATCAAATCATTGACTTATTTCCCCAACCTCGCCTCCATCTTCTTCCTCTCCGCATCCCTCACATTCGCCACCTCCTCCCTCGACGCATCAAACGCCACATGCACCTGGTTAAACGGATTCTCATCACTCTTCTCAAACTCCTTCTTCACCAGCTCAATCCGCTGCTGTCTCCGCAGACCCGGATGCTCCTCCTCAACCTCCGGCATCCGACGCGCCTCATACGCCGCATACGCCGCCTTATACCGCCTCTCGGGGTGTCGGTCAATCTTCGACGTGTCCTTATTCGTCAAGCTCAGGGCGTCCAGCGCATTATCGATACCCGAAGCGTTAAGCGCCGACGCCTTCTTGGCTCCCGGTCCGCTGTCGTCCAGCTGGGATAGGTCCAGGCCGCGCGTCTTCTTGGTGGCTTGTTTCGCGTTCGCGCCTTTGGCTTTGCTCGGTTGGGAGGCTTCTTCGGCGGCGAGGAGGGCGTCGCGTTCGGCTTTTTTGCGGGCCGCTTCGGCTTTTTTGGATTCGGCGTCGTCTCTGTGGGGAGGAGAAAGAGGTTGGTTAGAGTTATGGTTTTGGGGTATGCATGGAGATAGCGATGGGAGTTTGTAGATAGATAGATATGTGCGTGTGGTGTGTAAAAACGTACTTCTTAGCGTTGCTCTTCGCGCCCTTCGACCACTGCTTGTCTTCCTCGGCGGCGCGTTTCGCGTCCTCGGCGGCCTTCTTGCCCGCGGCCGCTTCAGCCTTCTAGAGATTCCAAATACCACGGTTAGCCAAATATTCCATAGTCCGTTAACAGCCAGCCAGTCTTGCAAGATCGAAAATATGCACTCGAAAGCGGGGGCGGGGTAATCCAACAATCATTCCCCCTCTTCCTCCTGCATAGAAAACCATAAGGAATACATACGCGGGCGTTACCAGCGGCCTTCTTGGAGTTCTCGCCTGCTCCTTTCTTGCCTGCCATTTTTGTCCAGGGGGAGGAATGTACTTGTCCGGTTGTTCGTAGGAAGATGGGGGATCGGGATCGGGTATGAAAGAGAGCGGAATGAGGGCAGAAAGATGAAGTGCGGCGGAGTTTCGAATCTCCGGGCGGCGTGACTTGCGTGGTGACTCAGGGCTTACCTAAGAGTGTGACGTCATAGTGGTTGAAGTATATCGAAGGGTGAGTAGCATCGTTCTGAATCGTGGATGGTTCGGGCTCCATTTTTGGGTATGGGGGCCTTTATTTATTTCTAGGCTGTGTGGTTATAAGCTTATCTCGGTGAGATGAAGGTCTGCACAGGGTAGTTAATGATGTCCTGATATCAAACTATGTTGTTACCTTTTTGGGGATGAAAGATGAACCATCAACTTATGCTGGGAGTTAGGGTTTACCACGGTAGACGCTGCCAGGGGCCGCGAGTGACCGTGGTACGATCCTGACCTATTACTGTTTACTGTGAAGGATAGCAGATCCGACAAAGCTGCAGCTATTTCATCATGTTGTCAATTGCATATCAACCTACGCTCACCGCCCACATAGTTATACATTCTCTATCAATTTAGTCAATGTTATTGCCCCGCGACTCGGTGCATGTTCCATTCTATCTGAGCATCTCCATCAATTTCCCATCTAGCAAAACCCAGATCAAATCAAGTGAACACAAAACATGTCATTCACCCCAACCATCCAACGCGATGGATTCATCTCCTCATTCGGCCGTTTCCGCACCTCGCGCGGCCACATCGAGCGAGTAGACAGCACCACGCTCCAATCGATGTTCCTCCCCAAGCTCAGCGCAACAGGCCAAAAAGCCCTCCGAGACCACCGCGACTTTGTCCGCGGACAACTACAGCACTACGGCGAGGTCTTCGACGAGAGCCAGCTCACCGGCAACGGCACGCAGCTGATCAAGAAAGTCCTCCAGGCGGGGGGATGCCACACGGTGCCTTCGCATATCCGGGACCTGGAGATGCAGATGCACCGGGACTGGCTGAATGCTCTGACAGAGGAGGAAATCTCGCATTATCCGCTGTGGATTGTCGAGAAGCATTTTGGAAGCGAGACCCGGCCGGACCGCACGATCACCACGGAGGTGGTTGGGATATCTTTTCCCCGGTCTAGCGAGTATCGCGTGAGCCAGGTTCAGGAGGCGGCGGGTAAAGTGACAGGACTGCATCATGAGATGGCGAAGGGGTCGGTCAAGAAGACGGTGTATTTAGGTTGGAATAAGGCTGCAGTGCAGAAAGCAGCCAAGGGCCATGCCGCGAAGGAGAAAAAAGATGCTGCGAAAGAGAAGAAGGAACTGCAGGCTGCGGAACGGGAACGGGAGAAGGAGCGAGCAAAGCTACATGCGGACTACTGTCGCCCGGCGAAAAAGGGGGCATCGCCAGTCGGGAGCTACATTGTTGATTGCAAAGAGATTGAACAGCAGTGGGATCTGACGGAGGATATGGGCCTGGAGATCCACGCCACTGACGAGCCTGGCGTTTTCAAGGCGGAGTTTGACTTCGGGGTTTTGGAGGGCGTCATGATCATCGGTGTCGATAAGGTCGCGCTCGAACGGCACTGCGCCCAGGAGGATGAATCTTCCGAATATGGAGACGAGTGGGATGAAGAAAGCTCCGAGGAGGATGTAGAGCAGGACGCAAAGTCGAAGGCAGGGTCTAAGAGAAAGACAACAGCTCCTAATCGTGGCCACGGGTCAAAGAAATCCAAGAACACTCCGGCTCGGAAGTATTTCCTCAAGATGAGGGGTCGTGAGACTGGTGAGGGTGAGATCATGGACATTTCAGACAAGGGCACTATCAGTTTCAAAGATGGGAAATTCACCAGCTTTGTGGGCGAGGCTGACATGTCTGTTGTCGGTCGAGGAGTGACCTTTACTGCACGGAAAGTTTCTGATACACCAAACTCGGATGGAAGGGAATGGGCCGACTACTCGGACAGACAGTATGAGAGAGAAAGAGTCGGCAGGTGGCACTGAATCTAGCATACTCTTCTTTGGCTCTTAGTTCTTGCTTGGTTCTATTCTATCCCGATGAACGACTAAGGAGAGCAACCAATCTGATATTCAAAAAGAAAAGAAACTCAACAAAGCTACATACTAGATAAATTACACCACAATTTCATAATAGATAAAGAGTCAGTCAAGTCAAAAACATTAACATATCAAATCAGGCTAATCATATCATATCAGTCATCAATCGGATTCCTCAAATCGAGTAAAAAGAATAAGTATCAAAAACATATCATGTCGTAGCAATCAGTGCCTGTTGTTCCTTCATAGCTGTCTGGGTTTTGATCAGCGGGATTTCGTTTTCGTGGACCTCGCTGGGGTCATGTTCGCGGGTCTTTTTCTGAACCTCAATTAGAGATTCCCGGGGTGTATCGTTAAGTGTCGTGTCGGGGATTTCGAGGCTAGGCTCGACTGGCTCGTCCAATTTGAAGTCGATTTGTTTTTCTGCGGGTGCGACGATGGGAGCTGGTGCTTCATCGTTTGTGTCTGCGTCTTTAGGGTTCTCGTTTTCGATGTCGACAAGGATCTTATCGTCTTGTGGGGGTAGGTGTTGGGACATTGAGGAGTCGATCGCAGCAGATTTCATATTTTTAATTTCTGGGCTGTGTTTGGTCTCCTCGCTTTGTTTGACCTCGACATCGGCGGGCTCCTCTGTCTGTGCAACCGCCACTGACGTCGCAGAGCTGACCACACTGGCAGAGGAAGATTGATAAGAAGCTGAAGAGCTAGCGACAACTGAGCTCGTTGGGGCAATTGGCACCTGGGTATTCGATTTGACTGGAGTTGCCCAGACTGCAGAGGAGCTCTGCGCCGGAGAAATATGCATCGACGGCACCGAAGTGGAGCTGAGCGCGTCTTCTTGCGGAAACACATGCAGGTCGGGAGCAGCTGCTCTGGGCCGGTAGTCGATCGCAAAGAAGACTACAAGAATACTAAGAAGCACGATTGCCACGTTGCGTCGGTCGTTGGCCAGCACCCGAATGTAATTCACCAGCAGAGTGTGGAGGTCAATCTCCACTTCAGGCTTCGGTGGATAAATGGGATTGTGAGTCGGTGTTGGACGATGCTGCTGTCTGGGTGCCGGGGTTGGGCTCGGGGGAGGAATGGGTGACGAGGCGCGTTCCGGAGTGAACAGGACTGGCATGACGGTGGACAGAGAAGGAGATGGTTGAGGCAGCGAAGGCTGAATCTCCGGCTCGTTCATGGGCTCAACGAGCTGCGGAACTTCGATTCGAGTGAGCGCGGTCGACATCTCGCTGTCACGCAACCGTTTCTCTAGCTCCCTTCTCAATTCCGAGGGAAGCCAGAGACCGACTTCAACATCCACCTTCTCCATCTCCTTCCACGCGGCCGCCCAAGCACCGGCCCTCATGAGTCCGTTAGCGGCGAAAACCTTGATCTCCCATTTCCTGCTGTGATTGTTCTTGAGGAAACGTCCGCCACAGTCCGGGCAGTCTTCGCCCTGCTCGCCATCTGTTTCGCTCTCCTCCTTACTCGCCTGGTCCTCCCTCTCCGAGTCACCCTCCTCGTGCCCTACGAAATGTCCATGGTCAAGTCGCGGATGTTGCAGCTCCAGACTCTCCAAGAGGCGATCTTCGAGCAGATCGTACATATCCTCGGGATGCGAAATCAGTACGCCACGGTCACGGAGGACACCCGAACCAACCTTCTCTTCCAACAATTTCCACCGTCTCCAATACTCCGAGGGCAACACCTCCTTCAAAACCTTCGGGTCCGGGGGTCCCAGCAGACCTGGAATCGGAAGCGACGGTGGAAGAAGTGTGCAATGCAGCAGCACGAGTGGATACTCCTTCTTCACCTTCTGCTTGCTTGCTGACCCGGATGGCGAGTAGTAAGGCGACCTCTTCAACGGCGACGAATGGGAAGACCGCATCGAGATATCTGACATGCGATGTCCACCCCTGCGCCTCGGAGGCGTGAGATACTCCTCGTCGCCCTCGTCTTCCGTATGCATCTGCAAAGCCCTCACCGAACTCGGTTTCCGGAACGCCGACTCCCGCTGCCGAAGCGCCTGAAGGGACTTCAGCCCGGGTTCTGCCCTCGCCTGGCCCTTGTTATACCGATCGTCCCAGAATATCACAGACTCCTGCGCATCGCGCGCAATCGTCTTCGCCCCTTCCATCGAATGAGTGAACACCGAACCCGGCAACGAGGAGACAGAGGAGCGGCTAGATGCGCGGGATTTCAGGCCGGGAAGCTCGTCATCATCGTAATCGGCGTCGAGAATGTCCCCCGACGATGGATGGGTCGAGGAAGCCGACGAATTGTACCCGCAATCCTGGGTCAATTGCGTCTCGTCGTCTGCGCCTTCGTCGGGATGCGGGAAATCAAGGGTTTCGTCGTGAGGCGAATATGGGCGTGATATTTCGTCCGGGAAGTCGGCGTGGTGAGAAAAGTCCTCCATTTAATGTGACTCAAGATCTCGATTTCAGTCGATCGTAAAAAAAGGATAAACAGGGTATATCCGAGGAATGAGCCGGAGAATGCTTCCTAGCTATCGGGCGGTTTGTAGTTGGGGAGATGAACGGGTACTGAGGAATGTGGGAAACAGAGATCTGAAATGATCATCGAAGGGAGGGTCGGAAAGGGCCGTACTCCGGTATTTAGAGCATTTTCTGGTGAACTCAACAATGAAGCTCACATGAAAGGGGTCCTAGTAATAGGTGATGGCGATGGTGACAATCGGTGTTGATCTGTTGTTGGTGCGGCTTCACCGCCCGGTTGTGCCGGGCAACCACTTCCTTGTATGAGTTGTATAGTCGATCGCCCAGGATGTCAACCACTCATTTACAGAAAAATAGCCCAGCCCCATATACCTAAGATACCGCAGCTGGCTCGATGTCCGAGAATCAGCCCATGTTTCAATTAGTGACAATTCCGGAAACACCAAAACGACTTTCGCAAATCTGAGAAAATCAACAACCAAACCCCAGCGCTATCCGGTACAGCCCCTTCCCAATCAATCAAGTCAAAAGCATGCAAAAGTTCCAAATGGGAATGATCGGAGAGCACAGGCTCCCACCCGAGCAAAGATGAGTCCAACGGCAGATTCGGTGTGGATATAAAGCTCAGGACGATGAATCCAAGCACTCGTGTAGTCCATGGGAAGCCAATTCGCGGTTGAAGCTGCCTGAAAATGATCGTGTACAACACGCCACCGAAGCTGCTTCCGGATGCAGCAATCCCCGTCGCGATAGCTTTGCGCAAGGAACTTGCGGGAGGATAGCCACTGATGGGATATAGAGACAGCCGCTGCCGAGGCCAATGCAGAGTCGGCTTGAGCGAAAGGAATTTGCCAATATTCAGTGCATAGGCGCAATGTGATAAAGCCAATAACAGCAAGGCCAGAGCCTGTTGTGATTAACGCGCAGAAATAGCCAGCGTCATATAGTGGACCGGTGACAACCCCAACCAGCAACAACAAAAAGGCTTGTATAGCTCCGATTCGTGAAATACTCGAAAGCGACTGGTTAGAAAGAAGGTATGTTTCGTAGTAGGTCTGAGAAACTCCGAATGTATTGACGACGTCCCTTAATGGTTGTTAATGAGTCATTGGTGTTGGTCAGGGAGATGAAAGATCCATACCAGGAGTCAAAGAAAAGAAAGAAAGATCCCATAACTTGCATCCAAGCCCGAAGGCCTCCATTCGGTGGTGCATCGTATGCTGTGACTTCGATATTCTTGGGTGTACGTTGATGAAATTCGGGGTTGCTCTGCCCTAACCCCAAATTCGAGTCAATTGAAGGTGCCATCATGATGACTTTTCTCTTTTGTGGGCACAGGCTAGCATATGGGGAGGGCTCCTGTGACATGGACAAACTAATTCTGTTCATCGGCAGGTAAGTATTTATACAGATAGAAATGCCTGACAAAATCAAAGCGGCTGCCTCGCTCAGACTCGGATTCGGCTTCGGCTTCGGATTCAACTGTCTTGAGTATGTGATGTAACAAGCCATCAGAAGATATGAATACGTTGAGCACAGTAGGAAAGAAGAAAGCTAATACATTCTCCCGGTCAATCTACTCCACAGAAACGAAGCAGACAGCACCGAGCACCGAAAATAGGGAAGCACGTCATCAAACAGAACTATCAGGCCGTGAGCAAATACTATCATACATAGCAACTATTCGCAAGGCCAAGCTTGCCAATCGTGCAAATAAACGTGAGACCGTCAGATGCGTCAGAAAAATCGTAAATCGGAAGAAAATAGAACATGCTCATAAGAACTGGTGCGACGCTTCTGCGCACAAGAAGCAAAATTTCAACATAGATATAATTAATAGCAACAGACAAAGCACGGGAAAACAGGACATGGCTCTAGTTTTCGTAACAGCAGAGACCGAGACGCCGAGGATACCTTGCTCCCAATCATGACAAAGCACAGCACATCGTTGAACATGGGCACGTAGACTCCGGAACTATGTACGACAAAATGACGAGTGTTAATGAGGCGGGCGCGGGGTACCATCGTCAGGGCTCATCAGAGAAGGGTAATTTTGATGCTCCCCGAGGTAATTCAGGACATCCTGTGGAAGATATTCTAGCCAGGGAAGAATCTCCCCATTGAAGGCAAACGGTAACTGATCCTGTTGCTGAAGAGTAGCCATGTCGATATCCTGGCTCCCAATCATAACATCGCCGTGGGGTGCGGTAACTGGATGGAATTCGGGCCTAGTGGCCATATGTTCACCACTGACATGTTGCTCATTGTGAGCGGATGTGATATTGTAATTAAAGGGCGCCGACTGAGGCTCGAGTCTAGTTGAAGGCATGTTGTGAGGAAATGTGGGTTGAGAAGGTGAAGGGCGAGATGTGGAAAACGAAGTGTTGAGGCCCAAAAGGAGGTTCGCATCGGAGGTGGAGACTCGCCCTGAAGGCAACGGAGAAAACTTCGCTGACGCCGCTGCCATTGTGGGATTAGGTGTTGCAGATGTCGTTCGAGCCTGCTCGAGCGATTGAGAGAATGAACCCGAGCCTGAGCTGGAGCTGGGCTGAATGGGTAGAGGAGGGTAGCTGTGGCTGTATTGCGACGAGTACGCGGGTTTGGGAACAGAATCTACTGGCGCCGCAGGCATTTGGTATAGCAAGCTCAGATTAGGCTGTGACGAATTGGTGGCTCCTGTAAGCGCCCAACCAATTGCTTAAGGCACAACGCAAGTCAGCACATGTATTGCGAGGGAAGGAAGAAAGACGTTCCCGGTTATCTTACCTTGACTAGGGTCTATCTTTGGAGACCGTCTTCCATCAAGGGATGGATCGACAGCCGGGCCTGATCCTTCGGGGTCGATAGCTCCACCCCGTCGCCAATTCGATGCTGCAAAAGCTTGCACGGACGGTATATCGGCTGCACTTTCCATCTCTTCGACTGTATATAAAAGCGGGTCAACGATGCCCTTGGCCTTTTGATCTAGAACCGTGAGTATATATTTCGTCCCTTCCCAGTAAGTCTCAAGTGCTTTTAGTGCTTTGTAACATCGTTGATAGTTCTCTTTGGCAGCCGAGGCCAGAAGAATGTGCTTAGCGGTGGGTTTTCGGTCTGAACCACCTGAAGGGTCCATGTTTGGCATAACAAAACCACTGGTTTGATTGGCCAAAAGGGGCTGGCTCGGAGGAGAACCCGACCCGGAGGATGGCGATACGTAGTGAGCACTTTCCATGAGGAAAGCACACGCTGCAATGTACATCGGCTGGCTCGTAAAGGGGTTACCGATAAAACTCTTCCCATCCACCAGCTCGGAGAATGAGAGAATATCGGCAATAGTTTTAGCGGAAGACATGGATAGCTCTCGGCTGTTTGGATAGAGATGCTGAATTGTCCCGCCGAAGGAATTGAGGAGTGTTGGCTGGTGAAGGAGGACTATCAAAGTATGGAACCACTAAGAAGCATGTAAGCGCCACATCCAAGCACGAGAGATTGGGGGATATTTACGAAGTGAAGGAGAATGAAATTCGTGCCCTCTTTCGCCTTTACATAGGCTTGAAAGTTTGCGGCATTGAAATGAAGTCGGGGCGATAAGCGCTGATAGATGCCTACAAGACCACATGAGTGAACGGATTTTCAGATGGAAGATGGAAGATTTATACCTGTAAGATCACTTTCCATTCCAGCCAGTCTCTTGAGCGTGTCTGCCGTGACGTGATTAACGTCTTGGATTCCATTTATCAAATCCGTCACCCTCCCGTAGAGATGGATGACGCGGATAAGCGGCGGAAATGGCGCAGGCCAGCCGTTTGGGAGTAAAGATTCTGACTGGAGCGGAAAGCACAGTTCAATGTCTTCATCGCGCAGGGTCACCGGCCTTCCTGTCCCGGATGATATTACACGGTCGAGAAAGAAAATACTCCAAAAGGTATCTACCCTTTCCTTTTCCCAGGCCCGTTGATTGTCAACTCCGGGTGTCTCTTTCGCCGGGCTTTGCGAAACTTGGGGATCGTCGTACTGTTCTTCCCTTAATTTCCCCGCCTGTCCGGTCATTACTGCATTTGGCGTGACACCACTTTGTCCGTAGTTGTATTTCAATCCTTGAGCCTTCTGCAATCCAAGATCTTGAGCCATTCGGATAGAAATTCCCAGGTACATCCACAGGCCACTGTCGTGGTTGGAGCCGAATTCCTCGTACGCCAGCAATAGGCAGGCTTGAACAACAGATAGAGTGGGGCACGATAGCGAGTCGACAAGGGCGCTCATTGCGCGGCGAGCAAACGAATGCCCGCGATCAGACTTTCTTGTATCGGGCGGAGGGGCCGAGCCATCAATCGGGAGAGCCTGAGGCGGGCTAAGTAGAGGATGCGGGGAAAAGCGTGCCGACAGAGCGCAAACGGCGTCCACGAGCATTGTATCGATCTTTTTATCTTTCAAGTCGCGGAGGAATCTGTCTCGTTGCAGAAAGGGAAAGTTGCATCCCAAATGCATGAAGAATAGGTCGCATAGGTGAGTCACCAGGTTGCTAACGGGTAACGAATCGTCTCGGTCATAAAAGGGGATAGTGTTGGCATCGCGAGTTTCGCGGCTGTCGCTGATGGAGTTGAATTGATTAAGTCCCTCGTCAGGGAGCTTGGGGCTTCTAAGAGGGGATAATGACTCTACAATCATCCCACAACATACCGGTTAGACGAAATCACATCGCATATAGTTGCATAGTGCCGCAAATAGCGGATGGGTGAGGGATCGGGGGTGCTGGGAAACTAGGTGGTTCTGAGAGGCATACCAGATGATAGAGATGGATTGCTCTTGCGTGATCCGCGGACTTGAACAACCTGCAAGCGTTGTTGGTATCACATCGGCAGGGACTAGTAGCTGGCCAGGAAGGAGAGCCTACCATTTGTTTGAAGCCCGGGACTATGGCCGTGGGGCCAAAATATCTGAAATAAGGAACATGGGTGCGAGAGCTTGAGCTTAACGACGTACGACCTGTTCACCTCGGTCAGCATGACAATGACCCCGGAGCAGCTAGGCCATAAAACTATTCGCAACATACTACTTTCTGGACTTTCACCGGCGGTTTGTTGTTCAGATTCTTTGGTGGTCCGCGACGAGGTATCCCTTGTGAGCGAGGCATCCTTCGAGTCCGCTGTTCGTGAACCGTCGGTGGACTTTTCGGCACCATCACGAGGCAGCGTGGCTCGTTGCGGCGAATCCGGAGAGCGACTCTCAACTTTGACGGGGCCGCGCGCGTTGACCGCTTCGTTGGGACCGGGGGCAGGGGGGAGGGTAGGGGTGCGTGAGGCGGCATCGGATTGTGATCGAGCGTGGGTCGGTGGATCGTTGTAGCCCAAGCAAACATGGTTGTAATCGGAGCAGGTCTTGCACACTATCTCGTTCGGAGGGATCGGTCAGTCAAACATGGCATTTTATCGCTATCGCCACAAGAATCCGCAGTGTCTCACCTGGTTGTTCGCCCGAGCATCGTATCTTCCGCTTGCGACACGTCCGACAACTGGCCGGCGTATCAATGTCAGCTCGGGCAAGGGGACGATGATATCATTCGAGGTGCACTCACGCCGCATTTACTCGTCGCCTTTTAGTTTGAGGCTGGCCATCGGTCGAGACGAAACGAATCTGCCTCGGAGGAGGAACATTATTGCCGCCGTTCTTCTGGGGAGAAGGGAGGCTCATTGCGAGCAAGTAGTCATCCGTGGTCACAACACATTGGGCGACTCGTTTGATCCGCACTCTATAGCGATCGAGGGTTCGCGAGAAGGACAGCGGATGGGGTGGCCGGGGACGGAATGGAAGGACGGACGGAGCAGCGATCGGGAAGTTCCTTGGATAGAAGCACTAAGCAGAGATAAAAATCCATGGACGAGTCCCTCGTCGTGGCCGGTGAGATGATCGTCGGTTTGACCAAGGGAGGAAAGAAAGAGTGGCAGATGAGGGGAAGGACGTAATCTTTTTTTTCCTTTTGATTAAAAGGAATAATAACTGATGACTTAATAGGAATGATAATAATAATAATAATAATAATTATAAAACACTAGAAATAATAGCGAAAGGAATGTAAGGCAGGGAAAAGAAAAGGGAAAAAGAAATGGGATTAGTTAGCTCGAGGTAGACGGGGGGGAAACAGTCAGCGATTGGATTCACGATGGTCAGGCAGAGGAGCCACCAACAAGGCCCAAGTCCTGCTTGAGCCTGACCGCCCGGACTTTCTTTCTTTCTTTCTTTCTTTTAATTTATTTACTCTATCTTATTTGTGTTCTAATCTTCCGACACGTCGGGTCTACTTGTATGGACAAAGGAATACCTTCGATACTACTAGATGGGGCAGCAGTTACGACCAACCCCAAAGCCCTTCATTTGAATCCACGAACAGATTAAATAATTATAATGAATGATATTAAATTGCCAAAATATTAGAATAATTTTACCATACATCCAATCAACCCAGCCCCCAAGACGCCGGGTCATCAAAGGCTCATGTGATGGCATTCGCTAGTCTGCGACTCGGTGCTTTCTGGAAGGACAAGACTTCCTTCTGCCGCATCCTTTGCGAAATGTCAAGAGATGACCTCACGAGACGATCCCCCCTTAGTGTTTCCCTGCTGCACGGTCACTGGTGAGAATTAGGTCCCTGCAGCTGCTCGATCTCTTGGTCAGCATCTCGTCCGCCGACACCAGATTCAAACGGGCAATGACAGGATGCGGAGTCTGGACTCCGGGGAAGAAAGGAGGGAGAGGGCAAAAAAGTGGCACCTTTCTCCGTCCGGAATCCACCGGGGCTGGTCCAGTCGTCGGCCTTTCACTCCGGCCGTGCTGGACTTGCCCCATTTCCTGGTTTGCGCCCGGAGACAAAGGAGATTAGTCTACGTTTAACTACCTTGGGACGCGGTCTTTTAATTCTTTTCCTTTTAGTCTTACTACTACACATTATACCGTAGTCAACCATTTGACCATGTTGAATACACTCTAATAAATTTATTGCAACTATATACAAATCTCTCAGGTCTATATCATATGTCTAAAATTGCGGTCTCGGAATCTCCAGCGCGTCGGTAGTTCGCCCATACTGGATACCACCTAATCGACTGATCGGTTTCAGCACCTTCAGATCCACGACGCTCTTATCCTCGCCGATAGCATCGTCCCGTGCCCAAAACCTCACTCCCTCAATGATAGCCAACACGCCCGTTTTCTTCCCCTCTCGGTTCTTAAACTCCTTAGTCTCGACGAGCTTTCCTTCGATGGCCAAAACCGACTCCTTGACTCGCGCAGCCTGAACGACCGAGCTCGGCGCCTGGTGTAATCCCGACACTTCCCATTCAGAGACCCCATATGGCGCATTGACAGCGGTCGCGTTGGCTGCCTCGACAAAATGCTCCGAGATGATGTTGACCACGCACTCTTCCGTCTCCGCGAGATTCTTCAGCGTGTCCTTCGCGCGGTCAAGGGAACCGACAAAGCCCACAACAAGGAGAGGAGGATCATGGTTGATAACCTGCGAATAGCTAAACGGCGCCAGGTTGGTCGACGTGCCGTCCTTGGACCGGGTACTGATCAACGCAATCGGTCTCGGGACCATGCCGGAGATTAGGAACTTGTAGTTGGACGTCGCCGGCCGTCCTTCTTCGTAAGGGTCGATTTCGATGTGGTTCTTCTTCAGACTCTCGCCGCCGTCGTTGGCGCCGTCGCCTTGTTTCCAGTTGGGATTGGGCGGCTTCGAGTATGTGACTTCTTGGTCGCGGTTGAAGTCCGGCCGGGAGGCCTGGACCTTGTCGAAGTCGGAGTCTACCTTGAACATTGTTGGGGTTTGGCTGATCAAGCGCGCAGATTGGGTCCGTTTGTTGATGTTCAGAGGTTGGAGCTGAATGCGTCTCGCCTGTCTCAGCAGTGCACGATGCATGAGGAGTGAAGACGAAATATTTCTCTGGCTCTTATCACATATAACAGTGGGGAGCGAGGGGCGACGATGACGGGATTCCCCCAACGAAGCCGGCAGTCACGCTTGTTGTTGAGTAGTTCCACGGCATGTGTGGCAGACATTGCTCTATTTCCACGCTATTCCCATGTGAACTCGCTGAAATAGTACGTGGCAATACCGCTCACACTGCCGACCTCCGGGCCGATAAGCATTTGTCATCCCGACACAACCCCGCAGCCTGAGGCCGTCCAAAAGTTGGATTTCAAAAGGCGTGTATTGACTATTGGGGTTGAAGAATAGTAGGTCCAGCACAGCAGCAGTCCAGTCCGGAACCTCAATTCGATTGAGCTTCGAGCGTCGCCCTCGGCCGCAGGAAGGCGAGCGCCGCGTTCATTCGGCGCAGATTCAGGTATCGCGATACATTGGATCATGATTAGACCCAATGCCTCGAGGACTGACGCATTGCGACATCGTAGGTGCCGGGAATAATAACTAACTTACGAATGTCAAAGGGATTGAAGCATATCTAGCGGTCCTAGACAAGTTCGGTAGGTCACTCGGTATGCAAGCGCATGGCAGAAACAAGCGGTGCGTGCACGGGCGCAATGATTTTCTTATTTTGACTAAAGTTTCTGGTATGACTATGTCATTGGAATATCGGCTCTGTCTGCATCTGACTACACTATAAGATGTCGAGTTGCAGCCTTGCAGCAGAACCAAGGACCCATATTTGCGGCTGAAGCAGTGTGTGCGAAGCAGCCAGTGCGTGTACAGATCAAAACCACTGGAATCTGACTCTTCCCAAGGGTGAGATTCACAGGGGTGAGATGATGCGAGGGCGACCAAAAAAGCAAACATGCACCGATAAACAAAAGCGCTAGTTGGTTAGCTGCGTGCATTAGTGTAACTAAAATATAAAAATGACTGCTACTGTGTACACCGTACACCGTACACTTCATCAATTCTCTAGTTTTCCCTCCTCGTCTTACTCTAATCTGAATCCTACATCTTCCCCCTTTCTCTGCTCCCCTCCATCGTCTGAGAACTCTTCACCCCGTTTGGTCATGTCTACTAGCAGTGAAGTGACCCGCTGGGCGCAGTTCCTCGACCAGAACAATGGCATCGAGTTCGTCTGGCTGCAGTATATAACTTACAGCGCTACCGCCATCGTGCAGATCATGCCGGTCGATCGATTCACGAAGTTAATTCAAGACGGCCAGAGCCTTCCTATCACCAAGGCCATTTACCATTTACTGCCCGGCGATGTCTTGGCCGACGGCGCCTTACCCAGCGGCGCGTGCTATCTCAAACCCGACCTCTCGACGCTGTATCGCCAGCGAGGCTCGAACTCCCACCGAGCGGTGGTCATGACATCAAGTCTAGACAGCGACGGCAAACCGCTCGCCGAATGCGCGCGGTCTCGACTCGACACCCTGGTCCATCTGTTGATGGAGCAGTCGGCATACTTTCCTCTGGTGGGGTTCGAGATGGAAGTCGTCTTCCTACGACGCGTCCGTCGAGAGGGGAAAGTGGTGGGCTACGAGGCACCGAGCACGAACCACTCCGTCTTCAGCATGACAAGCGACGATAAACAGGCGATGGGTCTGATCGAAGAAGTCGCAAGAGCGTTACTAGAGGCAGGGATCGAGCTGGAGAAATTCCACGCCGAGTCGGCACCGGGGCAGTGGGAATTCGTCCTCCCGAAAGACACGCCCGTCATAGCAGCCGATACTTTACTGAAGGCCCGCGCCATCATTTCCGACGTCGCGGAGAAGTACGATATGCGGGCGACCATGCATCCGCGGCTGTTCCCAACCACCGCCGGGAGCGGAATGCATTCGCACATCTCCGTCAATCCGATTGACGACAGTCGGGACCTAGTCGGCGCGGAACAATTCTTCGCGGGCATCATCGAGCATTTCCCGGCCGTGCTGGCGTTCAATCTCGCGCATGACGCTAGCTATAATCGAGTGCAGAGCGGTACCTGGAGTGGCGGAGAATATGCGGCCTGGGGCTGGGAGAACAAGGAGATGCCACTACGGCGGATCACGACTAATAGATTTGAGGTGAAATTGCTAGATGGGCTGGCGAACCCCTACCTTGCACTCTGTGGCATGCTTGCCGCTGGAATCGATGGGTTGAGGAAGGATCTGCCTCTGACGGGAGGCGACTGTCAAACAGCTTCTGGGTTGCTTTCCGTTGCAGAGAGGGAGGCCTTGGAGATCAAGACGCTGCTGCCCAAGTCGCTGACAGAAAGTCTCGATGCGCTCGAAGCTGACAAGGAGATGCGGGGGCTTGTAGGCTCAGCGATTGTCTCGGATTATCTTGGTGTCAAACGCGGAGAGGTTCGACATTTCAAGGGCCTGGATGATGAGGAAACGAAGAACTATCTAATCTCCAGATACTAAATGCCACTTGTCAGGTTTTGTCTGTGAAAGCGTTAGTTAGTTAGCAGATAGATGAGCTGAAATATAGCATTCGTTGAAGACCAAGTAGTGGTGTTCATGGTAAGGTAGGCTCTGATAGCCCCTAATCCAGTCAGGAGACGACGAGCTGAACGAACATAAATAGTTTTCCTTCCAGAAGGCACTAGTTTCAAGTGTATGACGTCACCACCCAAAACGGACACCCGGCTGAGGTCTGCGCTAGTTCATTTCAAGCCTAGCCTCTGCTATAACCTATTCCTATTACAGTATGTAAGCAATGCCGCTTTATCTGGCAGCTGAAGTACAGAGAAGGTAGTATTCTTAAATGTACTTGGCTCCAGTCTTTCACCGCAACTTAATCGAGCCTCAAATCCTTGGAGGAGTGTAACCATCGTATCTTTCTTATAGTATTTCCCACTTTTTAACTACAAGGCGTGGATCACATGTCCTCCGACCGCGGTCTGCGGCGCCTTCGCGGTCTATAGAGACTGGGAAGAGAACCCAATGGTGATTCCCCTTCAAGGTCTTGATCCCCAATTAAGTGCAAAATATTTATGGTTGTACTTCAAGTTTCTACGAGAACGGATGCAAAGGAGGAAGTCGTCAAGTCGAATTGGGAGTAAGAGCAGCATTATGTAAGAGCGCAGCGTTACACTGGTAAAGCGGCCAGCGCCCCCTCAGGAACCGCCAGTAGGGCTACCGAAAAGTGGTCCTCAAGGCAGCTACGCTTTGTTCATCTTCGCGTTTTTCTTTTCTTTCTTCCCTCTCACTTTTTTCTTCTCCTCTCCTATCCGCATTCCTCTTCAACTGTCCTGCCTCCCTTGCCCGATCCCTTCCTTCTGCGGCTGGCCGCTTCTTCCTGCTGACTCTATTCAGCTGGTCTCGTGAGGCTTTTTCGGCCCCGATTACTCCGTACTGTGCCCCGCATCCTGAAGCGATAAGACTTCAATTATCACTTCTTCTCCGAGCACCCAAATCGGCCCCGTCTGTTGCCGTTTCCGACTCTGTACACCTTGTTGAAAGTATTGTTATTCCTCTTGTGAATAAGCGAGGTTTCGCCATCCATCCATCATGTTCGGAATCATTGCGGATCTCTTCTCGTAAGTGGGCTTTGCTGCTCCGAGCTGATTGCCGGACCGGTCCTCCCGGGAACGTGAATCTGTACTCTAACTCATCGTGCGGTATAGGTCAATTATCACGATTCTTTTTCCTATCTTTGCCTCGTTTAAAGCTCTGCGCTCGTCCGATCCCAATCAGCTAGCACCATGGTTGATGTACTGGGTGGTGCTCTCCGCCATCCTCATGGCAGAGTCCTGGACTTACTTCATTCTGGGATGGTAGGTTCTTACAGTTTCCTCAATCCAGATCATATTAAAGGTTTTTGCTTCTAACGACACCCGCGTTTCAGGCTTCCTTTCTATAGCTGGTTCCGTCTGTTTTTCTTGACCTACCTCGTCCTCCCCCAGACCCAAGGAGCCCGTCTGCTCTACCAAGACTACGTGGACCCTTTCCTATACCACCATGAACGGGAAATCGAAGATTTCATCGGCCGTACCCACGAGCAAGCCAAGGCCATGGGTCTCCAGTACTTTTACCAGGCCGTGGATCTTATCCGGGAGAAGGTCCTGGGCCTACCTCCCCAGCGGCCCGCGACCCCTCCCCCGCAGTCGGGCCCTGCATCTGTCGCTCAATCGCTTCTGTCCCGGTTCAACCTTCCCACTGCCGGCGGAGCGACCGGGGCTCCTCCCGCAGCCCCCAACAACGACTGGTTTTCGGCCATCAGCTCCGCGGTGGGCTCGTTGACGTCCACGAGCCAAAGTCCCGAAAAACGAGGCGAGGAGCTCTCCGCCAGCGGCTCCCTCTTACCCCGCGAGTTGGCCTCGATATCCCGTGGCGAGAAGGCCAAGTTTCTCTCCAACCAGCGAGATATGTTGGATGTTTTGCGCAATGCCTTGGCCAAGGAGGAGCAGAACTTGGGCAATGAAGACGACGGTCTTGCGTACGGCTCTTCCTTGAAGAAGAACCGCAGCGACAACTCCTTCGACCACATTGAGCATGACGACATCCGCGACCGCTCTCCCGGACAGCCCGCGCGGACCCCCAGCGGCAATTGGGCGTCGGGTTGGTTCGGCCAGGGAGAGCAAGGCGGTTCGTCGGGTGTGGAGTTTGCGGCCAGAGCCGTTGACGAAATTGCGCGCTCCCGTGGCTCTCATAACTAGAAGTAGTCCAAAATGTCTTTTCCTTTCGAATGTCAGCAATATGCGGGGTTTCCTCTCGTTCAACGTGCGCTCGTAAAATAATCGGCGTGATTAGAATGGCTTGTATGTATTTTCTCTCGATGTCAATCAATAGATCAGTCCGGGCGTCCAATCTACAAAATTTAGTTCCTGCGCAGGGCTAGGCTTCCATTATCTGTCATCAGATGATCCAGTATGATCCAGTTCCAGTCATACTCCGTAGAGTCATCGACGGTAAGACCCAAACCAGGCCATATGATTGATCCGTTCACCGAAGTTGATGACAGATTTAAAAATAGACGCGATCTCTGATCTGGCATGAGACTAAGGGCTTAAACCTAAGCATTGCTCCATCCGGTGTAGATGTAATGCATCAACAATTCACGAGTCGGTGTGGTTGTACCACCAGCACTTGATAACGTTAACGGCCAGCCTGTTACTGCAGATCCCAATGTTTGAATACCTGATTGATGATTGTTGTTCTTGGGTTAGCCCTAATTCGGGTGGGCCGTTTACTGGTGATACTCCGTAGCCGTAGACGCCATAGCCTTGCCATAGCCATGCCATACTCCGTCAACCTACTTTTCTCATTCTCCGATAGTTAGTTGGTTACTGGTAACTGAGGCCCCAGAACGAAACCATGCAGGAAGAGTACTGTAATGTCGGATCCCGATCGACCGATTTGAGTTCTGCACTCGCCATGTTTTCCGTGTCGGAAATCGACTAGACGCGAACAAATCAATATCCTGGTCGGTCTGCATTTGGCTCTTTCGGGCCACCTCATTCCGTTTGACTAGTCGGATTGGGTAGGGGATTTGTTCCGCTGGGAGGGTGTCTGGTTGGGAGGTAGGGCAGGATGATCAGAGGAATCGGACTAACAGCATTCTGTAGATAGTAGAAGGATGAAACGGAAACAGTCGGGAGTTGGTTGGAGGGGCTTGTTATTTGCTGGATTTACCGTCCACCGTCGTCTAGGTACTTGCTGCATGCACCATCCATTAGATCTGGACCTTCCGTTGGGTTGACTTGAGTTGGACCGCGGTAAGGACATATATCCGTGCGCCTGCAGTATATATCACCGATATTGAAATCCCGACCGGATTTTACGGTTTCCCTCTTTGTTTTTTCTTTTTCTTTATACCTCCCATTTAGGTTTTCGCGAGTACGTACTTTGTTAAGTCAAGACAGTCTTACTCATACTTCGTAAAATGCCGATAGTGTGAAAGAGCGACGGAAAGTTGGTTGCCTTTGAAGTTGTGTGGCCTGGACCTTCCGTCATGAGATCATGGCGACACCTGAGGCATCTTTGCCACCCGCGGATCGGGGTGAATGACGAGGCTGCTTGACGGATTTGTGAGTCAGCGCTGATAACCAACATAACTGCTTCAGTCAGAAGTTACACTTTCTTGCAGGCAAGTCAGTAACGTCTGGAAGGCGAACAATCCGAGCGTCTTGGCCGCCGTGGTTGGTCCGCCTCCTCCCGAGCCTGTTCCCATTCGGGCAATCAGCCTGTTTTGGTTGTTTGCTTGTCGTATCGTATTGTCACCGGTCGCCCGCTGCCTGGGAAAGATTCTTCAGTCTTTGCGTCTGGTCTGGTGAGGTATGTGGTGTCAAGTGCCTACTTTGGAGATATTTAGAAGAGAAATTATAATAGAAAATATCTGAGGTGATTCTGAGCTGCTATAGACAGTTATCGAAAATTATCCCCTCTATTGCATCCCAGTTGAGGCTGTTGATGCCACATCCATAGTTACTTATCATCCGTACCAGTCAGGTATCACATTACCTCCGCCACACTACATTTTTTTTTTCTTTCTCTCGTTAAGACCGTAAGAGAAAAAACACCACACCCGAAGAGGAACCAAAAAGGATTAAGGAAAAAATAAAATCGGGAAAACCAAAAATTGACGGTCGTTTTTTTCTTTCGGTCCCCTCTTTTTTTTTTCTCTTCCCTTTTCCTTTCCTCTCCTCTCCTTTTCCTTCTTCTTACCCCAGACCCATCGTCGTTGACCACGATCACGACGTGATTCTTTTTTTTTTTGTCTGAGATCAAGTCCCCCCTTGTTGGCGGTCTTTTTCTTTCCCTTTTAGTCAGGCTTTTCTGATTATCCTGTGGGATCAGTCGAATCCTTTGGATGTGGGATCTAGAGCGTGTTCGTTTATTGTAACACGCCTTTGACATCACACTTTCCTATCCGTCGTCAACTTTGTCTAGTTTGACTTCGTTCTTTCTTCACCTCTTACCTTCCTCTTTCATCAGATCTTCCATCCTCATCTGACTAGCGACTCTATTTATTTCCCTTTCGTGATCTAAATCGACCTGTCTAATGAGCTCGATCCCTCCCAAGTCAGGCCTTCAACCTCAAGGACAGAGCACCTCGAACCAGGCCGCTTCGCACGCTTCCTCCCCATCGCTCAGTGGGACATCCTCCCCCCTGCCTGCCTCGACCAGGTCCTACGCAAACGCGACCAAAAAGTCCGCGACGGACTCGACCGCCGCTCCCGTCACCGTGGGCGGTTCACCACACCATGGGAAGTCGACCTCAGAATCTCCTGTGAGCGGCAAACCCATGCAGCAATCTCAGTCCTCCGGCGTCACTATTGTCAATGGCGCCCCGGCCCAGGCTCCCTCGCAAGGCGACCACTCCCGCAAGCCCTCCGTGACCATCACCTCCGCTGGTACCTCCGGTTATATTCCCAACGGGGGCCCCAACAGTCGCCCCAATAGCTTGCAGTTTGGTTTCGCCGCCAACCAGCAGACCTCCCCCAATATGGGAAACCCTGCGGTTCTGGCGAGCCAGCCTCAGCCCGGTTTGGCCGTCACCCCGACTATGAACCCCCGTGTCACCTCGCCCCAGACTTCGCCCTCGCCCATCCCCCAGCCCGCCTCGAGCGGTGGCCGGCCACCGCCGTCGTCTTACCAGTCTCAGGGTAACGTTCCGAACTTTGGTAGCTTCGGTGAAGCAGGCGACAACGTAAGTCAACATTCTCTTTCTTTCTGTCTTTATCTTCTTTCATTTTGCTTTGGTCATTGTCATTCTTTCATATTCATCTCACTTTTACCTTTGTGATTGTTTGATTCTTTTTCTGCTTTTCTTTTTCTTTTGGGAACAAGGGTAAAACGGGAGACCGAAAAAAAAAGGGAGGGCCCAGAGGGGAAAAACAAGAAAAAACATTTCAAACGCGAAGATCATGCCCTTTTCTTGGCATACCGTGAAAATTCCTGGGATTAATAATAATGTTCATCCATTAGCAGCAGATGCGCCCGAATGCTCAGGCCCCCCTTGGTCCCGGACCTCAGTCGACTCATCTGCGACGCGAATCGTCTCAGTCGACACACAGTGACATGAGTAACCACATGGGTAGCGGTCCGGGAGGACGCGGTGGCTATTCCCACCAGGGCGGTCGTGGTCGCGGGTACTCCCAGTCGGGAGGCTATCAAGGCCAGATGCCTTACTCCCCCAACCCCAGCTTCCGCACGCCTAACCAGCCTCGCGGTGGTCACCAGATGGGTCCGCAGTTCCACGGCCCTAATCAAGGTCGCCCGCTGGGCTCTTTCCCCCACTCGCCGCAGGCTAATCGCAGCCCTGCGTTAGCCAGCGCTCATCCGGCGACGCCCCAGATGAACCAGGTCCCCATGGTGCCTCCGCAGATGCCTCCCCAGCCCTACAGCAACTACGGCCCCCATATGGGCCCGCAACCTGTGAGGACCCATTATTCCCAGAAACCCTTTCGTCGTGGCCCATTCCCGCATAAGAAGAAGCAAGCACAGCACGTGTTACAATCCCCCAATTTGCATTTGCCCCCTGCTAGCATGCGTCTCCCTCCTCTACCTCCTCCTAATCTAGCGCCCGAGAGTGGTCAATTCGAGCAATATCTAACGCTGATGAAATCCAACCAGTATCCGTACGACGGGAACTACGCCTACTACAACCAGGGCTACCCCATGCAACAGTACATTCCCCCGTCGTCGCCGCAGACGCGCCCCGGTATGCCCTACAACCCGCAGCAGCCCGGCTACATCCAGCCCCAGTTCCCCGTGCAGCCCCAGCCTCAGGCCACTGGCCTGTCCCGGAGCCCCTCGCAGGTTTCCAACGACCGACCCGGCTCCAGCCTCGGTCAGGGACAGCCTCCCGCTGGTCCCCAAGCGCCGACCCACGCCCACACCGCCAGCCGTCCTTCGAATAGCCCGGCTCCCACTGGTAAGCCTAACTTCGTCATCCCCGCTAAGAAGAGTTCGATCGTCATCAAGGACCCCGGCAGCGGCGTCATCAAGCACTTCGAAAAGACGCCCGCTTCGCCTGCGCGCGCTACTCCTTCACCTGTCAAAATGGCCACGCCTACGGCGACTCCCCCTCCTCGCACCGGTAGCGGAACCGACCACACCCGATCCGACTCCAAGAGCGTTAAGACGGACGAGGAGAAGAAGCAGGAGCTGAAGGACGCTGTGCGCCAGAAGATCGAGCAGGACGAGGCGGATCAGCGCCGCAAGGCCGAGGAAGAGGAGCTCGCAGCCAAGCAGAAGAAGGAGGCGGAAGAGGCCGCCCGCAAGAAGGAAGAAGAGGAGGCTGCCCGCAAGCAGAAGGAGGCGGAAGAGGCCGCTCAGAAGAAGGCCGCCGAGGAGGAAGCCGCCCGAAAGGGTCTCGAGGATCTCAGTCTCAAGGACAAGAAGGAGGACTCCAAGCCCGCCGCGGCCCCTGCAGACGACGAGGATGACATCGATTACGATGCCCTGGAGGCCGAAATGGCCGAACTCGAGGCTAAGGAGGCTGCCGCCGAAGCGGCTTACTACGCCAAGAAGCAGGCGGAGAAGGAGGAGAAGGAGCGCAAGGAACGCGAAGAGGCCGAAGCCTACGAGGCGAACATGAAGAGTGCCGAGCGCGAGGCCGAGGCACTGGAAGAGGCTAAGATGAAGAAGCAGCAGGCGGGTGAGCAGGATGACAGTAGCAAGGACCTGTTCGCTTCCCTGAAGAAGGGTGGATTCCCTGCCACGCAGAGCAGCACGCCCGCCGAGAGCGGCACCGCTACTCCCGCTTCGGATGCTTCCATGGGCCCTCCCGCGAAGCCCAGTCTCGCCAAGCAGAAGCCGGCTGCGCTGAAGCTGGAAACCAACAAGGCCGTCGAGCCGCCCCAGCCCAGCGCTGCAATGAAGGCTCTGCACTCCGCTCGTTTGATTGACGACCTGAGCAAGATCACCTACCCCGCCTCCATTGTGTCCCCCAACCCGGCCCTGAATGCCAGCGCTCCCGCCGACCGCAAGTTCCACTACAACAAGGAGTTCTTGCTGCAGTTCCAGTCCGTGTTCAAGGAGAAGCCTTCCATCGACTGGGACTCGCGGGTCCGTGAGACGGTGGGAGATAGCGACTCGTCGCGTCCCCAGTCCGCTCGTACCCCCATGATGGGTGGCCGCAACAGCTCGCGTGGCGGTGTCGGCCAGGGATTCGACATGGGTAAGTTTGGTCAGCCTGCTGCGCGCCAGAGTCTGCCTCCCGGCTCGACCTCTGAGCAGCGGTTTGCTCTGGCAAACGCTGCTCGCACCGCCTCCGTGGGTAACCCCTTCGGTCAGTTTGGCCGTCCCGGTATGGGCATGTCTCCTTCTCTCAGCCGAACCAACTCCGCCAACGCCATGCACCCCGGAATGCCCTCCTCGCCGCGCATGTCGAGCAACCGCTCGAACACCCGAACCGGCAGCAAGCGTGACAAGCACCAGGCCAAGAAGGAAGAAGAGATGCTCAAGACGATGCCGCTCACGGCCGGAAAGGAGGTCCAAGCTCTTCAGGTCTCCACCACCGGCTGGAAGCCTCGCAGCGTGGGACAATCTGCCACTGCCGGTCCTACTCCTGGCGGCGGTACTCACATGCCTCCCGATATGGTGCAGCGTAAGGTCAAGGCTGCTCTGAACAAGATGACCCCTGAAAACTTCGAAAAGATTGCCGGTCAGATTCTTGAAATCGTGTCCCAGTCTAAGGACGAGTCCGACGGACGGACGCTGCGACAAGTCATCCAGCTCACCTTCGAGAAGGCCACCGACGAGGCTCACTGGGCCTCGATCTATGCTAAGTTCTGCAAGCGTATGCTTGAGAGCATGAGCATGGACATCAAGGACGAGAACATCCGTGACAAGAACGGTAACGTCGTCGCCGGTGGTAGCTTGTTCCGTAAGTATCTCCTCAACCGCTGCCAGGAAGAGTTCGAGCGTGGCTGGAAGGTCAACCTGCCTGAGAAGCCCGAGGGTCAGACGGAGGAGGCTGCTATGATGTCGGACGAGTACTACAAGGCTGCCGCCGCCAAGCGTCGTGGGTTGGGTCTTGTTAAGTTCATCGGTGAACTGTACAAGCTGGGCATGCTTACGGAACGTATCATGCACGAGTGTGTCAAGAAACTGGTGGACTATGAGGGTGTGCCTGACGAGGCCGAGGTCGAGAGTTTGACCAGTCTCCTGCGCACCATCGGTGCCAGTCTTGATACTTCTGAGAAGGGTCACGCTATGATGGATGCCTACTTCCATCGCATCAACCTGATGGTCCAGACTCCTAACCTGCCCAGCCGAATGCGTTTCATGCTTATGGTGAGTCCCTTCAAACCTACCATCTCTAGCGTTTCTTTTCCCATTTTCTAACCCGGTGGCTTCTTTTTTTTTAGGATATCATTGATCTGCGTAACGGCCGCTGGCAGTCCAAGGATGCCGACAAGGGCCCCAAGACCATTCAACAGATTCGTGAAGAGGTATGTCTATGATGTTGTCCGATATCGATAATCGATTATCTAACCGTTTTTCTTAGGCTGCTCGCGCTCAGCAAGAGGCCGAAATGGAGCGTCTTCGCCAGCAAGCTTCTCGCGGCGGTCGTCCCAACATGGGCCGTGGCGATTCTCGTAACTTCTCGGGCGGTTACGGTAACCAGGCTCCTCCTCCGGACTACGCGTCCAGCAAGGTCGGCAGTGACGATCTCCGTCGTCTGCGGACCACCCGCAACACCAACCAGCCCATGTCTTTTGGCCCCTCGAGCATGCTCGGCTCTCGAAGCAACAGTGGCCGGAAGAACCTTGGCCCCGGAGGCAACCTGGTCCGTGGCAGTGACGACAGCGCTGCTAGCAGCCGAAACGGAACCTCTGGCAAGAAGGAGGACAAGGAGGCCGCTTCGTCGATGAACGCGTTCAGGTAGGTTTCATCTTGCTGTCCTTGTGTCATCGTTTTGATACTAACCACCTTTCTTACTGTTAGCGCCCTGGCTAGTCTTGAAGACCGGGACAACATGGCCACCTCTCCTCCCTCGAACCCCACCTCTCCTCAGTTGACCAAGTCGCAGCCGGCGACTGAACGTCGACCCTCCAAGGCCGAAGAGGCTCAATAGATATCTTCTCTTTTCCTTTTTTGGCAATGATAATGAAAAAATTATTTCGTTTCTTCTGGAAAGACTACTTCTTTGCTTTGTTGACATGCTGATGTCCCGTCATGACATTCATGTCATCTGAACATTCCTCCCTTTCTCGTCCATGATTTCTTTCGACTCAAAAGAATCGGTTGCCCATCTCCTTCCCCTTTTCTTTATGATTTTGTCTTCTTCATGCTCTTTATCATTCCATTCCCTGGGAGAGTGAGAGGGGGTCATCCGATCTATAATGTACAATGAATGTGTGCTTGTCCAAAATGGAAAAGAAAAAATTTCAAAAATTGGTTGAAGGGAATCGATCAAGAGCCCGTAATGGGAGGTGAGGAAGTGGTGAGCGGTGAACAAGAAACAGAAACGTTTTGCTTGTGAAGGATCTTCACGAGATAGGTTGGTGCGCTGGGCTAGGAAGTGTTCTTCTTGCCATTCTTCCTATTGCTGATGTCTTTTTCAACTTTTACTTTCCCTTTTCTCATATGATGCATTTCAATACCCGGAGAGCTTTACGCTGATGCTCCTTTCCCTTTTTTCTTCTGGTACTGGCGTACTTTGCAAGATCAAAGCCAGTTCGATCAACAAGAAATGAGGGATTGGAACATAATGCTGAGGCTTATTCATGATTTTTCTTCTGTTCTCGCAATCAGGTTCTTGTTTTGTCTGTTTTGTTATCCTGCGAGAGATTTAGTCCACTGTGCTTGCTCTTATTTTTTCCCGCGTATCTTCGTTTTGTTGTTCATGCTTCTTCTGTTTATTTGACTGACTGCATTGCATGCATGCATATGCCTACACTGGCTTTGGTGTGTGCTGGCGATTCGATTATCTTTTGTGTTTTGTTTTTTCTTTTCTTTTCTTTGCTCTGCAGTCTTGTTTTTCTGTGTTTTATTTTTTTCATTTTTCTCTTCTATCATGTTTTTAGACAAAATTCGCTAGAAAAAGTTTTTTTTTATTCCATTCATCTCTTCAGTTCTGGGCTCTTCTTTTTGTAGGGGTCTCTCTCTCTCTCTCTCTCTCTCTCTCTCTCTCTCTCTCTACCTTGACAATTATCTCCTGTTCATTTCCCTGAAGGTTCTTGGTTGTAGGGAAGTGTAGATGTAGAGTGAGTGTATAGTATCTGACCCATCTGTAAGGAGGAAGGGAGGGTTCATGATATTTTATTTGATATGAAAGTTCTTTCTTTCTCCTGTTATGTATGGTTTCTTCTTCTATGCCAATGTCTTTCTTTCTTTCGGGATTGTATACAGTGTGTGTTGTTTCTAGTTTAGAGGTACTACGTGTTGTGCGTATACATACGTTCTACTCTATTAGTAGGTAGGGTAGTGTGTATTTATTGTTATTGTTATTGCTTTAGAAGTATGGGGTTTCATCTATTCTATTCTGAATGATGGGAGTGGTTTTTTTTTTTTTTTTTTTTTTTTTTTTTTTTTTTTTTTTTAGGGGGGGAGAGGGGGATTTACGGGATTAGAGTTGAATATCTCAAGGTCTGGTTAAAGAAATGAACCGAGATACTCTAATCTAGGTAGATGATTGGATAGATAGCCTGGATTGCATTAACTATGTATTGCGTGTGATGCTAACGTTTGGTCTTCGCTTGCTTGCTTGCTCGCTCCATGCGTTCGGCTTGTTCTGCTCAAAACACGCCCGAGAGGGAGTTGGTCGGTTTGATGCTGGATGCTGTCTATATCTATCTGATTATCTAGACTCTTTCTCCTCGTGAGATAGATAGATGTCTTGTCTGATGTGCGTTGATGCCGATGCTCGGTATGGGGATGGATGTAGGAATGGGTTCCGTCAGGATGTTGTTTGGTGGTGATGCTCGTCTCTATGGTGGTTCGTATTTGTCTGTATCGCGCGAGCTTGATAACTGACGGGATGTCGGTCTGTCTGTGGGCTTGCGCTTGTGATCCCTTTATTTCTATGTCTTGTATACGATGTATGTGCATAGAGTGAGTGGAAGGGAGCTTGTCCTCGCTGGTAGGTACTCTGACACGGGTGAAACAGAGTGGTTGTGAGTCGGTCATCGTTATTATGGAGGTTCTTTGAATGGCTGATGGATGAACCGAGGCTAAGATGCCTGAGAAGAGAAGAATGATACGCCGCTGGGAGGCGCAGGAGAGCTCAAATGAATACTCGAAGCTGATGCCCGTTCAAGAGTTCTGGGTCTTCGAACTGGAGCTATCATCCGGGGTGACGATCACCGGGATATTATCTTTGAACCGAGTCTGGTTTTCACTGGCGCCCGTAGAGTTCACCGGCTCGTCTTCGGTGGTCGATGCCGTGGAGGCGGTACTTCCTTGCGTCGAGACGCTGCCGTTGCGATCGGATGGTTGATGCTGCGACGGCTCCTCATCTGTTCCCGTGTCACTCTCGGTGGTTTCAGGGCTCTGCGTCGCCGGGCTCCTGGCAGTGTCGATATCCGCGTTCGGAGATGGCGAGTCCGCATCGTCGTGGCTGCCACTGCTTCTCTCGGATGTGGAAAGGGAGCTGCGCGAGTTGGTGTAGGTCTTAGGCAGACCCAACGCCGCGGCAACCGCTGCCTCTTCACCCGGTAGCCGCGAGACAGTGCTTTCCGTGCTGGAACCGCCGTCAAAAATGTGACTCCCCCGTCGCTCGCTCATTTCTAATATATTATTGTAGCTGCGCCGAGTCGGATCCGCAAGACGCTTCTTCTTCTTCTTTTCGCGCTTTGTAGACGGTCGGACCACAATAACGGGGATCGGCGATTGTTGTAAACAGTACTTGGAGACAGAGCCCGGAAGGAGCCCTTGAACGCCACCAAGGCTGCGGCCACGTGTACCGACGACAAGGAGGGCTGGCTCGTAGATTCGAATCTACGTTTGTCAGCTCAATATTCCACAAGCCTAGGGGGGAAAAAAACCCCAGGGACGCAAAACATACCATGCGTTGGATTATTTCCTGAATCTTCCCGACCGCCAGTTCCAACACTAAGCTGATAGCCTTCTCATTCTGACTATTTTTCTGGATCACCTGCTCGAACAGCTTTTCTGCCTCTTTGCGGTACTTGCCCGCTTCGATTCCCGCGTCGCTTGCAATCGTCGAATCCTTCTCGACCGCGCGAAGACAGACAATCTCGTCGCCATCGTCCACCAACTCGTCGATCAGCCATTCGAGCGCAAAGTCCGAGTAATCGTTCTGGTCGGTGCCGCAGAGAAACGTACGACTGCGCCGAGTCGACTGATAGCCTTTATGTTTGTAGTTCAAGGTGAGCGAAAAGTCCGGGGCGTCGGGATTGTCGAACGTGTTGAAGGAAACACCTCGTTCGTAGGTTCTAAGATTTGCAGGGGGGGTCAGCAAGCAATGTTCACGGGTCAGCACGGGGAAGGCAAAACTCACTGCGGTGGCGGAGGCGAATGTCCTCGAGCTTTGTCGTCGTTCTGCTGCGAGCGCTTGCGCCCCGCGAGACTGGAAGCCCGGGACGAAACTTGTTGAGGTTCTGACCCGCCGATGTTGAACTGGATGGACTTTTGCCGAGGGTGGTGGGCAGCGTGGGAGATGCGCGAGGGTCGAGTGTCGGTGGTTTCAAGCGAGTGCTCGTCGCTATCGAGCGAATTCTTGGGCGGAGTCGATGTCATGGTGTGGTGGGTCGGGACGATGCAAGAAGGGAGGTCGGAAGAGGGAGAGAGGGGAGGAGAAAGAAAAGAAAGAGGAAGGCGGCGGAGGAGTTAGTGTGTTTGTGCGCGCTATAGAAAGAGCCGTCTCTTTGTTGACAGGTGATGGGATCAGAAGTGAATCAACCCCGCAGCTCAGCCACCGTGAAGCTCTTGAAGTTCTGCTAGTGGTATGATTCGGAGGTCGCAGATCATGGTTCGGAATAGGGGTTGGTTGCACGCTGGGAGAGGGGGACAAGGATGAGCTTGAACTCTCCGAGGTCAGCAGGGGCCAAGCTGGAGCTCGTGCCCTTCAGTCGAAGCTCGGCAATGGGCAGGGGAGCAGGAGAGAAGGGATGCAAAGGTGGAATGAACAATGAATGGCGAATGGAGAATGACTGAATGAATGACGAAGGCAGGAGGGGTTGCTGCCTAAGGCGGTGACCTGCCTGTCTGGGTCAAAGTCACGTTGGGCGACCACATGACTTCTCTACTATCCTACACTACTCGGGATCACAACTCCACCACATGGTTCGCATTTGACATTGACACTTGATACAAACTATCCCGGAACTCCCATCATCCGAACAACGCCTCGGCCAAACATTCCTCTTTCAAAACCTGATCCAACAACAGCAACCGACTAACTAAACCGCAACCCGTCTTTCTTAGTTCCTTAACTTCCTCCGTACTTCGGAACCCACGGCGTCCGAAGATCCGCACGCCCAGAAAAACAAAGCCCCCAAAATCCCCCCAAAAGTCCAAAAATCATAAAAATCCAAATCTTATCAGCGACGGCACCCACCTTCCGAAATGTCCGGCGGATCCGCTGAGAAACCGAAAATCCCAGACGGATGATCGTGATCGGTGATCACGGCTCAGAGCACGACAAGTCAGACGCAGGCCAACACTTCACCGTCGGTCGCAGGCACCAAGTCACCGCTGCAGATCCAGACCGTCAGGACGGTGACGGTCGCCACTAACTAGTGAGTTCCGGCGTCGACACACCCAATAAGTTAGTCGCGGTGCAGCAAATCACCGCGGCGGCTGATCGCCCATGGGTTGATGGATTCATCATGTCGAACGGGGCGGTGTGCTCGGCTGGCGCTGAATGATCGGCGGTGTCGAGTCTAGAGTCTAGACACGATAGTCTGCCCAACGATCGGGCCTGTGGGCCGCCGGGCAAGCACGCAAATTTTCTAGGGTCCGCCAGAAGGCGATGGAAGATTGGGTGAAGAATTCCCGAGTCTTGAGGACCTGGAGATAGGAGTAGATAGTAGATAGATAATCTGATTATCAGGAAGGGAAAATTGATAAGTGGAAATTGTTTGTTCAATTTCTTGTCCTATATATAATATTCTAGCTATGTATAATCATCATCGTTGTTCTTCATGCCATATTTGTTCCCGGGCCAATGTACAACAAGGCCCAACAGTGGGGAATCCAATGCAATCCCAAATCCGTCAAAGAGGAGAGTATTATCAAATAAAAAATATGCCCAAGTGCACTTAGGCACGCAATGGTCTGAACACCAGTAAATGCAATTTCGCACCATGCAAAGTGCTAAATCCGAAGTAGCCAACCAAAATGCCCAGAAGAAATTTTTGTATCCAAAAAATGATAAACGCCGGACCCGCTGGAAAAATGCCAAAACACACGAGGAAAATCCCAAGAGAGAGAGAGAGAAAAAAAAAGATTAAGGGGTATTACATCGCAGTATGATACAACGACTGAGTCGTCGAAAAGGAATTGAGGCCCAATCAATAGGCTTCAATCAATGGGTTCTGCGGTTGATTGGAGATGTAATACCCCCGGTCCAATTCGGCATCGGACAGCGGGATCTCGGTGCTTTGGGCTTCCTTCTCGCTGAAGGAGTCCAGGGTAGGTTGAGGCGGGGACGGCGGCATGGAGTCATCTTCCGACTCCTCGTCGGAGTCCAGGGCCAATTCAGGCGGTGACTGTCGGGAGGGTGATCGAGTGAGGGTCAATTCCTCCAGATCCTCCGCGTCGTCATATTCAAACTCCGAGTCGGAGTCGGTCTCGTAGTCTTCCTCCACTTCTTTCTCGCGGATGACCGCGACGGGGGAGGGAGCTCGTCGGCGGACGACGGGAGCGTAGAGGGTGGGTTCGTATTCATCTTCGCTCAGGTCGGAGTCATCGTCGCTGACATCCGAGTCGACGTCCGACAGGTCGTCGCCGTCCCAGTCTTCTTCGGGCTCCTCGACGACGGTCTCGGCCCATTGGATGCGGCGAGGCTCGGCGTCGGGAGTGGTCTTGGTGGCACCGCTGACGGTCTGGTTGAACCAGCGTTCTTGTTCTTGTTCGGCGGCGGCGAGGTCCAGCATGAGAGAGTCTAGGAGGTTGGCGTGTCCGACGAGGAGACGCAGATCGTGGTCCGCCCGCGAAGCTTCCCGAGTGAGCTTCTTGCGGGCGGTGTGGGCGAGGTAGTATGTCTGAGTGATGCTCATTTTCTTTTGTTCGCGTCGACGAACCAGAGAATTAAAGTAGGAGCTGGGAGAGGAGAAGACTTGAGGGCGGGAGGGAGAGGTAGAAGTAGGAGAGGAAGAAGGAGAAGACGAAGGTGTGGGGGAGGCAGAGACGGCCATGGCGCAAAGTCCGGCGTTGATGTGCTTATGAGCTCAACCCCAGAAATCGTGACTCAGGCAGAAGTCGGGCGTGGCTGTTTCCGGCGGTCGGGCGATCTCCCAATCAGAGCGGGGCGGTGAGTCAACGCTTATCGCTAGTACTTCTGTCTTTGGCCTTTGCAGCCTGAAGAATGCGGTCGCACTATTGCAATAATGATAGACGCGTTATCGTCGCAAGTCGAAAAAATCAATGGTCGGGCTGGGATCCACCGGTTGTCCGTTTGACGAGGCTAGCTGGCAGACGAATGATTGTTGGCTGGGCAGACTGGAAGGAGTCTGTAGTATCATGTACGGTGTAGGATTATGTGGATGGATGTATGTAGGTTGATGTTGGCTGGCGGACGTGCGAATTATCGGTCTGGGTGTAGAGTAGAGTAAATAATATCAAGAAAGGCGACTGTATCGAGTTAACGGGGCAAGCAGGAGTTGATATATCCACTTGTTGAGAAAATCCAGTAGGCTGAATCATTTTTTTTTCTTTGGATTTTTCATTAAACATTTATAATTGATTTCTTTTCTTTTCCATGTGCTAAAAAATTAAATCCACCGTCTAAGTCCGACACGCCGATCGGATCCCGGAGGCAGACAGAAACAGCGCAACCACGGAAAGAGAGATTGACCGCCTTCCCTCTGTGAGTCACGGATGACCAATCTTCCCGCGCCGTTCCCTCCGGTTGGTTTACTTCCGTTAAGATCCTGCCGTTGCTCCCGTATGGATTTCCAATTTCCGATTAGTGAGCATGTCTTTTCACTGTCTAGAGTAGTGCTTGGAAATCATCTACATTGTCTTTCTGCCATACTTAATGTCAACCACAATAATAATTCGTATGAAAAGGGAATACTAATTACCAATATCTCATCACAAATAAGGAAGTACGACTGCCAAGCAACGCCGTGTGTCCCCAAAAACAAGGCGCGGCTCAACCTGGCAAGTCATCATGACTCTTATTCCCCATCTCCGAGGAGCCCCTCAGCTGCCTCTCTGGGCCAACTATGCCCATAACCGTAATTTCGTATTACACATCGCTCGGTCCGGCCTCGTTTATCTCCATTCTTTACCTAAGGTTGGTCGGTGCTTCCTCTCCTTCCCCCGGAGTAGGTCGTAATCGTTTCTCGGATGACGGCCACCTGTCGCGCCGCATTGGTGCGCGGAGTTCCGAGTATGTACACTCTCGTCACCTATCAACTACCTTACCTTCTCTTTGATGCCTGCAAGAGATCACCACGTAATCCCACACACGCAGGCACGGAGGCGTGACACAGGCTGCCACATTCCCCTCCTTGAGGGGGACCCTGCGAGTCGAGCACGTATGCTTCTCTTACATAGGAAACTAATGGCTTTGCACCTTGCGGCTCTCCACTGGTCGGTAGAGAGGTTGGGCTTATCCCCAGATAACCCCCTTCCACGAATCCCTCTTGGCAGCCTTCCCGCCAAGGGGTCGATCCGCCGGGGCTGTGCCAGGTAGCAGGCAGAGAGATACGGATCTAGTGATACGCAACGTTGGGACTATAACAATCTACCCACAGTACGAGGTCAGATCGTACGAGATCAAATCAAATCTCCGACTATGAGGCGGTCATCCCCAGACCGGACTTATCTAACATGTTATCTACCCAGCTCGACTAAGATGAGACACACAGCCTTGTGGATCTGAGCCACAACCCGGAGGCTGTATCACGATCAGTGTCTCGGGTCTCCGTATCTGGCATCTACATTGCACAAGGAGATAGTGGATAGTGGATAACTAGTGGATACATACAATGTCCATGCATACGGGGCGATATACGAAGTACGAAGTACATCTGATTACTCCTGTCTATCACCACCTTGCTCTATACCTAACAATCTCCCATCCCCAACCCCAATACTTAATAGCCACGTCTGCCGTGAACCATCGCAGCATGTTGCCTGCTGTCGACCCCAAACAATGGCATTCTCGATCATAGGCTGCCACCGTCCCTGTCCGATAAGGTCATGACGTCACGACGGCGACCGATCCTCCAGGCCGGCGCAAATGATCGTCGAGACCGAACGCCCATGATTTCATCCGGTCTGGGCGAATCTGAAGAATGACATGACCGTGATGAAAAACCTGTCAGGGGTAAAGCCGGCAGCTGCAGCAAGGCAAAAAGAAAAGGGATGTTGCTAGAGTTGGCATGAGGTCAGCCAGTAGGGCTGGCAGTTCTTGAAAACAGCAAGAGGCGTTCGTTACGAGCTGGTGCATGGAATTGCATAACACTGTCATCCATGCATAACTCCCTTGTGACAATCTCCGCTGACTCATCTCATCTAACGTAATCAGTAAGCGAACCGGCCACGTAGGCGAACCGGCCACCCCAACAAGAATCGCCCATCCATTGGGGATAAGGCTATTCAAACATCAATTTCTCCACCAAAAATGTCTAAATCGCCAAAAGTCTTGGTGGAACAAGAAGGCAGGCTCTGTTTGGCAGTTGAGGCTATTCAAAAACATCAAATTTCGTCAATTCGTGAAGCCGCGCGTGTTTTCCAAGTTCCTCGGTCAACACTGCAAGAACGCTTCAAAAGAATCACATTTTGCAAGGAAACACGCGCCAATTCCTATAAATTGACTTCTTTAGAAGAGAATGCACTTGTTGAATGGATTCATTCGCTTGATCAATGTGGCGCAGCGTCAAGACATTTTTAAGTCCGTCATATGGCTACAATTTTGCTGCAGAAGCGTGGTCAAGGTAGAACTTGCTTCGTAGACGAGAAATGGGTATATAACTTCATTTTTTGGCATGTTTTCTTGAAGAGTCGGTTTATTCGTCAAATTAGCTATAAACGGGCAAAGTGTGAGAATCCTGAAGTTATACAGGTCTGGTTTCAACGCGTTCAAGTCGTTGTCGTTATATATAGAATTGCAGATGAAGATATCTACAACTTTGATAAAATCGGCTTCGCTATGGGCTTGATGGCTATAGCCAAAGTTGTTACGCGTTCTTTTTGCAAGAGAAGACCATTCTTTATACAGTCAGGCAATCGCGAATGGGTAACTTCAATCGAGTGTATTAATGCCACTGGTTGGGCGTTGCCCGCGTATTTGGTGTTGAAGGCGAAGACGCATATTCAGGCATGATATGAAGGCAGCCTGCCTTTTTCGTGGCGTATCGCGATATCGCCAAACGGCTGGACTAATCGGAAAATCGGAGAACACTGGCTTAAAGAACACTTTATTTCTTATATCAAGGACCGAAGAACTGACCAATATAGTCTCTTGATCTTTGACAGACATGATTCTCATTTAACGTCTCAGTTTGATGATATATGCCGAGAGAACAACGTTATTCCAGTGTGTATGCCTGTCAATTCCTCTCATCTCTGTCAGTCATTGGATGTAACCTGCTTCTCGTCATTAAAGCAGGCGTATAACGGTCTTCTTGAACATTTTATACGAATTGAATATCACCATGTTGAGAAGATTGACTTTCTTGACATTTATTCGGAAGCTCATGTTCAAGCTTTTAACAAAATGAATATCCAAAGTGCCTTCAAAGCCGCCGGAATCGTTTCTTTCAATCTAAGCAAGGTCTTGAATAAGTTCATCTTTTACAGGGAGAAAAGCCGGCCAAGCAGTTAAAAAACAACTTCAACTGTCACCAAAACACCTAAGAATTTGAAGCAATTCAAGAGACATGAGTCAAAAATTTTTCAATTGCTTCAAGAAACAGATCCTCTGGCTTCGCCTATACAAACTGCCGTATCATATATCTTCAAAGGCGCTGAGATAGCCCTGAACCGAACTATTCTTTTGGAACAAGAGAACTCCCAACTTCGTGAGGCTGTTGAACGACGAAAGAAAAAAGAACAGCGGAATCAACATCAGATGAATGGCTTGAATGGCTACATTATTTAGGAAACATGCGAGGCCTTCGTACACGTCCAATCTTCAGAGGAAGCAGCCGGTGATACAGGGCTTAAGGATGATCAGTCATGCCGGCGTGCGCCGTCTCGCTGCAGTAATTGTCATGTTGTAGGACACATACGAACAAGGTGCCCTAATCGAAACACCTGATTTCGGGCTTCAAAGAATCTATCTTGTATATAAATCAAAATTCTAATATAAGCATGTATGCGGGCTGCCAAGCTGGCCGGCTCGCTTACATGGCCGGTTCGCTTACTGATTACGTTAGACGGCGGTCGGAGTCGGCGTTAATCTCGCCGGGCCTCCGACTTGTCAAATCGACCTTCATCCGTGGATCGGATTTTTCATCGTGAACTTTTTTTTCTTTTTTCGCCTCGGACCCTTGAGCGGATCCAGTTTAGGGCTGATGATTTTTTCCCTTTCCTCGCTGCTAAAGTGCTAATGCCCGCGCCGAGTTCCGAATATCCTTGGAATTGACTCACATGGAAGAATTTGATGGTTCTTACCGGCGCAAGCTCCACTTTCTTTCCTTCTAGCCGTACTTCGTACTTCGTACGGGTCGTGCAGATTTACTCATTCGAGAATGGATTATGGGCCCAATTGTCCAATGCAATCCCTTTTTAGGTTTTTTTCGGAATTACCTCGCTCTCTCCGGAGCGAGTCGAGTCGAGTCGTGAATGTGATGACAATGAGATCTGACTGCGTCGGTGTCGGCTGGGAATGAGAATTTATTTCCTCCCCGTCAGCCTCCCCCCTGGTCTAATTGGATCTGGAACGGTGGTGACCTGCCGTCAGATAATGATATGATGCTAGCATTACTGATCGGTATGCGCCCGGGCTGTATACATCAGTTTCGGCAAGTCCGATGGAAAGGAAAGATGGAGTGCTGATGTGCGACAATGGTGGGTTCCGGCGCTCCGGACCGACAGCCAATGCTGACTTGCGCCGTCCTAGCCGATCAGTCATTGATATGGCTATCTTCTGTTGTCCTACAGCTACATTTGGTGATGCCCAGTGCATAAAGTCCGAGCAATTACTACATTGAGTAATGAACCTACTCACACTATTCTCTCCGCTTCCTCATGAGTATCACCATGCAGGAAAAAACTACTCAGGTTTGACCCCCTTTTTTTCAGCCACCGCTTCCACGGCCATTCACCCTGTTCTCCCTGATGCACCTCACACGGCAACAAGATTGCATGGTCCAGCGAATGTGGCAGACCACGGTGTCGACCACGCACCTGCATCGCGATGACGATCAATTTCGACACCGTGTTGAACTCGGCGCAGAGGCTCGTCTGAGTCCCGGGATATCCCAGCGATAAACCCACCGTGCCGTATGCGGAGACAATTTCGAAGAGGATCGGAAAGAGCGAAAAGGCAATGTCTTTTTCGTGTGGCTGCAGCCGTGGTCCCTCTGCCATTGCGACGAAGAAAAACCCCAACATCACATACCAGAGATCGAACCCGAGCTGACGCTGGATGTGCGCAGCGAGTCCACGGTTCGCGTTGGGTTTGGCCGCTTCGTCTTCGTCGTCCTCGTCTTCGTCGTAGATGCCGAGGCTCTTTTCCTCGTATACGTTGGTCTTCCGAATGGCGATGGCGATGGGGAATGCGGAAATATACATCATGACCACGAAGGAGACCTGCACGGCGGGATGCAGGTGACCTAGCGAGATGATGCTGAACCCGGCCGTGCGGGTGGACGCGATCTGAAAGAGTCCGTTCACGAAGCGGATGCCCGGTGAAATGGGCTCGTCACCCGGGATCTGAATTGCATTAGTGCCTTAATATCTGGTCGAGCGTACGATTCAGGGTATAAGATGCCTACCTCTTGCATGGTGTAGAAAATTAACAGGTCAATCGCGTTGAGTATCAACAGCACGGCGGCAAGACGCCAGGTTTCTGCACTAGGGAAGAGCAGCGTGAAGCATCGCCGTGGATGATTGAGCAGGTATTGCAGCTCCTCATCCAAAGTGGTGCCATAGGATGTGGCCTTGGATAGCATCCAGATGATTAACCGCAGCATGCACGGAAACCCCGTGTTTCCGATCACGATGAGAAACGTCATGACCAGCAAGGGGAAGGCATCGGTGCGGAAGGAGGCCATGGAGTTTCTCGTCAAAGTATACCCCAAGTCGTTGAACGCGGAACCCGCAGTGAACACAGCCCACCAAGAGGGAGCGACCTGGATGTCCGAGAAGATCGGGTCGTGCCGTCGACTGATTAGCACCCACGCCACGAACAGCACCGTCCCCAGCACATGGAACGCGACAAAGTAGCAGACCAGGATGATGAGCAGCGTTTTCAGTGCCCTATATTCGATGCCTCCCAGCTCCTCCTTCTGCGCCTCGTTCCAGTCGGAATAGCTGGCGATGGAGGATTGCCACATCAAAGAGGGCAACGGTGGCATACCGACGGCAGGATCGTTCACGCCCGAATCAGCGACTGATTCGGATATCGAACGTCGGCGAGACCCGATGCTCGAACGACGCCTGTGTTTGCTCCCCAGCTCTCTGTCGTCCTCAAAGGTGATATGAGGGCTAGTGGCCTGGTACCTGCGCGGAGATACCGCGTCGTCATCATCGTTTATCCTCCCCAGCAGAGGCTGCTCTTCATTGTTGCCCGACCAGGGTGGCACTATCGGTCTGCTGATATTCACGGCGTTCCGCTCCTGCTCCTCGAGAGCACCGAGCTCTTGATTCATTCTCCGGCGCTGCGTCCGACAGAGCGTCTTAGCGTCATGGATGGCACCTCGAAACCGTCTCCGAAACCAATACAGACGAACCAGCACGAGCAGCGAGTGCATGAAAACGACGTTGGTGACCATGGGCACGACCCACAGTATCGCCTGCTGCACGACATGGAGCCGGTTCAGATCGACGGGATTCAAACCTGTCTGGGTCGCGGCGCCGGAAGCAAGAAGCAAGGCATTGGTATAGGTGACCCCGCCCGGGAGATAGAAGATCACCGAGGCGAAAACAACCCAAAAGGAAATGTAGATGTAATGATGATAGAGTCGCAGGGGAGAATTATCTCGCTGAGACATCAGTAGGACGAGCAGGGAAGACGACGCGAGGAACTAGCTGAACCGAAAGGTGACTAACTAATCAGCAAAATCCGAAAGGTAAGGAAGGAGCGTAAAGACGTCCAACTTACCTGCCGATAAATAGGACGTGCAATAAATAGCAAAGACTTGAACACGACGTGCTAGCACAAAAGCCAACAAATACCTCGTCTAGGGGCCGATAGCATCGCTACGTCCTTCGTTTCTTTGCGCTCTTTAACCACAACCACTGAGCAGGCAGCCGACAGGAAAAGCTAGCTTAAATAGCGAACAAAGAAGGTTCTCTGAAAAGAGCGGGGAAGACGGAAAGGAAAAACCTGTTGGCTCTCACTCGAGCATTCTTTCATATGCGAGGCTTGAAAAGCAAATGCAAGCCGCGAGCTCCCTCCAGCCGGTCTGGTCTGCTCTCGTTGAGCACTTGAGCTCCGGAAGGAAAACGGTGGGCGGACCAACCAATGGACGGGAATAATCGCTCATTTGCCACCATTGACATCACGGTTTCTGAGGCTGTTCAACCTTAATGGGAAATAGACCGGAGAGAGTAGGAAGGAGCAGGAGGTGAGGATTGTTGTTTGGCAGTGGCTAGGTAGGTATTGAATGAGGCGTTGATTGACTGATTGATTAGGGCTGTCTGGACAGGTCACGTTGGTTGTGGATCTGGACCATCCACCTTATAGCAATTTAAGGTGAGTATTGGTTTCCTGACTTTGAGATTGACTGACTAATTCATTGCATAAGCTGCTGGAGTGGTATGCGATCGAGTTGATTGCTATGTTTTCCATGATGAGCCAAGCAGTCGCATACTCCAAATGACGACAGAATCACGGCATCACGGAATCAAGACCAGAAAGCTTCACAATGACTCACAGTCTGATTGACCAACATAGATTCTGTCGAGCACTCTCGATTCATCAAAGTCAACAACCAACGAACTTTTCTCCCAAACCGCCTCGAACGTATCCGAGTTTCCCAATCTCAGCCAAGATGTCTGAAGTAACACTTCCTGAAAGCAAAGCTCATGGTTTATTCTATATCACAGAGCTCCTGGAAGCCATTTTGCTGAACTTAGATACACACACATTGCTAATCTCAGCTCGCGTCTGTTATATGTGGAATGACCTGATCAAGTCCTCCCGCAGGATACAGCAGGCATTGTTTTATATCCCTTGCAATACGGTAGATCCAGACCAGCCCAGCATCATGAACCCACTTGTGGCCGAAAGAATATGGAGAGATATTATCTGTGCGCGACTCTCGCGAACTATACCCGAATACTTCATTTACTCCCCCGACATCCCACAACTCTCAAGGGAGAGAGAACAGGCGTATTTGCGCCCGGAGGCAAGCTGGCGGCGGATGCTTCTCCAGCAGCCCCCAAATTCGACCGTCATTTTCGAGGGGTTTTTTCCAGGCTATTCGTACTATAAATGCCTTTCTATTTGCCCTGAAGACGCAACATTGGCGTCAAGAGGTGAGTATATTCGCATGGAGCACATGGTCCATTGGGCGACCATTGGGATATTTATGCCAAAATCGCTATTTTACTTAGATTTAGGTCCACTGTGGATTGATGGTTGCAGGAAATTGGAATTGACCAAAGAGGCTCGTCTCACCCAAGATATTGCCCGGTTTGATCTCACAGTGAGCTCTGAAATCCCTTGTGACTTGTCTCCTGATACTACGAATGAGCCCTGGATGATTGAGTGGTGCATCGGACAGGGCGCGGTGGTGCTCTATCCATGGCCATCATAGCTAGATGGATTCTATTTCTTGTACTGCCTTGTTGTTTAGGCATCTGTTCACCTTTTTGTTTGTTGATATAGGGCAATGTTTTGGCGTCCACGAGCTGCTTGACTTTGAGTTCGTGAGAACGTGGAAAATCATGTCAGATTAACTAACACATCAATTCAACTACGAACCCAGCTATTGATATAGCGGCTATACTAGCGCATTGCCGAAAAGTAGAATTCTGTAGTCCATGTGTACAACCAAGCAGTCTTTTCTACCGGATATTCTGGTTCAGATGGCGTAGAAAGAACACGGTGCTAACCATAACACTGAAGAAATTGATTCTATCCTTGTGAACACATTACATCTTACAACCACCGTCCGATCGAGATAACCTGCCACACTTCCTTCACTACATCGATCGCATACCAGAACAATCCAGTCCAAGCCCATCAACCTACCAGGCAGCCACTGCAGCCTGGAACACCCCATCTTATCAATCAGCATCCGAATGCCGAATCGACCAACAGACCCCTGCAATCATGCATGAGAATGAGTCACTTGGAACCAACTCTTCTTTGTTATCTCTTCCTTCCAGCACGCCATCGTACGGGGGAAGACAGACTAGTAGCACCCGCAATGCAACCCTACTAACCCGCTTTCTGGTCGGATTGGAGCAGATCCGCTCGACGGTGCTCGGGTTACTCGGCGCGGGTTACTGCATCAGATTAGATGGGCTCGTTCGGGATGGGACTATAATCTGACTGATGATGGACAAGCTCATGCGTGAGGGGCGTTCATAGGTCAGTTACTTATCTGATCCGAGTCGGTTCGTGATGATCCGACTCGGGTTTATGTTGCTGGGTTCGGTGTATTTGTGTTCGGGTTATTTAAGGATGGAGGGTTGTCGTGGACAGACAGTTGGTAGTTTCTTCGATGGTTACTTGATCTGTGTGACGAAGAGGCTCGAGTTTTTGTTCATGAGATTGTTATCATGAACGCTGCTAAAGGACTAGAAGTATCCCCGAATGTGGAGGCCGAGAAGCAGGAGGCAGATTATACAGAAGCTCTCAATGCTCAAGCACAGCTCGATGTGTTGAAGGAAACATACGGAGTCGGTTCTCTGTGCTTGGTCAAACATCTACCTTCGCAGAAATCAAGACTAATCATAAATTCTCTAGGCAACCTGGGACAGCCCCGACGATCCCCAAAACCCCTACAACTGGACCTTGACCCGCAAAGTCTCCATCGCAATGGTCGTATCCTGCGCCCAATTGGCCGGACTTATGTCCGCCAGTATGATGGCCGTGGCCCTAAGCCAAATCGCCGAAGACCTCAGAATGAGCGAGCTGGCAACCCAGATCGCCTTCTCTGTGTACCTGCTAGGGCTCGGGTTTGGTCCGTTTCTTGTCGGCGCTTTGTCGGAGATGTACGGTCGCAAGCCGGTCTGGATGGCTTGTAATGTGTGGTATATCTTGTGGAATAGCCTCTGTCCGGTGGGGGATTCTCCTGGGCTGATGATGGTCGGGCGGTTTCTGGCTGCGATTGGAGGCTGTGTGGGCATCGCTGTGAGTTCCTGATCAATCTCGCAGCAGTCATTCTACGTTATAGTGCATATGAACTGATTCACCTACAGCTCACAGCCCCCATCATGGCCGACATGTTTCACGCCAAAGACCGCGGGAAATCGCTAGCCCTAGCCACCCTGATCCCCTTCCTGGGTCCGGCATTAGGTCCCATTATCGGCGGCCTCGCAGCACAGAACCTCCACTGGCACTGGCTCTTCTGGATCCTGTCCATCTTCGACGTCGCCGTATTGCTCCTAGGCACCGTCGTGATTCAAGAATGCTACACGCCTGTTCTGCTCCACCGCAAAGCACGCACCCAGACCCCCAACCTGCAGCACCACAATACAGATAGTCTCTGCGCTCAACTAGGCAAGAACCTCTACAGGCCTCTCCATCTCATGGTCCACCGTCCCATCATTCAACTCCTGTCCCTCATATACGCCCTCGACTTCGGCATCTACATCCTCATGCTCTCCACATACGCCACCCTCTGGATGAACCGATACGGCCAGTCCTCAACAATCAGCAGCCTCAACTACATCTCCATCGCCGTCGGCACGACCCTCTCAGCCCAACTCGGCGGCCACCTCATGGACTTTATCTACCGGCGGATGCGCGACCGAGCCGGTCCAGCATCCCCGCCCACACCCGAGTTCCGTGTCCCCTACCTCATCCCCAGCGTGGTGCTCATCCCCGTCGGCCTGTTCTGGTACGGCTGGTCAGCTGAGAAGCACGCGCCCTGGATCGTGGTGGACATCGGCGCTGCCATCTTCACCTGGGGCAGCTTCATGATCGGTCAAGGTTGTTTGGCTTATTTGCTTGATGAATTTACGCATACGGCGTCGGCGAGTGCTGCTATGCGTGTGCTCTCCTATATGCTGGGGTTTGCGTTTCCGATTTTTGCGCCGCAGCTGTATGAGAGACTTGGGTATGGGTGGGGGAATAGCTTGTTGGCGTTCTTGTGCATGGGGTTGGCAATTCCCGCGCCGTTGGTTTTGTGGGTGTGGGGGGCTAGGTTGAGGGCGATAGGGAGGGAGAGAGCGCCTTGAGTTGAGGAACATGATAGTATTTGAATGAATCCATGAATGCGAAGACGATATAGTTCCGAAACCCAACTCTCCCCAGGAACAATCCCATCCACCGAAACCACACCTCCATACCCATATACCTAATCCCTCTAAGCAAACCCAAACCAAACCATATCCTCCTCCCCCTGAATCTGAATCCCATGATCCACACCCCCCGCCAACACCCCCGTCAAGCTCTCTCCCCAGACCGTTGACTCCCAGTTCGCCAGGGGCGTATCGCTCTTCGTCTCCTCCGGACTCTCATACTCATACCCAAACACCCCCGCCCACTGCTTACACGTTTCGTAGTAGTTCTGCGGATCCAGCGTCGCGTCTTCGCTGCCGTGGTAGATCTGCATTTTGGGCCTTGGGCCGTCATACCCGGGGTCCATGGCTTTGGCGATGGCGGCCCAGTGCTCGGGCGTGGTGATTGAGTCACCTTGGGAGCAGGTACTGTTCCAGGCGTTTTTCTCGTCCGCGGTGCTGAGGAAACACCCTGCTGGGACGCCGGCGTAGACGATTCCGGCGGCGAAGAGGTCGGGGTATGTTGCTGCCATGACGTTCTATCATATCATATCATATCAACAAATCGTTAGATGTCAGATCAACAGATCGAACAAACTTCCCACGCTTCACTCCCACAGAAAAGACAAGAGGAACAGAACAAGGAATGAAAATACCGTCATCATAGCCCCCGAACTCAACCCCGTCACATACACCCTCTCCTCATCTGCGCCATACTTCTCCACCGCCCAAGCCACCATATTCGCAATCGAATTACTATTTCCGCCGCCATCCCTCGTCAACGTCGCCTGCGAACTCACATCCCAGCATCCGCCCTCATACGGACTCTCGGGATAGATCACAATGTAGCCGTATTGCTCGGCGTAGGTCGCGTACGGCGACCCGGTGTAGAACGCCTGCGCGGTGCCCGTGCACCAGTGGATGCCGACGATGATGGCGGGGTTCGGGGCGAGGTTGGTCGGCACGTAGATGTACATGCCTACGTTTGTGGGATTATCTCCAAAGTCGGTGATTTGTTCGAGGGAGCCGGCGCGGGGGAGGAGGTGTTTTGCATGGTCGTCATGGTGGAGGGTGAGTGCGGTGGTGCTGAGTGCCCATAGGAAAATGGGGAGGAGGGTGGTGAGGGGGTGCATCTTGCTTGATCCTTTTGATTGCTGGCTTGTTAGCGAGGGCAGCTGGAACGAGGATGTACAGTACTGTAGGAACTGCGGTGCCGTCCGACTATTGTTACATGGTTTATATAGTACTACAACGGCATCTCCTGGCGTTGACGGACGAGCGGAGACATGGTATGCAAAACGGGCTCTTCTCCGCATTGACAGGGATCAAAACAGTGAAGCGTGGAGTGTTGCAGAAAGTGATGCTTGCTCCGTGACGAAATGCGCTAGACGCTGTTTCAGGCCGGTCTAGCGTGCATGTTTAGTCGGCCATTCTCTAGCCGGGCAGTTCAGCCAAAAGGACCTGCATAGGCTGGAGGGGGGGGCATATTAGCCGTGACGAGTTGGGCTGGTCTGCAGGATTGATTCGATTAGAGAAATGGGGAAAAACCCAGGAGGCAAAGAAAGCTCTGAGCGAAGAGCCTAAGCATGTACTAAACCCAGCCAGTTAGTTAAGCACCCTGTGTTCCTTTCGAGCCTGTTGGTCTATAGATCGACCGATGGCCGTGGCTCTTGAAATGCTGTCAACCCTATCGGATTCATTTAGTCTGCTATCTGTATATAGGCACATATAAGAGCACTTTGAGCTGTACTCAAGTGGTATGAACTGACTTTAGTAGATAAATGTCTAGGTGAAATCCCACTTCTGGGTATATATTTGGGAGTCCTGGAGGTGATCTAGTCTAAAAGGATTGTAAGATTGACAAACACAATTAAAAGATAGGGAGGCAGAATGACAACAGACTACGTATATATATATGAGGAGAATAAAGTGGTAAATTGTACTTGGTGGTGTATAACAGTACTATGGGGACTGGCATCGGCCATCTAAGAGAGACTTTTCTCCTTGATTTCCCGTTTACAATATCCCAACTCAATCATACTATCAAGCATCTCGTCGAATCACTGTGCATCATTATTATACAAGAAGATCTCAAATTGACAGGGATTCGGCACCTCAGCTACATCCCCGCCGATGCTCATCATCCATTAATTCTCCCGAAGACTTCACCACTCACCGTCAGCATTCCCGACAACCTGACTCCTTCTCGATTACTCGGTCGGAGATATCATCGCTAAGTCCTGGGCCGCTCCAGAATATGTGCTGACCCGATGAATCGTTATCAATCGGCCGAAGTAGGGTTATTGTTGGGGTAAGTAAAGCTTGTCGCGGACGATCAGTTCCCATCGGCCGAAGAATGAAGGCATCGCTACCGCATATCGAGCTCCTTCATAAACCACCAGCTGGACTTGCATACACTCTCAATTCCTCTCAAGCATTTTGAGGAACAACATATTTTCATCTCATCATTCTCATCTTCACCTACAATGCCTACTCCCGTCCAGACCGTCGCTATTCCCAACATTGCGTGGAACATCGCGGCCGATATCTACTCCCCCCCGAACTTCGACAAGAACAAGACATACCCGGCTGTTGTGTCTGCCCATCCCATCGGCTCTTGCAAGGCGCAAACGTCTGGTGGTGTCTACGGCAGGGCGATCGCCGAAGCCGGCTTTGTGGTCGTGGCTTTCGACGCTTCCTTCCAAGGCGCTTCGGGTGCTGAGCCTCGCCTGATGGAGAACCCCGAGTTTCGAGTCTCCGACTTTCGCTTCGTGGTGGACTACCTTCAGACGCTTCCCTACGTCGACTCCAAGAGAATCGGAGTGTTGGGCATCTGCGGTGGAGGCGGCTACGCTCTCAATGCCATCATGACCGACTATCGCCTCCAGTGCGCCGTTGGAATCACCCCCGTCAACTTTGGACGCCTCACTCGTGAAGCCTTCGGTAATTTCGACCCAGCCGACACCCTAGAAAAGATCGCCAACCAACGGACTCTCGAGGCCCAGGGGGCTCAACGATTTATTCTGAACTATCTCCCCTCCACAGTTGCCGAAGCCAAGCAGGCAACGACGGACATTGATACTATCGAGGCCACCGAGTATTACAAAACAGAGCGTGGCCAGGCATCCAATGGCGCCTGCAGTGGTCTTTTCTCCTTCAATAGTGCTGCCCTGGCATGGGACGCTTTCAACCACGCCGAACAACTCATGACCCGACCGTTCATGGTGGTGGTTGGTGACAAACCAGGGAGCTTCGGTGCCTATCGCGATGCCTCGGAAATCCACGGCCGTGCTGCTTCCAAAGAGAAGAGTCTTGTTGTTCTTCCAGGTGTTTCGCATTATATGCTTTATGATAAGCCGGAGGCTGTTAAGCCTGCTCTTGGTCAGGTTTTGCCGTTTCTTGAGAAACATCTCGGCGTTGACAATTGAATGGTGGCTGTTAGAACTTCGGCGATGTTGTGAAAAGAATTGGCATGTTTAATTAGTGTTATGTATGTTTCAATGTGTTTCGCACGCATAAACCCTTACTATTCCAATAAGTAACCTTAAGGCCAGGTCCAATTGTTAGCAATGGCACAAATTTTGTCACTCATGATGAAACGAGAGTAGAAACCGAGATATAGTCTGATCTAATTTCACCCTTAAATACTTCATGCTATACTAGAGCGACCCAGAAACAATCGCACGCAGTCCACCAGAGAGCCGAAGCCCGAAAATGCCCATGGCGACTTTAACGGGTCCCAGTGGAACGTGGTGAGTCTAGCTCCTATCGCCGCTTTCATCGGCGTGGGCGTGATGACAATGTAATCAAATTTGGAACAGTGGATCTCTAAGCTCTGAAAGCCGTCCGAAACATGGTCCGAAACCTCTATTCGAAGTTGCTTTCGGCCCTCTCAAGGTAGGTAAAATTTCGCCCGAAACCCATCGGCCGATCCGAGGACACCCATGATGAGCTCTTCGGGTTTACCGGACTTTGAACCCACCATGACGTTCCCTTCTAGCCACCCCTTCAAGAGTTAGATCAAAATACTTGAGTTTGAAGAAGCGCATTCAGTGTTTGACTGATTGGGTGAATTCTGACCTGTCTTCGCAACTTTAGCTTCGTTATGTGTATTTGCAGACCGTTGACAGTAGGATGTAAATCAACTTCACAGAAGCCTTTAGGTAGAGTAATCCTGTTAAAATGATGATCTATGGGAAGAATATTCTTCCAGCCCCGGCTCTACAGGTACAGTCCCCAGTAGAGTCCTAGACCTTCCGAGCAACTATCCCTTGCATCACCTTGCCTAGTCTCCAGAATGCATCAACGTGCCACCCAACCGCTGTCAAAACGCAGACGCGTGGTGACATCTTGCTCCGAATGTTACCGAAGAAAGCAAAGAGTTGTCTCCCTCATCCTCGGATTTCAATCTTTTCAGTTTCACTGATAGCTGCAGTGTGACCGCAAATGTCCATGTAATAACTGTGTAGCACGCAAGGTCCCTAATAGCTGCCATTACGACACTCTATCCACGTTAGTATCCTTTTTCATCATTCATCTGGTTGACAGCTGCTTGTATTCCTGAATCTTAAACCTCTGATAACCGTGTATAGATCCAATCATGAGGTCCAATATACTGATAGGCCTAATACTCCCACGGCAAACTCTTTTGACAATCAAGACCGACCGAACACGATATTGCCGGCTTCGGAGGCTTCGGCTAACCTGGGGTATTCATCCATAGATAACAGTAACTCTTTTATGGAACTGACTCGGGTATGTTATACCAAAGCTGCACAAGAGCTCTGACTAACGGTGAAAAGATATTGCAAGACAATGGCGAGTTTCATACAATTGCTGCTACCTGTACTAGTAGTACCTCTCAGTCTACCCTGCAAGGGGAAAAGGCTCGCGGCCTTCTCGCTAAGCTACCCTCAATTAGCGTGATCAAACGTCTAGTTGATATCTTTTTCAACGATGTGAATTGGCATTACTTTATCCTAGAACGACCGTTTTTTGATGATTTATTGTCGCATTGGACAAAGAGAAAGACTGCGCAAAGCAGTCTAACATATCTCAAACCCCAGGAACTGACGAGAGAGTTGCACTACTTTCCGACCCTACTTTTCCAGGTACTCGCGCTCACACTCCAGTTCTGGGAACCCGACACTTTCACTCAAGATCAGTTGTCATCAGGGGAGCTTGCCACGTCACAGGAATACAGCGATCAAGGGGAAGAGCTGTTAACAATCCTCGGAAGACAGAATAGAACTCTTACTGCTGTCCAGGCTGATCATCTCCGTTCTTTATGGCTCAAGAGTCTAGGGAAAGGTGCCGAAGCATGGCATAGTTTAGGCAACTCTATAAGGTCTGTTCTACTCCCCTCTCGAGAAATCCTTGATCACCTAAGTTCTTCCCTATGCAAGCGCTAACGGCGAACTCAAGGCAAGGGCAAGAATTAGGTCTCCACAGACACAGAGACGTGACTCAGTCGGGTCCTGACAGTATTCCAGAAACTCTGAGTATTTTATGGTATGAAGAGTACAAGAAGCGCGCCTGGATGAATCTATTTGCATGGGATAGGTACGCTATAACGCACTGGCCCTGGCCATTCCTGTCTAACTTGCCTAGCTTTATGGCTATGATCCTTGGTCGACCACGTATGATCAATGCGGATGACTGCGATGTCAAACCACCAATTGACTGTAATATACCAGTCGCTCCCTCCGAGGCCATACCAGGAACCGTGCAACCGGGAAAGAGTAGTTCAGCACCGACAACGGTCTCAGCATGCTTGCTAAAAGATGCACTTGCCCACAAGGTCCACAAAATGCGGGCACTGAAGATCGGCAGGCCTTACACCAAAGACTATTCCGTTATACAAGATCTTCATGAGCAAGTAACTTCATTGCTAGATAATGCACCGCCTTATCTTCGATCTGAAAATCCTGACACCCGTTGGGACAGGGAATTTCCTTACCTCCCACTGCAGCGAGAGGAAACTTGGCAGCTAGTGAACTCATTTCTTATGACGTTACATCGACCGCATGTCATAACTCATGCAGAGAGCCGGAAAGCCGCATTGAAGGCCGCCCTTGCAACATTGGAATCTCAACAACGTCTGTTCGGGCAGACCAGCAAACATCACTACCCGCTCTTCAGTCTAGCATTTTTTACTATCGATGCCTCGATCTTACTATGCGTTATACTGCGCACGTGCCCACCGGAAAGCCACCAGACAAAACAACATATCAAGCATATGCTAGAGCAATCAATAGACAGACTTTCACAAGTGGAAACTGTGAACCCGGTTGCCAGATCAGGCCTTCGAGTCATTCAACGGTGCTATGAGAAAATCTATGATTCTTCCGAAACCCGCAATAACCCTTTCATCCCAGTCTCTACCTCAAAGTCCCCCGTTCCTGTGATGCAAGATACCACGACAGAGTTGACACCCCATTTCACGGCCGGAAGCGAAAAACATTCACTGTCTTTGGATGCATCAAGCAGCAAAGAGCCCATGCAAACATCGCTGACCCTCGATTCCTACGCAATGCCACATACCTTCGACGAGACGTACTGGTTGCAACAACTGGATCAGTTCCAGACAGCTCCCATACGGCTCCCAGATCCAGGCGCAAGCTGGGATCCTATCGACTTTGATTTCTAGTGTTTGAATATTCGTGTGCTTAACAGATTGCCGGCCTCATTATGCGAGGTTTAATGTAGCTCCTCTGGACAGGAAGCTCAGGGCCCCTGTTGTTAAAGTATGATTTTTCTTTTGAGGTGTCGAATTTTATTCACAGTACTCTATTATTGCCGGAGATGCGCGTTGAGGACCCCGTAGAGACGCCTGGTCCCGTCCACGTATCGCTGAATGCCCCAGTCTGAGCGGTGAAGTGGTGCGCTTGGCTGTTGGCAAGACTGTAACCGGCTACATTAGTAGAGACGTCTACTCGCGACGCCAAAGAGGCTTTGACAGTGTACAGACCTTAAGACAAACGTGAGAACGATAAAAACCCGGTCTCAGTTTATGGTAACTGTGAGTGCCAAATACACCATCCAAGATATTTCCCTTCATACACAGTATACTGGCTATCAAGGGCAGCTGCTTTTCATGATCATCTGTATGTCCAAAGCCATGGAACAGGAAGACCCGAACACAATCTCTACGCACAGTTCATTAAGCGTCGTCTTCGTGGAATTCAAGAAAGAGCTTACTAACACCTGTCGGTCTCGAAATGCTTAAACAAAGGTGTAATAGTGTCCTACCCGAATCAAGGCCGTTGCATGCTTATCGACTACACTTCTATAGTGTTAGGGAAGGTACCAGGGATTTCACAAAAGCAAGAAATATTAGAATTAGAAGGTCCTTAAGAAGATGAGAAAGTTATCGAGTAATCAAAAAGACCCAGAAAACTGGACATCTGCCTGGTTCCTAAGGGTGTGTTCTGAGTCCTAGCAGTGGACGCGGATACCTCGGGAACCGTTTCTCCAGCTGGATTAGTAAAAAAGAAGAAATCATAGTCCTCATCATCGTCGCCGTATATATTCCCCAACCGGCGTTCTTCTGCGAGGAGTGAATCAATATCCTCCTCTAGTGGGTGTGAGTCAACATCCTCTTGGCCCCAGCTAGGTTCCTTCACCGCCGATAGTGAGACGATCCAGCTCAGCTTGAAAGACATCTCGAGAAGCGGAAAGCTTGGAAGCGGGTGCGTCTCGGGGTTTTCGGTAGTCAGAAGGAATCTGTCGCCGGTTTTGATGAGCGGCCCCTTGAATGCGTGAAGGTATGCTCCGTCAACACCTTCCAGTCCTGCCGATGAGAGCGGAGTTTGGTCAAGGTTGACATCATCAAGCGGACCATGTGCTTCACGAGGAAGCCAGTGAAATTCAATTTCGAGCTCTTTCTGATCAGCGGAGACCGAGATCGGCTTGAATGCGCAGAGCCCCTTGGACCAAATATGGTAAAGGTTGGGGCTTAGAGAAATCAGATGCTGGGGGATGCAAGTGGTTGGGTTGGCCGGATCTGGAAACGCTGCCTCTTTCCACTTGCACACCGTCTCCCGGTCAAAAAGGACCGGCAGTAGCTCCCAGAACTCGGGGAGCGAGTCTATCTTCAGTGCATCGGGAAAGATTTCGTAGGCGAAGGCGGGGGCGAAGCCGGTCAAAACACATTGCCTTTTGTCACGTTCTACAGCTTCTCTAGTGTCGGACAGACAAAAAACTCTCAGCATCCAGAGTCGTGGGATGAGGTCGAAGCTATTCCAGAGGAGCAATGCTTGTTGATAGGACACTTTCGCTTGTTGGACAAAGGATTTCAGGGCTGAAAGATCTGACATCTGAAGGCACGCCCAGAAGGACGCGGGCACGGCGTGGACTTTGAGAGCAGACGCTAATTCTGTCAAAAGAGCTCGCCTCTCATCAGATCCATGTTGGATCGACTCTTGAACGTGAGTGTCCGAATCCAGTTTCATGTTAGAGCACTTTGAGCACTTGAGTACTAACTGAAGCTCTTTGGAAAATAGATGATCTTTGTAAGGTGGAAGAGAAACTTTGACTCATCGAAAAGTTTGACTACGATGAGGGAATCGTTACATGATAAGAACTTTAATGAGTGTTGGGCGGAATTCGGATCCGGCAACCGCCATCAATACGAGGCAGAACTATATCCAGTTCTTCGTCATTCTTTCGCTACATGCTCAAGCCGGAAGTCCCAAGAGATGGCAAAACATATGATCAAGAGGAAAAGGATTAAGCAGAGAGGAGTGAAGGAGTTTGTCCCATCTATTGAGTGATAACAGTGAAATCATCACCAACCCTGGAGTGAACACCGATTTTGTGAAACTTATAATGGCATTAACTCTACGGCAAAGTGGAGTGAAAGTGGAATTCTTGTAAATCAACACCAGCTTCACCAGAACGGCAACCTGACCGAAAGATTGATTCAGAATATAACGCACATGGGATGGAGTCGTGGGAGCTTCAACGCAAAGAATATCCAGATCGGGGCGCAGGCAGCGGAGCTCTTGAGACATGCGAAAGGGATTGGCTTACCTGCGTATGATTGTCGATAGTATGCAAGTAAAACGAGGAAACCTGATCGAAATATCCCCAGACTGGCGGGATCATCCATTCGTGTTGGAGTTCCAGAAGCAGTGCCTGCAGGTCGAAGGTAATCTACCATTCTACTCCCCAAATCGACATTGAAATCACCTTTCACCTTTAAGAGATTAAGAAGAGTTGCGATTGCTAATATCGAGCCTTCAAAGGCTTGTGTGTCCGACTCGAGTGCTGTGTACAATACACAGCGTCAGACTTAGAGCAACATTCAAGGAATTCGTTATTTTGTGCCCTGACTAACGAGGCTCTCTTGACTCTACTGAGGCATTTCGTCTTCGTCCTGGGAATCTTCGAAGTACAGGGAATCGAACAGCAAATTCAGAAGTCAGCATAGCCGATCGTCAAGATATTCAACCGCAAAGACGGAGAGACGTGAAATGAATACCAACTGATCAATGGGATAATGCCGTCAATCTTGCTACAAGAGGTTATTCATGCTTACGTCTCGCCCACCGAAAAGCTATGCAAAAAAGAATACGCGGAAGCAGAATACCTGGCATCTGCTGTTTTCAGATGAGCAAAGAAAGGTATACTAGGACCTTGCCTGAATAAAGGCCATCATGAATCTACACTTTCAGCACGCATTCACCCTACCCTTGGGGCCAACAAGTGACGCCTCCTACAACGGGCTGTTGTTGAGGGTTATCCTGTCATTACAAGCTTCTATGGAAGCAAATGGCCCGCACAGGTATGACGTTGAGCATCGCTCGAGCATAGAGTGCCTTTGGCGATAAGTGAGTCTCTGCCGTATGTGTCCGAATTCTTGGGACTAATGTTCGATGGACAGACGCCTCTTCATCTCGCAGCGCGACCCTGCAATTTATATCATATTTGCCGAGGCCGGGTCCCATTACGACCGTTAAATGCACCAAAGGGATGGCGTGGCCAATGTTCTGCTAACATTACTGATTCTTTCCTCTCCTCTCATTCTGGTAGAATGACTGAGATTCTGCTGACTGGTGAATCAGTGAGAAAGGCAAACGATCGTATTACTTATCTACTGCCTACGGGGCCTTTGTTGTTTCTTTTCATTATGATGGAACACAGTATTTATGAATACTAAAGCATCCTTGTGTATTGTATACTTCAATATCTACCGTTGTAGGAGCAGTGCCTATACTTCATGTCAAGCACAATGAAAGAAGACCATCGAAGGTTCCTCTGGCTAACAATTTTGGGTTGATGTAAGGATAACCAAATAACCGTTGGGGTCATACAGCTATCAGAGCTCTACATCCACTTGATATTCATACAACGGTTCCAGCTGTTCCTCGATGCTGGGTACTGCGCAACTCTCTCCCGTTTGTCCAAAGTCCTCCACTGTCGCCGACCCATTACCGTACTTGATGTGCACCGCTTGAATAGTGCGTTGACTGGGGTTAAGCGGGAAGTAGTTGACCGGCACAAAGCGCACGCTGGAATGCGAGGTTGTGACGACAGTATTGGGCAGGTCCGCCGTGTTCGGGACATGGTGCATTCCCAGATTCACCCAGACGACCAAGTCAGTCTGATTGAGACTCTCGCTGTCAAAGAAGTCGTCAAAGTCGATCGGTGGATCGTGAACGTCCAGGTTGTTGAGCGGATATGCCGAACGCTGCTCCCAGTCATGCTGCCGGGTGATTTGGACGTCGTACTCGGCCCAGTGTGCCGCGTTCGCCAAGTTGCTCGAGTTAAGCACCGTGAGATGCGCTGTATGTCCGGGCAAAATCTGGTAGCCACGAAACTCTCCATAGCGGTTTGGCGCGTCTTGGTTGACGATGTGAACTTGCTTGGCGCCATTTGGCTCCCAATTTAATCGGCCATCATCCTCAGTGGCAATCAGGGACCGTTGTAGCATCATGGTACTGCGCGGCCGATCGGACCAGACATACGATTTGGAGACAGGCACCACCGACGTTAGCTGCACCGAATTAGCCGGACCGACCACGTCGAAGTCGGCTTTGAAGTTCAAGACATGGTCATGCATCGACCCAGACAGTGCGTCGTGAATCTGATAACCGTAGTCGTCGTTGTGTGCGTAAAACGCCCCTATGATATAACCAGAATAGCGCACATCGATGCCGATGGAGCCGTCCAGGTGAAATGTATAGCTGAGGATGTAGTCATAGTTGCCAACCGTCGCCACCGAGCGCAGGGTAAAGTAGACGTTGCGGGTGGCGCCCGAGTATTCGTCGGCGATATGGTGTTGAAGTGGGTGGTCGGCGTTATATTCGAACAGGCACAGACTATCAATATGAGTGTGCGTCGTTTCGTTGAAGTAGAACGAAGAGTTGAGATAGGTGGCGTAGGAGGGACAGTCGAAACCCTTGATCAGCGTGAAAGTATTCGACCCAAATCCAAAGAAGGAGTCCAGAGGTGTCATGCCCGACTGTACCGGATCGTTGCCTGCGTAATGGGCCAATACTTCCTGTAGGCCTAGTTCATATAGGATACGCTGACCTTGGTATTGAATGTCGAATAGAGACACCCCGGTGTGGCGCGAGAAGCCGATGTAGAAGGAGAAATCCATCCACGTAACATACTGTTTCTCTATATCCATCGAGAACCGATTGCCTCCCGGAGCCACCGACACGGGGGGCTCTTTCTCGTCCTGTGGAAAAGTCTCGCCGTGTTGACCGGTGCGAGCCCAGTCGCCCTCAATGTTGGCGCCCAGCTTGACGAAACCGGGTGAATAATAGGCCGCACGAAAAGCGTCGGTAGTGTTGTAGAAGATGTTGTTATATAACCAGCCCTGTAATTCCCACTGTGAAGGATCGCGACCGGTCACATCAGACTTGAAAAAAAGCCCCAATGGTAGAAGGCTCTGGGCGTCGAATTCGTCCGTCGGTTGATTCCAGAAAGAATCCCAACGCACGACGCGGTCGTCGTCCTGCCACATAGGGTTAAACCCGGCGATGTCCAGAGTGTCGTTTTCCAGGCCCAGCGCGGTGCCGTTCCAAAGATCCAGTGTGATATCCGCAATGCTAGCGCTAATGATGTACATCCATTCTCTCAAGGATGCGAGGTCGGCGTACAGATTGCGTACCTTCCCATTCGACTTTCGTGTCCAGTCAAAGCCCAGTGGCGTCCATTGCGTTACATTCTGCTCGACTGGCAGCGGACCGACGCGAATTTCGGCGTAGTGCGCGTCAACAGTAGCACGATTATCCAGGGTGACACGGGCAAACCGTAGGGGGGCAGTGCAGTTATCATCGAGATAGGGCACGACTTTGCTCTTGTTCGGGTGCAAAAGCTCGACCAGAGCACTATCTTTGGTCAGCAAGCACCCATCGGCAGGTAGAGCCCGCTCTCACATGGAGTTATCCCAGGATCCAGCACTCTTCTCAGTTAGATTCAACTCGGGCTGCTGATGTAGCCATTCCACCACGGAAGCCGTTTCCTCAGGCAATAGCCCCTGCCAAACATTGGCTTTGGGGGCAGAAATCTCTTTGGCAGCATGTTGGGGGCACCGTGCAGCACTCCCAGGGGGACTCCAAGGGGGATTGCCGTTTTTCTGGCGAGGGCGAAAGAGGCCACGCGGCGCCCAACCCACTGAACTGTCATGTTCAGCCTGGGCACGGACGGTACAAGAGCCCCAGAAGAGTAAGAAGCAAAGCAGAACGAGACGCATCATTGGTAATCTGCCTGTTTTTTCCCGGAGAGAACGTTGCGTTAAGGATGGTTGGAGTTATGGAACATGGAGAAATAGCCCAGGGAGGGCCTCGGGCAAAGTTCATCATATTGAAAAGGAAGACACCTTCCCGCTGAGCACAGAATGATGGCAAGAGCAGAGAGTATGCTACTGTTGGAAGGCGCAATCCCGACACACAACGTGTCTATGATGTCAGATATAGGTCCTCTGAGATAGCACTTGGGGACGGGTATCGGGACTTGGGTCTAATTTTTCGGGAGTAGAGGCCCTTTCCTTCAGCATCGGAAGTGATTCTTGGTTCTTCCCTGTTGAGTCTGATGCTGACGTTGACCAGGTCTTTGTGGTTGGTATAAGGCAGCAGCACCCAGGCGCCCAGGCACCAAGATGAGTAATCGGGACCTTTCCTCTCACGTGACCACGCGCCGACCCTTTTCTTGACTCTTGACGTTTCACAGTGACAGCAGTGAAGATCACCAGCATTCAATGGCATTCAATTTGACTGTGAACCATCCTTATAATCGCTGCTCTTTCAAATGAGGAGCCAGAATTGATGGGAAAGGTCTTTGATAACGAACAGCGAATAGTATCAACATCCAACAACCAAAGTACGATGGCTCCACTTCCCCACGGTCGCGTCAGGAGAGAAGCGTGAATGGGCCTACAGCAGACGGAATGAACTCGATTCAGATGGGAGGACTGGTGAATTGCGAATCTCCCTAGGAATAGGAATCCAGACCGGACGATGTGAAAACCACCAGGAGGTTGCAAACGATGCCATCCATTCTCATTCCTCCTCTTGATCAGCCAGGCGGTGGAACCTCCCTCCCTCCCGCTGATTGGAAGTTGGAAGGCAACTGCTGCAAGTCGATCCTTCATTTTGTTTTTCTTTCTCTTTTCCACCTCCCCCCGATGAGCATCCAACGCGCTGTCTAATTCCCCCCATGATGAGCTCGGCAGTAGATGATCTAGTCGCTCGGTTCGAACGCTATTCCAACCTGGACGCTGAGCGAGCGGATCTAATCAAAGTGAGTGGTGCCGCAGGATCTGTCGCTCTTTGTTTGTTTTCTGCTCTCTGTTGGGCACTCGACGGTCGGCCGGACTGATGAACTCGTGGTAGAGTCTCCTGGAGAGAACCCGCGAATATGAATACCAGTCGGAAAATCTTCAGATCGAGTTGGAACACGAACGAGAGTCTCGTACTCGGTATCAGCTTGAGCTTCGTAAATTGCGGGAAGAGAAGAAGGCGCTAGACTATACGATTGTATGTCTCCCCTACTGGCTCCTGCCCCTCTCAGCTCGAATGTGCTGAGCGGCTGACAGCTTCCAGAATAAGGAACCCTATGTGGTCGTCCTGGTGGATGGGGATGGTGCCATTTTCCACGATGATTTGCTTCGTGATCCTCAAAAGGGAGCCCCTGAAGCGGCCCTTCGGCTGCGGCAGGCTGTGCGAAGCCATCTCAAAGACACGCCCTTAGGGACGGAGCAGGTCCCCGTTATAGTCCGCATCTTTGTTAATCTGACTGGCCTTGCCAAATCACTATGCACGGCCAAGGTGATTGAACAGGAAGCCCATATGCGGCTCTTTGCCGAACTCTTTACTAACAGCCGAGCGGAGTTCGACTTTGTCAACGTGGGCCATGGCAAGGAGAATGCCGATTCTAAGATGCGTAGTTAGTTGGCTTCGATCTTGTTCTTCCTCCCAACTTCATTTGGCTAACCTCGACGTCTAGAAATGCTTACCCACTACTACAATAATTTCCAATGCAAGAAGATCTTCTTTGCGGGCTGCCACGACAACGGTTATCTCCATGAGCTGCGGGAGCACGAGGGAGACTTCGAGGCTAAGGAACGCATCATCCTGCTAGAAACTACACCGGCCCAGCCGTCTTTTAAATCCCTAGATTTCACCATGACTCGTTTTGATTCCGTCTTTCGGACCGAGCCGCTGCGCGCGGAGCCCGGGCGCAACCTGTCCCCGACGGTTTTGAAGCCCGTAACAGCCCTCGCGTCGCCCCCAGTTGAGCAGCCGCCAACGGTCTCTGCTCCCGTTCCTAATAAATCTTCGCCCGTTACTGCCAGACCGCTTCTATCTCCGGATCAAGAATCGATCGCGAGTTCTGGAAATGGCGGCTACTCCATTCAGTATCCCGCCAGCACGTCGTCCACTTACGCATCCGCCGGTGGCGCCAATGGTCATCAAAATGTCTCGATCGCACCGGCCAAGACTAAACCTCCTAAAGTCATTGATTACAACTTTGACGGACTACGGATTGACCCGCCTAGCAAGTACCCCAGCAATCCCTCCGACCAGGCCTCCTACCGGGAGAAGGTGGAGCGAATCAAACCCAAGGCATTCTGCAACGGGCTCTACCTCGTGGGCCGCTGCGAGCGCAAACCCAATTGTCCGATGGAACATTCGGTCAAGCTCACCCCCGGGGAAGTCGCCGTCCACCGATACAAGGCTCGCACGACGATGTGTTCCCACGGCCCGGAATGCGATAACTACAACTGTTATTTAAGTCACCACTGTCCGCACGGTCTCAGTTGCTCGCGTGGCGGGGACTGCAAGTTTAACGGAACCGATTATGGCGATTTACATTATACCAAGGAGGACATGGAGCCCTAGTAGGTCTGCGCGGTCGGATATCTTTGATGCGATGCTAATTTTGAGTAGTACTCGATGGATCGAGGGCAATCCTTTCCCCATTCGCCTTGATTAAGAATCTATGGACAGTCAGGTACACAGTATCTACAAGTATTACTGGGAATGCTCTTAAAGTTATTCCAATTCTTTTCATTGTTTCTTTCAATTTTGTCCATTGCATGCGCACATAAGATTGTCTCATATCTTGAATTGAACATCAGTTACTATTTTTATACAGGAACTACCGGACAAGAATTAGCTAATGAAGCGTTATTCTCTAACGGAGCAACTTCCTGCTATTTCGCAAACCGAGGATGCCGGAGATCAGCACTAGGCTCCACCTGCCGTTAGAATCTGTCCATCATTTGTCCGCGCCTGATCGTGCAACAAACAGGAAGCACCAGCAAACAGACCTGCTGAAGCCTCGATATAAATGTCAAATATCTCTCATTCTCTCACTTACTCTGCAATCAAACCACGAAACCTATCCTTGTTCCTTCAAACAAAATGACAAACACCTAACACTTATCAGATACATAGCCACATCCCCTCTCGGCCCGCGCGATCGTCTCTTACCTGCACGGCCTGCATCCCCGACACAAACTAAACACCCAAGTGTGAGGGGTCAGAAACTTAGTATCCCTTCCTGTGGACCGTGCCTAGCAATCATGATTCAAGCTTCTGTGTGTGAATGACGCAACTCGTACTCTTCTTGTTACCGTGATAGGTGGAGAGAGCCTTGAATGAGTCGTGTTTCTTCACTGGGATCTGCTGGTGGCAGGTCTGGGCATGCATTTTGTGCTTGGGCGAGGTGGTTGAGATATGAGTGATGCATGAAACACGGTGGCGAGGAGAGGGGAGAGAAGTACGGTGTGCTGACTCTGAGAAGGTATATATGATCGGTCGCTTCTTTTGGAGTGGTTCCTGGGGGATGAGAATCTGTGTTTCCCGTCCTCTCTGTCTGTGTCCCCTTTCATCCTTTTGGCTCTTTAAATATCTCCTATCGTCTACCTGCCTCTCCCCTGTCTTACTATTACGAATACTCCTTCTTCTCCATGCCTCAAGAACAACAAGTCGACGCCCTCGTCGTGGGCACCGGATTCGGCGGCATCTATGCCCTCCACTCCCTCCTGCAACTTGGCCTGAAGGTCAAAGCCATCGACAAGGCCGCCGACGTCGGGGGTACCTGGTGGTGGAACAAATACCCCGGCGCCATGAGTGATACCTGGAGCCACTTGTACCGATACACCTTCGACACCGAGCTCCTGCAGACATACCCCTGGCCGCGCTGGTACGTCACCCAGCCCGAGATCCTCGAGTACCTGCGACACGTCGTGCAGCGGCACAACCTGCGACCGCACATGCAGCTCAGCACGGAAATGACAAGCGCTGTATGGGATGACGCCGCCGGCCGCTGGACGGTGCGATGTCGCTCCAGTGACGTCTTCTACACCCGATACCTCATCTCCGCGCTGGGTATCCTGCATCAGGCCCACGTGCCCGAGTTCCCCGGTCTGGGGACCTTCCGCGGCGAGACCTTGCATACGGCGGCCTGGAGACCCGAGGTAGAGTTGACGGGTAAGCGTGTCGGCGTCGTGGGTGTCGGATCGTCTGGTACGCAGGTCGTCACGGCTATCGCTCCCCATGTCCAATCGCTGCACGTCTTCATCCGGCGTCCCCAGTACACCGTGCCCAGCGGCAATCGGCCCGTGACGACAGAAGACCGCCGGGCCATTAACGCGCGATATTCTCAGATCATAAGGGATGCGAAAGGCTCGTTCACGGCGATGGGATTCACGGAGCCCTCGCGGACCCTGATGTCGCTGCCCCCAGCGGAGCGGACGCAGCTCCTCGAAGACCTCTGGCAAGACGGCAACGGGCTGCGGTTCATGTTCGGGGGGTTCTCGGACGTGATGGTCGACGAGGCCGCGAACAAGGAAGTCTGCCGGTTCATCCGCGGCAAGATCGCCTCCATCGTGAAAGATCCCGTCAAGCGGGCCGCGCTGATGCCGACAGATCTGTTCGCCCGACGACCACTCTGCGACGACGGCTTCTACGACACGTTCAACCGCGACAACGTCTTCGCCGTCAACCTGCGCGAACACCCAATCGAGGCGATCACGCCGCGCGGGCTCCGCACAGCTGACGGCACCGAGCACGAGCTGGACGTGCTAATCTTCGCGACGGGCTTCGACGCCTACGACGGCAGCTACCGACGGATAGACATTCGCGGACGAGAGGGGGCGCGATTGCGCGACAAGTGGGCACACGGCGCTATCAGTTACCTAGGTCAGGGAGCCAGCGGGTTCCCGAACCTGGTGATGATCAACGGGCCGAACGGGGGATTCGTGAACGTCAGCACGCTGTCCGAGACAAACGTCGAGTTCATGACGGATCTAGTGCGTCATGCTGAGGAGGCGTCAATGCGAACAGGTCGGCGCTGCGTGATCGAACCCACTGAGAAGGCCGAACGAGACTGGACGGAGACCTGTCGGACGGGCGCTAACGGGACTCTCATCGTTAAGGTGCCGCAGTGGTTGACGAACTCGAATATCCCTGGCAAGCCGACCACCGTACCCTTCTTCTTTGGTGGGTTGGGCAGGCTGCGAGGTATCATGACTGAGGTCAAAGAGAAGGGGTTTGTGGGGTATAAGGCGCCATTTGGAACGGGTGAGGAGCCAGAGGCGCATTTATAGTTCATCGTGTGATATAGTCATGTAGTCCCCTTGTTTACTGACATCTATCCGTTTATTTAAAGAATGAACTCGCGTCCATCGAGAATGCCACTTTCTTCTGGGGGAAGAGATGGCTCCCTTGTATTGCATTCGACACGACTTTCAATTAGCCTACCTTCCCTCTCTTATACGGGCATACAAGAGATGTAAGACACCATCATACCGATGCATCAAAATCGACTTCGAGTCAATCCTGAACCACGTCTAGTATGACTTTCGAGGTTAGTCCCAATCCCGACCTCATCGCCATCAAACAGCCCCGATCAACCGACCGAAGAGGAAATCAGTCGTAAAGCATGCTCATCTCGATCCGTCAATTCCTGTTGAGAAACCGGTCTCGTAGCTGGTTCTCTTTCGCTCGGGTGAATACGTTCAGCGCTCTAGGGGCGTGGTTTCCTGCCACTTGTCAGTGACATCCTGGCATCTTTGCAAAGGGTAGGGTTATAAGACGCATTGAAGATTCTGGAATCTCTAGCGAGCATGGACAGGGTGAGGTTATCCCAATTTAGAGAAATTGCTCCCCCTCTTCCTGCCTTTCTGGAAATCTTACTGGCATGAACCACCACATGGACACGGAAACCGCGGAGCCAGTAAAAGCAATCGTCCATGATGCCATATAACACCAGAACCATGGACCCTGGCACAGACCTCGAAAAACAAACTTCAAAAGGATCAAGACCCTGATCCTGATGCAACGCTGACAGGGTTTGAGGATCGCGTTTTGAATCCGAGATAATGAAAGGAAAGCCGAAAGCGCCAAGTCAGCCCTACGATGATCTTTACTGTGAACGGACGGCATTGACGTCGTGGCAGGCATTCGGGCGTTAAACAAGCCCTATTGGGAACTGATCTTCTAGAATATAAGGAATCATTGGCTCAGTTTGCTATTGGTTATGTAAAGGAAATATTTTGTTGTGCTGGGCCGTGTTTGGGAGTATTAGGTGGTGATGTTATTGCATAGTGGGATTCCGCCGGTAGCGCTGGCGCTCTATTATACAGTACGGGACTCCCTAGCTGGATGACGATTATCGTATAGATCAAGGGTCTGACAAAGAAACTGAAACTCATGGAAAAGGAAGGAAGTCTGTCTCAGAAGCTAGAGAATATCTCGGAACCAGACATTGCTCGGCCTTTCATGGCGAAGACTCAATCAAAGCCGATTCCGGCGCATAGAGCAGCCCAAGAGATAAGCTCGACAGCCTTGATACGTAAAATGCCACTGCATGACGAGATCAAATCCTCCCGATCGTATGATGAATCGCACTTCGTCCGATTATTGAAGCAAGCCCGAGGTAATCGGCGCCACCAAGACGTTGAAGAAACATCTTTCCGATCCGACTTCTGGCGAGAATGAATCTGCGCCTCAACAGTTAACGAAAACGGCAAGTCACCCAGGCTCTTAGATGAGACAGGAAGTGGAGACGAGTCGAGCTTCTAGTGTACAGCGCTTCCAGTGTCCAATGAGAGTCCACACGTGCTATCTTTGCCAATAGCACTAACAACATTCGGAGTACCAAGACACGGGGGAGATGAGATGAGAGGAAATGATACTACCTCCTCCGTAGAGACTTAGTTCGGACACTGCCACCGCAGCAGGATGCCGAGCCAATATCGGGATCCCCAGGCAGGAAGGACTCGGAAACTTGATTCCAGATAACAAAGAATTGGTTTATCTTTCTTCTTCAGTCAATGTAGCCGAGACGGCAACGCTTTCGCTCTGCTTGATTGGTGGTGGTGCTCTAGCGGCCCAGGTTAGACAGGGATGGCGATGACTAGTTAGGGTTACTATACCGACTTCATCTCCCCACGGAATGGGTACAGGAGAGACTTGCATCCGACGAACGGGCATCCCGTGTACCCCGTAGGATATCTCCGTGAGACCACCCCAGTCTAGACTGACCGACAAGACCCCGGAGCCCCTCAATAACTGCAAAGGACCAAGACTAAAAGAGAAAGGCACCTCCGATATCTAGTTCCTTTGGCGCAAACCCACAATATGTTGAAAATCGCTCATAATCAGCGCACCCAACAAGACATTCTGAGAGTTGTCAATCTCCTCTTTGTCACTTCGTGCGACACTGGCCCTTCCGATCCTCTCCGAGAATCAGGATCAAGCCTTGCAGTGCCTGCCAGACAAGCGTCTCCAAGACATCACAACCCCCTCCAAGGCCGCTCTGCCAAGCGACGCCACGCAGTCTGCGGCGTGCGAGACGTACGAGACCAGCGGTCGAAGCAGGCCGACTTTCCTCTCCCCCGACTCGGAGGGTCTAATATGATACCAGTGGTGCGATTGGCTGCGGGGATAGGGATCGGCGTGTCTGGGGGAATCCTGGGGTTGAAATTTTCCTAGGAATGGGGCGCCCCGTATTCGGCCCATGTCCGTAGATCAGAAGGCCCGAGAGATGTCCATTCTTGCATCATGGGGGGATGCTTGTCGGGAGGCATGCGAGGGAGAGAACGCCCGTGTTCGGCCTCATCTCAGCTTCCTTAATTCCCACCCTTCGAACCACCATGCTCGGGAAAAATGACATGTTCATTTAATCTGAGTGACTTGACTTCCTCGGCCCTAATTGCAACAACTCGGGAACTGGCCGGTGGCGGACTTGACATTTTTTTCTCCTTGTCCAACAGTCTGTTGCCAACTCTACGAGTCAGAAAGAAGGGGAGAAAAAAACCCCCCACCCTCCAGGATCGAATTGGCTGGTTAGCGCCGTCTGGGCAAAGCATCTCCAGAGCCAGAGATGCGACGTCAAACGGCAACCCAGAGTCGCGTGCTGATGGTGCTGACAGCCACGCCCATGCTTAGGCGCTTGGCGACATCTTGGCTCCACCAGATTGGAAGCTTCTCGCGGGGATTGTCGGCGCGCGACCTGGAGGGACGAGACGTGGAGACTGGGGATCGATATCACAGCGTCATGCGGGGGGTCGCGCATTGAATCCCCGTGGGGAAAGCAGAGCTGACAGATCCAGGAAGAGGTGAAATTTGCGTCGAGGACTCGAGGTGGGATGGTGGGGGTTTTGCGTTGCAATTTGGACGGTATAAAAGGCCTGGCTGGGATTCGCACGTCGTACTTAATTTTGATTCTTTCGACCAGACACACTCTCCACTCTTCTTTCTTGTTTAACTCCTCTTTCTCCCTCGTTTTTTCTCCTGTTCGCTCGTGTCGTGCTGGTCGAAGATGGCTACCAACGAGCCTGCCGATCCCATCCCGAAAGGCATCTGGGCCACCACCAAGCAGGCCTGGAATGACCTTTTCATCTGGAAGCAGCGTGTGGAAGTCACCAACGAGTATGGCGAGACTCGTACCGAATGGCAGTCCCCCGAACCTCTGAAGAATCCCGTCAGCTTGTTCATGCAGCTGAGCGCACGCGACTGGTTGTTCTTCATCGTCGGCTTTACAGCCTGGACGGCCGATGCATTTGATTTCCATGCGCTGTCAATTCAGACTGTCAAGTTGTCAAAATACTATGATCGCTCCAAGACGGACATCAGCACGGCCATCACTCTCACCCTGTTGCTGCGCAGTGTCGGTGCCGCGGCCTTTGGTCTGGCTGGCGACAAGTTCGGCCGCAAGTGGCCTATGGTCATCAACATGATTGTGCTGGGTGTGCTGCAGATTGCCACGATCTATAGCAGAACATTCCAACAGTTCCTGGCGGTGCGCAGTCTATTCGGGTTGTTCATGGGAGGTGTGTATGGTAACGCCATTGCCATGGCTTTGGAGCATTGCCCGTGAGTATCGCCAGAAATACCCGCGATCGACCTTGTAGCTAATGACGGCAGGGTGAACGCCCGTGGATTGATGTCGGGTATCTTGCAGCAAGGATACTCGCTGGGATATGTGATTGCAGCCTGCGCGAATCTGGGAGTGGGCGGCGGGACGGAGACCTGGAAGACGGTCTTTTGGATCGCAGGTATGTCATTTGTCTGTCAGACGAAGATAACATGATCAACATGCTAACCCCCATTATAGCCGGTATCTCCATCGGCGTCGGTCTCGTTAGAATCCTCTTCCCCGAGTCCAAACAATTCCTGGAGGCCAAAAAGGCCGGAAAGCAGTCGAAAGACGCCAAGGCATTCTGGCAGGAAACGAAGCACATGCTGGGCCAGGAATGGAAGATGTGCATCTACTGCGTCATCCTGATGACCTGGTTCAACTACTACTCTCACACATCGCAGGACTCGTACACGACTTTCATGCTGACCCAGAAGGGGTTGGACAACCCGCAAGCGTCGCGCGCCTCGATTCTGATGAAGACAGGCGCCTGCGTGGGCGGGACTATCATGGGCTATCTGTCTCAGTTCTTCGGTCGTCGGCGCACCATCATCGTCGCGGCTTTCTTGTCCGCCGTTCTGATCCCCGCGTGGATCCTGCCCAACACCGAGCGATCGCTCAGCGCGACGGGCTTCTTTATTCAGTTCTTCGTCCAGGGCGCATGGGGTGTTATTCCCATCCACTTGAACGAGCTGTCTCCGCCGGCGTTCCGTTCGTCGTTCCCCGGTATCACCTACCAACTAGGCAACATGATCTCTTCGCCGTCGGCGCAGATCGTCAACGCTATCGCCGAGAAAACGTTCGTGAAAGGCCCTGGGGGTGAGCCGGCTCCCGCTTACGGGCCCACCATGGGCGTCGCGACAGCCATCATCGCCACGGGAATTATGGTCACCACGGCCTTTGGACCCGAGAAGCGCGGTCGACGATTCGAAACGGCCGTAGCAGGCGTAGACTCGAACCCTGTAGCGGAGCAGAAGATCAAGGACATCGAGGCGGGATACGAGATGGAACACAAGGCGACGGAAGAGCGCGTGGAACGAGCCGACAAGATCTAGATGAACGACACCTAAACTCAAGCATCAGAGGAATAACGAGAAAGGATCGAAGTAGAGATGAGAGATGACATGACGAGACTACTTGGAAACACGTCAATATTAATATCCGGCCTGTGGCAAGCGAGATGTACTTAGTCTTTAATATTAGGGAATGACAATGGGATATCAAGATATCACATCTCATTTGACCGGGTATTGCGTGCCGGTAATTCCGCCTCATCCGCCTGATCCAGTCGGCGCAATCCTCTGGGGCCATTTCGCCGGACTTATCATGTCCGACAGAGACTAGGCTGTTAAGTGTTAACCCTATTGGGGATCTCCCCGTGGGGTTTTGTATCCTCGCTTTGACACTAGCGAGTATACATTAATTAAACCAGAGTCCGGCCGCGGCTACGGACTCCGTATATCCGCTCGCTTGTGCGTTGTATCTCCAGAAGGGTGTCAACCAATGCGATGATTGTTTGAACAGTCAAGACCCCAGGTTGTTCCGTGGATCAAATCTTAGACTTAAGAAGTCATGGCTCTGAGTCTCCTACATAGGGCTGATCGTATGCTCCAACGTCAAGATTGATAGGCAGCCCCCCAATACTCCACCGTCTGACGACTCGTCGTGCTCTCCTCACTCACTTCGGCCGCCAAGTATCTCAGAAAGAAGTTAAAGGAGCCGGTATCGGTACTAGAAAATTGATAGAGGCGAGAGGCTTGGATCACTAGATGTTCACCGTTAAAGGAGGCCGTCAACACCTTGCCATGGCGTTCACCCACAAACGGGAAAACCATCACCTAGTCAATTCTGAGCCAGAACCCTTCTAATTAGCAAAAGTAAGCTTTTTCACTCTTTTATTACTCTTTATGTGATGAAAACGGTGTTCCGGGCTTAGACTGGAAAGGAGAAGGGCGTCAGTTACTCACCGGAATAACGATATGTTTCTCGAGATTACCCGGCTCAAGGCGCTCCTTCATGCCACGAGTATCGTCAAAACGTCATTCCGGAGCAGCATATCTGGATCACCTATCACTTCGTGAGGGATATTCATTTTTAAATGCGGTGTTCTGCTACTGATGTACCAGGTAGGGCGAATGAACCACTTCGGCTTTGATGATCTTGAGGCCTCAAACTCATTGTCCACGCGCGGGCTGAAAGGACAGAAACTAGACAGCTCGATAGGCTCATGCAATTAGCCGACATTTCGTTGTCTGGTGATGAGGGAGGGCTGGAGGGCGTTCAACTCACCGTTGATATCTCCACTGGGTCATCGACCTGATCGTGGGTCGGCCATCGGGCATGTTGTTCCTAGTATATTCCATAAACTCGGAAACCAGAATCGAGCTTATACAGCCTAGCCGCTCAAAGAGTGTAAACCCTTGTCGAACATATTCGGATTTAGGGCCGTGTGCCATGACGTATTTCCGATATTCCAAAGCCTTGGCCAACATGGAGTCGTCGAAGTGGATTGGGTACTTCTCGATCTCAGAACGAGCCCAGGGCTTGAAGAATTGGCGCAGATGCTCACTCGGCCCTCCATCCCCGCCAGGAAGGGGGTGAAGCTGGATATGCAGTAGGTCATGATCGTCGGGTTTGATGAAAATGCCTTCGTAGTTTCCCACAAGGCTCAGCAAGAGGCAAATCATCTCAAAGCATCTCTGCTTGTCTGGCTTATCAGTGGCAGGACAAGCCGCTGGCTTTAGGATGTTACCGAAGCCTGAGATAACCTGGTTGTTGAATAGAGACATGCTTGCTGGAAGGTTGAAGGGAAGTTGGAGTACGAAAGTGGGAAGGTCGGCTCGTTGACCGCGTAAGGAAGTCATAAGGTGCCTGGTTCAACCAAGGCTGAACTGAATACTACAATAACACCACGTCACTGGAAGCCCATATTACTTAGGCAAGCGACCTTACATATGTAATGGCCCTCCTTCATTGTTCAATTTTGTGTTTAACTTGACTCCATCTCTTTCTCTCTCTCTCTTTTGCTTTAGTCATTCGGTCATAGGTGATAGAATCTCAGATATCGATGTCTGGGAATGAACTCTCGAAAGGTCCTAGAGCGCTTACCTACTTTTTGCATGCGCGCAACTTCAAGCGGTATGCAGATCGAAAAGAGAACCTGGTCGAAACGCTGGGCCAGGGCCGTCCAGAATCGGCAAATCGAAGGTGAGCTACTATTATATTCCCTAAGGCATTTTAAAAGATAAAGTTGGATCTAAGAGAAGAGCTGCGTTTGCTGATATTCAATCAGATCTTACTGATTTCTTGAACAGGATTCCAGTATTTAATTGTAGACTTTAAAGAGGTACGTTAGTGGGTCAATGAAGGATATTGTAATGAAAGTGCGCTAATTGCACACTCCCAGATCAGCCAGTGAGTTCAATTCCTTCGGGATCACGCCCGCTTCAACGGCATCTAGGGACACGGATCAGGTTAGCTTCTTCTTACACTTGTGCCAAGTAAAGAGCACCTAGAACGTGAGGAAAGGGAAGGAGGCATACCCTGATACGACCACCTCAAATCGCCCAACTGACTCTTCCAAGTCCAAAACACCCATCCCTGCTGCCTCTCGTACGCCGTGACCTGGGCCGCAAACCACCGCTTATAAAAGTCCTGGTTACTGTCGGGGTTCCATTCGTCGGTGTGCTCCACGTCATCCGGCACGCTGAGACTCCACTCGCCCACGATCGTCGGCTTGTTGCTGTCCAGCTGGTCGCTGCATGAAGTGCTGATGTAGCTGTCATGCGAAACGTCCACGTCCGCCCATTTCAGGTACCGGTGGTCGTCATAGGCGGCGTAGTAGTCGTCCGAAAGGGACTCGTGGGGATCACCGGCGCCCCAGAGCTTGTCCATCATTTGGATGTGGAGGTAGTTGGATCTGTCGATGTTGAGGTTTTGTTCGACCTTGCGGATGCGCTGGTCTGGATGTTAGCGGGAGAGGATTGTCTTTGGGATGGGTATAGGGTGAGGGAGGAGATAATTTATAGGTACGTACGTCAAACGCATCCGGATAATAACTCGATCTCATCGACGCCGTCTGATCCGCATTCTGCACCGGCTCGTTCACCACCTCCAGCATGCCCACGTTCCGATACGCCTCGTCCCCATGGACCTTGTCGGCCATCCACTCGAGGAACTTGAGCGCGCGCTCATACTGATAGTCCTGATAGAAGCCCGGCTCGTCGGCATACTGACCTGTGAAGGCATTTTGAGCCGTCTGGGCGCCCGGCGCCCCGTGCAGATCCACAATGATATACAAGCCCGCATCGCTGGCCCAGCCACACACCTTCTTGAAGTACTCCTCGCCGCCCTGCGGAAAGTGCTCGCTGTCACTATACACCAGGTCCTCTTTCAGCCAATACCCGACCGGCACGCGGATTGTGTTCAGTCCGTACGACACCATCTGCGAGATATCGTCCTCTGTGATCCACGAGGCCCAATGCTTCGCGAAGGCCGCGTTGGCGGCATCTTGTCCCAGGGAGGAGACGCAGTCGAACTCGGAGTTTTGGTCCTTGCAGCCGAGATCGGACCAGGCGGATTCGGCGATCCAGGGCTCAAAGACAAATTGCGAGCCGAGATTCACGCCGCGAATCTTGCCGTTCGAGCCGCTAAAGAGGTTGGTGCCGGAGTCAGAGGTGATTTCCTTGTCGGTTTCGGGGAGCCAGGCGGCGGTTAGGGAGAGGGAGGTGAGAAGGGAGAGAGCGGAGAATTTAGCTTTATCCATTGTGGCTGAATGTGATCGAAGACTTATAACTGAAGGATGCGTCCGAGAGGATGGAAGAGAAGATTGAAGAAATTCAATCGCGGCCCAGGTTTCCACGGCTTTATATTTCTGTAAGAATGCCCGCCGACACGATTCGATGAGCCATGTAGATCCAGCTCCTCATTTATGACTTTCCAGAATCCAAGGAGATGACGGGGGTCATCCCTCGCATATCAGACTATCTAGTCTAGGCAGTTTGAGAGCGACAGGAAAGGATTCACCACCCCGAGTTCAGTTCTGCAGACCCCATTTTCCCAATTCGGTGGGCGAGTGCGAACTGCAATGCTACCGGGCTCAAGGATGGCTCAGCCCGGTGGACTGGGGGTTTGGAATGCCGATCGTGCCTGGATCGGCAGTGCTGGATGGGGGCGGTTCGAGAATCCAGCTTGGGTCGTAGTTCGATACGGAGTAGACCCTGGCATGATTACGGAGGATTGCTTGATGAGGAGCATTTCTATTTTGCGCCAGAGATCGAGATTCCAGTGGCTGATGATGGGGTAACGTAGCAGTCAGTTTGATGAAGAAGGGGCTTGTAAGAGTGGGGCTGAGAGCAGAGAGGGAACTAGCCTTGATGTAGTAAAAGCAGCATGCAGAGTATGGCATGGTTGAGATTTTACTTATAATCATTCTTAATGACCCCTCGGTACGGATTGAATATGCCTCGAGAGTCGCTTGTATTGTTAACTCTATCGAAATGATCTGTCGATTGATGTGAGTGTCTCTTTTCTGATCTACCAAGGTCTGCGCCATAAAGACGCCATAATCTTTGACAATCGCATGAATCTGTTGAATATCCGTGTAGGCCTTCTGGGGCGGGCCATGCAGCGGAACAGCCTGAGTGGCAGCCGCCACGTGTGGGGAGCCAGTATCTACCGGGGTATAGATAGCAATAGTGTTGGTGATGATGCGGAGGGCGATTACCCCCGATGGGGCATCCAGAAGATACGGCCGCATTTCTGTCCAAGATGTGCAGCCAAGTACTGGTTAGGTGCAACCAAGATTACATCTGGACGGAAGAAGATTCCGGCAATAGAAGTCCTGATAATGCACATAATGGACTATCTCCAGACGCCTCTGTCTAGCTAAGTCCACCTTACTAAGCGGCACATAACGAGCTTCACAGGTTCCGTTCCGACGAGCCCTGCCCTGCCCTGCCCTGCCAATGTCTCCGTCAATGTCTCCGAGCATTTGTAGTATATGCCTTGCTTGACCAAGATTCGAGAAAATACGTCCTCTTCCCTTTTGGCAATTTGTCATCGCTTACAAACAACTAACCACGCTCTGATGTATATATCAAACCTTTCATAGCAAGGTTGAGTACGATGCTCAATCGAGAGCATATCCCTCATTCCCAACATCCAACAACATGCAGTCCGCAAAGAATATTACTATCATTGCCGCGTCGGGAACGCTTGGCTCGGTTGTTCTAAAGAAGCTTCTGGATGTGGGCACTTTCACTGTCACAGTCCTGAGGCGTGCTGGTTCTTCTTCCAGCTTTCCTGACACCGTCAAGGTTCTTGATGTTGACTACTCGTCTCACGAGTCTCTGAAATGTGCCTTTGCCGGGCAAGATATTGTTCTGTCATTCGTTCCTACCGTCGCGGCCGAGTCACAGATCGCCCTCATCAATGCCGCCGCCGAGGCCGGTGTATCTCGCTTCATACCCTCCGAATATAGTGCAAACCTCGACAATGAGAAGGCGCGCACTCTCCCTATCTTCCGGCCCAAGGTCAAAGTTCAGGAGCACCTGGTGGAGATGGCCAAGCGCTCCACTCTCACCTATACCTTTATATACGGCGGTGCCTGGCTCGACGCGGGCTCGAGTCGCAGTTTCGTACTCGACTTCTCGGGCCAGAACACCTGCCTATATGATGGTGGTGACGTGCCATTCAGCGCAACCACTCTCGGATCTGTTGCCGAGGCCGTCATATCTACCCTTACGCATCTGGACCAGACCCGAAACCGATCAGTATTCGTCCACAGCCTTGTCACGACACAGAAGCATTTGGTATCTCTAGCCAAGGAAGTGGCTCCGGAACTATCATGGGACACGACCACCAGCATCAAACTCGATGACTTGACTGCCAAGTCAGACAAAAGACTGGCACAGGGCCTATTGGACTTCGAGACTTTCAGCCCATACATCTTCCGTGCTATATTTGACCCGAGCTTTGGTGGAGTATACTCCAGGACAGACAACCAGCTTTTGGGCATTCGAGAAGCCTCAGACGAGGATGTGAAGGACATTTTCAGGAGGGTTTTGAAGCGTTGAAGGTGCCCACCCGACTCTATCTAAGATGTCTGGGCGAGTCATTTTGATGGACTCGGAGCGTTCGAGAAATGGGCCATTCGAGCGCCATGATAAGACCAGAGATCTTTTCTTTTGCCGAAATATCATCCATATTTACTGTCCCATTGCTGTCTTTTCTGTGTTTCTTAGCTAGTTCAAAGCACACCTTGACGATGATGGCTTGCACGGAAATTCCGTAGCAAAGGCACCTTTTCTTAGTCGAAACGGAGTACTCCGGAAGCATTTCTATAATTGGAATTTCTTCAAACTTACTCCGTATAAGATTCTAAGAGGTCCTTATTAGCGGCAAGTTAGCGGAAATGCCATCTGTCGCTGAGCAAACCCCTTGTCGCGGTAGAAATAAAAAAAGAGGTCACTAGCCAAATGCGTGGATGGCCACACACAGATCAAAGAACAAGGTGCTCAGCACCAAAAGAGATGACATCACCGACAACAAAGCTTAGTTGCAAGAACCAACTACGGAGGACTTTGTACCGTGGAGAACCAGTGACTAAAAAGAGTTTGTCTGTATGCACCATTTGCATCGTCCCCAAGAGGCAACTGGGGTCCTCAGGGACGGATTGGCCGGAAGCGCACTAGTCAGGGGATTTAAGGTTTGCCTGGTGTTTGTTTCACCTTCTCGTGTTTGTGGGTTTTCCATCCAGGGTCGTGTGTACACAGGGTATATCCTCAGTTGATTTCAAGCTACAGAATGGAAGATTTGTTGCCTCTACTCTGATAATCCATGGTTCTTAAGGTTCCTTCTTGGGTTTGTGCCCATGTTCCTTACGGTATGGTATGTATGGCACTCCAGTCGTCACTAACCGTGGATAGGGACGCATACTACGAGGTGAACGAGGGGCAGGAAGAAACCTCCATAAACAGGAATCAACTCCCGTCGATGTCCTTCTCTACTCAAGTCCGGGCCACGATATCTTATGTGTATCCACCGCATCACCATAATCACATGCCACCTTCCACCCCAAGCAGTTTCTGTGCGGACATGAGCATAGGGTGATGGGGGTGAGGTCGGAGGCTTGTGTTCTCCGATCGTCCATGACCATGCCATGCTGGTGTTCGTCGTAGCCCCTATTTCTGATTCTGCGGGATCCGCGGGTAGAGACCTTCTTCGACCAAGGAATATCAATCCACGCGGGAGAGAAACTGACTCGACCAAATTGCGCTTGGTCTCTGAGCCCCTCACCGGAACCTGTCTCTGCCGAACTGCAGCAGTCAGGGTGAATCTCAACTTCTGAGCTCACGGCCGACCGCCGGCCGAGTCTTCGAGTCGACCATCGCACCACCCCGGTTCTAGACTTCCTGGTCGAGTCTGTCATGTCCGTCGATTGCTTCCAGGCTGTAGTCGACCGTCGAGAACCAAACCCCAAGCGAAATTAGATTCAACCCGCGCAAGGTAGGATCAAGGAATCAACCAACGGATGAAGCCGGGTTACTCATCCCTGCGAGTATTGTATGATCGCTTTGGCGCAGGGTCACCCCTTTCGCGCCACGTGTGGTTCGAATGTTGGCTGTCGTTGTTGAATCATTGGCCGAGGTCAACGGTCACGGCCGACGAGGTCGAACGATGGAAGAAAAACGTCGTTGTGATTCCTAAGAAACGAGGGGAGCATCTCCACTCGGGCCGGGGGTGATGGTGCCAACACTGTGGTAATATTATCCGGATCTCCGAGCTGCAAACTTGATAGGATTGTAGGATTGGAAAACAAGCAGCCGATCTAAGATGGAAAGGGGAGATGTCGGCTGTAGCCTTCGAATCTCGGATCCGAAGAAACGAAGCCCCCCCCACAAACGGACCATTAGTCCGTAAGTGTGTGGCGGCCAGACGTTCGACCTTCAGGTGAGCCAGCCACAAGTCTGTCCGCATTGGTTATCCTCGAGGGGGTTCAACGGTTCAACTCCAAGTCTCAACCCTCGGAGCCGAGCGGTCGTTTGTTTCACCCTACTTTCTGACTTCCCTGGGTTTGTATTTCTTTTTTATTTTTCAAACATCTGTCCTTTTGCCATCCGGTTCTCCAACCCCCTCCCATGCAGGTTGCTGGGCATCGCCGAATTGTAACGGTCGTCCGATCCGCCAGACGCCGTTGGTGATCAGACGTTTGCAAGGGCCAGGATTGGCTTTTTTTTGGCCCCTTATTCGGAAAATCCGATCTTGGTCCGAAGGCAAATGCCGCAGAATCTGACACCGCACAACAAACCAATTCATTCTCACAGAAGATGCATCACCGGCAGACAGCCTCGATGATGCCACGTCCCATTCGACAAAGATGAGCGCCACATACGGTACCGACGTGCGGAATTATGGAATGATTGAACACGAACGACGATCACAAGGCAAGGGATACCAAGCAGGCAGGCAAGGCCCTTGATTATTGACTATCACGAAAGACCCAAGAAGTCAGGAACGCAAGGCCTCTCTGAGGCAGCCCACGGTTCGGCCGAAGCGGGGAATGCTCGGGCCACGTGCTGCCAATCGGCCGCTGCTTGCTTCTTTTGGCTCGTTCTTTCCTTCCTTCCATTCCTTTCAGCTACAAATACCACGCCGTATCCCCGCCGCCCACGCTCGCGAACCAATGTCCCCTCCTCCCGTCGGATTCTCACCCCGACCGCTCTTCCTCCGCGTCCTGCGTCGGGGTGGAGTGCGACGGAAGACGAGACGACCATGGTCTGCAACGTTTCCGTCACAAGGGAGACTGACCGATTTCAGATCCCTTGGTCACGATGCTGAAATCGCGTCGCGTCGTGCAAGAAGATGACTTATACACTATTTACAGGGGTTTGCACTCCTCCGGTAAACGGGCGGGAGACACGCAGTGGTAAAGTGCCCGCAAATATGGAGACAGAAATTGGTTACGAAAGATGAAGCAAGTCCGAAATCATGCATTTCCCATGTTCATGCTCGGGAAGAGCATCACATCCGACACCCGGTTGAGAATGTCGCCAATATGCCCATTCTCCCTTCGGGCATCATACTGCGGCGGATAGCTGGACGAGATGCCGGGACCGACATTGACCGATGCTGGGGAAGTGAGCGCCGTGGCGGGGGAAATGGGCGTGGCGTTCGCTGTCTGTGGCGCCGACGCTCCTTTTCGCCGAAAGTGGAACGCGGCGCTCACCTCTCGAAGCGCTCGCAGCGACGAGGCGAGATGTTTGGCCGAGTCGGTCCGAATGTTCTGGTCGGCCTCGCCATCGGCGTATACATGATCCGCAAGGACGCGCTCTAATTTTTGAATCAGATCCCACGTTTGAGTGTGAATCTGGTCATTGTTATTTGCTACCAGAAGGAAGGCGGACGCAATCGATCGCTGGAGACTGATCCAGGTGCGCGAACAGTGGGAATTGAGCGAGTGGAGCTCGACAAACGCTTCGATCGTGTTGATCAGATTGTCTAAGCAGTCGTTACGAATAATTCCGCGACGGTGTTCGTCCAGAGGAGCATCCGGATCCAACGCCACACGGCACATAACCGAGATGTAGTATGAGGAGTGTAGGCGCAACTCCGTCCGCTCGATGTTCTGGGCCAGACTGTTACATCTTTCCGGGTACCGCAGATGCGGCGCGGCCTCCGTGATAATCCGCTCGATGCGATGCTTATAATCGCGTATTTCATGGTATCGCAGGTGAGAATGGTGCGAGAACATCAATTCCCGCAACATCTCCAGCACGACCGAAATAATCCGGCAGAGGGTTTCAAAGTAGGAGCGGTGACCCGGCATCGACTTCGGGTCGTACGCAATTTCCGGCTGGCTGACCATGGTGATCGACGGCCGGTCGTATGCCAGAGAGAAATGGCTATTCTGAAAAGCCATTGTCCACCTGAGATCTCGAGTTATTACAAAGAGAAAAAAGAAAATGATGCCGGAGACAGTTCGAGCCATCGCTTACCATAACCTTCGCCGTATCGCCTGAGCAGCTGGCGAGAACCCCGAGGTCTCGACGTGAAGACCAAGTACCATGCACATTCGCTCCGTCATGCCTTGACGTTCAGAACTTACGTTAACAACGGCTTCATGACATCGAGACCCCAGATTATTCCGAGCACTTACCGAGTAAGGTATATGATGCACCGGCGTTCATATTATATGATAGCACGTTGCTGATGATCAACAGGATCTGGATAACTTCGATGGTCGGCTGAGATACATAGTTCATCATGCGCAAACACTGGTATGAACACGACACTATACCGACATCAGTTTGGGACGAACGAGCAGCCAAGGCAGAATTGCACCCACCATAAACCCATGAGGTTAACTCTCTTTGGTTCCCCGACAGATCGGACAATTGACACCCCGACGCGAGGACGGCAAACAGCAGACTCAGGAAAGGTAGACTCATGCCGAACGGCTTCATCAACCCATTGGCGTCGGGCCGATAGACACCCCCCGCGGCCAGCCTCCCTCGAAGTAATCGATTCATATCGTCCTCCAGCTTGTCGACGTTCGGCAGTACGGGATAGAGGACCGCACCGATATCCCGGTAGTACCCTAGAAATCTGCAGAGTGTGACGCAACGATCAGCGGACAGTCGCATACGACGTAGGCAACGCCGACAGAAGCAATGGGGATTGGGGGAAGGTCACCCACTTTCGACATTGCTCGTCATCCGGCAGCACACCGCACACGCCCGCAATATTGAAGGTGTATGGATCCGACGACCACAGGTCCACGAAGGGATATGCGGCAGATTCATTCCCGAGCGCCAGCTCTGCCAAGAGATCATCCTTGGGGAGTGCGTCCGCCGTCCCGTCCGACCCTTTCGACTTATCCAATATATCCACCAACGCCGACCGAGAACCAATATGTACCGGGCCCGTCTTCAAGGCGTTGGCCCCATATATTCCCTGGCTTGCCGGGGTGTGCTTTTCCTCCGTCGTCGACACTTCGGACTGGGGCTCGGTAAGGTGAGCGGAATGGGACTGGAACAAGGAATGGAGACTGGACAAGATCTGTTCCATCGCCTGCATCTTGGAATTGATCTCATCCCATTCCATCTGCGACACGGTCACGGTGTCGGAGAGCGGGTCATCGGAGGCCTCGGCACCGTAGGGCACATCTCGCGCGGTGGACAGGTAGGTGGCGGAATATTGAGGCGTAGAGGCAGTCGAGGCCGTCGTAGGGAAAGGCTCGGGAACCAGGGCCGGCTTGGGGAGCGTGGGGAGCGTTGGGGGCGGGCGACCGTAGGAACAGTTGAAGTTGCGCTTGACGCAGTTTCCGCAGGGCACGTTGCGATCGCAACGAACCTTGCTAGCTCGACAGGGCAGGCAGGTCTTGCACTCACGAGGACGGCGTCGAATCGGATAGGTAGGCATCGCGTATTAGGACCGAGAGAAGAGCGAAGCTCCCGACCGCCCCGCTAACTGGGGATAGAAGGGGTAAGAGGGGACGAGAGGGAGCGAGCGAGTATCGAGCTGGGAGACTGCGTGCCACGGCGGAAGACGCGTGATTGGCATCGAACGGAATTGGGTTATTAAGCATGGATCGGAGAGGGCGGGTTGGGGTAAGAGACAACGGGGATCGTCGTTGGTTGGCTTGTTCCAGGGAAATTTGCCTTGGGGCTTTTGCGGTAGTTAGGGAGAAGAAAAGGGAAAGGGGAGAACAAGAGAAGCCAAGCGAAGCGAAGGAAGGATCAAAATCAAAATCAATTAAATTGGGTAGTTGGTTATGATCGATCCCTTCAAGCGCGACGGAGACCCGGAGCCAAACTGCTGCGGGTGGGGGGAAGAGGAGGGAAAAGGTCAGCCACGGAATTTTATGTGGATGGGATGTGGGAAAAGAGGGCAAAAGAGAAGCAGAAGATGGACGAGTCTGGCAACAGCATGAGCGAATAGAAGTTGGGAATCGTCAGAGCGTCGGTGGACGAGGCGTTCCGTGCCGTCTGGAGAAGGACATCTAGATGAGAGGTTCCAACTGCGAATGGACGAATCAGCCGGCGCTCGTTAGTGAGAAGCAGCCACGGTCTATTTTGGTCTCGTTTCGTTTCGCTTCGATTGTTGGCGACGCTCTTCTTGCTGTCCTTTGCGGCCAAAGTGTCCCGAGATGGCGTGGTGCCGATCAGATCTGGATCGATCTCACTAAAGATCCGCTGATGGATCAAGATTTACCGGATTCAAGGTTCCGACATCTCGACTTGCGAAGCACGAATGACTAGGAAGTATACAGCCAAAGAGGGCATCGAAGGCGATGAAGTCATGGCTGCAGAGTCGGACCCTGAGAAGAAGAGGAATGAAGGAATGAGGAGTGAGGAATGAGGATCCCGGCAACTTTTTGGGCCCCGCGGCATTGCCCGGCCTCAGGCTGGCTAGTTTGTCCCATTTGCCTGCACCCAGGCAATCTGTTCGTGACAATCCCATTCTTCTACCTTAATCCCTCGTCTTTGTTCTTCCTCTTGCTTATCCAGAAGATTGTCGATCACTGCGGTTACCCGCAGCCAGGCCAGTCCCATCCCAAACTCTGCCTCCATCGTCACTCGGCATCATTCGCTGGCTCTTGCTTTGTCGGTGGAGTAGCGGATCCAGTTCGACTGTCTATACTCGATACATCTAGTTGCTCTTGTTTATTTCTTTCCTTTCTGCGAATTTTTTAGATTCGGTCTACTAAATGTTGGTGGGGGAATTTATCGCTCATATCCATAACGTCATGATAGCTCTTCCTCTCTCTTTGCCCCTCATCGCTCTTGTATTCTCCCCTTGACCGTTGTCAATCGTACATTGCCCCGCTCCTTCTACCAAAAACGACATGATCATCGGCACTTGCCTTTTTTTCATTTTCGTTCTGTAATTCACGGTGGACTCGCGATCTGCGACACCTGCGGAACCACCCACCAATCATGCCAACGCGTCTTGGACCCTGTTTCTGGGATGTTCACGTGGAGACGCAGCGGGTCAGAGGGGTTCGCGGTTCCAGGGTCACTAGCTGCACCTGCAGCGGACCGAGCTGCGAGTGCCTTTTTCACCGTCTCGATGGCAATGCTGGCCCCGATGCAGGCGCGCATCGTGTCCTTGACGTCCTGTTTCCAGTTCTCTTCGATGGCTCGCGCGCCTGCGGGTGGGGAGTCGGCGTCGTCCTTGACGAACGCCCCGTTGGCCAAGGTGGATTCCCAGGCCCTGCGCGCCTCGGAGATCGCCTTGGTGGCGCGCTCCAGCACGATGGCGTCCGAGTCGCCGTCCAGCGTCGCTTCGCGGTGGTATTCCTCGAACGGGACCAGCTCCGGTAACGTGATAGGGATGAAGGGTTTCATGCGCAGCTCGTAGCGCAGCCGGTCGCGGGCATACGACTGCGTCGGGGAGGCGGCGTTCGGGAGGACCTTGTGGCGCGCGAGGAGCACGTAGAGCGCGTGCAGGGCGATGGCAAAGGCGTCGACGGCGACGATCTGCGTCGTTAGGCGCTCGAGCAGGCGTAGCGATCTTTGCAGCACGGCGTGTCGCTCGGTCGCCTGGCGCTTTTTGCCCGCTAGGCTGGTTAGGTTGCGTTTCGCTGTGCCGACGGTGAAGGTGCGGATGCGGTCGATGTGGCCCAGGTGCGTGGAGCAGATGTGCGAGAGGTACCAGTACATGCCGGGCAATTCTTCGGGCGAGTAGATCGAGAGCTCGAAGCCCAGTTGTAGGATCAGCCGGAATTGGTTCAGTTTCTGGTGGTAGGCCCAGCTGCTGAGGGGGTAGGAGTAGGTGGCGTCGCCGTTGGAGAGGATTAAAGGGGGCTCGTTGCTCAGAGTGCGGAGCTGTTCGTCGAGGTCTTCGGCCTGATTGTTGTGGTGCTTAGATATAGAACGCAGAAACTGGAAGGCGAGGTGAGTGTACTAACCTCCATCTGCAGGTTGTCCCAGTCAAGGATGGTGTGGCAGACCGTTCGGCGGATGCGGCAGCGATTCAGACAGGCGCTTCGGAAAGTATCCACGAAGGGCTACAGAAGATGTAAGTTTATAGTCTCAGTCAGGTATGGTGGAGGCCAAGAACAATACCTGAGCGAAACGTTTCACAAAAGCGTCCATGTGCTGGGCAATCTGGAAGCGGGGGTCGGTCGGCATCTCGGTTTCGTCCGTGCTAGCTTGTAGCAACGTGCTGGTGGGAAGAACCAGTTCCCCTAGCTCGTCGTAAAGGAATTGTTTCACCGGGATCGCTCCCAGCACGGTTGTTTTGTTCACGATGATTGTTTGCAGAAGGGATCGGATATATACAGATGGTTGGGGTTTTCGGGCCAACAGCGTCCAGATAGCCACCTGAGATAGTCAGAATAAAGTATGAGGGGGATGGCACACAAACGACACCGTGATCATACCTTGATGTTGTGCGGTCCTCGGTAATCAAGAAGTCCTAGTAGGTCAATGGCATCCTGGCACAACCGTTTCAGATGCGCCAGCGCATCGTCAGAGCTGATCTTCACCATCGGACGAGGAGGCACGGTGCTAGCCAGTTTCCGTTGAATTTTCCAACTGAATGCCTCGGGAACCGATTTGCCCAGGGACAGGGTTTTAGCGAGCGTATCCAACTTGGATAGACAGGACGTGAAATGCTCGGAGGACCGAGTGTCTATAACATTAATATCCTGATTCAGCCCCAGAAGAAAGTCGCGCCGGAAGGTAAGACGGCATTTGATCGCTTCCTTGAGAGTCTCATCCACCTCTCCCTCTTGCTCGTCGATCCACGAGATCGCACGATCCAATAGGTTGAGAAAGTAGTGCACGTCGAACTGTGAGAGTAAATTGCGATTGTAGAGTTGCGCAACGAAGTCCTCCTCCTGAATATGATAGAATCAGCAACAGCTCACCAACATCCCTATCAAATGGCGAAACCACCACCACCACCTACCTCATAGTAGTACTCAGCCGCCACTCGCGAATGCACAAAATCGCAGCATTTCACCAGCGCAAGACAGTATGCGCGCAGCACCCCATGTACCAATCCTGCTTCCGCCTTATTCTCGCCTGGCTGATGACGACTGAAATGGGCTTCTTCGAGGGACTTGGGGACGGGCCATAATAGGTTATCGAGGTATATGGACGTAAAGAGGGTCAGCGAGAGCGGGTGGCCTTTGTGCCATGCCATCTATCGTAATGCCATCGATCTCGTTAGCAGAGCTCCCGTGTGTAGAATGTGGGATCATTTCCACCAACCTCGTGGAAAAGCAGCTCGTCCATTATCCCAATGACCTCCTCCGGAGCCAGCTCCCGCATGATATCGTAGTCGTCCTCTAGGGCCTGTGCATTGTTCTCACCGGGCCCAAGGTATCCGCTGTCCATTCTGGAGTCCATGATCTGCAATTTCGCAAGCGTCAGTCTTCCTGAACCAGTGGCTATCTATTGCGTGGGTAGTCTTGTCGCGATGGGACAGTATAAGGTAGAATATAGGCGTTCCTGGCCACGCGCAACGCACCTCCAGCGCACCCACTGCCTCGAACAGTGTAAAGTATTCATCTTTGACGAGTTGACCGGTTTGAAGAGCTGGAAACAGAGAAGCGGCGTTAGCGACATCTCCAATGGCCTCCGAATTCGATATAGACGGGACCGCACTCACTTGACGCAGCGGTGGTGAACTCTTCGGTGATGTCGCGTGGGACGACGGACTGCGAGGTGACTCGCATCTTGGGGGCCTCGTTGGTGGGCAGCATAGAAGAAACTCGTCAATCCGCAGCCAGCTGCCAGATTTTCCGGTACTGAGCCTGTTGAAATAGTCCGGCAAAGTGGGCGAGTCCCAAGAAGACAAGAATAAAACAATTAGAGTGAAAAGAGGGGGAAGAAAACGAGGTTCGGGGAGAGGGGATGAAGAGAAGGAGGGCGGGGAGAGCGGCGGACGGGCAAAACTTGCGGCAAACGCAGAGCAGCCCCGGGCAGACACTCTTTGCAGAAGGCTTTAGATCGGTCAAAACAGGAGCTACGAAACCACGAGATCTACTATGGTCAAAAGAGAAGCGAGCTTTAGAATAAACCGCCCTTTCTTTCTATTTATACCTGATCGAACGGGGCCAATATGCTACATGGATCCTGCAATCATCGTCCACTTCGCTGCGAACCATTTCCCCCGAAGTCATTCTTCATTCCTGCTTCCGAATCCACTCTGGTCTTCGCATCGATTGTTGGGGATCGGGTTTCGCTTATTTCGAGTTGGCTTGCTGAGCCATGAGTTCGTCGTTGACCTGGCCGAGGGGCTTGACTTCACCCTGCTTGCCGTTCTATTACCGAGGGAGAAAGCATCCGGTCAGTTACACATCCACAAGACCACTATATCTAATCAATCCAGGCATAAACGAACCTCCCACTTGGCGAAACGAAGGTCCATCTGTCCACGGCGCTCGGCAGCGGTACGGGGACCGTCCTTGAGGGACCGGCGGACCGCGCGAGAAGCGACGGCCAGGTAGCGGTTGTAGCTGGGGGATCAAGTCAGCGGTCGGAGTCGAGGGATCGAAGGTGAGGAAAAACTGGCAGGAACCAAAGAGCAGACATACGTGAGACCAGCAGCTTTCCAGTAGGCCATTGTGACGGTTGATGGAGAATGGGAGAGATGCAAATCAAAAGGGCACAAGGGACTCTCGGGATGCGTTGCAAAGCGACTTCCCGGAGGTTCGGGTGAGTAGTCACGTGGTTGGTACCACGTGATCTGTTCTTCCCGTGATCGGTGGTCCGTCAGGTGAACGTGCATCCGTCCATCCTGAGCATCATAGTAGTTGTATTTGTCTTCTCACTTGGCATGTAGAACTTGGAGGATCATAATGGCTGTTAGATATGATAGAGATTTGAAGGAGTCAACATATACCGGGCAAGTATTCCGCATCTTATCCCAGTGCCTAGATTAACAAATGAAACACGGAAATCTGTAACTATATATATGCTGCACAATTCTACCTCTATGATATAGTATGAAGAAGAGTTCTAAGATAGTCCAAAAACATATTTCTCTATTGCCCTGCCCGTACGAAAACTGAAGACTAATATTAAAATCTGTGCTAGACTAATGGTTTACTGTTCTGGTCGCCCTGTGACGTTCCCTGTGTTGTTAGTGCCGTATCTACACTACCAACGACGACAACAAACGGGCCTTATAACAACCAACGACACCAGAGCTTTACTAGTGCCAACCACTTCTCCAGCCTGGGAGCTCAACTCTCCACCACTCTTTGTTGTTGTGCTTGGGTCCCTACGTCCCGGTCCAAAAAGCTCTTGTCTGTTCACCTTACACAACACCTCTACCTGCAGACGGCTTGTGTTTCTCGCAGCTCCTCTTACCTCACATTCACTCTGCGCCTGCCCAGGTTCCCAACAGAACAGCTGACCTCAACACATATAGTATATCGCCGATTAGCTCTCGGGCTTTCGGATGTCATCGACTGACTAGCTCTGCCCCTTCGACAGTGCGCGTGACAGATCCGGATCTCAATAGGACAGAGACAGACTCCGGCACAAGCGAGACACGCACGATGGGCCCCCCGAAGAAAATGTTGAATAGACCAAAGAAGCGTGTCTTAGTCCGTTGGGATGGTGTGTATTCCCTGCACTGTGTGCTTACCTTGAGCATCACTCCGGTTCCTGCTGACGACTTTTAGAAAATCTGAATGAGCTTCTTCTACTATGTGTACAATCGGTTTGTAACGCCCAGTCAGTGAAGATCCCGTGGCCGGAGGTCGCTAGGACCATGGGCCACAATGTCACCGAAGGAGCGATCGTCCAGCACTTGGCGAAGCTGCGCGCTCGCCGAGCTGCGACAGGCAAGGATGTCCCTCCACCCCTTCGACGTGGCGGAGTTGGTGCCGCTATCAAACCGTCTAAGCCTACCACCACCGGATCAAAGCGCAAGGCCCACAAAAGCCCGTCGGGAAGCGATGACGAGTCGTCCATACATTTTGAATGCGATGACGCCTCTTCGGACGAGGAATACACTGAGAAACGTCGGTCCAAGAGAAAGCCTAAAATGGCCAAGAGGCGCGGGTCGACTCCAATCAAAGTAGAGTCCGATTCGGAGCAAGACAAGCGGGAGGAAGTCAGTGCAAGCTCTGAGGAGCTGCTGGTGCCGGGTGCTTCGTTTCTCGATTTCCCAAACAGTAACGTTTCGGATGACTCTTCAGTGGAGTCTAGTCCCAGCCCCGTCGAAAGATCTAAAATCGTTGTCCTCAAGTATAGACGCCAGACTGAAGAAAACCAGGAGTCGCTTTTTGGAGGCGAGGAAGAAGAAGTTGCCCTCCCCCCGGCCGAAGCAGGTGGAGCGGACCTGGATGTTATTGGCAACAATAGGAGTGAGCCGGGGTTTAATTTCAATGTGGATCAGCCATTGGTCAATCCTGAAATCAATCCTGAAGTCGACCCTGACTATTTGCTGTTTCAGCCTTTTGAGAACATGCCTGAGGGTTCATATATAACTCATGACGGCATCACGTATGAACCGACGCCCCTGCAGAATGGCAGCGAGCTCCCCACTGGACTGATGGGGGAAGGTTATTTCCTGAATGATCCCACATTCAGTTATCAAGACTTGCTGGAGACCGACGGAAACCTAAACTTTTATTGAAGTCTAGGTAAAGGCGAAAGATCAGCTGATAGGCAGCTTTTGATTGGAATTTCCCGTTGAGCGTTCATTTTGCGGCGTTTGATCAGAATATGGTATGGACTTGATTTCGGAGAAGCATTGATCTATCGTCATTTTATCTTCACAGCAACTGGATCTTATTCATTTGATATGTCTTTGGTTTTGCGTTTATTGAATTCTCGTTTGATGGGCAGGATTCACTCGGGATGCGGTATTTATGCGTTCTTGTTCTTCCGTTGGGAAAATCATGCATTGCTACATACTGGATGTGATGTTAGCAGGGAGTCCTTTTTCAGGAAAATATTAACCATGATAATAATGCAGAATGGACACACCTCTACTTCGTACTCCCTGGACATCCACCGGTCCGTCGTGCTCTCGGACGCACACCGTACAAGTTGTAGAGGACGCTAAAGCCCAGAATTCCGACGGGCCGAGCGATTCCCTCGGGAACGGACCACGTGACCTTCTAGGAGCTTCTGCCGCCAAGACAATCCGGGGATCGAGAAGCGCCTGGAAAATTTTCCAGACTTTGGCTTCATCTCCATCTCTTCTCCATCTCTCTTCCCTCTTCCCTCCTCATTCTTTCTTCTCTATACTTTCTTGCTCTGGGAGTTCTGGTCGGGCAGATCCATCTCGGTGCCTATTTCTTAATCAATTCTTGTTGTTTGTCTTGTTTTTACTTCTCTCCCTTGTTACCAAGATGCAGAGAGCTCTCTCCGCCAGGACTTCTGTCCTTTCTGCTGCCTCTAAGCGGGCTCCCTTCTACAAGCCTGCCGGCTTCAACCTGCAGCAGCAGCGTTTCGCTCACAAGGTACGTCTTACGCTTACGTTCCTCTTCGCAATGCCACGCGAAAGATGCCGGTCGGCTCCTCCGTGATTACCGAAGTCCTGTCCCGTCGGCACCCGATGCTAACAACGATCTTTTCTTTCGCTCTGTAGGACCTCAAGTTCGGTGTTGAGGCTCGTGCCCAGCTCCTCAAGGGTGTTGACACTTTGGCCAAGGCTGTGACTTCTACTCTGGGTCCCAAGGGCCGTAATGTCCTGATCGAGTCCCCCTACGGCTCCCCCAAGATCACTAAGGGTAGGTCTTATCCATCTCTCCCGACCCCCGATTCATCGCTATGTATCAAGACACTGACTTGAATAGATGGTGTGACTGTTGCCAAGGCTGTTCAGCTCCAGGACAAGTTTGAGAACCTCGGTGCTCGTCTCCTCCAGGATGTTGCTTCCAAGACCAACGAACTGGCTGGTGACGGTACCACCACCGCTACCGTCCTTGCCCGTGCCATCTTCTCGGAGACCGTCAAGAACGTTGCCGCTGGCTGCAACCCCATGGATCTGCGCCGTGGTATTCAGGCTGCCGTTGAGGCTGCCGTGGAGTACCTCCAGCAGAACAAGCGTGACATCACCACCGGTGAGGAGATTGCCCAGGTCGCTACCATCTCTGCCAACGGCGACACCCACGTCGGCAAGCTCATCTCCACCGCCATGGAGCGCGTTGGAAAGGAGGGTGTCATCACCGTGAAGGAGGGCAAGACCCTCGAGGACGAGCTTGAGGTTACCGAGGGTATGCGCTTCGACCGTGGATACACTTCTCCTTACTTCATCACCGACGCCAAGGCCCAGAAGGTCGAGTTCGAGAAGCCCCTGATCCTGCTTTCCGAGAAGAAGATCTCCGCCGTCCAGGACATCATCCCCGCCCTTGAGGCCTCCACTACTCTCCGCCGCCCCCTTGTTATCATTGCCGAGGACATCGAGGGTGAGGCTCTCGCCGTCTGCATCCTGAACAAGCTCCGTGGCCAGCTCCAGGTCGCCGCCGTCAAGGCCCCTGGATTCGGTGACAACCGTAAGAGCATCCTTGGTGATCTTGCTGTCCTCACCAACGGTACCGTCTTCACTGATGAGCTCGATATCAAGCTCGAGAAGCTCACCCCCGACATGCTCGGTTCCACCGGCTCCATCACCATCACCAAGGAAGACACCATCGTCCTCAACGGTGAGGGTACCAAGGACTCCATCGCCCAGCGCTGCGAGCAGATCCGCGGCGTCATGGCCGACCCCACCACCTCCGAGTACGAGAAGGAGAAGCTCCAGGAGCGTCTGGCCAAGCTCTCCGGCGGTGTTGCCGTCATCAAGGTCGGCGGTGCCTCCGAGGTTGAGGTCGGTGAGAAGAAGGACCGTGTTGTCGACGCTCTGAACGCCACCCGTGCCGCCGTTGAGGGTGGTATCCTCCCCGGTGGTGGTACCGCTCTGCTCAAGGCCTCCGCCAACGGCCTTGACAGCGTCAAGACCGCCAACTTCGACCAGCAGCTGGGTGTCAGCATCATCAAGAGCGCCATCACCCGCCCTGCTCGCACTATCGTTGAGAACGCCGGTCTTGAGGGCAGCGTCATCGTCGGTAAGCTGACCGATGAGTTCGCCAAGGACTTCAACCGTGGCTTCGACAGCTCGAAGAGCGAGTACGTCGACATGATCTCTGCCGGTATCGTCGACCCCCTCAAGGTCGTCCGCACTGCTCTGGTTGATGCCAGCGGTGTCGCTTCCCTGCTCGGTACCACCGAGGTCGCCATCGTCGAGGCCCCTGAGGAGAAGGCTCCCGCCCCCGCTGGCGGCATGGGTGGCATGGGTGGTATGGGCGGCATGGGCGGCGGTATGTTCTAAACTGCGCCGCGCCGCCTCTCGCCCTGACCCGTCTTTGTTTTGCAAAGGTTTTCCCTTCGAGCGTGTCTTAGCATAGTATGGCCATTTCCTGGTACATTTTTGTTTCATATTGATTTCCTTTAATATCTTTTCCTTTGTTTTAATGTGTTGCACGTCTTTTTTGATTACCCGAACTTTTTACTACCTCCCTTCACCTTATCATTTCTCCTCCCGTTTTTCTCTACCTTATGATTTCATTTGGTTCGTCTTCATACATCATCTCCACTCCAATTATGTTGGGCAGAAAAAGTCTCAGGGAGTCCAGTGTATCATATCATGTACTTTATGTACTCCACTCGCCGTTAGATGTTGTGGTCCTACAATTTCCTTTTACGTTAACTTTGTTTTCGGACCTGTAATCGGGCATCGTAGCTGGTTGACATAATCCTTTGGTAGATCGTTCTCAGCCTACATAAGGAATCATACTCAAAGTGTTGATATCGGCACTGTAAGGACTGACTATTGCTCAGGTATAAGGCCTTGGTCTACTTAGAATTACGTGGCCTTTCAATAAAAGCCTTGAGTTCTTGCATAACGAGGAGTAGTGCGCATACAAAAGATGGAAAATGCTTATTAGCACATTGGGTATATATCGTTCTACATCTACACCTCTATCTATGCCATCAACATATACATAAACACAAAACGGCAAAAAAGATCCCGAGGAAAGAGGCGTCTAATCCACCAAAGCCTCCTCAATCCACCCCATCTGCACGACACTCACACCACGAGCGTAACTCCGATTCGTAAACACGAACTCATTATACAGGATCGCCTCGACCTTCTTGCCAAAGAGGACGCTGGACGGGTGGATCGCTACCGTTTGGTTCCCTGCCACGGTGCGATAGCTGCCGTCGGGCACGAGACGAGCCGTGTTGGTGAAAAATCCACGCAGGAAGCTCTTGAGGATCAGCTCGGGGGATGGGTCTCGGATGACGGAGTCGTTGGTCTCGCGGCCGTTTAGGGGAGGGAGGAGTTTGGCTTGGCGGCATTGCGTGGTGAGTTGTTTGCGGACGTCCTGTTGATCCCCATGTTGTTAGTTGGGCTTTTGGTACTTGCTTGTTAAGGGTAGGGGAAGGGAGGGGATTGAGTTAAGGTAGAAAGCAAATTGTACTCACCATGACGGATTGCATGGCTCGGTGCGAGACCATATGTTTCTCCGCCCAGGCCTTTCGGTTCGTATTTTCTGCTGCATAGGCCTGAACGGTGGCGAGCATAGTGAGATGGTCACCTTCTCTCCGGTAGAGGTCCCGGCGGGCTTGCTCGGCTTCTTCTTTCTTCTCTTCCGTCGTCGTGTTGAGGAAGATAGTCTCCACACTCAGGCAGGAGATGATGTCGATCACATCTAATAGACAGTCGGGGCCGTGTTCCGACGCCGCGAGAAGCACGCGACCAAGGGTAGGGGTAAGAGGGAGTTTCGCAATCTGCTGGCCGATTTCGCTGATTTGGCCCGTCCCATCGAGGGCCTGGATACTCAGTAATTGCAGAAGAGCTTTTTCCAGCGATTCGCGGGGAGGTCTCGTCAAGAACGGGAAGCCCATGACATCGTCAACGCCGCGAGCTTTCATGTTAAGGAGAGCTTGGCTGAGATCGCATCGGAGGATCTCGGGGGTGTTGACTTCATCGAGATCGAGATAATCTTTCTCGGTGAAGAGTCGATAGCATTGACCCGGGGCTTCACGACCGGCACGACCCTTACGCTGAATGGCGGCAGATTTCGAGATGGGCTTGACCAGCAAGGAGTCTAGTCCAAGGCGACTGCGGAACTGCTTGACCTTGGCTTTTCCACAGTCGACCACAAAGCGTACTCCGGACACCGTGACGGATGTTTCGGCAATGTTGGTGGCGAGAATGACCTTGCGAGTCCGAGGTGGTGCGGGCAAGAAGACTCGCTGCTGAGCAACCTGAGGAAGAGCAGCAAAGAGCGGGAGAACCTGCACCTTGGGCAGTGCTGGATCCATCCCCACGGCGTACTCATTCACCAGCTTTTCCAGGGCTTCGACGGTCTCTTGTCCAGTCAGGAAGACTAGGATGTCACCGGGCATAGGCTCCTTGTAATGAATTTGGAAGATGACCTTGAGAGCTGCGTCGACGAAGTCATGGACTGGCTCTGGGGAGTAGATCGTCTTGACAGGGAACTGTCGACCTTTGATATGACAGACAGCAATTTCATCACTGGCCTTCTTTTTCGAGGCGTCTTTCTGTTTAATTGGCTTGCCATCCGCGTTGTTTCCTGAGCCTGACGACTCAATCGCACGCTGGGCCTGGTAACCTTCTTTGAAGAACCCAAGCAGACTTTCCATATCAGCCGTGGCACTCATCACCACCACCTTCAAGGGCACTCCGCCTCTTCCCCCGCGCTTCCCAGAGACCATATTCCTCAAGAATCCCAAGACAAGATCAACGTTGACACCACGCTCGTGCACTTCATCGACCACGATGGCACTGTACTTGGTCAACCACGGATCACGCAGCATCTCCTGCAGAAGCATTCCCTCCGTAAGAAACTTGACCCGCGTACTTGGCGACGTAGACGTATCGAATCGAACCGAGTATCCGACTTTACTGGCTGGCGAAGAAGAACCGAGAGGTGTCCCCATTTCGTCCGCAACACGTCTCGCCAGCGAAATCGCCGCGACTCGTCTCGGCTGCGTGATGGCGATGCACCCACCGACCTCCAATTCCTTTTGTGAACCATCCTCATTGGCAACGCTTGTCTTGACCGGCCGACACCACTGCTCATCCACCAGGAACTGCGGAATCTGCGTACTCTTTCCGCTACCCGTTTCACCAATCAACAGCATCACGTCGTTCTGGCGCAGGTATTCTCGAATCTCATCGCCATGGGGAAAGATGGGAAGGTTCTTCCGGATCTCGTAGAGCGCTTTGGCCTTTTCCCTCAGCGGACCGAAATCCCGCTTGCTATCCTTGAACGACTTCTGATTCTGGTCCCGATCCTGCTTGTGCTTTTGGGACTTCTGTTTCGATTTGCCAGGTCCGCTGCCTGCTGCGGCTCGGGCTGCTGCCCTCTCGTCGGCGGTTCGTGGGGTCGGTGCGCGGTTCTCGTCTGCGGCGGTCGAAGGTTGAGATTGAGATCGAGGGTGCGTCGATTCATCCTGTTTCCGTTTCTTATTTTTGGGCTTCTTCTTGCCATCCTCGTGGCTAGGGGCTTTTCGTTTCGTGGAATCGACTTCGTGGCTCGGTTTGGTGTCGACGGGCTTCTGCGTTTTGGCGACGGGCGCTTCGTCGTCGGAGTCGGCGAAGACCGTGCGCACCCTTTCCGGCATGATGTATTGTAATCTCGCTAGCTACACCGTGGTAGCTGGAGCCGGTATAATTGAAGTGTAGGGTACTGTGTACAACGGAGAGTCGGAGATGCTGAGATCGACTGGTTGGCGCAAACCCCGAAATTTTTTGGGCGACGCTTATCGATAAGAGGCTTGGCGTGAAGATTCCGGTGATCTCGCAGATGTTCCAGAGAAAGAAACTCAAGATTGCTGCAATTTTTGGCTTCTATTCTGGTTTATATATTTAGATAGCGAATAATTCAAGAGCCCAATTCCCAGATGAAGCGCCAATTACGCCGTATAGCTGCTCAGCAACTGAGCCAGCTTTCCTTCAGTCTCGTTTATATACTCTATAACTAGTTCATACCCCAGCCCCGAACACGCCGGAATGCAAATGCTCGGTCATTTCGTAGTCGGAATTCAGCCCAATCGTCAGTGAGCTTATTATAGCTCCAGTAGCCTTTCCAGGCCAACTTCGTATTCTTCGAGGTATTAGGCGGTGCTTCGCCGGAATTAGGGCGGGATGCCGTCCCAGTCGACCGAAGGGACAGGTAAAGGACGTAAGTGTACTTTGGGCCTACGCCCTCTGTCTCAATGACAATGTCCCGGGGATCGAGCATGTCATCCGACGAAGTTTTACCGGTAGACGATAGGAAATCGGAGATCGGATCTGTCGGTGCGTCCTCTTCAGGCGATTCAGAGCTCGGCGACGGGTGAGCTAAGCGCCAGCGACCTCGTTGGGCCTGTTTCAGCGCTCCCATCGCGACGGGAGGGATTGGTTCTGTCGCTCCAGATAATGCATGACCTGCTTCGGAGGTGTGACGATGGTGTTGCTTGTGAGATACTGCTCGCGCTGCCATCACGTTCTCCCTGCTAATGTACGGCACCAGGTCCAGCGGCTCCACGGTGCTCAACAAGGAGACTACGGTTCCGTCGGGGTAGAACCGTAGGTATCGGTAATAGGTGACGATGTGGATAGGACTATTCCACGCGACGTTCTGGTATGATGAAGCCGCACCAGGGCGGGTGTAGTTGACGGTGCTGATGTAGATACCTGTGAAGCGGATGCGCGGGTACATTTGAAACACCTCGTTCCAGGAAGACAAAGGCTTGGGGATTTGAACCGAAGAGTCCATAGGGAAAAGCGTATAGCGCGGTCCCAAAGTGTACTCCCGGTGGCCCATGATGTCACAGGCAAAGGAATAGTGCATTGCCTTGAAGCCAAATTCAGAGCCCTGGCAGAGACGTTTCCAGATGTGCTGTTCGTTGGCAAAATGATAGGCGAAGCGCTTGCAAACCAACGAGGTCCGACAGAAAGACGCAGGGTCCATCAATGCTACGTGCCTGAGAATCTCAACCAAGACCTCGGACGGGACATTTGCAATGGGACAGGGAGGCGGAGGGGTGTTTTCAATAACGGGTTCCGCCTGCGGAATGGGAAGGTGGGCAAACGACGCAATGAGCTCAGGTGTTGGCAGCGTCTCAGGAACATCGTCGGACTGTTGAACCGTGGGGGCAGTCTTGTTCGCAGCGGAGGGAGCTTGTGCCGGTTTCTTCCACGCCCAGGCAAAATGCTTGTCGCGGTACGTTTTGTCGACCGCCGAGTCCAACTGTGGAAAAGGTACAGAAAGCTTAGTATAGGCCCGGAACAGATCAACCGAATACTCCTGAGCTTACCCGATAGGCCTTCCGGTAATGCTGCAAACTATCCCCCAGGTTCCCCTCCGCCTCCTTCTCGACCGCTCGTTCGAAGTGCTCGAGGGCAGATTTGGGTTCTTTCCGAGGCGTTTGCGAGTGGAATGCATCCTCATCGGATGCGCTCAGGTTTAATTGACCGACACCCTGAACGATTTCCCCCTGGTCAAGCGACGCTGCCCCTTCCTCATCTTCAATCTCCTTTCGCTCGGATATTTCGTGGCGAGTGGGCGGGAATTGACTTGGGCGGGCTGTGGACGGCGTCGTCGTCTGTCTTGGTTGCGACGGCCGAGGCGGCGTAGGTCTGGAGCGACGCGCAACTTCTTCACGCCATTGTCGCCGAAACGACTCGAGTTCGGCGTTGTCCGCCATGATTGCGACAGTGGGACAGTGGTGTCTGTAGTAGAGAAGTGGCGGAAGGACGGTTCTCCGTACCCGTTGATTGATAAGCGTGTGCAGGAGCTCTCGACCGAGATTAGAATGGAGAGTGAGAGTCAATCCCGCGGGGAACAAACAAGGACGACGAAGATCTCAAAAATCCATATCGATACAGGGGAAATGCAGTAGAAACAGAGACGACTCGACGGAAGTCAGACCGTAACTGAGGGGGAAAGTAAGAGAGGAGAAAAGTAAGTCGTCAAAGTCCGCGGCGATGGTCTTATCTCCGGGCTTAATCAAAACTGGTCCGAGCGCCACCGCCAACAGCCGAAGCCTTCTTTTTCCTCTGACGCATTTGCCTTGCTGCCCGCGGATTTCCCCCACTGTTCATCCACCTTGCGCGCTCAAGTCAACAGACCCCGGATCCATTGTGTCCGACCAGGAATCCATCAAAGATTGGTCATTAATCGCCCTTAAACATCTCAAACCATTGTCCTCGCATCCTGCCATTGAATGAATGTCCGATCTCAGGACAGCCTTTGCGCGTGAAGACCGATATCGCTCCACCGATACGCTGGCTGCTGTTGGGTTCTCAAGAGACTCCCCAGAGTCATGGCATTCTTTTGAAGACACAAATATGGCGGCTACTTCTGGAACAGGATCTCTCCCTGGCCCGGACGCCGGTGAAATTGAAAGGAAGGACGATGTCTCGCTCACCCAGCGGATGGTTTCCGCCACCTCGGGCAGTATCCTCACGAACCTGTTAGGTAAGGAGAACATCCCCATTTTCTCCCTCAGATCCCAGATGATACATCTGCAAAAAGCCATGGAATTGACAAGGTCATTTTAGTGACCCCGCTCGATGTTGTGCGCGTCCGTCTTCAGTCGCAGTCACCAATCAAGAACACCTCTCCCTTCGCCTCCTATGCTCTCCAACCGATGAAGAACATGCCTCCGAACCTGGGAGTAACTGCTTGTTGTCGGGAGGTATTTTGGATCGGACAGAACTCGCAAATATGTATGGTTGGACCTAGCCCGGGGGCTATCAGCGCTCATTCAGCCGCCATGGCGGATTGCGCCGTGGAGGAATCACGGCGCAAAACATTCACCTCCACTCTGGACGGGTTGCGGAAGATCGCTCGGAATGAAGGAGTATGGACACTTTGGCGTGGTCTGAGTCCGACCATGATGATGAGTATTCCAGCGAATATCATCTATTTTGCTGGATACGACTGGTTGCGATCGGACGGCCGAAGTCCCATCAAGCGATTCCTTCCGGACACCTACGTTGCATTTGTTGCAGGGTCAACTGCTCGCATCGCTGCGGCTTCTGTTATCAGTCCAATCGAAATGTTCCGGACGCGGCTGCAGGCTACTCCCGGCACCGGCACAGACCATTTCAAGACCACTCTCACGGATTTACACCAGATGACACAGGTCCACGGCTACAGTTCTCTTTGGCGAGGATTGACACTAACCATGTGGCGTGATGTCCCTTTCTCGGGCCTGTATTGGTGGGGATATGAGGAAGTGAAGAAACATCTTATGGAGGCTCGCCAAAAGTCACACGAGCATCTTTCCTCGGGCGGATCGACACTGAGTCGGTCTTCACCGCACGATTCAGAGGGACCTACCTTTTTCGAGAGCTTCTTTGCGGGTGCTACCTCGGGATCACTCGCAGCATTTGTTACTACGCCATTTGACGTGGGCAAAACGCGCCAGCAGGTTTTTCGGCACATGGGCGACGATGTACCTGCTTCCGCTGGAGGTGCTGCACAGAAGTCCTTGCGCCCGGAGCAACTTTCGTTACCCAAATTCCTTTTACACATCTTCCGGGAGGAAGGTACATCTGGACTCTTCCGTGGCTGGGTCGCTCGGTGCCTGAAAGTGGCACCTGCCTGTGCCATTATGATCTCGATATATGAACTCGGGAAGAGAATGGCACGGGGTGTCAACGAAAGACGGGACACCGATGCAGAGCCCGGGTCTGCGTGAATCTCCGGAGCTTCTCTATATCATCTATCCTATAAGCCTACATTCTCCGTTAAGGCCAGCGATCACTCCGACCGCGTCTCGGATCCGCATCTAAGTTAATTTCGACCACTCCTCCGCTCACATCCGTTATCTTACCTCCTATTATCCCCTGTCTTAATTATGGATCCGGCTTCGTTGCTTTTTCCTTATTTGCTATACGCTTAATCGCCATGATACCGCCTCGCATTTCAGATTATAGAGCATTATCTCCAGGCCTGGTTGTGAATATGGTCTAGGGGACGGAGGCTATTTTCTTTTTCTACCCCTTGCAAAAAGCCTTGCATTTGCACGTTCTGTACATATATGTATTTTCTCAATAGACGAACATCTTCCCTCAGTCATGTACTATAGCTTGAATATCAAATGCTTTGGCACTCCCTTCTAAATGCTGACTACCTACGACGGATTATTGCAGCCAACGTGCAAAATCAACTTTGTACTATTGAATTTTGCGGGTAATATCCTAACCTATAGTGAATTGATATAACGCTACTTTTACTACCTTCAAATACTAATTAGATGTAATTTCTCATTGTTCTATCTGCTCTCCAGGCTGTCTCTAAAGAAGGCCACACTGGAACTATGCAGCTACTTTTAGGAAGTGACAATAATATTAATGATACTTTTTATACTGCCTTGACAGGCTATATTGAACTGTTTAGTTGCTGTTAGAGGAAAGATACTAGTATTATTTTGCTATAAAACAACAGCTTCCTTCTCTCCGTGGTGTAGATTAATCAGTTCAGATGGGGTAGGATTGCGCCGTGAGTGAATGTGCAAAGAACCGTTTGTCCTTAAGCAAGAATCACTCTGTCGGGACAGTCAATTTCCCTGCCCTGGGGCTGTTAGAGACAGCAATCCTATGAATAGGGTTGGCATCATGCGTCTCTAACTGTCTCTGGTGACCACGCCGAGGGGCAGGTGTTGGTGTGCGGGTGTTAAAACCGGGCTCGGTCATAGAGAACGCATTGGCTGCTGTCTCGTCTCCACGAGCAACAATGTCGTTGATAACCTCATTGTGCGCCTTCTATACATGGAAAAACTCATTGACCGAAACAACGTGCCCCGGCTCAGTGTCGCAGTCGTCCTCAGTGTCCGAGTCAAATAGAGCTAACATCAAAGTCAAGGCCGGATCACCTCTGTATTAAAGCTCAATGCCCTCAAAGAACTGTATCCAGGGCAGATGTCTCGTCTTGACTCGCCGGGAATAGGCGATTCACACGCCGACTCTCCTGCAGAAGGTCCATAGCTTTCCCATGATTGTTTCTACTCTCTTGTCCAAGGGTGCAGTCGCTTTGGGTATAAAAGTCCGGGGCCCTGCACTGCTCGCAGCGATCGCAATCGGTTATATCAAGATCCAGGGACTCTATGTTAGTCGCCTTGTCTTATGTGGGCTCTCGCTTACTTCCTCTGGATTGCAAGGTCTTTTAGTATTGCGTTCGCTGGCACCTTTTGTAGCATTTGAAGTTTTTGTGAGCCATAACGGACTAGGAGCCACTAGCTCAGTAGTAAGGCTTTCAGCGAACGTGTCGTAAGGCTTAAAACGCAGTTTTCTGCGCCGAATCGTAGGCCATTTGATGCAGGTGGTAGCAGCCTTCGGTTCCCTGAGCGTCTTGAGAAGCTCGGTAGTGATGTCTGCGTCGTACAAGTAGACGTATTCGCGTTCTAATACGTTGGTCACAAAAAGACGCGACTAGAAGCAGGTAAGCTGAGATCTCCGGATTGAAATTAGCACTTGAACTAAATGGTGACATACGGTATAAGTAAGTGGTTCGGACGACTTCAGCTTGCGTTCCTGAAGTTGCGCAAGAGCCAGCAAGAGACAGACAAAGTATGGGTCTTCAGTCCAGTCCTTCGGTTTTATCTGAGCGAGTCGCTTGCGTCCAATTCTCGCACCAATCTTGTTGCTACGTCCACTTGGATCTGGGCAAGCCTTGAATCTCTCATTGCGGCCTCCATTGACATGGGTGTAGTGTAAATAGCCCACCAACGGGGGCGAGCCTTGACAGATGTGGTCCTCGAGTCGTCCGTGGCGATAAAATACAGTATAGCTTGGTTGGTGAACAAGCGTACGAGCAAAGAAAAATCCGGACCCTGTGCTACTCAGAAACTAGTATTAGTAGAATTCCTTTTGTGTTCAATTGCATCTCTTACCGATTCTTAGCAAATGCGTTTCTCTCACCCACCAGAAGATTGACAAGGCAGCCATGCTTTACAGCATGTGAAAAATGCATTGCGAGACGTTCAGCATCACTGGGTGATCCAGACTGGGGTCTTTGCTCCTCTTTGTGGTTATGCTGAATGCAATCTGTGCTAACATCAACAACACTTTCGAACCGACAGCCCACTAGGCTAAGGTGATGGGTCGTCCATAAGAGCGGATGAACAAAGAGCTCGCTGTGGTGTCGCATAAGATCATGAAGGGATGTTACGCTACTGCAGGTTGCCATTCTGACATCAGGGTTTATGTGTATCGGGGACGCTTGTTTGTTTGGACATTGCCTCTGTGAAATAGTTCACTTTTTACCGCCTGATCTGCCAGCAATATCATGTACCGCCCACCTAGTTCTGGCGTCGCTTGTGGTAGAAATTCCCGGGACCTTCCCCTGCTGCCAGCAATCTCAGGCCATTTCATCCAAGTTAGGAAGAGTTGCAATATGAACCACAGCGAATATAATAGTTTCCCCGGTAAAGTTGATGACATTTCCTTGTCCAGGTTGGACGCCGACCTGAGTAACAACCTGGAGGGTAGAGCAAGGGTGGATTAAGGGAACCAGAGGTCCCTCGGGCCATGGATGCAAATTCGGGCGCAGGAGGTGGCCATGATAGGATCTTTCGGTGGATATCCTCCCATGTGTACAGGTAGGGGCTTGAATGCGCATGATTCTCCTTCGCGTGTTGCCCACCACAGTGCTGTCCGTCCCTTCTCTGGCGATCCCTGTGAGGCGGACAATCCGCTCTCAGATTGAGGTCCCTACGGAGTAGTTGGCAGTCACGTGTATCATCACATACAACCGGCTGGAATTTATTGTAAGCATTATTGTTATCATTATTGTTATCATTATTGTTCTTAATATCACATTTATATGCTACAGTCTAGGCTATGGCCAGCAGAACTTACTCCGTATAAGAAAAGTTGATTTTGCAGGTGACTGGCTCGCCCGGTCATGTGTCGCGGCGCCTGAGCGCATCCTTCAATGCGAGTCTCGGGCCTTTTCGACGATCATCTCCTCTTCTTTCCCGCCATGATTGGCCTTTCTTTCCTTCGATCCCCTTGGAATGCGGGTATTATGTTTGCTAGGGCTGACCTCACGAGGCCGTTGCAAAACACCAAATGATGTCAGCCGCCATGCTCCTTCCGCTGGAAGATGGCTGTCAGATGATGGCTGCCAGCCTTTCCTCATTTAAAAGAGAATTCGTACCTAAATCTACTGCCTCGATGTTTTATCGGCTCGCTTTCAACGATGGCACCAAGCACCCATGGCAGTGACAAACTGGCTGTGCAGCCAGAAACAGACGTTGAGTTCGTGTCGATCTGTCATCTGCCACGCTCTTGAACTAACTATCCTTAGTATCGTTGCCGTCCCTTCAATTGGAGGCGATCCAAGCAAAACATGGATTGACGAGGATTCCCGGAGATCGTGGCCTACTACCGATCTAGCAAAGCATATACCCAATGCGCGAGTGCTGCTAGTAGATCACGGAACCCTCAGTCCGCAGGATGACCTGGACTCCCTAGGCCACAGATTACTCATGCAGCTTCTTCACGAAAGACAGCACACGGTATAGTAATATGCTCCAGTCTTGAAGATATGTCAGGAGAATAACATTCATACCCGTCCAGAGTAGCCGACGGCCCATCTTCTTCATATGTCACAGCACCGGTGGACTGGTGGTAAAAACAGCCCTTGTTATTGCTAGTCACTCTGCATCGCACCTCAATTCCATTTTTTCAAGTTGCTACGGGATCGCTTTCCTGGCAACTCCGCATAAAGGGTCGACTTATCTTTCTGCGCCGGAATATGCCAAGAGCGTTCGTCGCCTGATGCAACCCAGATATCACGTTCCACATCAAATGCGAGAGTTGTTCAGGCCTCGACATCCAAAGCTTCTTCGCTTGAACAACCAATTTCGGTCAATGTCGGCGGATATCAAGTTATGGTCTTTTCTGGAGACGGTCGATTCAATACTTACTATTACAGACTCCAGTACCCATGGGGTTGTGGACATGAACGTACCCATCACCTCTATCAGGTCAGGTCTCTTGGATTTTGAGCATGAGAAGGAAATTCCGTTGGCGACGGATCATGTAGGAACGGCATGTTTCAAAGGCCAAGAAGCGACTACAAGACAAAGCTTCATCAAAGAACTACAAGCATCGACCTCGATAGCTCGACAGTTATCTCTCATGGCGGATGTTCCGTTGCACGTGGAGGAAGAAACGCTGATCCAGGTCAATGGATTCTATGAGGATACAGCTCGCGGTGTTAGCGATGAATCTCCTTTGAAGCTATGGTCTACTAAAACCCGACTCAGTGATTATCTAAAGGACGGACCTACGATTTGCTTAGAATCTCGGTTAACAAGCACCGGTAGAGTTACTTCTGGCTCGTTCGATGATTCATCAGTCAGCAGCTTCGATAGTCGACCATCGTCGGCCATGGCAGGTTCTGAGTACAGCTCTTTCGATGAACTGGACCCGGAAGGTGTTGCGGCAGCCCACAACAAGAGCATTCCATCAAGGCCAACCATGAAGAGGAGTCGCAGCTATCTAGCTCAGCCTTCACCCAGAATTCATGTCTCAGAGCCTGCTGTAGAGAGCTACTTTGATGAGCAAATTGGGGATTCAGCATCCAAGGACAATAATACAGAGCCGGGAGGCGGTACCCATGTTGAAAATGTGTAGGTTGCGATACGCACTAAATACGCCTGAGTCGTACTAGACTGATTTCATGATTCTCAGGGCTAGGGTTTCGTCGCAATCCAAAAGCCTTCTTCCCGTACCAAAGCCTACCAGAGAACGACTTGATCAAAGTCGATGCGAAATTCCCCGAGCTGCTCCTCGATTTGACCGTCCCGAACCGGGTAGCGAGAAACTTATCTGGATACACGTTCCGTATACACATACGGGATGGGTGCCGCCAGTCCTATCCAAAGCGTGTGAAGAGGAGCAAAGACCTGAATTGTGAGCCTCTTGTCATTGAGTCTCCTCGAAAATGCTAGCTAATATCAAAATTCCTCGAATATAGTTTCAGGAAGTTCATAAATGAAGAAAATTGGTATTCAAACCTTGTCAGGGCGCGTCATTTAGAACCCCATGCTCGATTTGTACGACCTACATGTATCCATTCCAGACAGGATAACCCTACGACTGTTGACAAGGAAGAGGACATTCAGGATCCTCAGCTTGCCATATACGTGAGTCTGTGCAGTTGAGTATCCCTTCTATCGAATGCTAACTTGTCGGTATGCTCTATCAGCTTCCCTACGTAAGTTTTGTTGACTTTCGAGCTATTGACAAACTAAGCTCATTGTATGTGGTTAGCTTCATTGGGACACATACTGTAACCTGCTTCAGCGGCGGAACGCTGTCGAGAAGCGATTACAACAAGGACGATCAAAGCCAGTCCCTGATTCAATATCCAAGGCCAGTCATGAATCGCAATTGATTTGGGAATTTCTAGGTAGCGAGCCTCCTATCCATATACGGAGAACCTTGGACCAGTATGGGTATCCGAATCTGCGATCAACAGTGGCCAGAGACGATGACCAAATGCTGTGGAAACGCACAAAGAAGTTGGTTGACCCGAATGAGGAGCTCGGACAATTGTCATCCTTTCAAGAGACTGGTGATCCGCCAAAGCCAATTATGGATGGAAAGGTCCTGATGGTAGACCAACTCTGGTTATGGATTGTGGACCCCAGAACCGTCGTTACTTTTTTCCCCAAGCAAGAAGCCACTACCGCCGAAGGAAAACTATACGAACAGGCCAACCTATTTAACAGTATCTATAACGAACTTAATGGAGACCTTGCAAGGCGATTCGAGACTGCTGGCGACCTAGCTGCACTGATAGTGTTGCACGCAGTCACTGTTCTCTTGGATAGGACCCTGCATCATGACCTGCAGATACTCCGGATATTCGAAGAATCCATCAGCATCCTGGTAAGGGAGCCTTTCTCGAATTACATTAAAACGTGATCAAACTGACGACAACAGATTGAGTCCATGACCAGATCATTCAAGCGTTTCCGAGGCCGAGGATTTATTGTCACACCCTCGGATTACAACAAAACCTCTGGTGGAAAGCCAATGACTACGGAAGAGCGCTTTGAAAGAGACTATCGGATTGTTAACCAACATCGCGCGGACCTTTCAACCCTCTTAGAGTTGAGGGATATTGTGGACGAGCTAGGAACGGTATTGAAGCTTCTCGAACAACAGTCAGTAACTGTTAAAATAATGGCCAGCTACTTTGAAGAGAAAGGGTACGGTAAGGCTTTCATTGAATCTGCCCTCTCGAGACTTGAGGATTACCACGCCCAGGTTCTGGAGATGAAAGACAACGCATACTCAGCACAGAAGGATGTAAGTCGCCTGTTGTTCGATAAGTGAAAAGAATAATCTGACGATCTGCACGCCCAGGCTGAAAGCCTTCTCGACATCAAACAAGAACAAGCCAACATAGACGAGTCCCGGATGGCTCGATGGCAAGCCGAAGTCACACGCGATCAATCCCAGTCCGTCATGGTCTTCACTATCTTCACTGTGATGTTCGTGGCTTCACTATCATTACCATTAGGGATCAGTGCTGATGATCAGAACAGCTTCCTACCGTTGTCCTTCTTTACTTCACTCTTTGGCATCAATGTTCGTGAATGGAGCGGCGAAGAGACCAACCTAACCATGTCCCAAATGTTGTCCATTGCAGGTATGGGTTACCTCATACAATTCGTTTGGCCCATTAACTAACAATCATGCTTAAGGCCCAACCTCCTTCGCAATCATCATAATCGCCCTATTAATGGCCTTCAGTGAACGACTCCGCGATATTACAGCAAAGACTCAAAAAGTTGCATTTGGCGTAACCAGAGAGTTCATTTTCCGTCCCTTAGGCATGATGCTCCACAGGAACAGGAACAAATCGAACACAAAGAAACAGAAGGCCACTCCATCGATTAATACTGAACGCACTACTAGAAGGGAACGGTTCGGTCGATATCTCGGAAACCGTCAACTTAAAGATGACGATATCTGGGATCGGCATGAAGACCGGGTGATATCGCCACTACCTCCGCCTGTTCTGGGCTCCGATGGCGAGAAAGTGGATTATGACGCTGTTGGAAAGGAGAGGCGGCTGGATCGCGAAATGGCATAGCTTTGTCTCCTATCTCGGTATGCTATGGGCAGCTCACAATGTCTGTTTGCAATGGTGCGATCTTGTTGACCAAGCCTCCTACATAAAAAGAGTGACATTCTATCAGCCTGCATATTTAGATTATTTGTGCTATAGGATAGGCATACCTGGTATACACACCCATATCTACTTTTTTCGACCCTCTCACCGACTCCATACCATCTCCCCGGCCTTGTGGGGATTTCAGAGAGCTCCACAGTGGATTAAGAAGGGGATAAATCAGCCCTGCCTGAATTCGCTACAAGGAGTCATTTATGCTTCCGTATCGCCCACCGAAAAGCTATGCAAAAAAGGATACGCGAAAGCAGAATATCTGGCATCTTCTGGTTTTGAGATGAACCTTGCCTGCTGGTAAGGGGTCACTTTCACCGCCTCATCTGCCAGCAATATCACCCACCGCCCACCCAGTTCTGGCCGGCATTCTCCGTGCATTCTCCGTGAATTCTCCGGCCGGTTGGGTTGGAGTTCTTTCCAACTTCTCAGATACGACTTTCAATCCCAAAGGGGGCTGTTCGCCTCGACATGCATTACCAACCAACAAGTCAATCAACTACAATCAGATACTCCAGCTCTCGACAGTTCTCGATAGTTCTCGACAGTTCTCGGTCTACCTGCGTGCTTAAAACGAATCACCGGGGGAGGGCCAGGTAATCGCGGGCCCGCTCCCCAGACACCACTACGTCCCCACTTTACTTTACTAATGGTCGGGCGACTTAGTAGGAAATGAATCAATCACGCCAGCGGCCCGATACAAGCAATGCAGCGCCTATTGGAAAGAAGCTGGACGCGTTTCGGAATGCTTTCGGGGAAACATGCCAGAACCTGGGCCTGGCCGTAAGCCTGGGCTCTTTAGATTCCTTTGATGTCCAAGGTACCGGGCAACTGCATCACGCCATGACACAATGATCAGCAACTAATGCGATCCTAGACACTCAAAACTTGATACTCAACTTGATCTCGGCACTACGAGCTCTACCAGACACGCGGAAGCTCCCTTCAGCGAACGGGCGAAAAAACCTACTGAGTGATCTCGTACGAGTGAATGCTCCGATCAGTTTTGGTGGTTTTGAGGTAAATCAATTCAAGTCGCTACTCAACGCAGTTTTAGATGAGCAACCGGATAACATCATCTGGGACCAACTATATGCTACCGTCCGCGAATCTACACCCCCATCATCAGCCTTGCTCGTGCTTGACCAAACACCATTCCTACACACAACAAGCAGCTTGGTTAACTCTTCTGAACATCGGAGTAATTACGACGACATACTAGAAAAGGAGCTTGGGTCGATCTATATCGGCGTACCTGGATTCATCGATGCTTTCTTTGGTCAAATAAAGGGCCTCCGGGATATCGCTGCGACCGTCTACGCAAGATGCAACGGAGACCCAGAGCCGCTGTTCAAGGAAGACAATCGTTGGAAGGATTGGCCGGTGGATGCTACCGAGAAGGACGTTCTGGACTGGCTGGACAGACAGGTCCGTCTTCTTCATGACCTTGCGGTCGAAGCTGGGTTTCCTAGAGTTACAACTCGTGCAATCTTGGCGCAGCCAAATCAACCTTTGCGAGGATCAAAAGCCGATCGAAAGCTTAATGTTGGGTTTGTTCAAAGAAACGGTAAGACCAATTACAGCTGGTCAGATGTCATGGTGTTGGGCAAATTGAAAAGCAACCCAAAGGCAGATACTGCGTCGAGGACGTGGCACGATCTAGGTCGTTATGCAAGGGAGGTGCTAACAGCCCAAGATACAAGGCTGTTTGCATTTGGATTCTCGTTGTGTGGTTCAATTATGCGCTTATGGGAGTTCGACCGCGTTGGGGTCATCGCTTCTTCACCATTCGATATCAATCAAGACGGACAACAGTTTGTCCTGTCCATGCTGGGTTTTTTGTATATGAATCACACACAGCTGGGGTTTGACCCTACTGTCATTACGTCCTCCAATGGTAGACGATATGTACAAATTATGCGTGACGGCCAGAGCGAACGCCTTGTGATTGATAAACTTCTGCGGCGCGCCCAATGCGTTGCTGGCCGGGCCACAATCTGTTGGAAAGCTCACCGCGAAGGTGATGAGACGAACATACCACTAGTGGTCAAAGACTCCTGGCAGTATCCAGAGCGCGATGAAGAAGGCAAACTTCTATGTGAAGCAGCAGCAAAGGGAGTAATAAATGTGGCTCGGTATTACTCACACGAAACAGTCCAGATCGACGGAAGAAATGACGATGTCCGTGACAACATTCGCCGGGGGCTTGATGTGAGGAAAGCTGCAAATTACCAGCCGACACGCTCTGAGGAGTCACCGGCTGCGAACGCAGCGGACACGGTAAGTACGGGCCGTCCGACGAACACGGTAGGCCGCAAAAGATCATCCAGCCGTGCTGGCGCCGGTCAGCCAGCTAGTAAACGCACCTGTCTAGGCTCCCCTTCGAAACGCGCGAACCTTGATGTGCCAAATCGGGTTCATCGTCGTGTTGTCGTACGTGATTACGGAACGCCTATATACAAGGCCAGATCACCTATTTCTATGCTCTCCGCGCTAGAAAGTTGTATACAAGGCTACAGGTCCTTGCATATGGAGGCTGGGTTGTTGCAAGGTGATATCTCAACGGGTAATCTGATTTTGAATAAAGAAGAAGAAAACCCATCTTGGCCAGGTTTTCTCACTGATCTGGACCTTGCCATCAGAGAACAGCGAGAAAGGCCCTCCGGGGCGAGAGCCAAGACGGGGACACGGGCTTTCATGGCGATAGGTCTTCTACTGGGCGAGAGGCATTCCTTTATGCACGACCTAGAGTCCTTCTTTTGGGTTATTCTTTGGATATGCATACATTATGATGGGCCCAATGGTAGCCGAGTTGTGCCTAGTTTCGACAGCTGGAACTACGCGAATGTGAGAGACTTGGCTGTCATGAAACTCGGGATTGTGGCTAAGGAATCCATTTTCCTCGAAGTCGCTACAGACAATTTCACTCCCCATTACGAGGCTCTCATTCCATGGGTAAACCGGCTGCGGAAGGAGGTCTTTCCACTGGATAAACCGTGGGAAGAGGAAGACCACGGGCTCTATGAAAGATTTCAAAACGTGCTCAGCCAGGCGCGAGAAGATCCATTAATCCGATAGCGAAGCACAACCAACTTTTCACGGACACAAGCAAACAGTACTACCACACTGTCCCCTAGTCGCCATAGATCATGGGGGAACTTGCAGGTGTAGGATGCTTGAATTGTATGAAGCTCTCGCGGTCAACGAGGCTATCTAGAAAAATATCATATAGTTATTTGATATTCTTTATGCAGCCGCGGAGCGGCGCTCGATGAAAGGGGTGTTTTTCAGGAATCATAAATAGTTAACTGTTTTTCTTAAGTTCCCAGGCGAGAGCCCTGCAGCTAAATACAATATTGCACTTCTTCATTACGATCGTCTAATCAAAGAAGGGTTTCCACCGACCAGTGGGATAATGCCGTTAATCTGGCCGAAAGAGAACATTTCCATTTGCCTACATATAGCCCACCGAAAAGCTGTGCAGAAATGATATGCGGTAGCAGAATATTTGGCATCTGCTGGTTTTGAGATGATCATTGAAAGGTATATTAACTGCCTAGATCAAGGCCATACCATTGCATGCTTATGGACTATACTTCTCTAGCATTCAAGAACTAGAGGTGTCTAGCCTAGTATGAGCGCATATTTCCATGTCACAATCACTTAATGGATATGTCTGTATGGATGTTTCTGTCTCTGCGAATCTTGTGTCTCAGGAGTTGGTGGAGTTTAGGAAGCCTTGGTGCTAGATGGGCTACCTGCTTGCTCGCAATAGAGCGGCTACATTAGGCTGAGAGAGTCAATCAATCACCGGCCAAATCCAAGTCCCATCGCACTTGTTCGTTAGCCCATGAGGATATGCGGAGTACTGACCATAGCAAACACTCTACCATGAAAATAGTGAGGGGAAATGGGTCTTGGCTCGGAGAAACAACCATACATCTTGTCCTCTTCGAATGACCCCGGACAAAGAAAGCAACATTGAAACAAAGAAAAGTAGCAAACATCGACCGAAGGACCGATTCGGTCCGAAGAAATATAGAGGAAGGTCCGAATCTTTCCCTCTATTTATAGAGGGAGGTTGACAATCATGTCTCTGACCTAAATTCAGGATTCATTCTCGAGATGAGTAGATCTCTACATAAGATACCACTGTTAGGTGATCATCGAAGAACACAGAGCTCGCAATGCAGCAGCAGCAGCCCAGATTCACGCTCATCCGCAATGCCACCGTGCTCAGCATCGACCCAGACATCGGCAACCAAACAGACTGCGACATCCTGATGAAGGACGACAGAATCCAAGCCCTGGCCCCAAACCTCACAGTCCCCAACAACGCCCCAGCGGCCACGATCATTGATGGAACGGACTGTATCGTCACGCCGGGCTTCGTGGACGGCCACCACCACGTCTGGCAGCACCTGCTCCGCGGCGTCGCCACAAACTGGACCCTATTGGACTACTGCATCGAGATGCGCACCCTCTACGGCAGCCTGTTCACGCCCGACGACGTCCACCTCGCGCAGTACGTCGGAGCCCTCAGTTTGCTCAACAACGGCGTCACCTGCGTCCTGGACCACTGCCACGTCGTGAACAGTCCTGCGCACGCAGATGCCGCCGTGAACGGGCTCAAGGAGACCGGTATCCGCGGGACGTTCTGCTACGGACTGTACGAGAACCCGGTCCTCCCGGGCCAGGGCCAGGCAGCAGCGGTATTTGATCTGGACATGCGGAAGAACGACGCCTTGCGCGTTCGTCAGGAGCTATTCCCTGTCCGAGATCCCGAAAAAGCACTCCTGACTTTTGGGTTCGCGCCCCGCGAACCAGAAGGCCAGGGTATCGACGACACGGTGGCGGATCTCCAAGTGGCGCGGACCCTAGGTGCCAGGATCACCACGATGCATGTGGCCATGGGCCACTACGACACTCGACACGCTCGGGTGGTGCATAATCTAGCGGACGCGGACCTCCTAGCTCCAGACCTTGTATTCAGCCACGGCGCGTCCTTCACGGATGGCGAGCTGGCAGCCATTGCACGCGTCGGGGCCGGGATCGTCGGCACCCCCGACACGGAGCTGCAGATGGGTATGGGATATCCGGTTGTCTTTAAGGCAAGAGACGCAGGGTGTCGGGTCGGTTTGGGACTCGATATCACGTCGAATCAGTGTAATGATTTCGTAGCGCAGATGCGACTGGCGGTGCAGACTCAGCGAGCAATCGAGAATGCGGGTTTTGTCTCGTCGCCACCGGTAGCTCTGAAGCGGACCACAGCCGATGTACTGCGGATGGGAACGATGGGGGGTGCGGAGGTGATGCATCTTGAGAATCTGGTGGGTTCGATCACGCCGGGGAAGAAGGCGGATTTGGTGCTGTTCAGGTGTGATGATATTGATACGGTGCCGGTGCTTGATCCGGTTGGGACGGTGGTGTTTCATACCTCGCCGGGTAAAATTGACACGGTGGTTGTGGATGGGAGGATTGTGAAAAAAGATGGAAAGCTTGTGGGCGTGGATTGGCCGAGTCTGAGACGGCAGGTTGAGGCGAGGTCGAGACGGATTGTTGCGGAGGCTGCGAGGATAGACACGTCGATGCAGAGGGAACAGTGGAGTAGAGCGTTTGCGGTCTAGTTTGAGAGATATCCGTTCCGTTTTCGACTCGTCGGTAGTGTATTTGTGAGTTACATGACAATAGTAACCGAGATTGTTCACTAGGGAAACCCTCAGATTCAAGAGGCGTAAAAAAGAAACATATGGCCATTTGGATGCGACTTGCTACCCAACCTTTCACCAATTTATTCGTCCCTATATGCTAATATAGCGGCCATTCTGAGGGGAAAAGTGCCGTTAATGTATCCAGGGCCCCAGCGTCAGCGTCGCCAGTGGCAAAATTTGTGAAGCCTTCCCAGGCGTCGAGGCTGCTCGTCGGCTGCCAGGCATCGTCAAGAAGCCCTGAATTGAAAGACGGACCCGGTTCCTCGCTGGTATTTGTGTAATTACGCCTGACCGATGCGTCGGACTGATCATTGGTCCTGCTAGCCCTCCGTAGCTGCGTTACAGAACCATTTTCGGTCTCAGATTCAGATGTGTAGACATATCCACTAGACAGGGCCGAGTGCTCTGTTTCTACAGATGGCGGGCCTCTGATTTGTCCACTTGGATTTGATATCGGGTCAGTGTCAAGTTCGGTACCACCGGGCTCGGCTGGAAATCGGTGTGCCACCAGGATGTGAAGCTTGGTTGACTAGAATACATGTTAAAATCCAATGAAATCAATCCTGGGGCCGTGGGAGGAATATAAAAACCTACCAATCGTTGCAAGGCTTTCCAGTACTGGGATAGCCGACTGACCAGCCCTATCAGCGCTTGTATCAAAGCTACATCATCGTTTGACATGTTGTTATGCGTTTCTAATACCCCTCTCAGATCTTGCGATTGGGTTAATAGGGCAAGAATCACCGCCGCAGTGAAGGCAGTGAAACCAACAATTGGGGATATTCTCGTCACATCTGATGATTGAGCCAGATGATCTAATACCAACCAACCCTGTAGCCTGGCGTAGCCTAGAGCGGCATGGGCACATCTTCTCTCAATATCTTCAGGTACAACTTGGCTCTGTCGTCGGCCACACAGTCGAGGAACCATAGCGCGGTTAAGGGTCATCTGGCAGAGATGGTAGAGACTGTGTACTAGAAGAAATTTTTCTTTGCTGGCTGAGGTGCCGTCCCAGATACTAGGGGGAGGGGGGAATGAAGACGAATTGTATAGTCCGGTGGTGTGGGAGGAAAGATTCAAAATCTCGGTTATTGTAGTGGCATCTGGTGTCTGTTTAACTAAAATCTGTGTTTTTGCCCTGTACTTGCATCGTCAGAGTCCGCTTGATCTTATCACACAAAACTAACCCACCAGATTCCGATAAACTTGAGAAGTTCTGCAATCACGGTACTTTCAAGTGGGCTATCATCAGGATCGGCTTCATCAAGAACCAAGCAGTTCCAACTGGTATCCATTTTTCTCGCATGATCGGTGCAGAAGGCGGGTTCGTCTTTATCAACAGGAACCGGCAACGGTAGTCCCGCGGCTTCCAGCCAGGCAGATTTCAGATACGCCTTCGGCTGTCCAGCGATGCACATAGTTGCCCAACAAGCCCAGAAGCATCTCCGCTCTATTTCTGTTCTCTTCATTCTGCAAGAGTCACCTGTCCAACCGAGGAGTTTGTTATAGCCAGCATTGTAGCAGGATCGATAAGCGACAGCTGTTCAGATTTGCATATGAGTAAGGTTTGTTTCAAAATTTCCACCAGGCGCCGAACGTACTCAGATGTATATCAGCCCACTGATTATCACCGGTGGCAAACCAGTAGATAGTGAGGGACTCGAGCGCCTGGATGGTAAATAGTGATGGCTGGCCACTTAGCGACAGCGCTTCTCTGCTGGCCGACTCGGCCCAGGGTCGGCCATGACTCGCAAACAGTCTCAGAGTGCTCAACTCGAGTGGCTGATTGGATGAGAAGGTCGACATATGACTTCCTTCAAGAAATCTTGACAGGGTTATTACCAAGTGCTCGGGGACAGATGATGTTAGAATTATAACCTTACATGGATGCCAATGCAAAAAGAGCCCGGAGAAGATAGTCCGGTAACTTTCCTTCCAGATAGTCTCTCATGAGGCTGTATTTGCTAAACAGGAGAGGGGCATTGTATATTCTCTCAAAGTAGATCTCTAACAGAGAGAGGCCCAATGCACGCGGCGGAAGCTCGTCCTGACTGTTCCCTTCGATGGATATACGTCGGTCGAAGTCAAGGGGCTGCATAGAGACAGATGCAGTGCCATTCGAGCTTCTATTCGGTATAGACATGTCTCCGAAGGCTTCATGGGACGCAGATGGCTCACTGGTGCAATAGATAGTTAATCATCAGCCGACTATCTTTCTAGACCACTATACCTCCGTTTCCGCTTCCTCGTACTACCCCGAGACAGGACATCGATCAACTGGTCTTCTTCATGTTGAGTCCGCGAAGCTTTGCGCAAAGCAGCAAGTTGTTTGATCAGCCTCTGGCGGGTATACGCAGGAAGAGCCTTGCTTTGTGCATCGTAGACAAGAAGGTAGGTGTTTGCTGCATCGCAACTAGAGTTTACAGTCCCATTCAAGCAAGTTAATAGGACCAATGAATATCATTTGAAGGAAGACAAGCTTACCTTTTGACCTCGGCATCTTACACAGGCCGTTTTCGATTCGAAAGGAAGGTTCTCGCGGCCACTCGAACATCCACGAAGGATCTCAGCGTTGTCCAACACCTCGCTAGGAGAACGAGTTGTTGACATTGTAGATGAAGGCACATAGATTTTCACAATAAAGAACTAGGTCTGGATGCTAGATCATGTAAAGAAGTTCGATTAGTTGGAATAAAAGAGGATGGTGAGGGGAAGGCAGCTCAATGCAGGTCACCAGCTCAGTTCTTTGTCTTTGTCTGGTTTGACTAATTCACTTCCACCACCACCAACTTCAGAGGCATCAAGGCTGGAAAGATATTTTGGATACTGAGTACCCATCTTGTTTAATTAATAACATGAGACTGCTTCGGCGTTTATTTTAATGAGAACTGTGTTATGGGAGGCTTCAGTCATGCTATTGCATTCTCAGGCGCGCTATGTTACCTGAATCTATCAGAAGAAAAGCTTGAGTTCGGTAGGGCGCCATGAATATTTCATTCATAAATCCCAACTAACAGAACATCAGGCGGTTCAAGAGTAAGCAAACTCATTCAGTTGCAGGGGCGATCTTCCCTTGGACGGCCCCAAACCCGATTCTCTCCTCTCCTTCTCCCGCCCAACCTTCGATAATAACCTCATCTCCATCCTCCAACCAATTCACAATTAGGTCGTTCACGCCAAGCTTGATCGGTATATTTCCACCATCTGTTAGCTCTAAAAGACAGCCCAAACTCCCTGGTTTTCCGTTCAAACATTGCTCCCCGTCCTCTGGTCCAGGGGATGACAAGGTTCCTGTTCCTAGGAGGTCGCCTGGGGAAAGCCCGCATCCCGACGAAGATTGATGCGCGAGCATTTGGAACGGGGACCAGTGCATGTGCTTAGATTCAGCTCTGCTAACTAGAACTCGACTGTGGTCGTTTCCTGCGAAGTAATACATAGGTTATTCAGTGTTTACCAGCAACTCAAATGCAGGATCGACCAGTCACATACTATCCAAGAATGTCAAAACCTCTGCCGAAACATCTTCCTTCGCCTGCAAAAACGGGATTGTGGACGCTTTTCCCCCTTGAAGCTCGTCTTGAAGCCCGTCTTTATCCACGGGAATGATGGCACCTGCCTCCTGAAGGGCCTCCAAGGTGACAATCCACGGAGAGATGCTTGTCGCGAAAGCTTTGCCATTGAAAGGGCCAAGCGGCGTCATTTCATAGAACTGGATGTCTCGGGCAGTCCAGTCGTTCAAAAGCACGAAACCGAAGATATGGTCCTTCGCCTTGGAAGCGGAAATTCGCTGGCCGAGCGGTATGGAATTTGACACAAACATTCCCAGTTCAACTTCGTAGTCTAGCTTTTGGCTTAGACCAAATGCAATGTGGTCGTCATGGGAATCTGGTCGAATGCCATAGGGGCGATGGATTGGCGTACCGCTCACTACAACCGAGGAGGCTCGCCCGTTGTATGCTGGTGGTACGTTGAAGAAATTAGCCGGGAGCTGAGGATGACCTGCAATGCGTCCAGCCTAGACTGTCGATTAGACAAACTCTCGTTCCGATATAGGGATTCTCTGGAGTCCTACTCACATTGCGCATGTGAACTAGGGAGCATGAGAAGTCGGTAAACCCGCCGATAGTCATTGGCAGATGTAAATTCACATCAGCGCTCTGAACTAAATACTTCGATTGCCCCTGCTCGTCGTATAATGGAGAACCTCTAGTTGTGATGAGCTCCTGAATACTTCTGCGAACAGCGGCTCGTTCATGACCTGGAAGCGCGGCAAAGTCGTTCAGGGTTGGCTAGAGCCAGAAAAAATTGTTGGTTAATTCTTATGAATAGTGCAACCTCAACTGATGCTAAGTTTTCTATACCTGACACAAAGCGCGCCTCATCTGCTCGGAGCCCTGGATGTGGCCTTGGGCTGCTAGGGCGCAAAGGTCCAGGACATGTTCACCAACTGCAACCCCGGGTCGGGGCTGGGGCTGTTGTTTCCGCTCACAGGTCAGTATCAGATCGTCGAGCAGCTATTTGAGGGTATTTCTAACGAACCTTTTTGAGTGTGCTAAAAATCCCAAACGGGATGTTGGAGACCGGGAAGGGCGAGTCCACTGGGATAGGGAGAGGATGAGGCACGAACGGCAACATATTGAAAAGATTCAGAATCTGTACTTTGCAAGACGCAGTTCTGCTCTGCTACGATCGTAAATGCATGCCTCCTGCCTTGGAAATAAGGCGTTCGACATTCGGTGCAAGGCCCCCATTCGGTCCGACTCTTCACATCGTTCGGTCCGACCACCAGCCATACTAGAATAGCCTGAGGCCATATCTTAATCTCTCTCCCTATTTCTCTTTCAATTCCTGGTATCTAATTTTTAGAACTTCACGCAACCTCATCTACCACTACTTAAATCATCACCATGTCCACCAACCCCTCCGAAAAGAAACCTTACAGCAACCCCCTCCCCCAAATCCACCGCTTCATCGCCACCCACGACACCACCGGAAAAGCAATCTACTCGACCTCCCTCCCAGAGCGCATGCAATTCTGGCAAGTCAGCGACGACCCAACCATGCCCGTGGGCTTCTTCCTCGGACACACCGTCTCGATCTTCCCGGTTCCCTTAGCCAACGACCAAGACCTAACCGACTACAAGACCACGTTTGCGCGGAGCCAGGACAGCGGTCTCGTGAAACGCGGCGGCATTGTCATGCGCTACGTGGATTATCCACCGGGGTGTCGCTCGCCGATGCATCGTACGGTCAGTCTGGATTACGGGTTTGTGTTGGTGGGCGAGTTGGACTGTTTGTTGGATGATGGGGAGGTGAGGACGGTGAGGCCCGGCGATGTGGTGGTGCAGAGGGGAACCATGCATCAGTGGGTGAATCGGAGCGAGACGGAGTGGGCGAGGATGGTGTATGTTTTGATAGATGCCACAGCGGCGGAGGCTGGAGGTGTGTCGATGGAGGAGGATTTAGGGGGGATGAAGGGCGTGCCGGAGTCTCATTGATGATTGTCAGTCATTCTTATTGTGCCAGCACGGGCTGTGGCTACTGCTTGGTAGCAACGTCCACCGAAAGTAATGAAGGAGATGCGCAGTTGTGGGATTGGGTCTCTAGAAACACCGACAAGGATTATCTATATTCTATCTCTCTATGACTGAGTTAGGTCTATCCATCCGGTCAACACAATTGAAATCGTCTGGCGACCTGGATACCCTCTGCTAGTGAGCCTACCCCGGCATCGATCGCGTACCCTTCCTTCTCCAGGCGCTTGAGATCGTCGTACAGGGTACTCAACGGAAGCGTGAAGCATTCAATGAACTCGTTCTCCTCCAGCTCTGGCTGGGGGTCTTGATTCTGAGGAAGCGACATATCCACATCCACATGGACGAGGTTGAAGTTGGTGTTGGAAAAGCCAGGGTCTGTTTGGTTGGGGTTAGTTCTGTGCGAAGCCGCAGTATAAGCTGATATACTAACCGTTATACATGATCGGGCTCGTCTTCTTCGCTACCCCAACATAGCCCGTTTCCTCCTTCAACTCCCGCACGGCGCATTGCTCAACGGTCTCTCCGGCGTCGACCATGCCCGCGGGAACCTCCACCACGATCTGATTGATCGGCGGTCGGTACTGTTTTTGGAGAAGCAGCTCGGGGCCTGTGGGTTTGTGCAAGATTGTCATAACCCCGACGCCATCAACGGCCGAGCTGGCGGGTCGAGTCTGTCAACATTATTAGCTGTAAAGGGAAGGAAAATTCGCGATGGATGTGGACTACCAGTCGCTCGGCAGACTCCCAGGTTCTTTCGACACCATTTGGATCAAGGTAGGTCGTCTTGACCAGGGTCTTCCACTCGGCTTCTTTGGGATCCTATAATATTCACTTGAGATCAGGAACACGTCATGGTAGAGAAATGCCGATCTTCAGAACGCATACCAAGGGACCCCGCGAGAGAAGCTTCGACTTGAGCTCTGGCATGATTTGAACTTGGCGGAATATCACTGTTCAAGATCAATTGCCTGCAATGTTGAAATGTATAAGTCTTGTTGGCGTTCTTGTTTTTTGTTCGTTGTTTCCAAACGAACAAGCGGTGGAACTCCGGAAAAAGCGGGCCTCACCACCAATAAGATTAACAACCGCTACAGGTCATTCTGATCGATCTTCAGAGTTACGCGATCATCTCGTTCGGAAGATTCATTTTCTGACGGAGACGACTAGCTTGAAATGTCCCTTAAGTTCTACATATGGGACAATGTGTGTACCTGACGGTCCCCTGCCCAAGTGAGGAGCATCAGGCAGAGACCGGCCATGGAGGACATCTGCAAGGTACGGTCCAGGATCCAACGGTATATCATATCGTTCATTGCACCTACAGCGGTGTACAATTGGGCATTCTCGCAGATAAATCATTGCCATGCTCTCCTAGGGCAGATCTTTTGCCATTGATCGGACACCGATAGAGTACGGAGTACGGTCGAGATGGTTAGTTATTCGATTGGGTGGCCGGTTTAAGGGGTCGACAGATGAGAGGTTGTTATCGATATCACCCTTGCGTTTCTCTCCTGACATACACCTTAGTCCTCTCGTCAGCTGAGGCAGACAATCCAATTGGAGGCAACCCCGTTCTTTGTTGTCACTTGTCAGCCAGCCCCACGCTGCGGTTGCCGAATCCCTGATCGCCTTCAAACTTTGTGTCTGCCATGGCTGAGTGAAACTATGGTTTCTGTGGTCGTAACAACCTGGAGCAGAGACTCACAGTTGATGTCACCCGTGGAAGGGCGAAGGATAGAACCTTTCAAGTTGAAGGGGAATCCTGTCCAGCCTCTCAGGGACATGGTTGGTGGCGTTTGCATGATTTCCAGCAATCAGAGCGACGGGCGACGGACACGTCAACGTGCAATCATCGCTTGAATCGCGCAGATACTAGGGAACTACACCGTAAGTAGGAAGAAGTAGGAAGACTTACCTGCCCAAGGCCGATTTAGGAGCGTCACGTGGACGAAGATCATCCGATCTTCAGACATCACTGATTCATTTATCTCATTAGTGACATTCGAACGAAAGGATCGACTTACGGTGTACAGTGTACTCAAAGAGTTGTTCTGGAAGTCTGCGAGTGGGATGACAGCGTCAGGCAATTTGGACCGAAAGCTGACGAGAGAATCAGTCTATCTTAATCATATAAGATCGTTATCTCTCGTTATCAAGGTACTTACTTTACTTATCCTGCGGTCGGCTGACTGTTGCATCATCCGCAAGTCAGTCCTCACCATCTTCCTTCTTCCACCAACTTGACTCTTTTTTCTCCATTTTTCCTTCTCTCCTTTCTCTTTCTCCCTCCTCTTCCTTTCCTCTGGAGAAATTTTCACCGCGACGGGATCGACGTGTTTCAGATTGTGGTTCCGTTAGTCGGCGAAACGTCATTTCCCTCCATCTCAACTCATCCGCCGGTCGGGATTTGGTTGGTTCGCATCGGATCACCACCGGACCTGCGACTCGTCATTTTTTCCCTCTATCTGGCCTTTGTTTCGACTGATATCTTTGTTTGGCTAGACTGTCCTTCTTCACCTCTTTTTTATCTTTAATTATTGTCCTCTGTTGTACTTGTATTCTCCCTCTACTTTCCCCTCCGATTTGACCACGCGGGGAAGATCCACCCCGAGTCGCTCTTATCGATCACTCCGTCATTCCTCCTAATCTCGCGCTACTCACCAACTCATGGCGTTTCGTCTACCTCCTCAAGCCCCTCGCCGTCAGCGCTCCTACTCCACCTCCCTTCCTCCTCCCGCTCTTGATCCGCCGTCGAATCTTTCGCAACTCCCCGAATCCGACTCCGCAGAATGGGTGCTATTCTCCCCCACGCAACCCTCCACCACCGCTCGCACGCACACGACCTCCACTGATCGCACCCAACGAACGGTAGGAGCCTCGCGTCTCAGCGACTTTGGCTCCTTCGGGACGCCGACTCGTTCGGCCTGGGATCAGGACAACGAAGAGGAAGATGAAGATGCTCTGGAGGAACCTTTGGATGAGGACGGGACGGAGCTGGACAGCCTGGACGACGGTCTGCATGCGTTCCGGGCTCCGTCTTTAGATCAGGAGTCTGCCCCGAGGCTGGATCAAGGAGCCCCAGCTCTATTGCCGGCTCATGATGGACTGGGAAGTTTTCAGGCATCTAGTCGGCCCGTGCAAGAGCAGCTGTGGCAGCACGAGCTATACAATCCCAACCGGAGGCCCGAACTATCACACCGGCGACGATCGAGTGTTCAGCGACAGTTGGATTCCATCGCAGATGAGGGTCCGACCGATGTTGAGCGAGAGCGATGGCAGCGGATCGAGAAGTGGAGGATGGACCAGAGCCGGGCGCTCTTACAGGAAATCGAGAAGGAGACGCGGAGACGGCGCAACAGCCGCGTGAGCAACCTGAGTGATCATTCCGTCTCGCACGCTGAAGTTGCAGACGTGCTGGCCGGCGTACCAGAGGTGCCTAGAGACACTCTGCCTTCTGCGGCTGAATCAGAAGGCAACGAGGACGAATCCCTCTGGCGTCGTCTTACCCGCAAAGTCATCCGAGATTTGATTGGCATTGATGACTCCTTGCTGTCCGTTATCTTCGGAGAGTCCTTGCCAGCCACCGAGGATGAAGACAGGGACACCTCGGCGGGCACAGTCTACGAGTCGAATATGGACGAGGCACTGGGCTTGGAGCTGGACTCCGTGCGTGACGACCAGAGTCTCTGGCAGACCAAACTCCTCCAGCGTATTGCACATGAACTGGGAGTCCTGGTTCACCAATTGTGTGAACACCCCGGTGCTTTCACAACCTACCTCAACCTTTCTAATGACGTCCCGAATCAGTACGCCGGGATGCCTCTCGGGCGTCTACCCGAAGAAGAAACCACGCAAACCCAGACGGGATCGGCAGCTCTGCCAAACTCCATGATGACTACAAGCGATCAAGATACAGCTTTATCGCCTCAATTCTCTCCCACTCTTCGTGACCCCAGCAGCAGTCGGGAGCATGCCGCTCAGTGGGGCATCGAGGATGATGACACCAATCGCTCCGCGGCCGAGCCGTTATCGGAATCCTCCCGTCTTCACCAGGAGAAAGAGTATTGGGAACGCGAACTCGACGTGATGATAGTCTTCCGCTATCTCCGCAACCGATTCAGTCGTCGAAATAGTAACCCCGATAATCACCACGCTGCCTCGCGTCGACCCCAGCAAGACGCCTCCCGCCGCGCGGCGATCATTCGTCAGCACCACCCGTTGGTCGCGCGTGCCCACTCCCGCTCACAGGCCCAGATTCGACGTCAGTCCCAGTACTCTGCAAGCCATTCCGGGCCGGTGGGCGTCTCGTCGCCGCTTCTACGCCAGCAGTTCCGCCGGCCCAGTTCCAGCTGTGCTAGTCAGAGTGCAAAGCTTTCTGCTATCTCCAGCCGGCGAACCCTGACCGGGTCCAGTCGCAACTACTGGGATATCGGCGGGAGCGTTGACAGCGGCAGCGCCGTTGCACCCGTTGGAGCTGGTCTCGGGGCGTGGGGAGACGTCTAGGTCGTTCATCCCCTGGTTGGTTATCGCGATGCTCTATTGGACTTGTACAGAGCTGATCCCATCCAAGCACCCCTAGGTCTTTGCATGCTGGCCATGAATCTCCATAATTTCGCAATACTAGATTGACTTGCTTATTCCGAAGTCTCTGATGTTCGTCCCCAACATGATGTCCTGTCTCTATTATCTCTATCATTTCCCTTCTGGTTCGGGTTGATTTGATCTTTCGTTTATTCTCTATTCGGTCTTTCAACACGGTCATACATACACATATATACATACATACATTCTGATTAAATGTCTATTTCATATGATCCCCTCATCTTTGACTTCATCTTATGGGTGACAGGTGGATGGATGGCCTCTCGTTCTTGGTGTTTGGCGTGAGTTCCTTTTTCCATTTCAGTTTCCGAAACTCATCTATCTGTTTATATATATTCGTGGTCTGGTGCATGTACGGTGTCGTTTTGTGTATGTATCTAACGGGGCCTTTACGGTTTCTGGGTGTACTTCAGATGGGTTTTGATATTGACTGATTGGATATATATTTGCATCTTCTGAACATATGAACTCGTTCATTCAATGACAGTCATACTAAATGTGCACGAATTACTCCATTGGCAATTATTTTGAATCATTTCAACATTTGTAGGATGTGCATGTTCCTGTTGTAATTGATGTAGATGATGCCATACGAAACATTGTCAAGTGTTGTTAAACTGGAAAAGTTCTTACGAAAAGGATCCGACATCTACTAGTTCGAAAAATGGAGTTGGAAAAGAACAATCCGAGGAAAATCCATGATTATACAACTCCGTCGTACGTGATAGACACGGGTACATGACACATCACGTTGTAGAAAAAAAACAAGAGAACAGTCGTGGCGAACAGAAGATAATGGTAAAAAAACTCGGAAAATTGGTCTCTCTTTTTATCTCTTTTTTGTCCTAACGCTAGAAAACACGCCCATTTAAGCCGCAAGGTTCTCATAGGCGTCGGGGAATCGCTTCATGTTCTCCTCAACGAGACCGTGGCCACGCAGGAACTGCACGTAGGCACCGTCCTGCTTGAGCTTGCCCTCCTGGCGGAGCTGGACGTACTCCTCGCGGCGGACGGGAGTGAAACCCCAGTTCTTGGAGACGACGATCTTTTGGCGACCAGGGAACTTGTACATGGAACGGCGGAGAGCCTCGATGGCGGCGGCACGGTTGGAGTCACGGGTGCGGACGGACAGGATGATCTGGCCGATGTTCACACGGGCAACGAGACCGTTGGGCTTACCGAAGGCACCACGCATACCGGTCTGGAGACGATCGGCACCGGCGCACGACAACATCTTGTTGATACGGACGACATGGAAGGGGTGCACACGGACACGAAGGTGGAAACCTTCCTTACCGGTGATCTTCACGAGGTACCTAGGAGAGATCGGATGTTAATTCCTGTTTATCCAACTGCTGATCGAGGGCCGATTCGCGGAGGGTTGGGGTTGTTTGCGCCCGAGGGAGAGAGACAGAGGGAGGATTCGACATACTTGTTGGCACAGATACGGGCGGCTTCGAGAGCCTCGGAGGACAGCTGCTCGTACTCGTTGGAGACCAAGTGCACACACAGAGGGAAGTCATCGACGTTGGCCTTCTTACGTCCCAGATCGAAGATACGGATCTTGGGGTCGGGAACACCACGGTTGAACCGGGACTTAGGGTAAGGCTATAAGAACCGAAATCATGTTAGTCTTCCGTATTCCATCGAATAGCATGTTCTTCCATCAAAAAGCAGAGCGTCGATATATCCTCCATAGCGTCTATCCTCTTCATCCGGTGGTGGTTGACGTTGTTCGTTTCCTTCCCTCCCCACAAGCGAGATACCGAAGCCCAAAAAATCCACAAAACGTCGCAAAAAATCCGAAAATCATCAAAAGATCGCACGCACCTTGTTCTTGCAGTAGCGGTAACATCTCGCGGGACGACGGGCCATCTTGACTGCTGGAAATGACCTGGCTGCACTTCCTGCGAACTGGGGGGTGGGTTGTCGAAAAGGGTGGTGTCGGGAGTTCAAAAGGGAAGGGGATTCTTGGGGCGCGGGCACTTTCGACGGTTGATTTCCAAGCAGCGCCCGCTAACGAGTGGCAAGAGCCCTAAGCCCTAGCCTCTGCGCCAATCACGGGACTGCATCCGCGCCGTCGATTTGTCAGGTTTCTCCGCTTTCTGCTTTCGGTCGTCATCGCTCGTGATTTCTTGATTGCTGATGATGATTATTGATGATCGCATGGATCTTTCCGAGGGGCGAGAAAGACGGTGGAATTACTCTCCGCGATCCGTGAGTCAACATGGCGACGGTGAGTCAGGTTGAAGTCAGATTGTCACCAGCACAGGAGACGGAGGCGGAATATCATCGATGCTCATCTCACTTCCGCTTACTACACACCTCGGCGAAGAATCCTTCTACGTAGTTGATATACGAAGTATAAGACCTACGGAGTACGGAGTCCCACTTGAGGACCGCTAGACCAAAGATCCAGGCATCAAGTTTTCTTGTCATTATCTAACATCGGCCCGGTCGCATAGACCGGAGTCAATTCTTTTCTCATGTTCAGACATAACAGAATCCCTTCGTCCCTTGCACACCCTTACTGGCTGGTGAGGATGTCGGAGTCACCAGCGTCAAGGACGGTCATGGTGCTGCAACGGAACAGCTTACCGCAGGCGGTTCCCAGTTCAATCTGTATTACGAGGGAAAGAGACAAACGGTCAGCCATCTGTTGGTACCCTCCAAAGCCTGTAGCAGGATGGCTTTTTCTCAGGGCGGCTCCTCGAGCCGCAACCGTGCCAGGACGGACAGCTGTGGCATCGAGGAACAAGAGAAGAACAATGGACAAAAGCACGCGCAATCGACAGCACTTACGTTGTTTCCGGAGAAGTGGTGAACGGGGGCCTTGGCGAGCATGGCGTAGTACTCAAGCTCGGACTTGCGGAGGGGAGGGGTGTTGGCAGCGATGATGACCAGCTTGGCCTTGCCGGTACGGAGGGTCTTGATGGTGGACTTGTAGCCAAGGGTGACTGAGAGAACACTCGTTAGCATTGAATCGCTTCATCCAAAACTTCACCTAAATTTCATAGATCTCAGAACACGCAGAACATACCCTTTCCGGACTTCATCACAAGCGCAAGGCGCGAGTTGATGGTGTCACCGGTCTTCTTGCTCTTGGGGGCCATCGCTGCGCTGGGGAGAACTTGAAGTTCTTAGGATTGGGAGAAAGGGCGAAAGGGTTGAAGATGAGAAACTGCGCTCCGGCCGTCTTTTGACAAAAGATGTAGAGATCAGAAAATTCGGGCGATCGCTTTTGCCGGGCTTCGGTTTGTGGGCGGAGCTAGTCCCGGTCCGTCTGTTTCCCCGGTTGAGACGGTGGTTGCTGAGTCATCCTTCCGTAGGGCCATTCAGGCATTCATATCCCGTAGTTACTGTGCAAGGATAGCCACCTCATCGGGCCTCGAGGGGGCAACTACAAAGTATGTAGCAGCCTGTACCTTGCCTACTGGTTCCAGCTGTGCAGGTACCTACATGTACGTCGGATGCTGACTTCCCCGTCGTCCAGGGAATAGGCATCGTCCTCGTTGTCGGCAGACGTGGCGCAATTTCGGGCTCATCTGGATCCCCTTTCCCAGAGGGATATCCATGATTGGGTACCGGCCTCTTTTTTGTTTTGTTCGTTTCTATTCTTGTCGGGTGTTCCTCCATTTCGGTCCTCGGATTGACAGATGGCGAGACCCTGTACGTTGCAAGGCAGGAGGGAGTGATGGAGGGTGGAAGATACTAATACTAGGTACTCCTGAATATCTATATTTCCGGATAAACGATGATGATCAAATGCCTTAGTTACTTCTTCCGTACACCATGATGCATCATCTTCAGGTGTACGGAGTAGGGGCGAGAAAGCCGTCGTAGTTGATTCAGCCCCCCTCAAGAATAGCATCCCACGAGCACTTCTGCCATGCATGAACCAAAGACAGAGAAAAAGAATCACAATTAAATCATAAATAATATGATATGTCGCTGCATGGGGCTTAGCGCTGGCCGGGTTGGGACAAGCCCCAAAGCAACGCGGTAACTTACGGCCGTTTCCATACGATTACAAAATACTTTCTTTTATCCCTCACTTTTGCTTTTGTCGGACTATTTGTTTTCGCTCCTCGTCCTTGCCGGTTGCTGGAGTCTCTGATCAGTTTATCTTAGTTTTCTGTTCCTCCATCTTTCTTGTACTCTTTAATTCTGTTCTTCCCGCACTCCCCCGAGGTGGCTAATTCCTTACTACTACTTCCCCCCACTACCGGTAGTCCTCCGTTACTGCTGCTACCAACTCCGAACTACTTTAGTGTCCACTGTGTTTTGACCGCTACTACTTCGACTTTATACCTCCGTTCCTTAAATTTATCAGTTTAATTTCCCGCTCGTTTCATCGCAGTCTCATCCATCCCTGTTCGATCTGTCTACTTCTCCACCCCTTTTCCAGATCGTTTTGTTGCCTCTCCAAACCACCATCCCACCTTCTTCAAAGTCTCTTTGTTGCCGGTAACCATGTCTGCGACGCCTCGCAAGCCTGGAACCCCGGGCAACTCGAGCAGATCTTCGATCACCGGTGACAGCCCGTCCGCCAGCGGCACCCCCTCGCGAACCCATTCTCGCTCGCCCAGTGCCTCGACAAATGGCCTGTCTCGCTCCCCGTCGCTGCGTGGCTCGGCTCCCGTTTCCGCGCGGGCGGCTGCCAGAAAACCCGGTCGCTCCAATCTCAGCATGTCCAGCGTGCCCAAAGTCACCCCCGACCCGTCCGAGGAGGAAGCCCGCGCCCAGAATGCCGCTCTCATCGAGGATCTGAAGGAGCAGCTGCAGAAGGCCGAGACCGCTTCCGAGCAGTACCAGAAGCAGCTCGGCGTCTTGCAGATGCGCCTGGACGAGGCCGTCAGCGAGCAGGGCAAGTTGGAGGATCAGGCCCACGAGAAGGACAGCAGGATCGACTCGTTGAATGGCGAGGTGCGGGACCACGTGCGCAAAATTCGGGATCTGGAGCAGGCACATGAGCAGGAGCGGAATGCCATGCTGCAGGAGAAGGAGCAGCAGGCGAGCCGCGAGGAAGAGATGCAGGCCACCATCCAGCGTCTGAAGGAATCTCTGTCCCAGAAGGATATGAGGATCAATGCCGAGGGCGACAAGAATGTCTCCCGCTCTTGTAGGGCTCCCCTTCCATTTCGTTTGGATTTTCCGGTCCTCGTCATTTGCTAACTTCCGTCTCTAGCCAGTTTCCGGAATCGATCGTCTCCCGAAGTGGACGGGCAGTTTGCGCCTTCGTCTCAGCTGGAGCGCAGCCCGTCTCGGAATAACTCGAAGCTGCTGTTGCAGAAGGATAAATTGATCGAGTCGCTTCGACTCGAGCTGGCCGAGTCTCAAATCAAGCTGGTCGAGATGGAGAACAAAGGCGGCGGCCGCCAGCGCGAGCTGGAGAAGGAGTTGCTTGAGGCCCGTATGGCCAACGCTCGCTTGATGGAAGACAATGAAAGTTATCAGCTCCTTCTGAGTGAGAGAACGCTGAATGGTGACTTTACAAAGGGCGATTTCATGCGCGAAGTGAACCCTGACAACGCCGAGTCGAAGGAGTCCGGCAGCGGATTAGGTTCGCTAGCTGACGAACTGGATTCTGTGGACGCAAGGGCGGACACGGATGATACCCGCAAGCTTGAATCGGAGATCAAGATGCTCAAGGATCAGAACAAGGCCCTGACTCTGTACATTGAACGTATCATCAGTCGCGTGCTGCAGCACGAAGGGTTCGAAACCATCTTGGACAAGAACGAGAATGACCCTCCCAAGCAGCAGCCTGCCGGCAGCAACAAGGACCTGCCTCCTACTCCTTCCGAGAAGGACGATGCGTCCCAACCCTCTTTCTTGCAGAGGGCACGGTCGGTGGTCGGCGGTCCAGGCCCCAATGCTACCCGCCCTCCGCGGTCGCGTCCAGCCAGCATGATGCCGCCTCCTACCTCCGCTGCGAGCGCCATCACCATTCCCCCAACGGCCCACGAAAACCCGAATACCGCCCCGAGCATTCCTCTCGGCCGTGCCGGGTCGGTGCGATCGGGCCCGGGTCATCGCCGGGCCAGATCTGAGCAGACCGACATTGCTGCCGCTGCCGTCGTCGGACAAATGTACCGCGGGCGCAACTCGGGCGGTCCCATCAGCCCGACCATCATGGGCCCTGGAAACCGCCAGAGTGCCTTCTCTGGTACCAGCTACATGTCCGGTAGCGGTCGTGCGCCCTCTCTGTCCAGCCAGCCTGAACGCAGTCGACTCAGCAGCTCGGACAGCGTGACCAGCGATCCGATCGCCGACACCGCTTCTACCGGAGCCACATCCAGCTCGCCCCGTTCCAGCTCTGGGATGACCAACTACACCGGCGCGGTTATGACCCAGAGCAAGCTCCGTCCCCTGCGACTGGTCAGTGAGACCAAAGCGGCAATCGAGGAAGAAGAGGCTGCTCGGAAAAAGGCCAACCGTGGAAGCTGGATTCCATGGTTTAACCGACCAACCTCCAACGGCAGCGAGTCCGCGCAGACCTGAATTTCTGATGTACATCCTTGACTTTTTCCTTCTTTCATTCTTTGTTTATGTTCTTTTCTCGACCTTCCTTTTTTGCCTTTTATGCCCTCTTTGACGCGTCTTCCCGATTATGGAACGTTACCTACTCTTCACTGGCCACTTCTATGTCTTATGGGCTTTCTAGGAGACGGCCAGGATGCCATTTTGTTTGAATACCCTGTGGCTTTTTGCTGTTACTGATCATCATGATAGACTTGGGCTAATGTCCTTTTGTTTGGTTCCATTGCTATGTGCTGATTGATTTTTTGACGTCTAATGGCCACTTTTTGACGGGGCATTCTTGCTATGCTACCCCTATCTGGACGATGCTTGGATTTTTGTTTATTATTGTTATTGAGACATACGTTGAAGACTGTTTGTGATGATGATTTGGCCATTGTTGATGCCCCCCTCTCCTTGATGAACATATATGATCCACCTATATACTCCTTTATAGAGTGATAACTTTTCTGTATACATTATTTTAATGGCTTTTTGTTTTCGGCCGTTCTCGGCCCAACCATGTATGTATATCTATCCAATTGAAATTTGCATCCCTGACGATCCTTCTTTGTTTCTTCTCTCTTTCTGATTACGATTGGCACTTGTGTCCCTGAGTAATAGCGGATGTGGAGTTTCATCTCAACACGAAACATCGATATAATATAACTCATGTTCTAGAACAGAGAATGTCTTGACAAGTCATGACTGTATTTGTATTGTATTACATTAGTGTTTAAGCCTTCGTGCTGCGTTGACTTCTATTACTTATTCGGAGCGGAAATTATATATATGTTCTCCGTCATTTATGCTCCACCCATGATTATTGAGTGAAAATCGGATGAGAAAACCCAGTATCCTCAGTATCACTTCATTTCAATAACAGCAGAGTGAACATACTATGGAAAAAACCCAACCCAGTAGTAATAACAGGAGTTGGCCGAGTACCTAGAATATCTGGTGTATACCACGGAACAATATTACCCCGGCCTCCGGATAGCGGACAAGTTGACAGTAACTCAATCGGAGTAAACAGCAAGTCAAGTCATTGTCCACCTCCGGCCTGCCTCTCCCCACGAACGCCTTCCAGAGCAATTGCCTTCAAAAATGCCCGGCTCACTATCCCTTTTCTCCGTCAACGCCGTCATCCTCATGTCGGCTGACGATGGCTCTCGCATCTTCGCCAAGTACTACTCGCCGCCTCACCCCCCGGCCGGCGTGGCTCCCAACTCGACCGATTACCCCGGCGCAAACCCCTACCCGACCGTGAAGGAGCAGAAGGCCTTTGAGCAGGGTCTGCTGGAGAAGACGAACAAGTCGACGAGCGATGTCATTCTGTACGATAACCGGATCGTGGTGTTCAAGATGGAGAGCGATGTGATGCTTTACGTGGTTGGGGGTGCTGAGGAGAATGAGGTCTTGCTTTATAATGTGGTGCTGTCGTTGCGGGATGCGTTGGGGATTTTGTTCAAGTATGTATTTTCGTCTGGTCTTTTGTGTCTGTCTTGGAAGGGGGCGAGATAGAGAGAGAGAGAGAGATGGGGGGAGAGGAATGTCCACTAACTCGATCATCGCATAGGGGCGCCACCGACAAGCGCACAATCGTCGAAAACTACGACCTCGTGGCCCTCGCAATCGACGAGATCATCGATGACGGAATCATCCTGGAAACCGACCCCGTCTTGATCGCCTCCCGCGTCAGCCGTCCTCCTGCGCCCGATGCGCCCAACCTCAAGAGCATCGATCTCTCGGAACAAGGTCTCCTCAATGCCTGGGAGCTTGGAAAGCGGCGTCTGGCCGAGGGATTGCGGCAGATGTAGAGCCGGTGGGTGCCAAGATGGGAGTGGAGGTATGGATACTGCGATGTGGTTGGTCTTGTTGAATTGGCATGGATATACATCTGATTTGTTTCTTTCTTTCTTTGTTTCCTCGTTTCTGTTGTTTTCGCATTCTATTTCATCATTCGTATCTGGCTGGTTCCGGCGTGGTTTTTGCATGTTTTTTTTTGCTCATTCTATTCATGATGTCTGTTCACTTGGTATTTCCCGATTTGCTTTCTTCCAGGGGCCTGGGGATTCTATTCTATAGAGATACTCCTTTTTATGTTTCACGACAGAGGACACTGGGGCTGACCTAAGGGGTTCTAGACGAGATCTAATTAATCTGTGACATGAGCTTTAAAATATTGAACAAAAGTGGAAATGGTTTTTCAGATTTAGTATCTTTCACTATTGTTGAACTTTCAATCGCATTCTATTGCTAAAATAATATAGTAATTAATTGATATTATAGGATACAAAAACCGAACACCCCTAATCTACGCCTAGATCAGGGAGAACAGATCCGAACAAAGTCCGAAAGTCAAGATCAGGCAGCGCGATGGTGTCAAATCCCTGGCCCAGGTCAAGTGCATACTCGCCAGACACCGCCGTATCAGCTTGGAATCCAACCCCATCGTTACTTTCAAACCCTTCTGACACTAAAGGAGCATTTGAGAACTCCCGAGCCGACCTACCCCCGGACGGATGGTCCATGTCGAACCCGGTTTTTGGTTGTTGATGGTCCAGACTGGAGCTGGAATCTCTAACGTGCTGTCGAGCAATATCGGCGAACTCGGCCACCATCGAGGAAGGGAGCGATCCGCCAGACGTATAATGCAACAAGCCGAAATGGCCTGCTGCGACATCCAGCAGGGACAGGTTGATGTGCGTTTCCGGATGCGTGGGGTTGTGGATTACGAACTCGAAGAGAATGAAGAGTGCTGCTAGGGGCAGGTATGCTAGGATGCTGTGTATCTGATCAGCATCGGTTATATTATACTCATAGGGAACCTACAAGAGCGGCGTGTATGACGCGACTTCAATATACTGGGTCATCTCAATGACCGTACGCGCTGCATTGAGAAGCTTGCATCGAGCTTCTTGGAATTGAGCTGCGGGTTCTCGCGAATTCAAATACAGTTTGAGTCGTGAGAGAGCGATGACCAAGGCATAGTACGCGAAATGAGTCCGAAGTATAACAGTCTTTACACTGAGACTGGGTAACCGGTGCAGATCAACCGGACAACCAGGTCGGAACTCCACTGGAACGGTCATCCGCCAATTCTCGACCTGCTCCTCGATCTTAGAGAGGGAAGAGCGGGAGGACTGGACGCTGTGCGTCATCGCGCTGATAGAGAAGAGGGTCGTGTATGCGCGAGAAAGAATGCGACTGAACCGGGCCGTGGAGAAGAACCAGTTGAATCCTCCAAAGATGGCCTCGGGGGTTTCAGGGACGGGGCAGCCGATATCACAGTCTGGGATCATCTATCAAGTACATGAGCGTAAGTCAACTGGAGAGAACGTTAAAAGACGTACAGAGGCTCTCTGGTTCTGGAAGGTCATGTGCTTCTCCATGCAGTAAACTACCCAGAATGTTCTGCGACATGCCGAGTTATAGCGATGTTCGTTGTTGCCCACAGCTCTGTGGTATCGAAGTGAGAGGGCCATCCGTGTCGCTTCCATCAAGAGCATCTCATCAACTTGAAGGCAGCAGGTCGTATTGGCGAAGATAGACTGGGGCTAGAATTTTAGCTTCTGGATGTCAGTGAAGCTAGTATGTAACGCACCATAGCAACAAGAGCCTATTTTGAATTAGGAAACTGCTCATTCATTCTTTGAAGTCGCCTTACCTGGAGACCGGTCAACGATTCTCTCGGGGCCAGGATATCGGGAATATAGCCTAGCGAGACCTGAAAAAGATACCACGCTTCTCCTTGACCAGGATCAAAATTGTGGCGCTCATGAAATTGACACCCCAATGCTAGGATGGAATGATACAGTGCAGAAAACGCTGCGTCCGATGCGCTGGGGTTAGAGAGATCAAGCACAGATGCCTTCTCTTCAAACTCTGCACGATCTACGAACGGGAATACAGGGTGTAGATGGGCAAAGTACGCTAGTGCAGTCAGTATCTTCGCCTCTAGAACACATAGAAGGCCTTACACTCGATATAAGTCCTTGCAAGCTCCGCCGGCAGAGTTCTGGAGAGGACAGGGCGTCTGAATTCAACTGCAGACATGGAAGGCGTATCGCGAATTACTATTCGGCCTTGTATCAGTTCCTCGATTCGTTCGACTAGATTCTTCAGTCTTTTATTTCCCAGTTTCTGAGAAAAGTTGCGAATTTTCTGATCCGAGAAGAACGCCAGACCCGAACTCGTTACTATAGATCATCAGACTCGACTTGGAACATATTCCGGCGAGAGCATACCATCATGATCCGGTGCCTACCACCCTGTCAGCAAAAGACAAATTACTCGAAGAGAGAGCTATACTTACTCGAAGCACGGTGAAATCATCATGCAGAATCTCACCTTTCCCGTTGTGTTCCAGTATGTAGTCTAGGAAGGCATGATCGGAAGCGGGGGATAGAGGCTGTCGTTCTTCACTGGAATTATGGGGAAGTGCTACATTTATATCCTTCTTAGAACTGTGTGCCCACCGGTGACTTGATTACCGGTGCTTATGCTCACATTCACTCTGCTGTAGTCGTTTAGGGATTCTTAGTCTCCGCCTAAGCTGAGTAAACCGACAAGTCTCGTTTCGTTTCTCAAGCAAGCCGTCAGCTGCTGACTATGGCACATGTACATGTCTCATTCCTGGAGTCACTCTTACGATGCAATTCATACACGCAGAGCGTTGCTCAGAGCTGACTGTCCATTGGGTTAGTTACCACTAGGTCTAGTTCTGCAGCGATCTTGAGCGGCAACGCACAGATACAGCGGACCTTGCGATCCCTGCAATGATCGCAGGATTTGCAGGTTTTGGGGCCGGGAAATGGAACCGTGTCAGTTTCCATCATTGGTCGATGAGAGCAGTACAGTTGACGGAGTGTCGATGAGAGGCATCGGAATCTCTTACGGACTTCACTGACATCAAGGAAAGACAGGAATCCGGACTTCGGGTCTTGGCAGGAAGTCTGCAGAAGCCTGTGGAGCCGCTCTCGGAGATCTACTCCGGAGTAGAATCTAGGGGTGAACTGAATATACTGGTTACGGGTGGGTCTCCCGGACTTCGGTCTCTTCTTCTACGCAGTATAGAGAGTATAGCCATCAGACGACAGATGAAATCGTGTGCCGGAGTTCGGTCGAAGATTATACGTGGATGTGGTCAATCCACGTATAAATATTAAATACCCATGTTGGTTTCTTCCAAATTAACCACTACTACTCCCTTCGATCAGTCAATTCTTCGCTAGCACCGAGATCATGTCGCATTCTGACTGCGAGGGCGCGCCTATTCCTGGTCCTTATGGTAAGTTGTGCCAACGTTCGCTTTCGGATGTCGTGAAAGAGAATTATACTGAGCAACACAGGACTACCCCTTATCGGAAGTGCCTTTGACATTACTCCGGGTGACTCTGCAATGTCATTTTTCAATATGGCCAAGCAATACGGTTGGGTCCTTGCCATTGTTGCACCACTACCCCAATCTGACATGATATATCGCAGGGGAAATTTACCAAGTCAATGCGCTGGGTGAAACCATCGTCGTTGTCAACTCTCCAGCTCTGGTTGCCGAGGTCTGTGATGAGAGCAGATTTCAAAAACAGATCGATGGCGGCCTGAGAGAAATGCGATCAGCCCTGAACAACGGTCTCATAACCGCGGAGACAAGCGATCCGGCATGGAGGGTTGCTCACCGCATTGCGATGCCCTGTTTCTCCCCTGTGAAGATCCGAGAACTCTTTGATGATATGAAAGATATTGTCTCGCAGTTATGTCTGAAGTGGTGCGTACAGCCATTGTACACGGTGGCCAAGCTAATCAGTTGTTAGGGCAAGGCTTGGGCCATCGTACGTAATCGATGTCAATGTCGATTTGACGCGTATGGCCTTGGACGTAGTTGGCCTTTGTGCAATGGGATATCGATTCAACACCTTCTACGACCACAATCAGGTTCATCCATTTGCCGAAGCACTGAATAGCTGGTTATTAGAAGTGGACGCCCGAAGTTGGCGCCTTCCTTTCGGCAACAATTTGCATCCCTTCAGGACGAAGAAGTACTACGAAGATATTGACACAATGCGCCGAATCACTCAGGAGGTCATAGACGAGAGACGGCACGACCTGTCATCAGAGAAAAAGAATGATCTGCTGGCAGCGATGATGGAAGGTAGAGACGCAGAGACCGGTGCCAGGCTTAGCAATGAGAGCCTGATTGACAATATCCTGAGCCTGCTGGGTGCCGGACACGAGACGACTTCCGGAACATTGTCCTTTGCGCTATATTTTCTGTTACATCATCCGGGGGCGCTGACGAGAGCACAGCAAGAAGTGGATCGAGTTCTCGGTAACGAGCCGCTTTGCGTTGACCATCTCTCCAAGCTGCCATACATAGACGCCATCATCAGGGAGACGCTGCGCTTGCAGCCTACAGTACCACTGTTTGGCCGAGCGTCGCGCGAGGATGAGATTATCGGTGGTCGATATCAAATCAGAAAGGGAAATCGCATCTTTGTTTGTTTATTTGCATCGCAGAGAGACCCCAAGGTCTTTGGGGATGACGCTGACCAGTGGAGACCCGAACGAATGCTGGGCGAGAGATTCAAAGAACTTCCCGCGGGAGCCTGGAAACCATTTGGCACTGGGGCGCGGGCGTGCATCGGACGTCCGTTTGCATGGCAGGAAGCTCAGATTGTAAGACTCCTCAACTCACTAAGACTCTTCGACTGACTCTTGCCAGACACTTGCGATGTTGCTACACACGTTTAACTTTGAGATGGATGATCCGTCCTACCAGCTTCATTGGAAGGACGCCATCACACTCAATCCCCTTGACTTCAAAATCCGTGCTCGCTTGAGAGATAACGGCAAGTACACGCAGTTATTGAACAATGTGCCCAATATGGATTTTGCTTTCGAAGGCAACGCCATCCAGCTAGACCAGCCTAAAGAGGATCCGAGTCTGGCCCCTATCACTGTATTATACGGCTCTGACAACGGCACGGCTCGGTCTCTGGCCCATCGCTTCGCATCCGGTGCGGCACAATATGGGCATCGGGCGATGATTGATACCCTGGACTCATATAAAGAAAGGCTGCCAAAAGACCGTCCCGTAATCATCTTCGTGTCGACGTACAACGGCGAGCCACCGATGAATGCCTCACATTTCGTGAGCTGGGTACAGAGTCTGTCTGGAGATGAGCTGCAGGGCGTCAATTATGCCGTGTTTGGCTGTGGTAAGCTCTGCTACATGCGTGACTATTGTTTCTCCCTTAACTCACTCATCATTAGGACATCGCGACTGGCACGCAACGTTTCAGAGGATACCTCGTCTCATCGACAACCACATGCATCAAAGAGGGGCGAACCGGCTTTTCCCTCTGTATACTGCCGACGCGTCGATTAGTGACATGGTCACCAATTTGAGAGAGTGGGAAAAGCAAATCTGGCCGGTCCTATTGAACAGCAATGGCATGTCCTCAGAAACAGTCACAAATCCAAACAATTCCATCGTGTTTGATCACCTTTCAACGGCTAACTTCCTTGAATCTGGTCTTTGCAAGGCATACGTCTCCGACACGAGGGTGCTAACTACGTCAAACTCGCAAGTCAAGAAGCACATGGAAATCCAACTTCCATCTGGATCCGCGTACAAGGCGGGTGATTATATTGCAATTCTGCCCGTTAATCCGCCAGAGACTGTGCAGCGCGTTTTAGCACGGCTTCAGTTATCTTGGGACAGTGTGCTTGGTAACAGCCACGTTCAGAAGGCAGAGCATCAGTCAAATGCTCAGACGACAGCCCATGAGATGTTCAGTCGCTACGTGGAGTTGAATCAGCCAGTTTCCAAGGGCGTAAGTTCACTCCCTGTGATCATATATTCAGAAAACCGTCAATACTGATTCCCAGTCTTCCAGGGCATGCGAGACTTGGCTGACCTTGCTAATGACGAACCCACAAAACGGGCCCTGGAACAGCTCAGTGAGGAGTTGGATCAACATCAGTTCTCTGTTCTGGACGTACTGGAGCAACATAGAACCATCCAGATCAGCGTGGAGAAATACCTCGCAATGCTCCCTCCCTTGCGCGTTCGGACTTACTCCATATCATCGTCTCCTCTGCAGGATCCTGCCAGAGCAACAATCACCTATTCAGTCGTTCACCAGCCACCAACCGATCTGCACCGCTCTGCACTCCTCGGCGTCACTTCCAATTACCTAGCTTGGCTTGCTCCTGGCAGCCTCATCAACATGTCCATTCGCTCCCCACGACACAATTTCACTCTTCCCCAGGACCCCAAATCGAAACCTCTTCTCATGATAGCCGCAGGAGCCGGAATCGCTCCGTTCCGCGGGTTTGCGCAGGAGCGATTTGCTGTCATCCAAGCACGGAAAGACACCAGCAGCTTGGCGCCTGCGTTGTTATTCTTCGGTTGTAGAGACAGCGAGCTTGACGATCTCTATCGCGAGGAATTCGATGCTTGGGAGGCGGCCGGTGCGGTCAAGTGCTACCGAGCCTACAGCCGACCTTCCAGCGGCAAGGGTCAGTATGTTCAGGATGTGCTTCAAGAGCATGAAGGAGAGGTTCGAGACCTCTGGGCCCGAGGGGCGAATTGCTATGTCTGTGGAGCGCCTAGGATGGCGGAAGGCGTGAAAATGGTTATGAAAGGTATTTGTGGCGATATCAGTGAAGATCGCTACTTGGTCGAGATCTTCTCTTGAAGACAAGCGTGGCTCGTGCCCGGATGCACACCTGAGAAATCATCGCAGTTTAGGTCTTCCCCCTTCTCCGCAATAAATTGGTTTTATAGATTCAGCCGGTAGGAGGTAGAGTACTACTCTACGAGCTAGTACCTCTGTAACGCCCTATGAGTAAAAAAAAAAAAAAAAGAAAAAAGAAAGAAAGAAAGAAAGAAAGCAATTTGAAATAGAAACATAAATAGAAAATAAAAGCTAATATAAGAAACTGAAGCGACTCTACCACTTAACCTATTAAGTAATATACTCCGTATAAGGTGGGTTAAATAGTAGGAGTTCTAGAAAAAGTCCACTATCGCTTGTTACTCACCCCGTTGGCCTCGACTTTGTTCCTGTAAGAATGAATGAAAACGAATTCTGTCTATCGGATGATACTATTTACTTGTCTTCTTCTCGATTTTTTTCTTTTTTATATATATATATGAAAGGTACTGTTTGTAGAATGTTTTGATTCTGCTGGGGGCTTTTAGAGTAAATCTTGTTAATATTATTTTCATGCCTGAAGGAAATGCCCGATCTTCGTGGATCGGCCAATGATGAATAGCGCGGTGTGTGAGCACTTGATAGCAGAGAGCTGGTAGTATATGGTGGATGCTAGGCCTGTGATTGTTGCCGGATCGCATAACTACTTGTTGCAGTATGACCGTGGTCTGGCTGATGATCCTACGTTAGAACTCAGAGAAATTTGAAATGTGCAAGGAACCACTCTGTTATGCATGTCTGGAATCATTTCGTACTAAGGTATGAGCCAAGTTGTGAGTTGTAACTGTCCTGATTACTCCTTTATCTGGGGACAAGAAGTCATAGTATGCCCCTCATTTCGACATTTCGAGCACTTAGGGGCCACTCGCAATTCCATGGCACCGATTCCTTGGCAACCACCAATATGATGGCCTGGTTCGCCACAAAAAGAACAATTGTAGGCCCGTTGTTTTTGACCAGTCTCGTTTGCTTCATGCTCGATGCTTTCAACCGCCCTTTTCTTTACTCTTTCCCGATACCTCCTCGTATTCTGAATCGCAATTGAGTTATATAATTCATTCCATCGCTTGCGGGCAGCCTTCTTTGTGGGGGACCGATTTCTTCTCCATTCTCGTTCGCGTTTATTCTTCTCAGCACGCCGCTCCGAGGCTGAAGCCATTCTTGTAGTAGTTCTTCCTGGAATTGGCATTCGGAAAGGGGAAAAGCGGCAGGCGCCTGAAAAATCAAGATCATCGGCGTTCCAGGGACAGAGAGGCAGCCAGTCATACTGAGCTGCAAGATGCGCTTGCGCAATTCCATGGAGCCAATGTGTGTAAATTCCTTCCGCCATAACACAGGCAATTCTAATATCTATAATGGCTTTCGGGGTACTTGCATACGTTGTTTCAGCGACAACAACAAATTTCCTTTGTCGCTGAATAGTTGGGTCGCATAGGAGGCCGTGGTGGTAGGATCCCTTTGCCCTAATGGCCATAGTCAGTTAAGCTTTCTTCCGCTTTTTTATGATTGATATAACCTAGTAACTTACGCCTGGTAGCGACTATGCTTTTCTTTCGAATGTTGTCTCCATCGATGCAAAACACCGCGGTTACTCGTAGCTGATCCTGTGTATACATGCTGATCTGAAGTAGATGCATACCGAGACACTAGTGAAAGGTAGACTCCTGGCTTTTCGGAGCTCGTAGATTTCAAAGCCAAAAAGTCCTCAAAGCGCGGAGCCCTACCATTCCCAATTAGCAGTTTGAACTCTTGCGTGGTCATGTGGAAAATGAATTTTATCCAAAAGTCTGGTGGTCTTCGAAGGAAGGCTTCTCTCCAAGCGCGGCGGACAGGATTCCCAATAGAATCAAGGGTGAGTATAGCCATTGTCAGTCAGTCCAGGAATATGATAACCCGTCGTTGCTCTTTTGTCTCGGATGGTAGGCGAGGGATTTCTGGTACCGCATCCTCTTCTTCGATATTCAGACGGGATCCCATTTGACGCTCCATGACGCCGATCGAGCGTGAAAAAGATCCGGTGTTCCCAACATATTGATCTTTATCCCCAATGTTTGACGTAAACAGCTCATTTTCCTCCTCTATTCGTAGCTCTTCGTTTCTAGCTTCATCGTCGGGTATGTGAAAGCCATTTTCTTCTTCTCTTGTTAGCTCTTTGATAGCACCTTTGATAAGGATAGACCTAGCTAAGTGGCATACGTTCATGGTACACAGTCACCTCCCTCTTGTCTTGCATAAAACCCTCTAGAAAGAGGCTGGTGTTGCTTTTCACAGAGGCTCTGTTCGATGGACTACCCCAAATAGATGGACCAGTCTCTACTAGACTGTTGGTTGGCGAATATTTGTTGGTCGGCCCTCCATCGCTAAAATTAAATGGAGAAGACATCTCTAGGGCATGACTGAACTGAAAATGATCGTAACAAGGTATAGCGTTACACCTGTTAATAAAGGATAGAGAAAGACATAGAGAGAGAGAGAGAGAAACAGAGCAAATGAAATAGGCAGGTGCGAGGCCATACAAGCGAGGTTTAAAGTCGACCACTGTTTAAATATATTATATATGCCTTGTGGATCATAGCTCCACATGTCCCGTCCGAATGGTCTAGTGGTCATGACGATTGTGTTAGTCTGCCCGATATGTTCCCTAGCTTTCACCCAAACTAACAGTTTCCAGCTTACATTGAGTATCACAATAAATCGCAGGTTCGAACCCTGCTTCGGACAACTATATTTTTTCTCTTTTTGCCTCCATCTCTCTTTTCGGACTAAGCAGATGCTAGAATAATCTTAAACTATCTAATTCATCATAAGTAAATAGATTCCTTCTTATTAGCACGAATTATCATTATTATTTACAAAATTTTAATACACCGTGTAGATGTAGTTTTTAATCTCCATTCTAATTGGTCAGATAGTTTAAGATAGTTTAGCATAGTTCCTGAGGCAGTTTAGCGCCAGCGACTGAGCTTGCTGAGGTAAGTCTACCGATGAAAATCTGCCCCGCATACGTCACGCAGGTCTCTTCCCCGTCAGATCGCCCGAGTCAAATCTTTTTCCCCTTCCACATCTGCCAGGATTGGCTTTGATTCTAGACTAGCTTCCGCGCAAGAAATCAGAAGATGAAACAGAGATTCTCGTCTTTGGACGTCAAGGTTTGTTCCTGACCACACTCGTCCCTGGAGCGACAACAGCGATGGCGGGAAACTCACAATCACCAGGTCATCTCCCAGGAACTGGCCTCAGAGCTGGTCAATCTGCGAGTATCGAACATTTACGATCTTTCGTCGGTAAGTAGAACGATCTTTCGTATGGCGGCCGGTAACAATATGCTAATCAGGGGAAATTTTTCCTGCCGGTAGCGAATCTTCCTATTCAAGCTCGCCAAACCCGACCACCGCAAACAATTTATCGTCGACTCCGGTTTCCGATGCCATGTTACGCAGTACTCGCGAGCGACCGCCACGGCACCCTCGCAGTTCGTGTCGCGACTGCGCAAATTTCTCAAATCCCGTCGCATCACCTCCATCAAGCAGATCGGCACGGACCGCGTCATCGACATCTCCTTCAGCGATGACACCTACCACATGTTCCTCGAGTTTTTCGCCGGCGGGAACATCATCGTCACCGATCGCGAGTACAACATGCTCGCTGTCTTCCGCCAGGTCTCGGCCTCCGAGGGCGAGGAGGCTCGCGTCGGCTTGAAGTACACGGTGACGAACAAGCAGAATTACAACGGCGTACCGCCGATCACGATGGACCGGATCCGCGACACGGTTGAAAAAGCGAAGGCGCTGTTTGCGCGCGAGGACGGGGCGCCGAAGAAGTCGAAGAAGAAGAACGCCGACGTGCTAAGGAAGGCTCTGTCGCAGGGCTTTCCCGAGTATCCGCCGCTCTTGCTGGATCATGCGTTTGCCGTGAGGGAGATCGATCCCGCGACGCCGTTGGATCAGGTCTTGCAGGATGAGGACCTGCTGCAGAAGGTGGAGGGCGTGCTGAGAGAGGCGGAGGGCGAGACGGTCCGGTTGTCGACGCAGCAGAATCATCCGGGATATATTGTTGCTCAGCTGGATGCGCGATCGCAGACTCAGCAGGGGACCGGGGAGGGTGAGACGCCTTCGGACAAGCCTAGTTTGCTGTACGAGGACTTCCATCCTTTCAAGCCCCGACAGTTCGAGAAGAAGCCGGGCGTGACCATTCTGGAATTCCCGTCGCTGAATGCGACGGTGGACGAATACTTCTCGTCGATTGAGACGCAGAAGCTCGAGTCGCGGCTGACGGAACGCGAAGAAACGGCGAGACGAAAGCTCGAGGCAGTGCGACAGGAGCACGAGAAACGGATCGGAGCGCTGAAGGAAACGCAGGAACTGCATATTCGCAAAGCAGGCGCCATTGAGGACAATGTCTATCGGGTTCAGGAGGCAATGGATGCAGTAAATGGATTGATTGCACAGGGTATGGACTGGGTGGAAATCGCCCGCTTGATCGAGATGGAACAGGGCCGAGGCAACCCCGTGGCGCAAATCATCAAGTTGCCCTTGAAGTTGTACGAGAATACGATCACCCTGCTCCTTGGAGAAGCCGGAGAGGAGCAGGAGGAAGAAAATGGACTGTTCTCCAGCGACGAGTCCGAGTCCGAGTCTGACGAAGAGCACGCAGAGGCCCAGACTGCACGCTCTACGCCGGAGCAGTTAACCATTGACATTGATCTCGGTCTTTCGCCGTGGGCAAACGCCACGCAGTACTACGATCAAAAGAAGATGGCCGCGATTAAAGAACAGAGGACGACGCAGTCCTCAGAGAAGGCATTGAAGAGCCATGAGAAGAAGGTCAACCAGGATCTTAAGAAAGGTCTCAAGCAGGAGAAACAGGTCCTACATATGGCCAGAAAGCCCTTCTGGTTTGAAAAGTTCCTCTTCTTCATCTCATCCGAGGGATACCTGGTCCTGGGGTAAGTTTTATTTATACTGTGCTCGCAAATTTCTTTTCTAATGATTAAATAGTGGTCGCGATGCTATGCAGAGCGAGATCCTTTACCGCCGCCATCTGAAGAAGGGCGATATCTTCGTCAATGCCGACCTCGACGGTGCCAGACCCATGATCGTCAAGAACAGATCGACTGCTTCGAATTCTCCCATCCCACCCAGCACTCTCTCCCAAGCAGGAAACCTCTGTGTTGCCACGTCCAATGCTTGGGAGTCCAAAGCTGTCATGTCTGCATACTGGGCTCATGCGAGCCAAGTCACTAAGACCGCTGAAGCTGGCGGTCTGCTGCCGACTGGTGAATTCTTGGTGAAGGGAGAGAAGAACTTCCTTGCACCATCTCAGCTTGTATTAGGCTTTGCAGTCATGTTCCAGGTCAGCAAGGAGAGTCTTCGGAATCACAAGTTGGCCATCTTTGATGAGCCTGCTTCTGCGGAATCGGCCGCCGGTGGAAATGAGGAGACCCAGGTAGCAGAGGAGGCCCAACAGACAGAGCAGACGCAACCTGCAGAAGAGGTTAGACCCACCGAAACCTCAAATGAGCCAGAGAAAGAACCGGAAGAAGATCAAAGTTCCGAGGAGGAGGAGGAACCCGAAAATAATGACAATGTGCCTGCCCGGAACCCGCTACAGCGAGGCCCCTCTGAATCTCCTGTCGAGAATACTGCAGAGGAGGCCGACGGTGCCGAGCTGGATGACGACAATGACCTGAAAGCAACAGAAGATCAGGATGAGCTCGCAGAGACAGGAGAAGGAGAAGAGGAGGCAGAAGAAGAACATACAGAAAGCATGGAAGCCTTCAACGGCGGAAGGTCTCAAGACACGAAGCACCTCTCTGCCCGGGAACGGCGCCAACTGCGACAGGGCAAACCCATCGAGTCAGCCGAGCCCATTCCCAAGAAAGAAAAACAGCCGGTGACGCGAGGCAAGAAGGCCAAGGCAAAGAAGGCCGCAGCCAAATACGCCGACCAGGACGACGAAGAGAGAGAACTGGCTCTGCGCCTCCTCGGTGCCAACAAGGCGAAGGCCGAAAAGGCCGCCGCGGCCGCCGAGGCCAAGGAGAAGAGGGATCGAGAAATCGAGGCACAGAAGAAGCGTCGCAAGGCCCAGCACGATCGCGCCGCCGAGGCTGAAAAACGACGACAGGCCATGTTCGAAGAAGGCGCTGGGGACGACTACGACGAGGAAACGGCCGCTGCCGAGGCTGCGGATCTTGACTGGATTCCGGCACTGGTGGGAACGCCTCACCCTGATGACGAGATCCTTGCAGCTATCGCCGTGTGCGCTCCGTGGGCGTCATTGGGGAGGTATAAGTACAAGACTAAGTTGCAACCGGGCTCGGTTAAGAAGGGGAAGGCCGTCAAGGAGATTCTCGGCCGATGGGTCTCCGAGACAACTACTGGAAAGGTTAAGAAGGAGCATGCTGAGGATGCAGGCATCTCTAGAGTTGTCGCAGAGAAGATCCGGGCCCGGGAAGGAGAGCTGCTCAAGACATGGAAAGATACGGAGATCATCAACACGATTCCTGTTGGAAAAGTACGAATCATGACCGGAGGCAGTGGAAGTGGAGGCGGAGATGCGAAGGGGAAGAGCAAAGGTGGTGGTGGCGGCGGTAGCAAAGGAGGCAAAGGAGGCAAGAAGAAATAGACGACCAGCTTTTTGGTATGATGCTTGAGAATCTATACACCGAATCTATACACTGTGCTCGTGTATCTATATTTTCCCCCATTTTTCCCCCTTAGTTGGGTTGGTTGAGATGGCAATTCAGGAAATGCATGTATAGACCTCCATCACAAACCGAGAAACAGGAAGCAAGAACTACAAGTCTCACTCACCAACCTTCCCCGGCGATTTAATCATTCCTACCATCCAGGCAGACCATCTTTTGTCCTGAGAACCTGTCGCCATCAAGCAGGACCATGTGCCTCGCTTAGTCATGGTCTCCGACGTCATCGCGAAGATTTTCGGTCTCTTCGCCGACAGACGCTCGACTCTTTTTTTGAGACCGCAATGCTCTGAGTTTTGGGTAAGTTTGCTCCCAAGTGGGACGAGGCGGACATCGAATCAAGAAATCCTCTAACACATAAGGCGTCAGTGACCCAACAGCCCTCTTGCCCCCCACTTAGCCTTATATTCGCATCCGGCCCTGACTCAACCCCGCGACTCGATCGATTTTCATGCTTCCCTGCCTGTTCTAGACGACCTGAGGGCCGGTTACTCCATTTTCGCGACCCGTGGAGATTTTGGGAAACGTGACAAAAAGCAATCATTTCTTCAGTCAAGCTGGTGTCTCTCTTCTCTCGCCTTGTCGCTGGCGGCCGTCCGCACAGCTTTACTCGGTTTTTTTCGACCTCTACCCGCACGATGGCGCCCAAGGAGACGACTCGGATTCTGTCGGTCCGTAGACTGAACCAGGAGGGACCCGGAAATAAGTCACTGGCCGAATGGTGGGATAGCGAGCGCAATAGTAAAACACCCGAGGCCGCCGCGATCGAAGAGGCCGCGGAGCTTCTGCGAACGAGCGATATCCCCGTGGCCTTCCCCACGGAGACGGTATACGGACTCGGCGCGGACGCGACCCGCAGCGATGCAGTGCAGGGGATCTACCGGGCGAAGCAGAGGCCCTCGGACAACCCGTTGATCATCCACGTGGATTCGTTGGAGATGTTGGAGCGCGTGCTTAACCCCGTGCAGGCGAGCCCGACGCGCTTGACCAAGACCGCGAAGAACTCGATCCCCGAAATCTACCATGCCCTCATCGACCGGTTCTGGCCGGGTCCGTTGACTATCTTGTTGCCGAACCCGTCGGGCTCGCCGCTCGCGAAGGAAGTCACCTCCCACTTGACGACGTTTGGCGTGCGCATGCCCTCGTCGCCGCTGGCACGGTTGCTGATCCACGTTACGGATAGGCCGCTGGCCGCGCCGTCGGCTAATGCGTCTACGAAGCCCTCCCCGACTAGTGCGGAGCATGTGTGTCATGACCTGGAGGGTCGGATTGAGCTGATTCTCGACGGCGGTGCCTGCGGTGTTGGGGTGGAGAGTACGGTGGTGGACGGGCTGTCGGAACCGCCTGCGATCCTGAGACCGGGTGGAATCGGCATCGAGGAGCTCCGAACGTGTGCTGGGTGGGAGAATGTGCAGATTGGCTACAACGACGGGAGTCTGGAGGTCAAGGAGGTTCCCCGGGCGCCTGGCATGAAGTACCGACACTACTCGCCCAAGGCGCGCGTGGTGCTTTTCGAACCCGACTCCGACGAGAAGGCCGTGTCCAAGCACATCCGCAAGGACTTGGAAGATACCGCGATCGGTGCGCATATGATTGGCATCCTACGGACTCGCAACTGGAAGCAGGGACTGGGATTACTGTCGGACGAGGAGATCGAAAAGACGCTGAAGCCTATCCCTTCCCTGGTCGACAACCTGGTAGGATTCTCGGCCCCCGTGAACGACCGGATCAACGGGTGTCTGGCCGCCAAGGAGACGTTTGACTGCCACCTGGGCGCGGACGTCGAGACGATCGCGCGTCGACTGTTCTCTGCACTGCGGGCGATGGACGAAATGGAGGTCGATGTCATCTACGTAGAGGGGATCTCGGATCAGAGCGGTGATCTGGCCGCTGCGGTCATGAATCGACTGCGCAAGGCCGCCGGCGCCGAATTGAGAGTATGAGATGGATTCTGATATAGAGGGAGTAGAAGGAGTTGTTGTTTCAGATTTATGCTTAATGATCTTACTATCGGATAGAATTTTATATTATACTTACAATTTATTATCAAGTGTTGTTATTATCATGATTGCGCAGAACATTCCAAGAAGTAGATAACGTGGATAAGATGAATGAACGCCTTCTCCGTTCTCCGTCGGAAGTCCCCGAAGGCCATCAAACTTATCAGATTAGTGAACAAGAGTGGGTCGTTGCCTTTCTGCAGTCTAATTTTTAAGCCTTTTAAGGCCGGCGTGTTTTAGGGCAGTACTATCATTTAATGATTTAAACATGCTGTCTTCTATCTTCTAGAACTCTTTAAAAAGGCTTCGGTGCTTTTCTTTTTGTTCACTGTCGCTCATTTTGATCCAGGATATTTCCGTTCGTTGTTTATACACTTTTCATCCCATTGCTTTTTATCTGATTCTATCATTCCTTCGTACACTCGTTCCTCATCACGATGTGTCAATCCGACCTGCACGACTTCCTCCACGGTCTCCCTAAATGCGAGCACCACGTCCATCTGGAAGGCTGCCTCACCCCGGAGCTGATCTTCCAGCTAGCCGCTAAAAACGGCGTGCAACTACCCCAGGACCCAGCCTACGAGTCCGTAGCGACTCTAACGCAGCGCTACGGCCACTTCACGTCGCTGGATGACTTCCTCGGCTTCTACTTCACGGGCATGTCCGTGCTCCAGCACGAGTCTGACTTCGCCGACCTCGCCTGGGCCTATTTCCAGAAAGCCCACGCCGACGGCGTCCACCACGCTGAAGTCTTCTTCGATCCCCAGGTGCATCGCGATCGCGACATTCCCTACGCTACTATTGTCGCGGGCTTCGTGGCGGGCTGCAAGCGCGCTGAGCAGGAACTCGGCCTCTCCACGCGTCTCATCCTCTGCTTTGTGCGCCATCTCTCTGTCGAGTCGGCTGCTTCGGTCTATGAGGAGGCTCTGGCGCATCAGTCCTTCGACACGGACCTCGTCCATGGCCTGGGATGGTCCTCGACGGAGGTCGGGCCCCCCAAGGATATGTTCCGGGAGTTGTACGGCGCTGCCTCGGAGCGGGGGATCCGGCTGACGGCGCACGCGGGCGAGGAAGGCGATGCGTCGTACATCAGCACAGCGTTAGAGCTGGGGGCTAGACGGATCGACCACGGGATTCGGCTCGTCGAGGACCCCGTGCTGATGGACCGTGTGGCCCGCGACGGCGTCATGCTGACCGTGTGTCCGATCTCGAATGTGCAGCTGCGGTGCGTCAAGTCCGTCGCGGAGGTGCCGATCCGGACGTTCCTGGAGGCGGGCGTCAAGTTCTCGATTAACAGTGACGATCCGGCGTACTTTGGGGGGTATATTCTGGATAATTACTGTGCTGTACAGGAGGCGCATCAGCTCTCGGTGGATGAGTGGAAGGTGATTGCGCAGAACAGTGTCAGTGAGAGTTGGATTGATGAGCAGAGGAAGGCGGAGTTGTTGGGGCATATTGATACTCATGTTGAAAGGCATGTGGCTGTGGCTGTATGAGTTGGATTAGGGATGATTAATGAAGTTCAATGACTGTTTCATGTTGTACAAGAGATTGTAGTGTAAGACCTGGATCTCCTGGGGTCATGAAGATATACCAGAGAAGTAGACGGAATCGAGAAGATGAGTATAGATCAGAGTTATGCTCATCAAGATAGCATGATATATTTTGTGACAATCAGAGGGCTATTCACTAACTCCAAAAGTCTTCAGCTAGACTGTGCATAGCGACAGTCCTCCCGAATTACGAATCTCGAAGATATAGCTCGACATGCTCGATATACTCTATCGTTAGAGCCCCACGGATTACTAACAGCCACCCAAGCAACAAGCCCAACCGGAAAGGGTCACAACGTCATTTCCACCTCTCAAAGCTTGACGATGCAAGCGCGCTCCTTGACCAGCGTAACCCGCTCCATCGGTTGCAAAGCCATCTCGAAATCCTCTTGTAACGTCGGGACTCGGTTCCTCCACGCTCAACCATCGCTCTCACAGTCAGATCTACGCTTCTCCCGCCCACCTGCCACACCAGCCACTCGTATCTCGAGACCTACCAGCGGACTCCCTACCCTCAATACTACTCGTCTACACCGAAATATACACCTACAAACGAGAGCCATGTCATCGGACACCATTCCCGACCGCTACAAGCTGGTCTTCTTCGTGCCCCACTCGCATCTCGATGCCGTCAAGGACGCCGTGTTCGCAACGGGCGCCGGCACCTTCCCGGGTGGTAAATATGTCAAGTGTTGCTTCCAGATGCCCGGACAGGGACAGTTCATGCCAGCCGGGGGCGCGAACCCGACGATTGGCGCGGTGGGAACGTTGGAGTATGTCGAGGAGATGAAGGTCGAGGTGATGTGTTTGGGACGGTCGATTATGTTGCATGCGGTGGAGGCGTTGGTCAAGGCGCATCCGTACGAGGAGGTGGCGTATGAGGTTTATAAGATGGAGAATGTATGAGTGGAATATTAGGCATGAGTAAATCAGCCATTTCTTTGATAAAAAGAATGTAAAATGAATGAATGAAGTTGATGATGGGTGATGAAGAAGTGGAACTGGCAAGGCGGTCATTGGCGCAGAAGGCGGGAGTAATTCGTCGCCCCTGATTGGCCCCAGGCAGCAACCCGCAAAACGCCTTCTTCGAAGTCGATCTCATCGCTTCATCTTCGTCTTCATCTCCATCTCCATCTCCCCCCCCTCCTCCCACCTTCGATCCCCCCTCCGCCGCCAGCAATGGCCTCCAAATTCTTCCCCGTCGTCCCGCGGGTCGGTCGTCAATTGTTCCAGTCCGTCCCCAAGTCCCAATGCAGACCCTTCTCGGCTGGTCCGCAACGATTGAGCGACTCCCTTGCCGTGGTACGTTGAGAATTGTGCACGAGCCCGTCCAGGAGGGCTGAGTTGTCGCGGATATCGCGGATCCGTCTGACCGGCTCAATTGAATCCAATGCGACGGATTATCGACCCCATCGATGTTTTGCTGACCGGTTATCCCTATTAGCACCGCAACAAGCCCACCAACAACCCGACCATCCCCTTCCAGTTCTCCGAGCAGAACCTCAGACTCGCCGATGAGATCCTCAAGCGTTATCCCCCCCAGTACAAGAAGGCTGCCGTCATGCCTCTGCTGGATCTCGGTCAGCGCCAGCACGGCTTCACCAGCATCAGCGTCATGAACGAGGTCGCCCGTCTCCTGGAGATGCCCCCCATGCGGGTCTACGAAGTCGCGACCTTTTACACCATGTACAACCGGGAGCCGGTGGGCAAGTACTTTGTCCAGCTCTGCACGACGGTATGATATTTCCCGTACACACCCATAATATTTTCGTCCGACAATGGGGTTGTGACACGTACTGACACGGGACCTTTCATCAGACGCCGTGCCAGCTGGGTGGCTGCGGTAGTGACAAGATTGTCAAGGCTATCACGGAGCACCTTGGCATTACGCCCGGACACACCACTGAAGACGGTCTCTTCACTTTCGTCGAGGTCGAATGTCTGGGTGCCTGTGTCAACGCTCCTATGGTCCAGATCAACGATGACTACTACGAGGATCTGACTCCCGAGTCGATCAAGACCCTGCTTACCGCGCTGAAGGACTCCACGACTGCCACAGAGGCCGGCAAGCCCGTCCAGGTGCCTGCCCCCGGACCTCTGAGCGGCCGAGAGAGCTGTGAGAACAGCGGTGGACTCACGAACCTGCGGGAACCCGTGTGGGACCCCGAGACGATGATGCGAAAGGACGGTGCTTTGGATCAGCAGCAATAAATTCCAGATAATTCATAATTCAAGCGAAGGGAGATTTGTCTTTGACTTGATGTCTTGTGATTGTCTAGTTCTCATTTTCTTTTTTTCCTATCTCTATTCTCCTGGTTGGTAGTAACGAACAGGGACCGCCAGGCGTCGATTATTGTACAGTACGTTGTTCCTCTTTTTTTTTTTGTTCCTCGGAGGAAGGCCAAAATTCTCAGATGATGGTGGGCAGTCCTCTCGACCTGCCATTGTTGAAGAGTTTGTTTAGCAGCAACCCAATAAATCCATTTGCTTTCGAGTCTCACCGTGATCTTCCAGCTTAACGCATTCCTCAGTGAGAACTTCCACTTCTTCCACTTTCTTGGTCATGTGCCCAGGGTCCAGCCCCAAGTAAATAAACGTTCCTTCTCTTCTCACTTTTCCAACTCAATTCTCACTTCTCAACCTTCATCTCATCTTCCCTCCTCCGCCTTCCTTACTCCAGAGAGTAAGATTTACATTGTTTGCCCCTTTCCCCTTCCCTCTTCTTTCTCAATCCCCCCAAGAGTCACATCGTACCCCTCTCACCCCTTCCCCAGGACGGAGGCCCGGCGGTACTGAAAGATGGACACGTCCACGGTCCGTCTGGCCAGAATGTGATACACATGGACGTGTTTCGTCTGTCCGTACCGCCGGGCCCGTCCCGTTGCCTGAATCATTGTCGACTCGTAGTTGTACTGAGTCTCTGCAAGCATGGGTGAGAGGAATACGATGTGATTCGCTTCTTGGAGGTTCCTAACAAAGAACATCAGTCATGCTTGCAGAGCATAATGGATCGGAAACCGCTGGGTTTGACTTACAGGCCCGCCGCCATTTCGTTCCCCAACATCAACATCAACACCCGACTCTCTCCGAACCCCTCTGTCAGATACCTCTCCAGCTTCTTGGTCGACGCTTTGTCGTCTGCGAAGATCGCAGTGTGCTTGATCTTGGCGAGGGTGAGGGCCTTCGAGGCCACTTTCATGATCTCTTCAAACTGGATAAATAGCAACGCTTTCTCGCCTTGGGGTATGCTCTCGATGATCTCGATCAGTTTGTCGATCTTGGTCCCTCCGTATCGTGCGCTGATATCCCCATAGTTGCCGCCAAGCTCTGATGCGTCTATGAAATTATCCTTTTTCGCTGCGCCCTGACAGGTTGGGAGCACACATTCTTCGCTCGCGTTGAATTTCAAAGCACAGCCGGAACAGATAGAATGGCCACATGAACCAAGAATGGTGACTTCACTTGGACCGCGGACCCTCTTCTGGCAGTCGTCGCAATTCAACTCCAGGTTCGCTTGCACACGATGCATGGCTTCGAGGAACCTGAGGGCCCTTGCTCGCATTACCCACTCAGCAAGATAGCTGCGCATGTTTGCCACGGTTCTCCTCAGTACAGCGCGGATCTCTTCTTTCTTTTCTGGCCTGTCCGGCAGCGCAGGCAGTTTATCCTCCTTTTTCTTATCCTTTTGCGCACCTCCACCGGCTCTCTCATTTGTCTTCCCTGCCGCTGCCTTGCCGGTCGGTTTGGCCACTTGCTCAGGGTCTGCAAAGAAGAGTTTCCAATCTTCTTCCGTCTGATCAAGAAATGCTTGCCGGATAACAGCTTCAGCCTTCGCTGTCACCGTATCATCACCGAAATCATGTTTTCTCACACTCCCGGTGAACTTTTCGAAATGAGGTTCGTTCTCGTCAACCTTTCCCAACAGCCAAATGGCTAACTTGACTTCCATAGCGAAAATCTCCACGGCAGCGGCGATTTGGTCCTGGCGCGTCTCAATGAGAGACTTGCAGGTGGTAGCTTCCGGCTTTCCGTTTTTCCACTGGTTGCTGAGAGCAAGAGTTGTACAGCGCTTGAGAAGTGCCTCGTCGGCCGAGCTGCTACTGTTAATGATCTCATCAATTCGCTTTGTCCGTTCGCTTCCGAGTTTACTCCGGCTGCCGCGAATAACCTGTTCTTCCAGCCCTAGGAGTTGCCTATGAAGCTCATAATAGATCGCTGTCTCAGCTGGTAATAGGGTAACGAGAATGAAGTGCTCCGTGATTGGGATTTCGCCGATGCTCGGAACATTCTTGCGGGCAAAGCGGTCGAGGAACGTCTGGGCGTGCTCATGTCGATTCCGGTGCCATGCCTCGCTTCGAGGGGCTCGGTAAGCTTGGAAGACCTCTGCGTCTGATTGAATTTTCTTTTTCAATTTCCAAAGCTTGTTATGTGACTTCATGTCATCATCGTCGATGCCGAGGTGGACCCCCAAGAGCGGCGCTATCGTATTCACATCGGCGAAGTTATTCAAGGGCGGCGTCCCGGACAGTACCCATCTGGCGCGAGCTTGTAGAGCTGCGATGGGGTTGGGCTCAACTCTCACATATGTGAACTCGTCAATGACTAGACGTTCAAACGAGAAAGCGTGGATCGTCAGATTTTTCATCGTGTCCCAGTCTTGATCCTTTGTCCTCCTGTCTATGCCGAACCCTTCTCTGTCACTCCAGAACAACCTTTGTGTTGGCTTACGACTTGTTGCTCCAGCATCGCCTTTCTGGCCCTTGCCGCCGGCCTTGACGGTCTTACGCTTTCTGCCAACACCTTTACGGTTTGGGTTGGCATCTTCACGGCTCGAGGTGGCAACGTTCTGGTCCGAGGGAGCATCGATGTCCTCGTATTCGGTGTCGTCGCGATCTGATTCGGCCTGGGCAGTGTCTTCGTTTGCCTCCTCGTTCGCCGCATCCCCTTCCACATCCTGCTCCTCCGTCTCTCCTTTCTTCTTCCTCTTAGGGGGAGCAAATGTTCTCAGTGGCTGCAGTTGAACGAGCTGGGATATCTTGGACCGGAGGGTTTCGGGATCTCTTCCGTCATCAGTGTCTGACTCCTCGTCGGCGCTAGATATGACTGCGTACTCGACGTCAATGCCTGCATCGCGAGATTGATCTGCATTAGCTTCCGCATAATGCCTTCCTCTCAGTCGCTTTGATGGGGTGTAGGTAAAATTCGCCGTGGTATTTCTCAACCTCCGGCGTCTGGCCTCCAAGGAGTCGAGGAATGCAGAGGGACCCTGGTCCATGAGGGTGTCAACCTGTTCGGTGAGAGACTGATGGGCCTCCGAAAACCAGTCCACGAAATTGCGACCTTCTGGCTGCGGCACTCGTGGCATACCGGTGAACATTTGCATTTTTCGGTAATATTTTCGATCACCCAAAACTTCCCAAGCCATCAAAACAATGTCCGTCTCTTGAACCTCGCGAATGGTTACCTTGTCGAGGTCAGAGCTCTTGTTGAACCCAAGGACCTTGTATTTCGTCCCAAGGAACTTGGTGATCTCGAGCATCCATTGTGTGAAAATCGTGCGAGGAGTTAAAATGAGGGTCGCCTTGCTTGGTATAAAGCCCTTTGTCGGCGCAGGCCGGGGAACACTGTCCCGTCTGGATTGCGCATCGATCAATCCAAGAATGATGGCTGTTTTCCCGTAACCAACGTCATCTGCCACAAGACCGCCACGAATTGTTTTGGGAGCGCTCACTTTCGCCTCCGCCCGCCACATCAGTTCAGCAAGTAGAGCCTCCTCCACCTCTTCTTCGACGAAAGGCTCAATGTCGTCACCTTCCTGCTTGACCATCCAATATAAAGACCGAAGCTGTTCTGGCCGCAGCGTAATCCTGAAATTAGGGGGCTGAATGGATTCGGGGTCCGCGTCGTTGTTACCTAGCTCGAACTTCGAGAATGCCAAATTCCTCGTGTCGTGCGCGTTAGGGACCAAGCGCCAATGAAAGGAAGCACTCCCAATAGTGCTTGAACCAAGAAGTTTGTTGTATGCCTGATGTAGAAGAGTTTGGACATTGAGAGTGACTCGCATGTTTACAGAATTGGCCTCGTCTACCCGGCGGAACACCAAGAAAGGGACTGGCTTCGACTTGAGCTGCCTCTCATATAGGGCGGCGTCCCGCGGATCCTCGCAGGCTTTGATGACGCCGCGTGTACTGCAGCTCCAGACCATCGCTGGCTTTTGGGGAGTGCAGACAGTGCATCCGGAAAACTTCTCATCGCTATTCCATGCCTGCTTTTCTATGACCCGGTTCCAATGTTCATAGCCGGTAGAGGTGGTGACTCTGAGCAGCAACCAGGCGAAATCCCTCAATTCAGCTTGTGAGTCCAAAGGGCTCATGGCTTCCCACGGTCCCACGGTCCCAAACGAGCCAATGGTGGCAGATGGTGCTGAAAATGATAGCAAGGTGATATTCTGCCTGCTGCATTCAGTGTGATCGATCGAGATGATGTGCCCCGGCTCCGGGCCAGTGAAGGTGATAGGAGTATCGGAGGAGTAGGGCTGCAAGAAAATTGTTTCGACATCGATCCATTTGCGATAATAGGTACGGACAGACTCCTGGTGAGCTTCAGGCTGTCTACTTGGACGCCAAGTGTGAGCCACTTCGGCAAGGGTTAACCGCGGTGCATAGCTAGGATCTCGCGCATGCTCCAGGGCGAAGACAAATGAGTCGTACTTCGGCTCGCCCAGCTTTGTCGGATCCAGAAACAGATATACTGCTGGCTTGTTCTCGCTGGCTTCCCTTTTGTGCAGGGATGCATTCGCCGTGCCGCACTCGGGCAAAAGATTGTATGTTCCTCGAACATCGATTTCGAGTCTGTTCATGTCCTCATCGGAGCCTTGGACGACGACCTGGGACCAAACTTTCGACGATGGGATACCTTCTCCCTGCAGGCCGCAGACTGCCTCGTAAGTCGGCACTTTCACGCCCGCCGGCTTAAAGATGAGATCTAAGCTTGAGCTTAGCGGAGCACAAACCTGCCAGGTACCTCCAAACAGGGATGGTGACGCGACCCTCATCCGCGCAATTGGCTTCGCAAGGATTTCCCGGTTCACTGAACGCGCGGGCTCGGTCTCCAATGCCTTTGCAAAAAAGCGCCATTCAAGTCCACCTGCCGGATCGATGACAAGGTTGAGGACGGAATGGCTACTCACATAGGAGACCACCCAGGCTGTTCCCCGTGTGATTTCCGAGAAGCGGAGTTCATCACCTACCGTTCGCATCACAGCGGCCAGGTAATCGTCCCAGATGACAGAAGGACAGATAACCGAGCTGTCATTTCTGAGGTCGCTGTAGCTCTCCGCGGTGATACCGGACACCATCAGTCTACTGGGGATGATCTTTCTAAGATCCGTCACGAAGTCCGAAGGTAGATTTCTGATCACTTTCAGGGAGGTGTATGAATGACTCGGGTTGCCGGCGCATCCAGCGCAAGCTGTGTGCTCGCACAATTTGCACTTGAGGATATCCTGACGGACGGCCGACTGCTTCTCACAAACACATAATCTGGCGCTGCGGGCAGCCCTTTCCAAAATTGTACCGATAATAAAGAAGTCATTCGAGCGAGGCACAACGTGTTTGCCGCGAGCCAACAAAACAGTTCCCTTAAAGGTGAGCCTCTTGGCTTTGGAGGTGCTGCACTTGGGCGAAGGAGGCCGTTCACCCTTTTCGAAGACCGTGTGGCCGATAATCAGGCCAGCAAGTATGGCGGCGCAAACGACAGTCGAACTCATTGCGTTCCCTGCCAGATCCTGTAGGTCACGCTGCGACTCCCGTGTTAAGATGAGTTTGTCAACAGGCAAGCCTTGCAGGGCGAGAGCCTCGATGCCGCACAGGGGGCCGCCTCTTGTGGTGAGATAAGGAATGCCGCTGGGAGTGATACACCCGATGATGCCATAAGAACGATTGTCGGTATCCCGGTCGATTCCCTGAGAAAGCTCCAGACATCGCCTGAAGATGCGTTAGCATGGCATGAAACCTACATGCAGAGATTCAACTTACTCTTTATAGTTCATGTCGTAACCTTCACTCTGCAGTTTCCGAAGAAAATTGCAGTCGATGGTGTCAATCACCCTTTCCGGGATAGCCCCGCAGAATATCTTCCAGCAAAAGTCGAGCATTTGTCGAGCGCCGTTATCCTGAAACCTAGTCACGGGTCGCTTGTGGCCAAGATCATTGCCGACGCGATAGTAATGATGACGAAGTTGGTACTTCGCCCAGCCCACATTAGAGCGCGTGGTCGCCGCGGCTTGACGGGCTGCCATGTCCCTCTCAATCTGCTCAAGCCGCTTGTTGTCTGCGGACAAGGTAAACATGCCGATGGGGGAGCTGGCCGGACGCCGGAAGCTGCCAACGAGCTCAGGCCATCCTTTGATGGCTTCTTCGGTAAGGCCTCGATCCTGCATCCGCTTCATGTCAACGCACAGCATGTATCCTCTCTCGCGGGTCTGAGGCAGGTAATATGCCTTGGTGTCCACGCCCACATGAATTCCCAGGTAGTCAATCTCAGCAAGGTACTGGACAATCATATCCCACGGTGCTGTATTCACGTTCTCCAAGATTATCATCCGGGGCCGGTAGACCCGCGCGTGGCGGATGATTGCCCAAAACGTTCCTCCAGACTCTCCCTGCTCGTCGAGCTGCTTCCGGTTGTTGTTCAAACCGGAGAAATCAACGCAGGAGAAGCCTGCCACCAGGAGGTCCACATTCTTGGGAAGCTTCTCCAGGGACCCGTACGCTGTTTTTCTGTTTCAGAAGAGATGTCAGTATCAGATTGGGGTATTTGTCATAGATAAGAGAAAAGAGAAAAAAAAAAACATGTTAAAATAGAAAATAGGCAAAAACAAATATAAACAAACTCTGAAAAAGCCAAGAAACAGATTGCCAATAGGCGTAGACAGGAGAACTTACGCCACACGATCTTTCAGCTCATTCACATCCCGAAACATATATCGAGGATGAAAGTTGCGCTCGATGTACGCCTGCTTGAACGGCACGATCTCAGCACTGAAGAGATGTCGAAACGGCAGGGTCATGCCAAAATGCTTTTCCAGTTCTGTCATACCAGTCAGTCAGAAACGTGCTCAAGGAATGCTTTCTCCTCTATCAACCCCCTCTCTACCACCACCCACAATATCAAAAACAACGACAACGACAAGAACCACGACACGTAAAGATGGAAAATAAAGATAAGAGAGAGAGGGAACTCACGACCACCAACCATCTCCAACGCCAACAACGGACTCTCCGTCCCCGAACAAACCGTCGCAACCCGCAACGCCCGGCCCCCCAGATGTTCCAAGACCTTCGCAAGCCCCAGCTCCAGCGCCCGACTCGTCATCGACCGATAGATTTCATCCAGGTCGTGCATCGGGGGCAGGCCCTCTGCTAGCCGCGTCTTGTATGTCTTTTTACCGTCGTATGGCCGGCTGCGGATTAGTTCGGGGGTGTTTTCGTCCACCTCGATGTCGTAGGTGATGGGGTCGCGAAAGCCGTAGAGAAGGCGTTCGGAGGCGGTTTTGGGCCAGCCTTTTTGGGGGTTGGGTGTGGGTTTGGTTCTGTTGGTGGTGAGGCGTGGGCGTTTGGAGGAGGAGGAGGAGGTGTTTTGGGCGGTGGATTTTCTTTTCGGGGCCATTTTTTCTCTGTCTTCGATTTCGTTTCTTGGAGGTTTGGGGTTGAAGGGGGAGGATCTGTTTGGTCTTGGTCTGTGTGGAAGATGCTCAAGATGCCTTTTTCTCAAGACAAGTGTAGGATCTCAGTATCAGTGGTACTGATGTGGGTCGAACGTAGATGAGAATGTGATATGAGATAGGATATGATGAGCCCCGTGGACCCAGGCCCCTCTTCTTGGTGGCAGAGAAGTCAGGAATAGAAGAAGAAGAAGGCCTGTACACAGAAGAGAAGAGCTGGTCAAGCTGACTTTCTGAGTATGAAGCTGTGATGGTTATGAGATAGGATATGATGCACGCGGAGTGAGGGTATCTCGGTTTTCCTGGTTGGAAGAAGTCCAAGAAAGAGAAGACACAGATCTGAAAGACAGAACACTGGCTTTGACACACTCAAAGAACCAGAGACCGTAGATGTGAAGGCGTAAAGAAATCTGAGATAGGTATGAGAGGAACACGTAGAAAAGATGAGCAGACCTTCTTCCTTCAGTCTTTCTCAACAAGAGCCACAAGTCACAGAAGAGATGGAATACAGGAAAGGAAGAAACACAGAATGATCTCTCTGAAGACAGACACGTTCCAAGACACAAAACTTGTAGCTGTGAAGCAACGCCAAGGTGTGAGGAACAAGACGAGAATAGGACAAGGCACGTCCGAATCACTGGGACTGACAAGATCCCTGTTTTGACCAGAAGCAATCCAAATGCCCTCCAAAAGAGAATAAACAAAGTATCTGATCAAGATGATCACCTTGATACGTTCAAAGAGAGAAAGTTACGTGCATAAAAAGACGTGAAGGGAGTCAGGATAGGGCACGTCAGGATCACGTGGAGTAAGTTGAAGTCACGTTTTTCTGTTTGCCCAAGCCAAGACAGACCCAAAAAGAAAGATACAAGAAAAATAGACAAAGCAGTAGACTGGGTGCATTCAATAGTCCAAAGAATGCAGATATCAAGATAGGGCACGTATGGATCACGTGGGGTGAATGGTGGTGAGAAGGTGTAAACAAGAGGAAAGCGGTGAGAGGAGAGAGGGTGAGGAGGAAGAGAAGAAAAGTGGGAAATTGAGGGGGGAACAGGGGAAAGGCACTAGTACAAAGAAAATGGAACATTTCGTCTAGTGCAGTTGTTGATTACCTGGTTGGGCTGGCGATGCAATCGGTGAACCAAACGTGATGCGGGTCCTGGGACTTCTGCCAATGGGGTGATTGCACAGCTGCGTTTACTTCTTTTATGTGGCTCTTTCCATTGTTTCGGTCTTGTGTGAGAAAGTTAGAGTAGTATATAGTTTGGTTGTTTGTCAATACTGTTTGGTTTATACTGCTGGATCTATAGGATTGGGTAGATATCAATCACGTATCCATTTGGTATAGTAGAGCGGCGAGTAGATATGAAGAGCAAACGTTATTCTCTCCAGATGGAAGAAATGCAAATATGTCCTGTCTTTGTCAACCCAGGAGAACTGTAGTGGAGCTGGAAATCTTCCTGATACTGCATCCTGATTCCTTGGGATAGTAGGCAATCAAGGCGAGCCCAACTACAAACGGGAAATGAAGCCCGGCATAAGCTTTTTGATTTGCCTGCTACTGGAATCAAAGCTCCGGACTATTCTTTTACATGCTCTCATAGCATATTTCATGTAGTTGACATAGTATTCATGCAAAGACATGGAAGCCTAACAATGAATGGTCCTTATTACACTAGCTTTCCTGTCCTTCTTGACCAACCCAGCAGAAGGAAGTCTGTCTATGGCTCGATAGATAAAGAATGTTCTCTGTAGCCTACCAATTGACCCAAATTCTTGAGGGTAGTCTCACTGTACATTATGGGTTTACATTGATGCCTGAGGTTCGGCGAGAACTTCGCCGAATACCCAGAAACGAATGGCATACCAGTAGCACTGTCTTGACTTTCAGGTTCTTTCTTTTCCATTTCCTTCCCTTTACATTGACTATCTATGAAACGAAACGTGGAGGAATATTCTGGGACTTTCATTTTGGTGACATATTTTCCGAAGCCTCGAGTTGGCCACCCCAGTTCATAGGACACCCAATATTTCTCTACTGCAAATGACTACGATAAATCTAGCCGAAGGAATGTAGAGCCAGACTGCATCGAAAAGACTAGAGCTAAATTCGATACTCTGTATGACCACGTCATCATTGCTGAAAGGAAAAACCAAATATGGGATATCTTCCACGTATCTAAGTATACATCCGAGTAACAATTGAAAGTGAACCATGTGCGCCATCCCATCTGCTGATCAAAAAAGTCGATTATCCAAGAAAATGAATCAAAGAACATCAAAACGCCTCCTCATTTAGGCTCATTTATCGCATTCCGCCTTGCATCAGCTGCTGTCGCAGCAGCATAATCTGGGTCCGTTCCATTGGGGGGAGTTCATCGATGGCCGACTGGGGCATGGAGAGCACTTGCTGTAGCAGCTCGTCCTGGCCAGGGACCTGCTGTGGCGGTGCCGCTTGCGGTACCGGCTGGGGGTTGAAAGGCGTATTAGCCATCGGAGGGGTGGAGATTTGGCCAGGTACTGCGGAGAAAGGCTGGAAAGCCTGCGCTGCGGCAGGAGGAGCGGCTGCAGCAGGCTGCGCGGCTTGCTCCACAACCGAGCCGAGTGTGTTGTAGTCCACCAGATTCATCAGAAGCAGCGCTTGGAAAATTGCGTATGCTAGTTGGGGAGCCGTTCGCAAGAGCTCGGCGGCTCGCGCAGGCTCAACGGTGGCCAACTGCTTCATCTGAGAAAGCACCTCTAGTAGCTGATTGGGAGGAAGAGAGGATAGGGTTTGAGAGATCGCGTTCGGACAATCGAGATGCGGGGGCAGTTCCACACCGGGGGGCAGTGGAGGCAACGGAGCCGCCTGCTGTTGACCTCCTAGTTGTCTATCCGGCTGCCCGGGCATTTGGCCTGTCTGTGAATAATCCGGAGGGATCGAGTCTTTTTCATTGTTATGGGGCCAATCGACACGAATCTTCCGGCCCATGATCTCGTAATCGTTCAGGTTTCGAACGGCGGAGGCGGCTGCGTCGGCGTCGGCGAAGTCTGCAAAGCCATATCCCTTTGGTTTGCCTGTCTCGGGGTTCATCATCAGGCGGAATTTGGTGACTGTGCCGGCGGTGCTGAGGATGTCCTTGACCTGTTCCTCGGTGAGGTCTGTAGTAACAGGCATTAGTATCTGAGAGAAAGCGACAGTGTATTATAGTGAACATACTATAGGGGATATTCCCCAGGAAAACACTCTTGCCAGCTCTTTCGGGCGCCATGGTTGCGACTCTGTAGAATTTCAAGCTCTGTCGATCAATCTGTCAAGCTCCGTGTTTGGCGGAAAGAGCGTTCGCGATGGGGCGCAGCGGGGGTATGGCCACACTTTCTGGTTGAGCGATGATAGCAGGACTGAGATCTGCAGGAAACCAGATGAATCGGAAGGTCGAAGTCGTTGCGCCTCTGTAAGGACGAGAAGATTGACAAAGACGAGGAGGAACAATGAACGGCGATGCAATTGATGGAAATGCCGCGGGCGGTGAGAGCAGCCGCAGAACCTCCGCCGGCTTCGATTCGTCTCACCTTCCGACCTGCTTTTCCTCCATTCTCCCCCACACCATCACCCATCATGTCTCAATCACCAAAGGAACAGCTGGAGAAGCTCCAGGCGATGCTGCAGAGGACCGGCGGCCGCGGAGGCTTTGGTATGCCCATACGGCCCCCCGGTGGAGGCCCCGGAGGTGGTGTCGTTGCCGCCCTCGTCGCTGTCGGCCTCGCAGGATATGCCATCTCGAACTCATTCTTCAACGGTAGGTTGGCCTCTCGACATAGGTTGTGGCTGTCGCAGTTGGTTTATCTTGCTTTGTAATCGTGGCTGACGTGCGGTGGTGTATAGTCGATGGTGGTCACCGTGCTATCAAGTACTCTAGAATCGGTGGTGTGAAGAAGGATATCTACAGTGAAGGTATGGTTTAAACTTGCTTCATGGGATCATTCGCCATTTTCCTCTCTGACTGCTTTTTTCTCGCAAAGGAACCCACATCAACATTCCTTGGGTCGAGACGCCGGTTGTCTATGACGTGCGCGCGAAGCCCCGGAACATCGCCTCTTTGACGGGTACCAAGGATCTGCAGATGGTGAACATTACCTGCCGTGTTCTGTCGAGACCCCGAGTCGATGCCCTTCCGCAGATCTACCGTACCCTCGGTAAAGACTTTGACGAGCGTGTGCTTCCGTCGATTGTGAACGAGGTCCTGAAGAGCGTGGTGGCCCAGTTCAACGCCAGCCAGCTGATCACTCAGCGTGAGAATGTCGCCCGACTGGTGCGGGATAACCTTGCTCGCCGCGCAGCCCGGTTCAACATTGCCCTTGACGATGTGTCGCTTACGGTATGCACTTCTTAACCTGTTTTGTCCGATGGCAGTTCTTTGACCATAACTAATACGATCGGTGTCCGTTATAGCACCTAACCTTCTCCCCCGAATTTACCGCCGCCGTCGAAGCCAAGCAGGTTGCTCAGCAAGAAGCCCAACGGGCGGCTTTCCTGGTCGACAAGGCCCGCCAAGAAAAGCAGGCTTTCATTGTCCGTGCCCAGGGTGAGGCCCGATCCGCCGAGCTGATCGGAGACGCGATCAAGAAGAGCAAGAGTTACATCGAGCTACGAAAGATTGAAAACGCCCGCCAGATTGCCCAGATTCTGCAGGAGAACGGCGCCCAGAACAAGCTGTACCTGGACTCGCAGGGCTTGGGCTTGAACGTCAACGTCAACAGCGAGGAAAAATAAGCATAATCCCCTTCGCATGAGAAAAGGAGTTTATTACAAGAGGGCGGCAGCAGCTTCTCTTGGCTTTGGTCTTTGTTTAATTGAAATGTAATGGTGCTCGTTCTTGTCGGTCTCGACGCGGCGGTGGAATACGTGACCCTGAGGGGAGGAGTAGCATGGGGTATTTGTACAAATAGTTGTCTTCGAGTTTCTCCGAATTACCAGGCGAAATCTTTCTCTTCTCTCCTTATGAATCTGCCTATTTATGGTGACGTGTAGAGCTCTCTCCTCTTTGGCGTCGTAAAGCGGATTTCTCGCTTTTTCTCCGCGCCTCGACGAAAGCGGCGGGCGGAAATTTTATACTCGGCGACTCTTCCCTTCTGCATCTCCCCATCTCCACCCTCGAACTCAGCGATAGATCGGTGGGTGTCAAAAGGAATATTATTGACGGCCTTTGTTTCTTTGCCTCTATTTTCAAATATATCCCGCACATCCCAATTCTGCAAGAAGTACGTTTGCCCGCCCCTCCTCCGTCGCAGGTGCCCCGCATCGACGGTCCTCAAAATCTTCAAGAATTGACAGCGAAAGCTAACCCATTTCCCCGCCAGACATGGCCGACCCAAACGTCGAGATCCAAATCGACCCCAACGCAGAGATCCAGGTCGACCTACAAGTTCAAGAGATCCTCCTCGCCGCCTCGCAACATGATATCCCCAAGCTCCGTCGCCTGATCCGTTCTCAAGAGGCTGTCCCGAACGCCGCCAACGTCAAAGACACGGAAACAGGATACTCCCCCCTCCATGCGGCCATCGCGGCGTGTGAATCGGACGATGAGCCCGTCAATGGGGCGCCCAATGGCGCCCAGGCGAACGGCGTCCAGCCTAGCCAGGATCAAAGCGCTGTGGAATCGGGTGTGAACACTGTCAGGTTCCTCCTGCAGGAGGGAGCGATCTGGAATGACCTAGATCTGAACAACGAGACGCCTGGATGTATCGCGAAACGCATTGGACAGAACGAGCTGTACGAGATGATCGTGGATGCGGGTGTTCGGGCTGAATTGCTGCTTAACCGACTAGATGGTTACGAGGAGCTGTCGGAGATGGGCGAGGACGAGGAAGAAGGCGGCGAGGACGCCGAGAAACAGCAGGAAGAGCAGGCTACTACGACCGAGCAGACGACCGCCGATGACCAGACGGCACCTGAATTGGTTGATGCTACTCAGGTTGAGGCGGCCGGGCCAGACGTGTCCCAGTCGCGCTACCTAGACTCCAACCTTACCTTCCAGCAGGATCGCCTGCTGGATCAGGACCAGAACGGTGTGATGATGGCCTGGGAGTCGGACATCATGGCCAAGTCGGCGAAGAAGCTTCTCCCGACCCCGGGACTGCGTGTGCTCAACGTCGGCCACGGCATGGGCATTGTGGATGGATTTCTACAGGAGCAGTCGCCTGCCGCGCACCACATCATCGAGGCGCACCCGGACGTGGTTGCGGAAATGAAGCGCAAGGGCTGGCACGAGAAACCCGGAGTCAAGATCCACGAGGGCAGGTGGCAGGATATCCTCCCTACCCTGGTGGGAGAAGGCGAGCAGTTCGATGCCATCTACTACGATACCTTCGCCGAGTCGTACGGCGATTTCCGCGAGTTCTTCAGCGAGCAGGTCATCGGTCTGCTGGACCAGGAAGGCAAATGGAGCTTCTTCAACGGCATGGGCGCCGACCGCCAGATCAGTTACGATGTCTACCAGAAGGTGGTGGAAATGGATCTTTTCGAGGCAGGATTCGATGTTGAATGGGAGGAAATCGCCGTGCCTACGCTGGAGGAGGAATGGAACGGCGTGCGCCGACCGTACTGGCGCATTGAGAAATACCGACTGCCCTTGTGCAGATACATGGATTAAAAATAAATAGAATGGGAAATGCAACAATGATGAATGATCACAATCAAAACGACGGCCAGCTGATGTTCTCACGTACTCTCATTAGGTCATCGAGTTTGCAAGGTCTTGCCAAAAGTAACCTCATTGCTCTCTGCTAAGGAGCACTTGTGGACTCTGGGACTGAACATGCAACCGATCTGCAACCGATGTCGGGATGTTCTTCTCGCAAAGGGCTTCTTGGACACTAGTTCAGAGATTTGCGCTGACCCAAGGACACGAAGATTAATGATGGAAACGATTCGAAACTCAAAAACGAGTGACTACAAGCTGCTGATTCACTTAATGTCAGATCACAATGCCAACTTAACATCCACACTTATTTACCTTCCTCTATCTCATTCACCAGAAAATGGCGTTTGATCCGAAGCGAATCTTTTATCATTATGTCTTCCATTGGTCTTCTCCTGCCCACCACCAACTCCCCCTCTCTCATGATATGTCCCAGGCAAAGTCAGTGTCACTTTCATTTTCAAGTATCAGCTCATCGACGTCTATTACGCAGAACAGAAGGCTTTATAATGTCTTGAAGATCAGAAAGGAATCGAAGGCAAAGATGATACAAAATGTGCACACGATTGTCATAGCCAGCCCGCGGATCCCAAAGCAAAGATGATAGAACCCGAGCGAAGTACTTTCTGTTGCTACTAGGGTTGTTACTAACGATTCAAGGACCCTGAAAGGCGACCAAGGATGATGCATTTCAAAGTGGCCAAGAGGTATCTATTACGACAAGCGCTCTCTCCACAAGAAGTCAAATGTGACGAATATAGCAGCGTCAATGCTAGGTTCCAAGAAAATACCTAGCGAATCTCTGGAGAGTGAAAGTTCAGTGTCTCCTCGACATCATGGGCGCATCTATTTTTGATCCCGAATGGGACAATTTGCTAGGAGGCGAGCGAATTTATTAGTTGAGTACTACAGCACGGATCTGGATACTTTCTTCCAGCCCAGAAGGCATCGCCGCTTGAAGGATCAAGCTCAACGAACATCAATGGTTTTAGAACCAACTATCTCTATTCCGGACCGATAAAAAAGTCTAGTTATGGCATCCCCCAAAGAATCACCTTTCGCACCACGTTGACGGCCTCTGTGGTCAAACCACTTGAGCGATTCTCAACATCGATGTAACCCCAAATTTTCTGGCTACCCGAACCATCCTGGTGAACCGTCGATCGTCCTTAATGCTGCGACACATTTCCCCGATTTCTACTTCTAAAATCGTCATAGTGGATTGCGACAATCTCGAACCTACTAAGGCCTACCCCTTTGAATCTAAGAACATCCTAAAAATCACTAAATAAAATCAAGGGATTCACGAACTCCAATAGCTCTAGCATTTAGCAATTGTGTCTGCTGAAGTGCTAATTCGAAAAGCGAACACGATACCTACTGCGCCGATGACGTTCAAGCGATCTAAGAATAGCCAGTGAAGATGCAGATCATCGTGTTCCTGACCCATACAGCCACCCAAACTTTTCAAATCCGCGTATCGTGTCTGCAGATTAGCATAGAAATGGGGCGATTGCATGCAGGAACACGGTAAAATGGGGCACGATCAGCATCGACACGAGCCAACTGCCCCGTTGAATACGATCAGGGTTCGCTTGGCAATGCAGATTTCTCGGCTTTTACAGGACAGAAATTCCACGAAAATTGGGGGTTTGAGGGGCCGGATAAGCTCATGCAATAAATCGAGTATCATTATGCGAACTTCACCTAGGAGTAACGAGAACTAGATGATCAGGGACCTGCCAAAGGATCGTCCCAGAATACCCCATACTCCGTGATGCCTCGTATTCTGTGGATTCAAGTGCTGATCTTCATCGATCTCTAGCAGGAGAATTACAGTGGTTAAAGGTAGGTAACGTTTGGAATATAAAAGGTGGACTCAATCCCCTCCACCAAAATCCATCCGTTATCAGCAACCGATTCCGAACAATCGAAGAATTCCAGACTTCAATCCCCTCATATTGGATTGAAAACCACACAATACCTATCAACATGTCATCCTTCAAGCTCCTCGTGGCTCTCATTCCCGCCCTCGCTGCCGCCGCCTGCGTCGGCCCCGCCGTCAACGACGCAACCCTGGACCTGCTCAAGGGCTATGAGAAGATGATCCCCAACCCCTACGACGACGGCTACGGAAATCCCACCATTGGATACGGCCACCTATGTCAGGATTCTTCCTGTTCGGACGTCTCCTACTCGCAGCCTCTCACTGAAGAAACTGCAACGAAGCTGTTGGCTGATGACTTGGAGGTTAGTTAGTGAATACAAACATAGTTACAGTATGGCTCCATGCTAACCAAGTCGATCCAAATAACAGGGCTTCCAAGACGCCGTCACAAACGCCCTCGCCGACGCCGTGACTCTCAACGACAACCAATACGGCGCTCTCGTCTCGTGGACATTCAACGTCGGCGCGGGCGGCATGCAATCGTCCTCGCTCGTCCGACGGATGAATAACGGCGAAGACGTGGATGTTGTTGCGCAGGAGGAGTTGCCCAAGTGGGTGCACGCGAACGGCGAGGTCTCGGAGGGTCTGGTGAATCGTCGAAATGCCGAGTTGGAGTTGTTCGCAACTGCCAGTAAGGGAGAGGCGTTGCCTGCTCCTTGCTAGATTGGGGAGAGGGGGAGCTGACTTTTGATGGAACGGGTGCTTTGGATGAGTGGGTTTATATAACTAACGATTGGGAGTTGGGATTCGCCGTTTGAAGAGAGGTTTGCGGTCAATAGGGCCCAATTTCAGAATTCAGCTTTGATTTTTTTCTTATTTTATACATGTTTTGGGAGACTATACACTGAACAGCCTGTTTCAAGAATTCTTGTGACTGTCACGAATGAATAAGACGTGCTATGCTGAACCCACAGAAATCTCTAGACGACAAACAACAAACCCACAAAACGCCAGGCCAATCGACGAAAGCAACAAACCGTGTCATGTCAGTCATTCCAGTTATGTACACTAATTTCCTCGTCCTTTCCTTCTCTTTGCTTTTTACACAGGGTTGCCAATATTTACAGTTGAATGAGATCCACCTGAGAGAAGTCCGGGGGACTGCGACTGAAGATAGTGCGGCACTTGCCATCCAAGGCTTGGTACTCGTTACTGATCCAGACATGTTTACTGAATCGCTGGGTACGATAGACTTCGTCGTCGCTGACACCAATATCGTCTCGCGGGATCCAGACCACCGGGCGTTTGGCCCGGAGGGCATCATGTTGGAAAGCGCGCTGCACCAGCTGATCGCGCTCGTCTGGAGTCAGATCCTCCAATTCATCATGGATACCAGCAAATATCCCCTGACCAACGTGGCGGGCTGGGGGCCCTTGGTTCTCGGCGTCCTCGGCGATTTTCTCGCGCATGCGTTGTACACTGGGAACAGAGTTGTCGGACTTGCCACCAAAGTATGATGACCGGCCTTTTGAGGGCCGATCGACCCACGATGGACGTTTGGGCGTCATCCCAGGACGCTTTGCGGTATGCTTATGCTTATGCTGTTCTTTGTTGGCTTCGATTTGCTTCAACTCAATGTCGTGAGATACCCTATCAGCCTGGCGTTCTCGGCGCTCGTTCTCCGCCAGTTGGTGCTCAACCGAGTCGGGTTCATCCTCGTCATCGCTTGGCAAACCTAGTCTCGCTCTTTGAGCGCGTGCAAATTCCTCATCGCGGCGGACGGCATCATCCTCGAGAGTGATTGGGAGGTAACGAATCAAAGGCCCAAAAGCCTCGTTCAACAAAATTTGATACCCGGCCGTGAGAACGAGCACCACAATCATAAAAATTGCTTGACCTTTGCAGGCAACAGAGCCCTGCACATCACGGACCAAAAAGAACAGTCCGATCAAGCTAACTTCCATGACGTACAATCCCGTGAATAGCTGATTGATAGCCTGAGGGAAAAGTAATCCGCCAGTATCGAAGCGAAATTTGGTGACATAGAGAGTATTGTAACGATAAACGAACCAGAATAGGCCGAACGTAAGAATATTGAAGATAAGAATGAGCGGTGAAATAACACAATAAATCAGCCCTATTCTTGATATTAGCTTCGGTCTCCGGCCGTTTCTTCCCAATGATCAAAAGACAAACTTACCGATTGATGCCAAAGTAGTGTAAACAGGAAAGAAGGTACCCCATTGCATTTGGTTCAAGTTGGTTGTTCGCGCCCACTTCTTTCTTGCGGTCGTATCGAGAAAGGGAGCAAGAATGAACCAACTGACAAGATTGACGATCTGAACCAGAGCACCGGCACTCACTGACATGGCCTGCAGGATCATGTACGAGAAGAAGTAGTTGCTGGACGAGGGAATATTTTGTGCTAGGAGTTCGGGCCAGCTGGTGACGTTGGTGACGTTGTTGATGATAGTGGAAAAACTAGACGAAATGGCCACAACCAGGAAAAGTTGCACGAACAGGAATGCGAAATAATAATGCTGAACTGTGAGTTCCACGGCCATGCCTGTGTGAACACCTTGAGTTCGGCAGAGGAAACGAAGGATCAAAGGCAATATGGCCATAAGGATGGCCAAAAACAGTGCCGGCAAGATGCCCTGCACGGCTGAGACAAACCATTCTGGTAGGTTTGAAATCCACGACAGCCAGGTGAAAGCATCCTCCAGGTACGATAGCTGGGAAAGTAAACCGGTGAAAGCTACAGGGAACGCCCACCCAATCACCATAGCGCAGACAAGAGCGAAAACCCCGAATGTACGAAGGTAGCGTTCCCACCACTTGATTGACATGTTGTCCCATATGACGTCGTCCGGCGAGATTTCCACGATGCGAGGGGCCATTTGTTTGGGGACATGGTGGCTGACCGACTGGCAAGCCATATGCGCTGCCACCTGATGGTTAAATTGAATGAACGCAGAATTCATCAGCGGGAATTTCTCGGGGTGTTGCTGATCAATCTCGATTTCCAAGTTTAGCCGTGCCACTTCTTTGCGACAGTGATCAATGGTGTCGACTTTCTTTCCGATAAGCCAGAGAGACGGCATCCATTTCCAACCAAAGATCGGCAATCGCATGGTGTCGCGGTCTTTTTCTTTGATGTATTTCTTCCACAATGGCTCCCCGAAGTCTTCGTTGTCGAAATCTTCGTTGTAAGCGATTGGGTACTCTTCTCCGTCTACCTTGTCTCCTTCCTGGCGACCCCCAGATTTGCTGGCTTTACTGTCCTCTCTTCCTGTCGGCAAGACATTCGGGTCAGAGCCGAGTGCTTCCCCCCCGTCGACGGGGCTTTCGGAGGCTGTCAAAGGAAGCTCGTCTGGCTCAGTTTTGCTGCTAGTTTTAGAATTGCCTGACCCTCGACTTTTCCAGAACGGTCTTTTGGGTTGAGAAGATGAGCCTAGACCCGCAGCACTGGGGCTTTGATTCCTCGGGCTTCTGTAATTCAAACCATTCTCATGGCCTGCGTCGCTGTGATTTGCGTCCAATGACAGAGGCTCGCGCGGTCCATCGCCGCCAGAAACACGTCCCCGATCCCCAGTCGTCTCATGTGGGTTCTCTTCAGGAACAAACCCACCGGTACGAGTCAAGGTTCCATCAATTCCGTCCTCGACCTTTTTGAGACCACCCAGAACAGATTTCCCCAGCTTTCCAACTCCTTGGCCGACCGCTTCGGCAGCCTCAATGGCCGGATCGAAAGGGTTAAGTCGTTTCCAATGCCCTTGTTCATCCTGCTCTTTCTTCGAGCCGCGACGGTGGAGTAGTTGATTAAGCGTATGGGCTTGATGCGGGTCACCGGAACTGACACCAGCATCCATCGCTAGCTGGGAAGCTTTCCTATCGGCCTCCTGCTTTTCTTGCTTGTCTACCACCTTCGCGTCCTTGCCAGCTTTCTTGGCTTCAGCTTTCGCCTGCTTTAGTTGCGCCTTTTTGCACTTGATAATCAATTCGGTTTCGGCAGACTCGAGCTTTAAAGCCAAGTCATCCCGTTCTTTCACCTTCTCGTTGAGATCGTCGTAGTTTCGGTTGATCCAAATGTTGCGGATACCCCCAGGAAATACGTCATACAGCGAATCAAGGGCCTCCACCGAAAGCCAGCTTTCAGGGATGGCGGTCACTAGAACGGTTGTGGCAGATGCGCGAAGCCGATGTTGCGGAGAGGTTAAATACGCCTGTCGAAGGCGAATGTATCCTCTGAGCTCATCAAAGAAAACGGCGCACACGTAAACGATAGCTATAAAGGCCATAATGAGATGTCCCCAGTAACGACTCGTATTTTCAGGGGCGACATTTCCCCAGGCTAGTTGGTCGAGACCAGTAACATTCCACTGGCCTCCACTTGCGGTCCCATTTTTGTAGCTCTGATTCTTCCCGTTCACTTTATTCAGAGGTAGAAGGGTTGGCAGTAGAAGGCATCCCAGCGGCACGAATATTTTCAGGAGCATTCGTAGGTATCGCAGGAAGAAATAAGCGTCGAGACCACATTTTTGAATGAACTCAGAGCTGGAGGTCCGAAAGACAGGGCCGATCCATCGAAAAAATCCGGGCGGGGAGGGCGCGGTACGTTCTCTATCAGGGACGAGGTAGGTTCTTGGTTGGCTATTCGGGGTGGCGTTAGCGATACTCTCAGCCATAAAACACTAACCATGGCGACACTCACTAGATGCGAGTAAGCTTTCCCTTGAGAAGCAAAAACAGTAGAAACTCAACCGCGAAAATCACGATCGCAGTACCCAAAGACGCAAGGAAGGTATTGATCCCGATTCCTTCACGTTGTTTCCCCGTACCGCCAGCGTGCTCCAGGGCTTTCCCTAGATCGTTGGACATGGCGGTAATCAACGAAGGCCCTACGGATCCGTTCTAAATGCTTGGTATGAGGCCGAAGCCGACCGGACTTGCAGAAGAGATAACGCGGCGCAGAAGAGGGCGGAACGGTGATATAACGGACGGGGGTACAAAGGGCATAACGAGTTCAATTATTGAAGATCAGAGTGGCATGTCGATAGACGAAGCGGGGGACCGGTAACTAAAGTAAGGGAGGAGTCGAAAATAGCAGCACGAGGGGACTGTTTTTAGAAAGGGCGGGCGTTTAAAGAGGGCGGAATAGGGATCAATGAAGCGACGCAGAAAGAAGAAGTAAATAAAGGCATGACAGCAGTGGCACCGATTGCTAAAGAAATGGACCATTCATGTTTCAGCGGCGTGCCAAGTCAGCAGGGCAGAAGCGCCGCGATTTGTGGGAAGTTGGGAAATGCGCTGGGGATGAGCAGATCGTTGCTCTGCAATGACATCAAGCGCCTGCTGAAACCAAACTTTCGCCTTAAGGCCCCACAGCGCCTGCTGTTGTCTCACCGGCGTTGACGATTCTCGCCTTGTGAGACCTGGGGGAGGAGAGAGGATCGATCGGGGAAAAATGATGGAGGAATTATGTCAGCGATGATAGCGTGGTTTTTATCTCATCCAAGTCAATTTTGTTCTTTGGGGAGATAACAATAGAACCCCTGATCGATGACGATGAAGAAAGTGCCCCTTTGTTGGCACTTGGCAGGGATGAATCGTGGATTGGATCCAAGGAATGTCGATGCCTACCCTAACCTAATCCCCTTCGGGCCTGGCGTGCCTGAGGTCTTCGGTTTTCCCCCGGGTGGCTCTGTGGCGCAACACGAACC